TTACGACACCCATATTGTCGAAATGAATTATTCATTGATGTATCGTACATTAATCTGGTGTTGTAATGATGTATTGGTAATGTTCTGTTCCTCTTGTGTTGTGAGCTACTTTAGGCACATTATATAGAAAAGTGGCATCCATATTATTATTATTATTATTATTGATTGCAGATGCCACCATGCTTTTTAGGTTTCCGCCCTGCACCCACCTGCCCCCCAGATCATCTTAATCTAATCTCTCATACACTGTCAGTTCCTCCATCTATCCATCTCTGACATCCCCAGTGTGGCAGGATGCCAGATGGTGCCCCATTAGGTCACATTTGCTTATTGTTTGGTAAACAGCAGTTTAATTTAAGTGCTGAGTTGACAGCTTGTCCTCAAAAGACAATTTTCACATTGCAATGTTTCAAATGCCAGCTTGGCTTTCTAGTATAATGTTATTTCAACTGCCTTAAAGGGATAAAGTTCCCTTTGATTAAAAAAAGGAGGAGGGGGGAGCCCAGGGGAACTGAACTGTGTGTTTTGATGTTGACAGACCTGAGTGCATGAACTGGCAAACCTTGGACTGGATTTTCCCAGGCGCTTTGGGGCTGGCTACGGGTCTTCTTGCTTTTATGAGCCTGGAAGCTCAGCCTGTCCAATAATCATCATGACTGGCAGAATTCTCCCCTGTTTGTTCTACGCTTAGCAGTGATTTAGAGGATGTGTGTGTCGGTATCAGCCAGGTTTGCAACCAGGAGCTGCTGGAATCCATTGTACGGGTGTTGTGAGCATTTAAGCACCAGGTGCTCATATTAGCGAAAGCCCTTGATAGAATGTTTGAGGGCAGGATCCAGGTAAGCATGGCTAGGCTCATTTCTACCCTGCAGTTTGTCCCTGTTGCAAGCATCATGATTAAGCGAGCACTGCTTTCTGCTATAAATGTGCATATTCACTTGCTGAATCTCTATTCTGGCCTCTGGCCCTTTATTTGTGATTCATACAGAACATAGCCTGGCTTCAGCTGCCTATACTCTGGTAGCCTCCAGGTTAGACTACTGTAATGTGCTATATATGGGGCTGCCTTTGGAGACAGTTCAGAAATGGCAGCTAGCGCAGAAGACAGCAGTTATGTTGATTGTTCACGGGAACAAGAAAGCATGAACACGTACCACTGCTTTGTTTCCAGGCCCAATTCATGAAGTGCAGCTGTGAAGGAAGGTTCTTGAATTCAAGCCCCAGATGCAAAGATTGCTGCAGAAATGAGGGTTAGTTCAGTGCCAAATGCACACCCAGTTTTGGGCTGGTGTTGGCTCCATTCAGGAGCTCCTGAGTTGAACCCATCCCAGTGGGACTTTCTATTGGCACCAAATTTAAAAGGCACTGACTTGCAGTAGAACAATCACAAGTGCATTCTAAGACTCTCTGCAGCCTGTCATATGACAACAGATGTGGGGAAGAGGGGCATGGCTGGAGGAAAATGGCCTCCTGGGTGAAATTAAGAACCAACGGGAGTCCTAATTTGGCCCCTAGGTCAGTGTTTCCCCATCGCTGACATAGAGAGACATGCTACCCCATGTCTTAACTTTGACACTGAGGACCCATCTGCACTGTGCATTTAAAGCAGCATTGTATCACTTGAAACAGTCATGGCTTCCCCCAAAGAAACCTGGGAAATGTAGTTTCTTAAGGGTGCTGAGAGTTGTTAGGAGATTCCTATTCTGTTCTCCTCACAGAGCTACCATTCGAAGAGTTATCCAGGAAGAGGGATTGATTCTCTGGGAAGAAAGAATGCTTAAGAACTGTAGCTCTGTGAGGGAAATAAAGGTTTCCTAACCATTCTCAGCACCCTTAACAAACTACAGTTCCCAGGATTCTTTGAGGGAAGCCGTGTCTATTTAAAGTAGCATGATACGGGTTTAAATGCATGGTGCAGTTACAGCCTGAGGCACATACCTGCTAGGAAGGTGAGTGGGTGTGTTTTTCTGCCAACGTATGGTGAGAGTTACATCATGGTGTCTGTCTGACTTATTTTGTACAAATTTCTTGTTGCAATAACATATGTCTGCAAGTTGGTTCCAGAAAATGAAACATCTGTGCACATGGAGAGAAGTGAACATGTGTATGTTGTGTGTATGACTTTGTTCTCCAAGTACCCAAGCAGAGGTTTTTTTCCCCTAGGAATGGATGAACCAACCTATTTCTATCTGGGGTCAATTTCACAATTGTAGGTCTGTTCCATGCTTTCTTTTGTGGATTGTTTATAAAAATGCACAGCCAACCCCCCCCCCAAAAAAAAATCACGTTTAAATTGTCCACACTTTCCCCCAAATCACACAGTTTATACAAAATGCAATTGTCCCGTAAAATATCCATTTGGGAACACATTTTTAACAGGAGTTGTTTTGCAAAATCAGGAAAGATGCATAATCCAATGGGTAGCTGCTTCCTGACCCCTGCATAAGCCTGGGACCAACAAATTAGGTCGCTCTGTTTTACAATGTGGACCAAATGAATTTCTCCTCTATTCCACATCTCCCACAGCCTTACACGCTGAGATCTTTTTATCACAAAAGGCTGAGGATTGGGTCTTTTGCTCTCTGTATGTAAATCATATGTGCTACCCCTGAGCTGAGGTCTCACCCAGTTTATTTTAGGAACTGCTCTTTTTAAATGTGAAAACCCTGCAATTCGGCCCCCTTCCTCATTCACACACTTTTTGGATAACAAATAACAGTTGGTGGCTTTCTGCTACATTGCCAGAAACAACAGGTTATATAAGTAGGTCAAGAAAGAGTCAATTATAAGAGAACTTGTTCAGTTAGCAGAGATGGATGAACATCCTAGGATGACTTAGTTGGAATCTGCATTACAGATGGTCTCAACCCCAGGAGATAGTTTAGCAAAATCTTCTACCGCTGATATATTCCAATTCCACATTGTCTGCAGATTCAGCCATCTGTGGCTGAGAAAAAGGTGTTTGTCGTGGTAAAATATCCCCAGCAGAAGAATCTGGGTGATGTTGACCACATGTGATCAGAATGCAAGTGGTTTAGAATAGCATGTATGTCCAAGGGTTGCACTGGACTCTTGAGTACGCAAGACATACTTTTTTTTTTAAGGTCTGTTCCATTAAGTTCAGTTCATTAATTTACATTATCTGTAGGTCAACCCTTTTAAAAAAAATACAATCCCTCCATAAGAACAATCGTTACACGTTACATGCATCACCTGGCCTACAGCACAAGCAATTGCAATTTCTTTCAACAACTTATTTCTTTGTTTCTTAGTCCTTTTTTCACTTTTGGTTTGGTTTGCTGCTACTTCTCAATGTGTGGGATGGTTTCCATGCTCACATGTTATCTCATTTCATTCTCAGAGCAACCCAATAATATGACTTAAGCAGCAAGGGAAATGAGTGTCCCAAGGATACCCAGTGAGTTTCATGAATGGGGATTGGAACCCAAGTCTGACTGTTGTAAGCCCAACACTTTGACCCAGTGCACCACACTGGCTCACAAACCCAGGGGGAGGGAACTCTAGGCCGGGGACCAACACGCCCTTCCAAGTTTCTTTGTCTGCCTCTCTTTGTCTGACCTGGTCTCTCCAGGTCATGCCCCTCTCCCCAGACCACACCCTTATTGACCCTGCTTTGCACGCCAACCATTTTTGCCTAGCCGGAAAGTACCATTGAATTCTTGCTTGTCTGGATGGAGATGGCGGGGAGGGAGAGAGTAGCCTACTATACAAAGGCACCATTTGTTGCTCTACCCATTTTCCTCTGGTCCTGCCCACTACTGTCATGTGGCCCTCAGAATGTTGCCCTTAAGGGAATGTGGCTGAAAAAGGCTTGGCACCCCTGCACTGTCTATCCCTATCCAGACATTCTCTCTCAGGTGTTTTCCATCATGTGTGTTAGGAGAGGAAGGACACACTTGCTGACCTCTGTCCCCTCCATTGCATTCCTGATGATCCAGTATTTTAGAGGCTGGCTGCACCATTTAAAGCCCTGCACCAATCAGGGCTCTAAGTCACCTGAGGAGCCTCTACATGCAGTGCTGGCTTCCTGCTTCAGACATTTAGCCCCAATGCATGGAAGCTGGTGGGGCTGGGTTGCCAGGTGTAAGAGCAGCAAGCACCCCCCACACCAGGCATAGGCAAACTCACCCTCCGGATGTTTTGGGACTACAATTCCCATCACTCCTGACCACTGGTCCTGTTAGCTAGGGATCATGGGAGTTGTAGTCCGCAAACATCTGGAGGGCCGAGTTTGCCTATGCCTGCCCCCCACTCTCCCCCATGATGGGAAAACATGAGAGGGACCTCTTGGATGGGGCTACTGTTGTTCAACAATTGTGAGGAGTAGGAGGCAATCCCTAGATTATTTTTCATAGAGGGCCAATAAAGGTGCTCTTTGAGGGCTGCTCATAATGCCACTGCCATGAAGTGGCATGTTGAGTTTCCATGGCACGGTCAGCGAGTGCATAGTGCATCTGCTTTGTGAAAGCTAAGCAAGTCAAGGTCTGGATGGGAGGCTGTCATAGATTCCTGAATCTGCCATTTGGAAAAAGATGAAAGGTGGGGTGTGAATGTACTAAATAAAATAAAATAAAATAAATAAAGGCCAAGCAATTTGCACACAGTGACTCACCATGCTGAACCAGCAGTTCTATGTTGACATAGGTTTAAACAAATCGTGATTGACTGACTGACGGCTGATCCAGCACTTTTTATCCATCTCTCTGCAAGCCACCAGAAATGAACAGCATTTGGTGGCATGGAGAAATTTGCTGGAGGAGTTTCTGCACAATGGTGTTTCACACGGAGTGCAACATCACAACCTGTGCTTGTGTACCAGGCCTGGGGAGTGGCCTGAATTGGACTTTTATCCCTGTGTCCTTAACTTGGTTTTATTTTGACATTTCCTTCCCTGTATAGTCCTTGTACAATGAAACCTATTTTACGTGGCAATGCCTTTATAACACAGCCCTGCTCTTCTCCTTGTTGTCTTTCTGCAGGTGGGCCAAAAAGGGACACATTATAAAGGAAGCATCGGGGGACTCTTATGAGACCATTGTTGACCATACCTATTTTTTTGAGCCAATCTCTTGCGAGGTGACCAACGCTTTAGGCAGCACCAACATCAGCAGGACAGTCGATGTCTACTGTAAGTACAGCTCAGCTGCTGAACCATCAGGAGTTTATGTGATAGGGCTAATCCTTTGTAATTTGAGAGTTGCCTTGTGGATGATAACGGTGCAGTTTCTTAAGGGAATGAGATGGACAATCGATTCATCAGTGGTGAAAAAGGAAGCCGGAGAAAGGACCTAAATAATAATGGTCCAGCTGTTGTTTTGGTTAACCTTCACCTGGAAAACCAGGCACACATCAGCCTTTTGTGCTAAAGGTGGAGAAGTTTTGTCCTGCGCAGTAGCAAGTCACCATGAAGTGCTCTGAATGGGACACATCCAACCCTCTACATCAGGGGTGGGGACTCTTTTTGGCTCAATGCACCAGATCCTCATTGGTCCCCACCCCTGCAGTCTAGCTTCGATAGGTGGATGGGACAACCTACCTGTCAATCATCTGACATCAGGTTGTCCTGCCTACTTGTCAAAGTCCTTGGCACTGCACATCCCAAGCTCACGACAGCTGACTGGTTGCCAGGTGCTTGGGCGCCACAGTGCAAGGCCTTTGGGGTCAGCCCTATGCTTGTCAGTGCTGAGCAAGGGACTGCAAAGCTTCTTCCCCATGAGGAAGCCAATCTAGCCTCATCTCTAGTTTCCCCACATGGCATATCCTGTCAGGTGTGGGGCAGGGGAAATGACCTTGCTGAGCCAAATGGGGCCCATAGGCCAAAGGTTTTCTTCCCCTGCCCTCTGCTTTGATCCAATTTTGTCTGCTATGCCTACCCAGTGCCCAGTGTGTTGAGCCAGGGTGCACAGAACTAATGCAGCACTGGAGAGGCAGGCAGAATTGTAGCTTGACAGTGCCTTTGTACCACAGACCATGCGCAGCATGTACCACCTGCCCACGTGGCAGGTTGGCTGCTCCAAGCTAGACTGCCATGGCCATTCAGGCCAACAGCCTGGGACTCTTTCATAACTCCTAGGGACCCACAGTTCCAGAACTATGAAAGTGACGCTTTAGTCACCCTATCTGAATGATTATCTGTTTTTGTGAAGTTCATGTGTTCAAAGCTCCTTTGGAAGAGATGGAATAAATGTCTCTGGATTAGGCTTAAAGCCTCCATTTCTTCCTCTAGTCAAGAATCCAAAAGCCACAACAAGGGAGAGATCTAATTCATGCATTATGTCTCTCCTTGGGTGATTGCATGGTCCCTTATTGCCTTTTCCTTCCCTTACCTGCTATGAAGAATAATTTCATTGCTGTCCTATTCTGCAGAAACCTATTCTGTGACATATCTCTTATTATAGTTGGACCACGCATGATGACGGAACCACAGTCCCTTCTTGTTGATCTTGGATCGGATGCTGTATTTAACTGTGCTTGGATCGGAAACCCGTCGCTGACCATCGTCTGGATGAAGCGGGGCTCGGGTGTGGTAAGGATGCTTAAAATCAGCTCAACATTTGAGGGGAAGTTTGAGGGCTGAGTGCCAAGTGCCCTCCAGACAGGTGTTTTGTGTTGTGTCGTTTTTGCTATTATATTCTACAACATGTTCTTGACAAAATGTTGTGATGGGTTTATATTGGGTCGTCCACACATCATTCTGCTTTATTTTTTATTTTATTTTTTTGCAATACTTCCCTAGTGCCACCACACGTGCACTATACATTTAAAGCAGTATAACACCAATTTATTATTATTATTATTAATAATAATAATAATAATAATAGAACTTATATGCCACCCTATATCCAGAGGTTTCAGGGCGGTTCACATAAATTTAAGCAATCTTGCCCCCCCCCCAAGTATCCTGGGAACTGTAGTTCACTGAGGGAAATGAGAGTTGTAAAGGGACCCCATTCCCCTTACAGTGCTACAATTCTGAGTGGTTTAATAATCAATCCCTCTTCACAGGGAACTCTGAGAATTGTAGCTCTAGGAGGGGAATAGGGGTCTCCTGGCGCTGTGGGTTAAACCACAGAGCCTAGGACTTGCCGATCAGAAGGTTGGCAGTTCGAATCCCCGCAACGGGGTGAGCTCCCGTTGCTCGGTCCCTGCTCCTGCCAACCTAGCAGTTCGAAAGCACGTCAAAGTGCAAGTAGATAAATAGGTACCACGCCGGCAGAAAGGTAAACGGTGTTCTGGTTCACCAGAAGCGGCTTAGTCATGCTGGCCACATGACCCAGCTCCCTCGGCCAGTAAAGCGAGATGAGCGCGCAATCCCAGAGTCAGCCACGACTGGACCTAATGGTCAGGGGTCCCTTTACCTTTACCTTTTAACAACTCCCAGCACCCTTAATAAACTACACTTCCTAGGATTGCTGTCTGGAAAGGCTATGGCACAGCAAAAGTGGGACAGAAAAGTCCCCATAACATTTGTGGTAGGAAAGGTTACAGGATTTCAGCAGGAAGTTACAGGATATGCACTGACAGGAAATGGAGTCATATAAACACCCTGAAACTACTGGAGGTGCAAACAGCATTGAAAGCAAGATCAAGTTTGACCACCCTAATAGCATCAAGAGTGAAAATCATCATAAATGTAAATATTGTAAATATAAGGGATGCTTGGAGGGGGCGCTCTACTGAGTCAGACCATTAGTCCATCTAGCTCCATTCTGGCTACACTGGTTGGCAGTTACTGTCCAGGGCTTCAGGAAGGTGTCTCCTCCAGTCCAACCTGGAAATGTCAGGGATTGAACCTGGGACCTTCTGTATGAAAAGCAGGTGTTCTGCCACTGAGGCACAGCCTCTCCTCAATACTGGTTCTTGCAGGCGCAAATGGTGGCTTCAACTCACATGACACCATTCTCTTTCTGCCTTTATTGCCTCGAGTATTGTGGCAGGTGGGTGCTCTGTGCATGGTAGATATCATGCTCGTCTCACAAAGTGTAGCAGCTATGAACATGAATCATAATTTAAATCTGAGCTCATCCCTAAGACTGGGTTAGCCTTTGATAATCTCCTGCCTCATCGCCAGCCCTTTCCCCACCTGCCCATCTACAAGGCAGGGATAAGAATAATGGGCTGCTCTTCACTGTAGTTGTAATGAACACCGAGGTAATGCATTGTTCCAAAGAGGTAATCTGCAGCAGGAAGTGAGGGGGGGTTGTTTTGTAGCACACTAAAGACTCAGTAATAATAATAATAATGCCAGAAGACTGAGCAGTACAGGAGATAGTTGTGTACCATATCACTACATCCCATGTGAGGTTCTTTGAGTGGTTGTGGAAAGCCTGTGAAAGTAAATATTGAGTAGTAGCAAAGTCTAAGTCATGGAGTGGACTCTTGGATTTGTTCATTGGATTAATCCTTTGCTCTCAGCCTTGCTGCTCTTGCTTTCTGCTGGCGATTCCCACAGCAGCAGGAACAAATAACAGTGTTATTTGCAGTTCAGAAGGGACAACAAGCTGTTGCTGAGCTGGTAGATCAAACATGTGAACGATCTGTGGCCCACCTTGAAATATACAAAACTGGGCATGACTGCTGCATCCTGCAGTTAACTCAGAGCGTCATTATTGTAGCGTAAGGAGGAGGGGGGAACCAACCCTGTGAGGTGAGCTGGGATTCTGAGGAAACTTATGTTCTGTAGTCAATTCCACATTCTGTGCTTTCATGTGGTGTGTGATTCTATCCCAGTGTTCACAACCAGGGCTGGCCCACCCAGGAGGCAAACTAAAGCAGCCACCTTGGACAGCAGAATCCTGCAGGGCAGCACCCCCACAGGGACCCCACCCTGCTACCGGGTTCTCATGGCAGCATCTTCTGGCAAAATGTCATGAGATCTCACCAGAAACTGCCACCATAGAACCCCAGTCAACAAGGCTTTAGTGGCTGCAGAAGCAACAGTGTCTCATTCTGCCACAGTGAAATGGAATGGGCCACCCTGGATTTTATCCCAGTGTTGAGAACTGTGTAGTCACCTGCCCTTTCCATGCTGCTGCTGTGTGGTGAAGAAGCTCATTATCTCACTGCCTGGGCCTGGCAAATGTATGGGCGTGTTTGATCACTTTCAGACTTCCAGATAAGAGCAACAGGAGGCAGCAATTACACTGGACTGCCTGAGACGGTCAAGACGGTGTCCCTTCCATTCATTCCACATAATGGAGCGGTGTCCTCCACAGCATTAAGGGGCAGCAAGCTAGGTGAGGGAGCACACACAGTGGGCCATTTGGCAGAAACAGTACTGGCCTTCAACATCTCTCCACCATAACCTGCGCTGCAGCATCTGCCACCCAAGGTGCCTGCCTCGCCATGCCTAATGGAAGGGCTGACCTTCCTCGGTTGCAAACTGCACTAGTAGCAGCAGGCAGTGGTAGCTGTCCAGAGATGGCAGTGAAAGTTCTCAGCACTTTCAAAGAAAAGAGGGAAAATTTTAGGCCAAGCAGAGGTCAAGGAGGCTGATTTATGTAACTGGACTAATAAAAAAAATGAAAGGTTCGTTTCCATGGCAGTCACAGCACTTTCCACATTTCTGCTGCTCAAAGGGGATCTTTGCAAAGTAACCCTAATAGAAGTTGAATTGATTCCCATTATGAGCAGCATCTGGGTTAACCAAAGGCCAAGGCAACCACTTTGCCTCTTTGTGACAGGTGGAACTTTGTAAACCATCTCCACATTGAGCTCTTTTTGTGAACAGTCCTTGCTTACAGAGCACTGCACAGCTAAAGCTTAAGGACAAACAGCCTCCTGGCATCAACCCAGTCCTGGATCCAGTTTCCTAGGACTGTGCATGCCTATTCATCACCTAGGAGCTTCAGCATGCAGTGATGACTTTCATGTGTGGATGGTCCATCACAGATGCTGTATCACCAGTAGTCATTGCTGCTCATTGAGACTAGCATGGTGGAAGGCAGAGAGCCCAACAGTAGGTGGAGCCACTCCCTGATTAGTTGTAAGTAAGAAGACAGGTTGAGGTTGGTGGGGCAGTGCCTCGTTACGCTGAATTGACCATCCTCCACTGAATATTGCAGAGAAAGCATTCATCAGTATCCCCTTATGCAAGATCCCCTTAATTTACGCAATCTGGTGGCTAATCATCAAGCGTGGAGTAGAACTAAGTGTTGAGAAATCAAGAGTCTAGCATGCATGTATAAACCAACCCAGGTCATGCTAGAGATAAAACCCAGGACTTGGCTTTTCACATTCACTTATTAATATCCTATCTATACCTGTACCTCTGTTTCAGTGAAAGTGCTGTGAGTAACTAGAGCAGGTGAAAGTCACATTGCACCTTAATGGAAGGAAGTCACATGTACTTCTTGGGGTTCAAGAGAGCTCAAAGTATGATACTACAAGGTCATCCTAAATATTAATGAGTGGGCAAACAGATCTTAAAGGAGCAGGTAACAAGAAACCCTCTATGTTTGTGTTTATTTTGACCCCATGATATAGTGTAACAAACACCTTGAACACAATATGCATGCACAAGAAGGAGTGCCTATGGAGTTTCAGGAATTCAGAACCCATGATTCAGGGTCTCCTCAAGCATACAAATCTGTCTGCCATAAGTGGTAAACAATATGAGCACATATAAAACCAATACAGATAATATTAAATAGTAGGCATTGGGGACTCATGAGGTTGAACTCAGCTTTGCAGGTTTTACCAAAAAAACTAAAGCCCTTGTTTACAATGCCTGAGTTACCTTCAGATACATGGTTCATTCAGGCATATCCATTCTGCAGCCTTCATCTGGGTATGCAGGAATCCCCAAGTGGAATGTGGAGATAAATGCACTCCTGTGCTATGGGCAGCTTGATTTACAAATGGTTTGTGGGGCTGTGGACCATAAAATCAGACTTATTTTACAGGAACAAATGCATCAGGCCTCCAACAGAAGCCAGAACAGTTTGGTAGGGACAGTGAACGGAGTTCTTCATTTTGCATACTTTTGTCTTTCAGTTCCCACAAGCCATTCATTTCTCATCCATTCCCTCCTCTTGACTAGGACCCTTGGGAGGAATTGTGCTGCATTCCTGTGTACATTTACCTGGAAGTAAGCTTCAGAATATAACGGATATCACTAGTAGTCACTCACCCCAGCTGTACTTCAATAACTTGACATGTGTTCTGCTGCTGCAGAAGGAAGGATAGAGCCCTTTTGAAACTAACAAGCCAGGAAGGACTCCCTGGCCTTGGGCCTGTGATGTTGGGGCCACTCCGCAACTGACTTGAAGACTCACCTCTACGCTTAGCACCATGGACAGCACTTGATCTGGTCTGACAAGTGAGCTGGGTCTCCTAAGACTTCGTGTCTTAGGCATCTTTGATAGTGATTGAACAGAACCTTCCAAGTGTTGCTTAGCCTTTGAAGAACTGTTCTACTGTTGCTGTCCTTCAGATCACCTCCACAGCATAGAATTCATGCCCTTTTCAGTGTTAGAGCGCAAAAAAGTGCACTGGACATTTGTTTTCTTCTAATTTTATCATTTATCTTTTTTCTTTTCAGTATTCATTGGGTAAAGGGAACCACCACCCCTCTTCATGACCCTTATCTCGTTTCTTTCTTTTGGGTTCTGAAACATCCTGCTCAGCATCTCCTTCTCAGCCTTGAGCAAATCAAGTTAGAAGTCTGTCTTTTCAGGTGTTGGGAGGTGTTACAAATGACTTGCCTTGGAAAGGCAGCTGTGCAGTCCTCATGGCCTTTCCTTTAGCTCCCTCTAGCTGACAAATGACTGCACTGTGCAACTCCAAGGACCACATAGCTCTAGACCAGATGACAGCCTACACAGAAATGATAAAAGGCGTCAGTGCTGATCCATTTCTGCCAGGGGAAGGCAGAATAACCATGCTGTTCTGAGAGAATAATCAGCTCACCTGAACACACTTGAGGAAATTATATGTCCATGCTTCAGTCCTGGCTCTGTTCTCCAAAGATAGCCCTGCTCCCCATTCCTTATCCTGAGCCTGCTCAATTCCTCTCAAGGCAGAGCATCCCAATTTCCTTCTCATGCTGTCTTGCTGCTCCCTGTAGTAGGCAGGGGCCCCTTAAAAAGCCTCTTCACTCATCAATCTTATTCCCCATTCATCGGCTGAAGGCTTTTCTCTGAATTTTGCAATGCAGTTCTCTTTATGTGGCTTTTACCCTTAAAGAAGTTTGGAAAGCAGGGTGAAATGGAGAGGAAAAAATCTTTGGATCACTTTACAACTGTAAAGGGTCATAGCTGAGTGACAGAGCACATACTTAGCATGCATACAAAAGGTTTCAGGTAGGTCTGGGAGTTACCGTACCTAAACAACCTCTCCACAGCCAGGTGTCAAATTACATTCTCCCCATCACTGACATGGATGTTCCTGAATCCCTGCTCCCTGCTTTGTTGGAAAGTGCAGTGGGACATTTGCAGAGCCCTAGATTTGTCACTTCTAAAAAGAACAAAAAACTAGACTCTTTCAGTTTCAATACTTTTGCAAACACGGTAGTTCCGATATGAGCAGCCTTTGCAATATCTCTGAGTACTGCTAAGGGCATTAAGTGGTTTGCTAAGCATCAGTGTAAATTCCCAGAATGAGCAGAGGAATTGGCTGCAAGATCAGACACTCGGCAATGCCAACAGCTAACGTGTGGGTTTGTGTTTACATAGCAAGCACATGTTGGAAAGGCAAAAGGAAGCAGGCCTGTCGGGACACCATCCAGACTCCTGCAGGGGAAGGTTTACAGATGCCTCTGCTTTGCCCTGTGCAGAAAGGTGAAGGGGCAGCATCACCCGATATGTAAATCCCAACACTGAAAGTTAATGTCTGCCCGCTGTAGCTGCCAATAGATCCTGACAGTTCTCGTATATGTGGAAAATTAGCCATCGAGCCTCAACTGTTTCTGCAGGCAATTAGAAAGAGTTGACTCTTAAAGGCCATATTTGTTTTAGACTCATCATATTTCTAAATACCACAGGAGCTTGGATTTTTCTGACTGGTTTGCATTAAAGTTCCCTGATTCAGCACTTAGGAAGCTTTAATAAAGCTGCTGATTGCACCGATGTGGGCAAGAGGGCCATGTTCCTGGCAGTGTGGATTGCAGAAGGGTCAAAGAGGCAGGGAGCCAGCAAATCTCAGAGTGTCCATCTCCCACATCAGTCTATCTGACTCAGGGCTGTTTTACATGTTGCATTTGAATGGTGTGGTTGTGGTCTCCAAAGCAATACCTGTTTGAAATATTTCACAGGAAACGTAATGTGAAAAACCACACTGCTGTAGAATCTTTTAGATGCATCCATGATGCTATTCACAAAATTCAGGGTGAAGTGACAGACAATAACGCAATAGGTGTGAGAACACAGCATGCCAGTTCTCCACCCTGAAGCCACAGGGAATGCAGTTTGCAGGGAACACAGGGAGAGGTGTTTCAGCCTTCCACCGCACCCCCCTGCAACTTACCCTTCCCAAGCTGGGTTTCCAAACCATGTTTCTTATGTAAAGTGGTGGGAAGATGATTGGAGTGAGTTTCAGGGGAAAGCAGCAGGTGGGCTATGGATGCAGCACTCCCTGCTCACATACTGTATTCTCCCCAGAAAATGAATATATCCATCCACTTTGCAGCCACTTTCCAGGGTTCCCAGACCTGTATTTGCCACTAAATGTCCCAAAGACTTGCCAAATATAATCTATAGTTTAAACATTGAAACATATTGCCAGTGTTTGCTGTTCTCCTTCATATGCCCAAATCAATTTATTATCAGCTGTGGTTTGGTGTATTTCAAAGTTGAGATGAGCTTCTAAATGGAAAGGAACCTTTCAACTCCACTTGATTGAATATAACACTTACAGTGGTGCCTCGCAAGACGAAATTAATCCGTTCCACGAGAGTCTTCGTCTAGCGGTTTTTTCGTCTTGCGAAGCAAGCCCATTGACGGATTAGCGCTATTAGCGCTATTAGCGGTTTAGCGGCTATTAAAGGCTTAAAGGCTTAGGGGATTAGCTGCTAAAAGGCTATTAAAGGCTATTAAAGGCTTAGCAGATTAGATAAAGGGGAAAGCGGAAAAAAAAACTCAAGACTCGCAAGGTATTTTCGTCTTGCGAAGCAAGCCCATAGGGGAATTCGTCCTGCGAAGCAACTTCAAAACGGAAAACCCTTTCGTCTAGCGGTTTTTCCGTCTTGCGAGGCATTCGTCTTGTGGGGCACCACTGTATTGATCTACCTGTTGGGATGGGACCATGTTTTAGTGGTTGAGCAAAGCACATCCATGGATACAAAAGATCACAGGTTCAATCTCCAGGTAGGACTGTCTGAAACCCAGAAGAGGTGCTGTCATCATAGTAGACTCTGATGGGGCTTCCCGAACCTGGTCCAAGCTCCAGATGTTGGACTACAGCTCACATCATCCCTGACAATTGGCCATGGAACTGGTGGGAGTTAAGAGTCCAACAACATCCAGAGGTAACCAGGTTTTGGAAAAATGAACTAGATGGACCAATGTACAGTAAGGTAGCTTCATAGCTGTGGAGGTAACTTCACTGTCTCCTAGAATGTGTATTGAGAGAGAGGTGGACATTCTCACTTGACCACTGACACATGGAGCAAACTGACTCTCTTCTTTTTCAGGTCCTGAGCAACGAGAACACACTAACGCTAAAGAACGTGCGCCAAGAGGATGCTGGGAAATACGTGTGCCGAGCCGTAGTTCCACGTGTGGGTGCAGGAGAACGGGAAGTATCTCTGACTGTCAATGGTACTTAACTTAAACTATATTTACACTTCTTGAACTTTAGCCATCAGTCTTCTCTCCCAATAACAGTTTACAGAAGTGCAGGTATTGGGCCAAAAAACTACAGTTTCCCTGGATTATCACCTTGTGATTTCATATTTCTTCCTTGTGCCACATTAGCCATTGGTAGATGCTGTAGCTAAGAAAGGTAAAGGTAAAAGATCCCTGGATGGTTAAGTCCAGTCAAAGGCGACTATGGGGTTGCAGTGCTCATCTCGCTTTCAGGCCGAGGAAGCCGGCGATTGTCCAAAGACAGCTTTCAGGTCATGCGGCCAGCATGACTAAACCACTTCTGGCACAATGACTCACCATGACGGAAACCAGAGCACACGGAAACACCATTTACCTTCCCACCGCAGTGGTACCTATTTATCTATTTGTACTGGTGTGCTTTCGAACTGCTAGGTTGGCAGAAGATGGGACAGAGCAACGGGAGCTCACCACTGTCAAGCGGATTTGAACCACTGGCCAGCCTAGCAGTTCGAAAGCATGCCAACTCCTTCGTCCTGAAGCGAGATGGCCCAGTCACCTTTGACTGGACTTAACCGTCCAGGGGTCCTTTACCTAAGAAAGCTGTGATTGTCTCAGAAGCAAAACACTTCCCTTTATTTCTATCCCCCTCCCCAAGATGAATCCCCAAAGCAAACTGTTTTGCAGATATCTAAAATAGTGCCCTTTCAGATCAATAAGGAGGGTCCTGATATATCCCTGTGCATTTGTCTAACACCATTTTCGATGGGTTTAAAAATGGGAGGCTCAGGATATTTGCAGGGAAGAATCAGTAGGAAGGTTGGCTATATTCTACCTCCACAATGGCTATGTTGGAGACAGTATGCTGGGAAGCACAAGTGAGGGGAATGTTGTTCCATTCAAGTCCTTCATACAGGCTTCCCATAGGCATCTGATTGGCCACTGTGAGAGCAGGATGCTGTTCCAGCAGCACTCTTCTTAGGATTAAGTGCCGTTTCCTACTGTCGCTGAATCCCACCTATGATTGCACACTTCTCCAAGCCATTGTTCTTTCCCTGTTATCTCTGCCTTTCTCAAGATAATTGCCTTAAAGTGCTGGAGTAGAGATGTAGAGGAAGGATACTTCCAACCATGCATTTGTATGCATAACTGCTTTGGAAGGCAACCTTCCCAGGGCCACATGCCCCTGGTGGGGAGGGCCAGTGGCAAAAGTGGGTGGAGCCATGAATATTAATATTCCCTCTGCAGAGTAGGCTGGTGCCTACACATCTGAGTTCAAATCCTCTATGCTCTTGGCCACAAGATGTGGTGATTATGGTCCTACGGGGAGACTCCATTCTCAAAGTCATGACATCTTCCCAGGTTTTCTAGGCCAGGCACCATAACAATGTTAAACAACTTTAAAACTGACTTCATTGTTGGGTGTAGGCACAGTACCTGCTCCCCTTTCTGGAGTGCTGTAAAGCCGAGTCTAGAATCCATGTCTTTTGGTTCTCTGTCTAGTCTCCCCGACTTTGAGCCAGACAGTCGGAAAGAAAGAGTAAAGCTCTTCCCCAGAGCATACGAAGAACGGAAGAATAAAAGCGGGGGAATCTATGCTTACTTTGTTTTACTTTTCGAAGGCACCCTCTCCCTCAAGCAGCCCCATTTAATATTCATTCATTGGGTATTTGCACCATTTAATTTTAAATGCAGATAATGTAGAAGAGAGAAGCCAAGGGCAACCCAGCAGGGCCATTGAGGGGGGGCGGGAATCAACCACTCCCTTGCCTTCTGCTCAGAGCACCTTCCCTTGCAGTCCCCTTTTCCCTCTTGGCTGCTGCAGTTTAATTACAATTCAAATAGCTTGCAGAAAGCAAAGCAATACATTTGATGAAAACAAAGAACCTTGCTATGCGCGCGCACACACACTCTCCTCCTGGAATTTCAGAGTAAAAGGAGTCAATTACTGGAGCACTGTTTAAAGCCAGCAAGACAGGAAATGATGGCCTCCCAGCTTCTCACCAGGTTTTGATTTTGCTTGCTACGTAGTGGAAAGTGACAAAGGAGGAAATGAGAGGAGGGACTTGTGAGGAATGGTACACTTCTGCTTCATGGGCAGTATCCATCAATGTGAAGAGCTGTGCTTGTGCAATGGAACTCCACCCTTCTGTCTCTCAGCCAGCCCTAGACCTGACTTTTGCATAGCTGGAATGTAGCTCACTAAGAATATGAAGCGTCCCATCCATTGCTATAACCACTACTGTTGGTTTGAGGGGGAAACCCTTGGGTTGTGTCCTACTAAGTTTTACGCCGAGAAGACCCACTGAAATTAATGGAACTAAGATAGTAATGTCCATTAATTTCAGTAGATCTCCTCTGAGCAGGGCTAGCACTGGGTACATCCCCCTGGTATTAGGCTAGCTGCAGACTATCAGTGTTTTGTGAGAAGAATTGAAGCAGCTACCAGAAATTAAAAGTGGATTGCAGCACTCTGTTACCCTAGTTCAGCAAATTCCAGTTATTTTTTCCCTACACTATTTTGTTAGGAAACTGAAGGGGAAATGCACTGAAAAGGACGGGGGCAAATGAGCGAATATATTTTGGAAAGGCATATAACCCGCTGTGCAAGCAAAACTAGATGAATACCCATCATCCTGTATCCTCCCCACAAACAACCTAGAATGACTGTTCAACGAAGAGTGGATGTAGTCTAACTTCCACATACCGGTATATTTTGTGCAAGCAAACCATGACTCTATCAACAGGACATCTGAAGAATGCCCAAGATAATTCCTGGGTTTTGTTTGTTTGTTTGTTTTCCCCTTCTGCATTTAATCTGCAGCTATTGTCCCCATCAGTTCGGATCACCCATCTGGCTGTTTGTGGGAGAATCCTCTCCCTGGATGGAAATAAAATACATCTTGGCATATGAGAAGAAAATGATTCTCTTCTGCTTTCCACCTGCCCTGATAAGGGGAGGAGGGGACAGACAGAGAGAGAAGCCTAGATTCCTGTCAATTGTGCAGAGGCGATGTTATCAGGCACCGGGCCCTCACCAATGTAATAATAAGGATAAATGACCGATTGCCTGGAACGGAAGATACAGCACAAACCAATTTGCTGCAGCTAATCTTGTCAAGCAGTCCCTCTATCCAGAATCCTTCTTTCCCTGTTTTTAATCCCAAGAACCAGACAATGGTGTTAACAAAAGGAACTGTGATTGTACCACCAAGCAAACCAGATTAGTGCCTGGGGCTGGGGGCTGCTTTGGTAGCACAGGAGGAAGACTCCAACAGGCAGAAATGATGTTCACTTATAGTGTAGGATTTAGCAGGGAGGAGGGCAGGGACAAAACTGCAGTTAGTTAGCTCTGCCTATCACGGGCTCCGACTCTGGCTGCATCTACTGTTGGTATCCCTCCCTTCCGCTCCTACCAGTTCCAATAGCCACCTGCCACTAATGTTCATTTCTCTGCCCTAAGCTTTATTTTAAGCTACCTCTATGTCCAGCAGCTTGGATATTTCCATCAAGCTTGAGAATTATAGAACTGTAGAGTTGGAAGGGTCCCTGAGAACCGCCTATCCTGGTACGCCCCACGGAGGACCTTAAGGTGCATAAATAACAACACCCTAGAGGTCCCGGGCCCTAAGGAAGTCAGATTAGCCTCAACCAGAGCCAGGGCCTTTTCAACACTGGCTCCAGCCTGGTGGAACGCTCTGTCTCATGAGACCAGGGCCCTGCAGGATCTGATTTCTTTCCACAGGGCCTGTAAGACAGAGTTGTTCTGCCTGGCCTTTGGCTTGGAATCAACTTGATCCCCTCCCCCTCTTTCTTTTTTCCTTTCTCCTTCTGTGATGGAACTCCTATTTGGGGACTTCCCTGGCTTTTTTCTGGCCCATGTATGACCAGTCTGGATAGTTGGCCTTGGTGAAGACTTGACGTTTTTATCCCCCAAAAAGTTTTTGATTTGAGTTTCCACTGAAAGGAGGCTGCTTTTTAATGTTTTAATGTTGCATTTTAATCTTGTTTTTTAAGTTTTATTTTGATCAATTGTTTTATATCGGATGTTAGCCGCCCTGAGCCTGGTCTTGGCTGGGGAGGGCAGGGTATAAATTATTATTGTTATTATTATTATTATTATTATTATTATTATTAATACAATGAAGAAATATGCAGCTGTCCCATACGGGGATTGAACCTGCAACCTTGGCGTTATCAGCACTCCAGCTGAGCTATCCATGCTTCAGTCTCAGGTTTTTGGAGATTCTCTTTCTGCTGCAGTCGCATTACTCAGCCCATGTCCCCAGATGCATGATTGTCTCCTTATGTTACCAAAGTTGGCAATGGGGAAGTAGTTAATTTGTAAACCTTGCTTCACAACCCCTTGCTGGCGCTACCCCTTATATCTCAAGCATCGAGATCCCGGGATCCCCATTCTCCTAACAATTCTCAGCATGCTTAACAAACTACAGTTCCCAGGATTCTTTGAAGGAAGCCATGGCTGTTCAAGTGCTATCATAGTGCTTTAAATAGATTGTGCCAATGTGGCATATTTTTTTTCTGTATGACAACAACTAAAGAAAAGGAATGTCCTTCCTCAAGATGCTAGCAGTTGTTTCATAGGAAAACATGTTTTTCAGTCAGGTGCCCATTCTCCCTGGAACTTTCTAGCCTCGCTTTGGTTCCAGAAAAAGTCCCTGAAACCAGAAACCTGCCTTTCATTTTGTTTGAGCCTCTGGGGCTGCACAAATAAATTGGCACCGAAGCTGTCATGGAAGACTTAAAAGACACACAATAGCTAGACAATAACTTTTCCTCTCTCTGCCTCTTAAACAAGACTGAGCAGGGAACTTTTGTTCCCACCCAAATCGTACTAAGAACAGTGCCACCTTGTGGCTGAGCTGTATTATGACACTATCCACACAGCAGCTCGAAAAACAGTTGCAGCCGATACGGCCATCATTTATATCCATAGCAACACTGCCCAAATACTCAGCACAGAATTGGCAAGTGAGGGGAGTGGCATCCTTTGCTAACCAACACTGCCTACTGAGGAATCAGACTCCAGTCCTGAATTGCAAAATGTCTATTACCTCACTGGGCTGTTCATTTTCTCAGAAATCATTCTTATGTCATATTCTGTTATCATGGTGATAAGCCTCACAGATGCTGAACTCCTGGGGCGATATAATCATCCCAAATCCATTTGTTTTGGTGCTATTTAAAATCTACTTTGTTAGCAGGGTGTGGGTGGAATTGAATCCCTTCCTTTTGATTATGAAAATGCTCACCACATCACTGAAATTGCTGTGGCTTGGCATGGAGAGTGCTGCTCTTTCACTCTTTATCGAGCCCCTGACAGCACATCCCAAAGATGGTCTGATTCTTTAGGACTGGTGAATTGCATGAGGTTTTATCACTGCATAAAATACAGACATCAGAAACAAGGGTGCAGTCCAGGATGGAATCAGTGAAGGCCAAAGGCGGCATTTCCCCACCAACCTCACCAGTCTACCTTCTTTCTGACAACAAGACCAGGCCTACCAGCTTCCTCCTCTTTAGCCTTAGCATCACCTCTTGTAGAACTCAGCAGGGAGGAGGAGAGGGACAAAGCAAGAATTAGCTGGCTCTTCTTTTCATTAGCTCTGGCGCCACCTACTGTTGGTCCTCCTGCCTTCTGCCCTTACAGTCCCAATGAGCAACAGTCACCACTGTCAGGAATACAACTCAGGTTTGCAGCTTTGTTTAGCAAGGAAGGTTCTCACCCTGATTCTGGAAGGAAAGCAGGGATTCAGATTGAGCCATTTTCCTACTGTTGCCAGCACTCTTAGCCCTCAAGTGTGTGACATAATAAATAGAGAGTGGGAACACCTCCAACTGCATGCAGAAGGCCTTCCCCCACTTCATTTCATATACCACAGCAGCCCCCCGACATTTAAGATTAAGGGGCAGGACCTAAACATTTAAGCAGCAAGGAGAGTGTGCCACACACACTCATGCCAGCTTCCCTTTTCACTCCATTCTTGCTCTGTGACCAGCGCTCCTCATTATGAATGAGGCACACAACACAAATGTTTACCTTGGTAATTCCCTGCTGCACCAGTCCTTCAAGTGTATTAGGCATGCAGGGATGTTAGGCTGTCAGCCAGGTCTGTTTCCCACTCAGTTTAGCATGAAACAATTGTGTAGAACATTAGATTGAAGAAAGTGGGGGCGGATAGAGAGACATGATACGGTGTGCACAGCCCCCCTTGTTTCATTCCTCATACCAGCAAGCAAACCGCCTTTGCCCTCCCAAATACAGCACACACACACACAGTTTGGGTTGGTAGCACATTGTTTTCCGTTCCTTGCTCACAGCCACTCATGCAAATGCAAATCTATTTTAATGAAGGGGGCTAATAGACAGCAATTATGTCTCCAGCTATTTTGTTGTTCCCCTGAAATGATTTCCTTCCTGGATTTCCCCCTTCCTTCCTTCAGAGATAGCTCCCAGCCGATTCGCTCCTGGGATGAGAGAAGCTGAGGTTTCAGTGCACAAATGCTCCAACAATTAGTTTCTCCATCAGAGGCAACCTATACTCCCTCCACGTGCATTCACACATGCGCCAAGAGTTACTGGGGGCACATAATTGCACTCAGGTTGCCTGACTGGTGGTTTTTTTCTCATCTCATTTGTTCCGCAGAGTTCCTTCAGGTGAATTACTGCCAGCTATGTTTCCTTGGACCCCTCAGCATGCTGCTTTTCATTCATTTAATTTGCTTGCAGCCCGCCTTTCCTCCAATGAGCTCTCAGCAGTGTACATGGTTCTCCAACACCTATTTATCCTCACCACAACCCTGTGAGGTAGGCTAAGCTGGCAGATAGTGACTGGCTTCATGAGAGCTTCAGGGCCAGGTGGAGATTTGAACCTGGGGCACACACACACCCCAGTCCTAGTCCAGCACTCTAACCTCTGCCCCACACTGGCTGTCCGCAGAGGAACAGAGCGGAAGGGTTTGTATGGCAGAAGCACTGGTGGGAGAGGAGAATGTGTGCATGCAAAGATTGCACTGGAGTAGGAACACACTTGTTTCATTTGTCCTATCCCTTTAAGCCAAGAATGCGGCCCTTGCAGCCCTCCAGGTGATGCTGAACTAAGCCTGTGCAGCCAATGGTCAGGGGCAATAGAAGGGATGCAGTACAACAAAATCTGGAGATCCACAGCTTCCCCACTGCTTCTATAAGCCACATATTTTCAACTACCAAAATTGAAGGCACCCGGTTCTCCTTACTCTGTTTGCTCTTTGCTCCCCTTAACAGGGAGGGGCCTGCATCTCAGTGGCAGAGTTTGTACACAGGAAGATCCCAGGTTCCACATCTGACATCTCCAGAAATGGTCATTAGGACTCCCATCTGAAACCCTGGAGAGCCTTTTCACCTAGATTAAATATGGAGATGCTCAGGGGGGGTCATATGCAGGTCTCCAAACCTTCCAACATCCCACAGGCTGCACCACTCGCCTGCCCTGCTCCAAGCCCTCCTTAAATCACTCTGCTGGCTAGAATGTGTCCTTGAACTCTGAGAAGACCTCTTGCTTGCCTAGGTGGAGGACACAGGAGGGAGTGGGAGTGTGTGCAGAACCTAGCCTACTGTATAAAGGTGAAATTCACATTTGTTGCTCCACCCACTTTTGCCTCTGGCCCCGCCCACCACCAGCACATGGTCCCCAGGAATTTGCCCAGAAGGGAAGGTGGCTCTCAGGTTGAAAATGGTCTTCCCCCCAAAATCTGGATAATGCTGTCTCAAGGGGCCAAGGGTCTGATTCGCATCCTTCTTTGATTCCTAATCCCTTTTCTGTTCTCAGACACTCTCTAGAACATTATTTTTTTTACATATCAGCCAGATGAAAATCCTGCAACTTTCTCCTTTTTAACCTAGTGGTAGGGGCATGACAAAACATGGGCAAAACTTGTGCTGTTGCCACCCCCATCCCCACAGAAATCTCTCTCCGTGGTCATTTTTATACCAAAAAATGGGGACATAGAATCAGCATTGTAGAGTTAGAAGGAAACCCAAGGGTCATCTAGTTTAACCTCCTGCAGTGCTAAAGATGTTGAGGTTTGTGAGAAACTGCAGCTTTGAAGTGGACAATTAGTGAGTTGGCAAGATGCCAAGTAAAGCTAGGGTACGTGAGAAAGTCTGCTTGGAGATAGTGAAGCCTAGCAACAGGTGGCGATTGGCTAAAAGTTTTCCCTTATAAGCAGCATGACACAGTAGTTTGGAGTTGGAGTGTAGAGTTTGAATCGAGTCTGTGTATATAGTAACTTGTACAAAAGCTGTGCTATACTCTGCATATAATAAAAGCAAATACAAATCAAGTTACTGTTCAGCAACGTATGTTCCTGAGTCGTCATCCTGGACTACACAGACTAAGCAGCCGGTAGCAGAGAGTTTTGGCTGAGATCCATCAACGAAAGAATCCCGAACAAATAGCCAGGCAGCTTCTGTTTAAAAGCCTTCAGTAGAACCCACCAGCTTTCCACTGTCAAACAGCTCTTGCTACCAGAAAATTCTAATGTTTAGTCAGAATCTCGTTTCCTGTAATTTGAATATAGTGGTTTGCGTCCTTCCTTCCGGAACAGCAGAAAACAAGCATTCCCCCTTTGTAGGGGGTTGGACTAGATAAGCCTTGGGATCCCTCCCAACTCTGCAATTCTAAGCTTGTGACAGACTTTCAGATATTTGAAGGTGGCTATCGTATGACCTCTCAGGGATTGTTCATGCTTCCGCTTGTGGCATGCCTACAAAGCACGAGTCCAGGTGGTCAAAATAACTTGAATTGCTGTTTGCCCCAACTGAGCACTAAAGAGCAGTTTTCTCCAGTGGAAAGCAGTGGCACAAGAGGAAGTGGGGATAATCCCTCAGTCTTCTCTTCTCCAGGCTAAACTCCCTCCACTGTTCTCATAAGGCTTGGTTGCCAGACCCTTGATCAGGCATAGGCAAACTCGGCCCTCTAAATGTTTTCGGACTACAACTCCCATGACCCATAGCTAACAAGACCAGTCGTCAGGGATGATGGGAATTGTAGTCCCAAAACATATGGAGGGCCGAGTTTGCCTATGCCTGCTCTTGATCATCTTGGTCACCCTCTTCCTCACACATTCCAGCTTGTCAGTATCCTTAAACTGGACAGAGTGCTCCAGGGCAGGGGAGTCTGATCAAGGCAGAATAGTGTAGTCCTTTTCCTTCCCTGGACATGCTTTTATAAAGGGGTTGGTGAGGTGGTCTTAGTTCTTTCCCTGTTTCCCACTTTTGGATGACTCCCCTCCCCCCCTACCCCTTCCTTCTCCTCTTGCAACAACAGCTTCCCAGTCTCCAAGGTAACGTCCCTTGCAGCTTGGGATGAGAGATAAATTTGATTCAGTTCACATTTAAGGCCTAACTAATCAAATTCCCACTTTCCAAAACAATAGAACTGAATCCCCAGCCGGCCTTCAAAATTTGCACTGGTCCGAATTTTGCGGTGCAGTTCACTGCAACCAAACAAAATTCATAGATCTGGGAAAGTTAGCAGGGGAAAGTGAGCATGCCAAGGGAAGATACCAGTGAAACTGACATACAAAATTGCATCGTATTAGGAGAAATTGCTAGCAAATAATGGATTGTATACAAAAATGTACTTATAAGAAGAAATTTGCACTAAAATGTTGAAGAATTTTATGGGGATTAAAAAATAATAACAATCACAAATTGCTCACAAATGTGAAGAACCAAATTTACTATTAGAAGAAGGAGAAACTGGGAGAACCAAAAGGGACAGATTCATTCATCCCTTCTTGCAACACGCCCAGGCAGGCTAGCCCTTTTCCAGTGAGTGGGCTGGATTGGCAGTATACAGTGGTACCTTGGGTTACATACGCTTCAGGTTACAAACTCCGCTAACCCAGAAATAGTACCTTGGGTTAAGAACTTTGCTTCAGGGTGATAACAGAAATTGTGCTTCGGCGGCGCGGCAGCAGCGGGAGGCCCCATTAGCTAAAGTGGCGCTTCAGGTTAAGAACAGTTTCAGGTTAAGAACGGACCTCCGGAATGAATTAAGTACTTAACCCGAGGTACCACTGTACTGGAAAACCACATCAACTGCAAATGCAACATGCCAGGTGGGTGGGTGTGATATTTGAAACTTCAGGAAATTTACATCAGAAAACTTGTGTGGAAGTTGCATTCCTGGGGCTGAAAATCTTTTTTTTTTCCCCCTCCCCTGGGAGCAGAAAACATGCAACTGATTGCTAAACTAAAATTCTGTGGTTGGATGTTAGAGGAAGGAGAAATATCCTGAGGAGTAGTGTTGATCCTTTAATGAGATTAATTAGTCATAGAAATATTAACACAGCCACATGGCATTTATCAGAGATAAATCTGCAAAGAAGCCGAATAGCACACACAAAAATCAAAAGACGCTGGATCAGAACTGGGTTGGGGAAGCGGTAATCTTTTGCAGTCTTTTTAGCCTGAGCTGCAGCTTGGGTGGAAGGACCCACTTGCATTGTGCAGGAGCACCCTCTTCTGGCTCCCAGCAAATCACCTGCCAATTTGAATCATAGAATCATAGAGTTGGAAGAGACCACAAGGGCCATCGAGTCCAACCCCCTGCCAAGCAGGAAACACCATCAGAGCACTCCTGACATATGGTTGTCAAGCCTCTGCTTAAAGACCTCCAAAGAAGGAGACTCCACCACACTCCTTGGCAGCAAATTCCACTGTCAAACAGCTCTTACTGTCAGGAAGTTCTTCCTAATGTTTAGGTGGAATCTTCTTTCTTGTAGTTTGGATCCATTGCTCCGTGTCCGCTTCTCCGGAGCAGAGAAAACAACCTTTCTCCCTCCTCTTTGTGACATCCTTTTATATATTTGAACATGGCTATCATATCACCCCTTAACCTCCTCTTCTCCAGGCTAAACATGCCCAGCTCCCTTAGCCGTTCCTCATATGGCATCGTTTCCAGGCCTTTGACCATTTTGGTTGCCCTCCTCTGGACACGTTCCAGTTTGTCAGTGTCCTTCTTGAACTGTGGTGCCCAGAACTGGACACAGTACTCCAGGTTACGCTTTGAAGGAAGAAGGGGAAGATTCTTAGGCTGCGTACACACCATACATTTAAAGCACATGACTTCTCCCAATAATTGTTGGAACTCTCATTTGTTAAGTGTGCTGGGAATTGTAGCTCTGTGAGCGGTAAACTACAATTCCCATGGTTTTGGGGGGGTTTTTTTAAAGAGAAGCCTTATGCTTTAAATGTATCGTTTGTATGCAGCCTTATAGACCCCTTCCTGGGATCTTGTGCAGCCCGAGGCAAACAAAATCCAAAAGGCACTTGTCCAAGGGAAATAATAAGAACGAGAAGAAGAATCAATTTGTTGTCCCGGGTGGCGCTGTGGGTTAAACCACAGAGCCTAGGACTTGCCGATCAGAAGGTCGGCGGTTCAAATCCCCGTGACGGGGTGAGCTCCCATTGCTCGGTCCCTGCTCCTGCCAACCTAGCAGTTCAAAAGCACATCAAAAGTGCAAGTAGATAAATAGGTACCACTCCGGCGGGAAGGTAAACGGTGTTTCCATGTGCTGCTCTGGTTTGCCAGAAGTAGCTTAGTCATGCTGGCCACATGACCCGGAAGCTGTCTGCGGACAAACGCTGGCTCCCTCGGCCTATAGAGTGAGATGAGCGCACAACCCCAGAGTCGGCCACGACTGGACCTAATGGTCAGGGGTACCTTTACCTAGTAGAATCCAAATTTATTTGCAAGAGACAGCCAGCTCAGTTTAGCTCAGCAAGGGCCAGCCCTGCAATCTCACCCTCTATAGCTCTCTCTACCCACTATAGCCTATAGCTCTCATCAGGAAGGAGTTCTGTGCTGCTCTCAGTTGCATGGTCTATGCCTCCGTGGTAGAGCATCTGCTTCGCAAGCAGGATGTCCCATGTTCAATCTCTGACATCTCCAGGTAGAACTGGGAGAGTCCCCTGCTACAAAACCCTGGAAAGCTGCTGCCAGTCAGTGTAGGCAAGACTAAGAAAGATGGAACAATGGTCTGACTCAGAAGAAGGCCCATGTTCCTGTCTGTATGGGATTGTGAGCTCTATCCTGTGTATGCGAGGGGCAGGTGGAGGAATGCAACACTATGTCACTCCCCGTTTTCCTCTGCTTCTGCCCTTTCCACAGGACCACCTATAATCTCCAGCACCCAGACGCAGCACGCTCTTCACGGGGAGAAAGGCCAGATCAAATGCTTCATCCGCAGCACGCCCCCACCAGACCGAATTGTAAGTAGGCACCTCCCTGAGCATCGTAAATAGCAGCCAGAGCCCAAGGGAAATGAATCATTCATTTATATTCCGCCCTTCAAAAGAAATTGTTTAGGACAGCTTATGTTGCATTATATTAAAACAGCACAATCAAAGCACAAATCAAAGGGCATGTGCTGGACAGCAACTCCCATCAGCCTCGGCCAGCAAAGCCAATGGTCAGGAATGGTGGGAGATGGTGTTCAACAGCCCCTAGAGGGTGCCATGTTGCAGAAGGTCGCTCTTCAGCCAGGAAGGTTCCAACAATGGACTTCCTGCATTTGTGAGCTCCATCCAGCAGAAAATTATAAGGTAAGGGATAATGTGGAAGGCATCTTCCACTTCTTGGAGGATTGTTTGGCACCTTGGGGAACTGAAACCCAAACCGTCTACGTTGCTTTTTTTTGGTTTTTGCTGGTACAACTTCATGAGGATGAATGGCGCTCTAGAACAAGGGTAGCCAAGGTCTCGTGGAACTGCAGGTTCCATCTTCCTTGACCATTGGCCATGCTGGGTGAGGCTGATGGGAACTGTAGTTCAACAACATCCGAAGGCACAGGAGGCCACCTTCTTGCAGACGCTACACAGGTCTGGGTCTGGGCAGCGCCTGCCTGCGTGACCACCTGAGCACTCTATGTATGCTGCCTTGGGTTCCATGGTGGAAGTCAGAGTATAAATGTATGAAAACAAGTAAACAAATAAATAAAACAGCAGATAAAACCAGCATAAAAAGCAATGCATATTTACAAGCATATGCTTCCCTTTTTTTTGCTGCAGTAAGGATTTCTTCTGATTTGCCTATTTTTTTAAAAGGGAGGGGAGATAACTTAGGTTAATTTCTAATAATTTATTTCTAATAACTGTCTGTGTTACTAATTATGTTTTTGTTAAATTCTCATATTACTCATTTGTGTTTTTAATGATTTTCTAATACTCTTCAGGCTACCAGTATTCTGTGTTCTCACTCTCAGCTTTATATCTTACCATGTACTGCTGTATCTTAGGGAGGGGGGAATTATTTTTTTTAATTTTTGTTATTTTCCAATGGTTACTATCCAAGGTGGCTATATTCTTCACTGCTGGAGGCAGTATGCCTTCAAATACCAGTTGGTGGGAATCACAAGTGAGGCAAGTTCTGCTGAACTCAGGATCTGCTCGCAGCCTTCTCATGGGCAACTGGATGGCCACTGCAAGAGCAGAGTGCCAGACTGAATAAGCCTTTGGCCTGATCCAGCAGATAATAAATAAATAAAATCACTGCAGATTCAGGGCTATTTTTTTTCCTCAGCCTTGGAATGTGTGTGTGTTTGTGTGTACAAGAAAAATAACCTGGTAGGCAGTAGACAGGTCTATAGCTGAGGAGCCACCACTGAGAAGGCTCCTTCCCCAGATCACCACTTAGCACACCTCCCTCAGTGGGGCAACCAGGAAAGAGTCTTCATCTCTCACCTTTGCGTATGAACATACTGATTCGGATAAGTAAAAACTGCTCACAGAGCATGCCAGAACCCACCCCTAAATCACTTTTGCATATCAGATTTCTATGTTCCTATTCGTTAGTAAAAGGCAAAAACTTGATAAATAATTTCTAGCACGAGAGAACATTACCGAGGGTGGCTAATCCCCGCTTGCTTTGATGCGCAGGCCTGGTCCTGGAAGGAGAACGTCCTGGAGTCAGGTACCTCAGGGCGTTACACGGTAGAGACCGTCAGCACGGATGAAGGCGTAATCTCCACATTAACCATCAGCAACATCGTGCGGGCTGACTTCCAGACCATTTACAACTGCACTGCCTGGAACAGTTTTGGTTCAGACACCGAGATCATACGCCTGAAAGAACAAGGTGGGAACTGCTATCACGGCATTCATGTTTGGAAGGGAAAGAGCCGCTTGCTGAAATGGAGAGAAGGGGTTGGAAGGTGTGTAAATGTCAAATAGGATGTAAGACCAGTGTGGCTTGGACTTATAGCTGGGTAAGGATAAGGAACCACATGATGTGGTCCTCTCTTGCGATCTTGACCTTCAGACATTACAGGAGTGGCACAGGAAGCAGGTATGAAAGCAACTCCAGTGCAGCTGAGATCTATCAGGCAGAGGCCTTAGAAAGAGACAGCAAAGAATGGTAAGGAGGGTATGAGTGCTCACGTCAAGCAGTGAGGCACTTTGTTGAAGAGCAGCAACATGAGAAACCTTCTGTGATCCTCGCACCATTTGAAAATGTTGCACAACTCTAAGTGGTGTTAACCTCAATCCAAGTTTATTTCTGCTGCTTCCTTTCTGAAGCAAAGGTACCAGTCTTAGAAACTTAACCAGGATTAGCTTAATTTCGAATTCCCTGCTGCATTGGCTTGTCCCTAAACCCTGCAGTTTGTGGTTAGCACCTCCACAACACTGAAACAATCACTTCCTGAGTATGTGCATTGGGGTTTTTTTCCAGACAAGCCACCCTTTCTTTGATTGAAAAGAAATTACCTGGGCTTTGAAGCTGCTAATTTGTGGTCTGCAGTGGGTACACCTTCAATTGAGGATAGTCTAGGGTCAATAACATGGTGCCTTCCAGATGTTGTTGGACTACAACCTCCATCACCCTTGACTATGCTATATGAGGCTTTATGGGAGTTTGGATCCAATAACATCTGGAAGGCACCATGTTGGCTCCCCATGCAATAGCTTGTTCTGACTGGCAGCAACACAAGCAATCACAACTAGGCAGAGCTCTTCCACTTCTAATTATATATGCAGACACAAGACTGCGTTACAGATAACCTGCTGCCAGTTCTCCAAACCAAGGAACAAGTGGCAGATCTGAGCACTCCCTGCCTCCCTCACTTGGCTTGGTAGAGCATTTCCTCAAACTGTACCTGCCAAACTGTGGTTTGTGCAATCCCATTCAAACAAAGTTTGCACAGATCACGCAAGCCACAGTTTGCTGGTAAGGACAACATGGCAAACTAAGGTTTGAGGAAACGAGGAAGTGTTTTGGAGAAAAGAGAGGAAGGAGCACTCATTACAGTCTCTCATTCTCAACCACAATCATCTGGAGGATCAGGAATGCGATATCTGAATGAGGGAGCAGGTGAAGGAAGGAAATGCATGGCGTGCAGCAACCACTGCACTTTGTGCAATTTGTGAACAAGTAGACTATCTTCACCTCTCAGCTGCTATCGTCTATTACTCCTTTTTTTTAATACTTTCTCCCAAATTCAGCAGTAGCACTGGGGGAAAGGGGAAGAACCATTCCCCCTTCAGCCTTGAAAGGTTATTTTGGTTGGAAGTAAACAAGCCTTTAAAGTATTTCATCCAGCCTAATGTCTCCTGTTGCAAAAAATGAAAAGAAAAAAGTAAACCCAAACCATGTTAATTCCTCTGTCCTTTGGCACATTACACAGTTACAGTCCAAGCTCAGATCTGTAACCAGTGTCTGGGAAGGGACGGCTGCAAGGTTTAATGCTGTCATGCAAGAAAAATGGAGCAGAGTGGGAGGAACTAGTTCAGCAGAAGCCAAATGAAGAGTAAAATGACTAAGAAGTTCCAAGTTGCTGCCATTGCATCCCACTGTTTTGTGCTGTCATGAGCATGTCATAGCGATGGGATGTCACTCTTAGCATAGCTGCTTTAATGAGTACCCTGCTTAGCTGTTTATTAAAGCGTTAAGCTGAGTCGCCCAACAGTAAGTTTAACCACTGAAAAAGAGAGGACCTCCCTCTTAACAGGGGCAGAAATTGTTTCACATAGAAGGGCTTCAGGGCTTTGGGGTTATGATTTAGGGCTGAACGTATTTCAGCTTTGCTTTTTGGCTTGAAAATAGTTGTTTGGGACATACCTTATCCTGTCTTTTTCATGAATGTTCACTACTATTTGCAGTCACTTTCTCCCACTTTGCTGCTGCTTTCGTGGCCATTCCCTCCCTGCATTTCATCCCCCTCTCAAGTGATCCCAAGCAATCAGGGATCATGTACTGGATGTGATAACATCACGACCCTGTATAGCCAATCAGACTTTGGTTGATGTCCCTAGGGGCAAATGAAGCCTATTTAGTGTGAGAGTAACCAACATTTCCCCAAAGCACGGTCCCTTTGACTAAAACCCTGGTTATGTTCCCCTCCTCAAGAGGGCGTAGAGGCTGGAAGAGTCCCAGAGGGAAAGCTGGACCTTCATCTGGAGGCCCTCGAGTTACATCCTTCTGCGTTAAATGCTAGGGCAGACTGGTAGATTGCTCTCATCAAGCTCTGATTTATAGGCAAGGCTGCCATCCAAATTAAATTGGAACTAAATGAACTTCTTAAAATTAGCCTTGGGTTCTATCCAGGGCAGATCAACTCCCTGGTTTGTTTTCCTGCCTCCTGCCTAAGCACAGAAATGTGTCTGGGTTAGCAGATGTTTCTGTGTTGTGGAGGGAGTGGCTCCCGCCAAGCAGCTCTACACGGGGTTCTCGGCCGATCACAATGCAGAAAAGCACAATTAAAGACCGTTTGACTCAGGGTCATTGTTCCAGGTGCCTCATAAAGAAAAGGGTGACTGCCAAGTGCCCGCCAGCAGAGTAGGGCTCTCCATTGCAGAGGAGCTCTGCTGGAAAAGGGGGGAAATTAATCCTGGGATGAAAACCTGCAAGTGCTGCATCACTGACAATTAACACAATATCAACATTGATTTTTAAGGACAGAACCGATAAGAGAGTAGACAAGAGACCTTATCAACTGCCTCTCTAATAGTCAATCCAATCATCCAGATAAAAGCATATGGTACAGACCAGCCAGGACTGTACCTTTTGAGAATGCAAGAGGGGCAATGCATGTTTAGATATGCCCCTGTGTTTAAAAAGCATGACTGAAGGCAGAAGGCAAGTGAGTCAGGGAGAAGGCTGGGTTAAAAACACTTCCCCCTGATATGCTAACATTCCATGTGCAGGGAGTCCTTTGTTTGTTTTCAACATGGGGCTCTGAAGAGGGGCAATCCTAGGTGCCAGACTACGCTGCCAAGTCCCCACAGTGATTTCCACCAAAGGACATATATGAAACTCTCTTGGCTAGAAACTTGCCCGGCCTCCAGTGGCTACATTGCAATGGAGAACTTTAAATACCCCTGAGCAGCTGCCCTTGGAATTGGTGGGTGAGGAACTCCCATATACATCGTATGATTTAAAAAGAAGAAACTGGCAAAAGTTTTAAATAGAAATAACTGCACAGTTGGGATTTGGCAAGGCTGTAGACACTTGCTTTATTTTCAAACAGGTACGGAAATGAAATCAGGAGCTGGTATGGAAGCAGGTATGGAATCATGAGTGAAGGTGACTATATGACTGGCCCCGGAGCTATGTTCTATAACCACCACCACCCCAACCAAACAATGAAGCTGTATCCATCTAGGTTATCCCTCCCCTGAAAAGGAGGCTTGTGGGAGGTAAAACGACTCATTAGGAAGGGAGAATGATTTGAGTGAAACACCATCTTGGTTTTCAAATTCCATTGAAATGGCTTTTTGGTGCCTTCCGAGCTCAGGTCTTCCTATTTTTCTAAACGGGATCGTGATAAAATTAACACTCTTGCTGCTTTGATGGAGGGGGAAATGGCAACACATTAGGAAGAGAAAGTATCCATAGATCTAAAGCTGGAAAATGCCCATGTCTTTGCTAATCCAGCTGTGTAGCAATCTGACATATATTTGCCCATGACCCCTAAACCCTTTCATGCTGGTGCCCTAAAATTGCCGGTTGCACTCTAGAACTGGATTTCAGTCCTATGTTCAGCAACCAGTAGCAAAGTCAAATTCCTGGTATAGCCTATTCCTTATCCCACAATGAATAAATTAGCAATGGTCATCTTAGAAAAAGACACTAATTGTTGTGGTCCAGGGAAAGGTTTTGGGAGCCCATCAATCTTAGAAGCAGTTTATTGCTGACTCCATTCCAAATCCATCCAGTCTCTAAGTGCCTCCCACAAGGCCTTGATTGGACACCCAAGGGAAATGAAGGTGGCCATGTTCTTTAGTCAGTTCCATTGCATGGTTTATTTGGCTAACTTAAGCTTCTCATTTCCCAGAATTTCAGTATATGCGGCAATTATCTCCATCTGGCTGACCCTACCGCACTGTACACAGCACACTCTGGACATTTGGGTTGCATCCAGCTAAGTTCTGCTCAGAGTAGACCCACTGAAATGAATGAACCTAAGTTTGTTTTGTCTATTAACTTCAGTGGGCCTACTCTGAGTAGGCCTAGCATTGGTCACAAACCATTGTCTCTATCATGCACCATCTTTCTTTATGGCTCTTATTTCCATTCACATTTGTCAACCTAGGACTCAACCCTGTCACCATCAGCATCTTCTCACTTGCCTCTGGATCTCTCTGTGTGTTCCTCTGATGTTTTGGAGCTAGCAGCATGTTGCCCATGCCAACTCATCCCTGGTCAGTAGGCCTTCCTTGCTTCTTTAGAATGGACAAGGAATTGCAAAGGGTTTGTCAAAGGGTTGTATCCAACCAAATCCTACTTAGAGTAGATCCACTGAGATAAATGAACCTTAGCTAGCTATCCCTGTACTGTTGGTCTACTCTGAGTAGAACTACCATTGGATGCAACCCAATACCTTTTCAACATGGTGAACTTTCACCCTCAGCTTTGCCTTGAATTAAATATTTGCATCCAGGTGGGTGCAGCCTTCTTTCAGGCCCCCTCCAGTGCCATTTGCACCCTACTTTGTCCCTCCCCAATATAGACCAGCCCACTGATATCTGTGTATTGCTGATGAACAACTTCATTGCAGTGATCTTCTGAGACCCATGAACTGCCCCATGTCCACCTGGGAACACCCATTGTTGTGCACTCTTGTCTATCTATCTGTTCCCAAAATAAAAGATGAGGGCCAATGCTATAAATGTGTGAAAGGCAAAATCTTAATTGCTCAGGTTCTTTAAGCAAATCTCTGGCTTGTTGTTGTTGTTGCTGCTGCTGCTGCCATTATTATTAAGCAGTATTGATCTAGATGCAATTTTGGTGGGGTGTTTGCTTGACAGTAAATGGCTAGAGATGCAATCCCTGGCATTTCTGCTTAAAGGATCTCAATTAACAAAGATGTGGGAAATTTCTGCCTGAGACCAGAAATCTACTGCCAGTCCGCCCACTGGGACTGGTAGGCCAGGAAGAAGAGAGGCAAACAGTAGGCAGAGGCAGAGCCAACCAACTCTCATTTTGTCCCCCTCTCCCCACTGAGTTCTGCGAGGGCAACTCTGAGACTAAGGATGAACAAATGGGTAGGCATTTCTGCCCGCGACTGATTGTAAGAAGCCAGGTGGGTGGGAGCTGGCTGAGGGCAGGCTGAGGTTAGTGGGGCAATCCGATGTTTGCCTGAATGTACCAGCCTCCACCACAGTCACAATAAATGGAACTGGAATAGATAAACCAATGGTTTGGCTCTATAAGGCAAGGACCTTTTGTTACTGTTGTCATCTATTTGGCAGCGCTGTGGGTTAAACCACAGAGCCTAGGACTTGCCGATCAGAAGGTCGGCGGTTCGAATCCCTGCGACAGGGTGAGCTCCCATTGCTTGGTCTCTGCTCCTGCCCACCTAGCAGTTCAAAAGCACATCAAAGTGCAAGTAGATAAATAGGTACTGCTCCGGTGGGAAGGTAAACGGCGTTTCTGTGCTCTGCTCTGGTTCTCCAGAAGCAGCTTAGTTATGCTGGCCACATGACCCAGAAGCTGTATGCTGGCTCCCTCGGCCAATAAAGCGAGATGAGCGCCACAACCCAGAGTCAGCCACGACTGGACCTAATGGTCAGGGGTCCCTTTACCTTTACTTATATGCAAACAGAGGATTCAGATCCAGGTTAGAGTAGACCCAGGACTCACTGAAGACCCTTTAATTTCAACGGGTCTACTCCTAGTGTGACTAGCCCATCTGGATCCAGCCCAAGGAGCCAACACACACACACACAGAGGAAGAAATCATGCACTCTATAATCTTAAGGGCTGGGTAGTGGCTCCATGTAAGCAAATCTGCACACCACTGTCAGTTCAGAGCTTTAGCACAGGGGACAGGAAATTGACACAGCAGGTAAGTTCCATGCCTGCTGCCAGAAACATGAATTGTGTGATGTAGATTGTACAGGCGCCATCTCACATGCACCCCCAGCTGCAGTGTGGGCAGGCAGGGACAAGCGAGGGCCAAATGCTGTACTATTTGTGCTCCTGCTCCCTGTTGAGACTTAACACAGCATGGGGCATTTTAATAGGAATGGCTGCTGTCATGCCGCTGCAATAACTAATCACACATTCTTACATTGGGAAGGAGGGGAGTCGGCTTCGATTGCAAGGGAAAGCAGGTTTCAAACTCAATTTAGTGTTGTCAAATTCAAAAATTAGGCCTGTGGCATTGCAGAACTTCAAGCTCCATATAGCATACAGCTTGGACCCAGATAATGAAATCTTTCATTGCAATACCTTCCTTGCCAATAGGGGATAAATAGCAAGAGCACACCCAGAGACACCAGCAGTAGGGGTTTTTTCAATAATAATAATAATAAAATCCGATTGGAAAGAAGCCCTCAGAGAAAAAGACAGTGTGCAATGATATTGTAGGACTTCATATATTCACTCTGTCTTAATGATTCCACAATAAATTGGCTCAGTTTGCACTGAGGGTGAAGGAATGGTTGGGGCGTGTTCCCCCTCCCCCCAGTCTCCCTTGGACTCCAGCTGGGCTCTAAAATGTCCAGCTGGGATAATTCTCTCTATCCCCATGAGCAGTAATGATAAACCCATGCATGGATTTGAACTACAAATCCAGTAACTGGGAATGGGGAGCTGGGCAAGAGAGGGCAAGCCCTTATATACTGTTGGGCCTCTTCCTCTGTTAACCGAAACAATAGGAGAAATTAACCTAAGGTTAGGAATGGGAGAGAATGTTAATTCATTTAATGGCAAACCTCCCTAATTTGCAATTTCTGAAACAATTCACCAAACAAAACATAGACCTCTACAGAAATTCTCACTTCTCTGGGTTTGCCAATGCAGTTTTCCAGCCAAGAAATACGTACGAAAATTGCATATACTAAAGTGCCCATATAAATGCATATAGACATGAAAAGAACATGCAAAGATGTGTTATATTAGGGAGCTTTTTTTGCAAAAAAAGTGTATATTAGGCAAAACAGCATGTAATATGTATAGACTGGCATAGATTCTCCTTAAAATGCTGGTGAATTTTCATGCGGATGTGTTCTAAAAGAAAATGCAAACTGATGTAGAGAACTGAACTTAAGACTGGAAAAATAAGAAATTGAGAGAAACCAAAACTGACAGATGCACCCATCCTTGCCCAAGATCTAAGAGGATCTATCCTTTGCCTGTAGCTGCCAGTCCCTTTCCATTATCAGCTCAAATGAAAGATAGAGTTTTACAAAACAGCCATCATCTTGTGCTATACTTTTACATCCTTTATTTCAACAAAGACATCCAGCTTACATGCCACTTGCAAATGTTGGTGGTCTTGCCACTGTGTCCTCCTTAACAATATTTGCCCCCCTACCTCTATGTGAACAGTTTTGAGACCTACCCCTCACAACAGTTAGCAGACAGAATTCTTACCCTTTTTTTGATAGGTATATGTCAGGGTGGCGCTGTGGGTTAAACCACAGAGACTAGGGCTTGCCGATCAGAAGGTCGGCGGTTCGAATCCCCGCAACGGGGTGAGCTCCCGTTGTCCGGTCCCAGCTCCTGCCCACCTAGCAGTTCGAAAGCACACCAGTGCAAGTAGATAAATAGGTACCGCTCTGGCGGGAAGGTAAACGGTGTTTCCGTGCGCTGCTCTGGTTCACCAGAAGCGGCTGAGTCATGCTGGCCACATGACCCGGAAGCTGTACACTGGCTCCCTCGGCCAATAAAGCGAGATGAGCGCCGCAACCCCAGAGTCGGTCACGACTGGACCTAATGGTCAGGGGTCCCTTTATCTTTATCCTTTTTATATGTCAGGGTTGGTGAACCCGTAGCCTTCTGGACGTTACTGGACTTCAACTAAATCCTGGCAGGTGCGGCCAAAGGTCAGGAATTATGGCCGTTGGAATCTAGCAACATCTGGAGGCCCAGAAGTCCCCCAGATCTGGTACATAGCATCTATGAGGTTGTTTTTCTCTTCCTTCCTGGTATATACAACAGCAGCCTTTTCAGTATATGCAATCCACATAATAATGGATTGTGAGTCTTCCAAACAGAAAGCAATTCTATACATTTGGGCTGACTGCAGAAACAATTTTCCCCTCTACCTACTGATTCATCACACGGTCATTCAATTTCAGGGCATCATCCTCTTTATTATTTAAAAAACGTGTTTAGTTCAGGCAACTTTTCCCCTGAGGTAAAAGCAACAATTACAGGGTACTGATTGGGATCAGTACTGCAGCATGTGGAGAAAGGGGTTTAAACCTTTACTCCATACCTACAGCAGTTTTCCACTTAAAATGTGCCCCTCCCAGCTACTGTTTGCCACCAGAGGCAGTGGGGTAGCTATGGGGGGTAGGGGGTGCCATTATTATTATTATTATTATTATTATTATTATTATTTATACCCCGCCCATCTGGCTGGGTTTTCCCAGCCACTCTGGGTGGCTTCCAACACAATATTAAAATACAGTAATGCCTCAAACATTAAAAGCTTCCCTAAACAGGGCTGCCTTCAGATGTCATCTAAAAGTCTGGTAGTTGTTGTTTGGAGTATGGGCCCACTCCCAGGCCCAAGATGGAAAATGGGCTTCAAGGATCTGAGGGCAATGAAACAATCGCTGAGATGGCTAGAGCGCCGGTGGCGGATAACTCATTCTGAATCTGACCAGACACGGGTTAGAGCTCAATGTCGAGCCTACCAAGTGGCGAAAGTGATGGCAAAGAAGACCTTCTTCACCTCTATTGCATCTGCGGAAAACAGCAGCATGAGATTCTTTCAGGTGGTTTGCAATTTAGCAGAACCACCTGCTCCATCAGGGCCCAGTACGGGCCACATGATCTCCTGCAATGATTTTGCAAAGTTTTTTTGCATATAAAGTCGCTCAGATTTGGGAAGAGGTAGACTTCACTGTGGGAGCAGGACCGGGGCGGGGGAGTGCTAGAGCCCTGTTTAGTCAGGTTGCATGGGATCAGTTCCAATCTGTTACCCCCAAAGATGTGGACAGGCTGCTTGGACGAGTGAAACCAACCACTTTTCTCCTTGATCCTTGCCCATCCTGGCTTATAAAAGCTAGCCGGAAAGCCTTTAGAGAGACACCCCTGAGGCTCCCAGCCTGTACGCAAAAGTGTATGTGTGGGTGTGCCACACTGGGTCTTTGACCTGGGTGAAATAAAGCCTAGGTTGCTCCTGCCAGGGGTACCGTTTGTTGTAAACACAAAACCCCAGTGGAGAAAACTGCCAAGTCAATCAGAACCAGACAGTCTTGTGAAAAAACAACAGCTAAGTACACAACAGAAAACAGGTATTGTGAAAGGAAACAAGAAACACATGCGCACAGAACAGAACAGCAATTTCACAGACTCCCTTTCTTAAATATTCCATTTCTTCCCCCTCTAATTTAAGTGGGATCTGCCAAAACCAATGAAGATCCTCTTTTGGCAGTTAGCACATTCTGTGGCTGTGTGGTACAACACCAAAGTGTTCAAGGCAGAAACTAATTGGAATAAAGAGCACCGTTTGCTGTAAAAGTCAAGCAAAACTGTGCTGTAGTGGAAAATGTCATTTCAATAAGAGAATAGCTGGGGCTTAAACTCCTTCATCCTTGCAATGGTGATTAAAATAAATAAACCTCATTGATAAAATGTTTTCCCTAAAGCATAAAAAGCAGGTCGGTTTTTGCAAACTGAGAAGTAGTGGATTGAAGAAGCTTAAGCCAACAACACACTGGCGGTAAAGTAGGTTAGCATGAAGTTCAGGTCGCTTCTGCATTCTTTGCAGCACCTCGCACAGTGTATATAGTATACACTATATACAGGTAGCATTCTACCTGATTCCCTTCATCCACTACATCTTGAACACAGCATCCCTTCATGTTAATCCACATCCCTTCTGCTGTTCTAGCCTGAACCAAGTTCTGTTGGATGCATCAGGGCGGGTTTAGTGTCCAGTTCTGCCAAATTGTAATAAAAATGGCTAAAATCTGTCATACATTAAAACCACAAGCAATGTGAAACAATTCAGCATAAAAATGGGAGACAGAATTTCAAGCCACACTAAGCTCTTATCCACTCCACCTGAAGCTTAAAACTAAGTGCCAAGCAATCAGACATATCTAGGAAGGGAATTCTACAACCTGGGTGCCACAGTGGAAAAGGCCCTGCCTTGCATCCAACCAATTGTGCTTCTAAAAGTGGTGGGATACGTGCTGTGTCAAAAAAATACTTCCTGCATTTCCCCCCGTCCCAGTTATTATCCATCAATTAATGAGATAAGAAATTGCATTCAAAATTTTACCTAAGGCATGATAAAATTTCAGTGAAATTCTTATGAGTGGGGTGCAGGATTTCATATGTACTTGCCTTGCTTTTGAGGTAGCCAACTGTTATTTGGGAATGTCCTTCCTTCCATTCTACAAATCATCTCACCAGTGATCTGCACATTGCAGCCTCCCCAGGTGCCCATGCCCCAGTCAAAACTCATCATGCAGTAGCTCTACCCATGAAGTGTTTGAGATCAGGAGGCATGGGCAGTCAGGGAGGCTGCACAATGCTGGAGAACTGCTTGCTAGAAATAAAAAGCACATCCACCACCCTTGACCATATGGAAGGAAACAGACCTTCAAATATTTGGATCTCAAACCAAAGCTTTCGTCAGCTACCTGGCCAAGGCCAGCCAGTGAGCTTTGGGACTGAATGGGGATTTGAACCCAGGTCTCGTCAGTTTTCATCCAATGCTCTAGTCACCATAAGCACACTGGACCACACAATGAACAGTTTGATTTGGGATGGTGATTGTGTTTTGACTTACATGCTAATGAACAACCAAGCCATAACATCGAAACTGTGCACTGACTGATTGCTGATTGGAGTGGGAAAAGCTTCAGTGCTAGATAATTCTGCCGCACTACTCCAGCTTCCAGAGAAAGTGCTAAAAAAAGCAAACCCACCTCTCCTTCAAGATAGATTCCGATGACAATTTGTTTCCTATCTGTTTACACTGCTTTTCAATTATCTAACTTACAAAGGGGATTACACAACATACAGTATTTTTTAAAAAAACTAAGCACAATCTATTAAGAGCAACAAAACCAATGAAACCTAATTAACAGTCAACAGCAGGATCAATCCACAATGTCAATCGATAAGCAGGGATCTAGTTTTCAAAGGCCTGATACCAGAAAAAAATGTTCCTACTTGTCTCTGAGAGGAGGCAAATGCCCGAGTCAAATGAGCCTTCTCCTTGGGAAAGGTGTTCCACAGAATTTGGGCAAGCACTGAAAAACTGCTGCTCCTACTGGATGCTGTTCTTGCATCTCTCAGCCAGTGCTGATGGTATCTGCTTATAAACTCTCTACATGGCGACTGAATCTGTATGGAGAGTCTGAAGCATCCAGCCATTCATAAAGGAAAACTACACATCTCCACCATAACATATTTCAGTTTGGTAGGTCAGAGTTGTGACCAGACATGATAAATGAGTATAAATTATGTTGTTTTAGTCACCAAACACCAAGCCCATAGGAAGCCAACACATGGTCCATCCAGAATATGAATGGATGGAGGTCAAGATGTTCTCAGAGTTTAGAGCTGTGTCTTGACCCTAGCCACCTCCTGGGCTCATGCACACAATATTGCCACAGATTTTTGTAAGAACTGTAAACTTTCTTTACTTATGATTTTGAAACAAAAGCTGAGGTTTCCAGTGTGCCACATCCTTTGCTTAGTATCAAAATTACATACCTGTGCAGCAAATTTACACATGCCCAGACTGCGTGCTGCCTGGATTTTTTATTATTATTATTATCTCCCTGTCTCCTCTGCAAAAGTCTTAATATTTCAAATAGTTCACCTGCACTAAACTGAATAAATCACCCACACTCACCCTACCCTGGCCTCTACCAGCAATGTTTGCATTTGTTTTGCCAAATGTGAGAGATCCAGGGGTCAGTGACATGAGCCACACATCTCCATTTGTCTTCCCTCTGAACAAACAAGTCCCCAACCAACTCATTTGAGTATACCATGTGTCATTCACCAAGCTACCCTTGCATTTTATTGGTTTGGCACTAATCTGAGGCCCCATCTGCACCATACGTTTGAAGTAATTTCATACCACTTTCATCACCTAATAATCTTGGGAACTGTTGTTCCTTAAGGGTGCTGAGAGCTGTTAGGAAACCTCCTCACAGAGCTGCGGTTCATAGAGTGGTTTCTCAATCCCTCTTCCCAATAAATTTTGGGAACTATAACTGTGCGGTGAAATAGTGGGTTTCCTAATATCTCTCAGCACCCTAAGAAACTACAATTTCCGTAATTCTTTGGGGGCAGTCGTGACTGTTTCAAGTGGTATTGTGCTGCTTTAAATGTATAGTGCAGATGTGGCCTTAATGTTTGACTGTAGGAGGATCTGATGATAGACAACCAGGGTTCTGGTAGTGAATGGGGGACAATGAGAAAGGACAAAAGTTGGTGATATCCGGAGCCCATCTCCACTTCATTTGCTCTCTTGTTTTTTCCAGAGTCAGTGCCAATGGCAGTCATCATAGGTGTGGCAGTTGGAGCTGGTGTGGCGTTTTTGGTGTTGATGGCCACCATTGTGGCCTTCTGCTGTGCTCGCTCGCAGAGAAGTAAGTCACTTTCTTTTTATTCAATTGACTCTCTGACCATATCATGCTGGAAGTCTGGAAGCCCTTCTTCTCTGCCTAGGAAAACCACATGGAGAGGTAATGTAAGTTTATCCAAAGCTGCCTCTTCTTGTGACGTCCTCAAAGACCCGTCTGGCCTTGATTCCCTGGTTATGATAAACATTTTATCCCTCCAATCATGACGCTGGGATGGAGACAGCTTGGGAGGAGTCAACTTTGGCTAGGTAAAATCATTTGGCAAGTCTATAGTGAAGGGAACTTTCATTAGATTAGGTTGATGGTTCTATCTGTAATTAAGAGAAGGGAATGTAACCCAATGGTAGAGCACATGTGTTGCATGCAGAGAGGCCCAGGTTCAGTTCCTGACATCTCCAGGTAGTGCTTGGAAATACAGTGCCTAAAACCCTGAAGATCTGCTGCTGATAGGCCAGTGGTCTGACTCAGTGTTAAGACAGACCATCAGGTGTCAGCTATTTTACACATGCTGTGCTCCTAAGTGCAATGTGTAGAACAGCTCTGAGCTCTTGCTGCACATGCCTCCAGGGTGAACATGATATGGATGCACCATATTATTGGTTGACTAAATCCAACTTATTTTGTACACATGCTTAAGCTGTCCTTGTGACTTCAACCCACCATTAAACCATGCCATAAATGTGGGAAGTAATGTGAAGGAAGTACATTGTAGAGCTATCCCATGTAAACTTCAGTATGCTGTTGCAGCACTGCATTTCAGGGCCTCTCCAGGTGTCCTTTTCATTGTGCATTCATGATTATTTGTGCTCATGGTGGTATTGGGACAGTTATTCAGGATCCCATTTTCAGCACCATTTGCACCTGCAGCAGTTTTGGAGCAAATGTACTCTTTGTTTGCAGTCAGTTCATGTCCTGTATCTCCCTGCTGAAATCCTGAAGCTTTTCATACTGCAAATGTTCTAGGTTGTTGGTTTATTTGTGCCACTTTTGTTGTGCTATAGCACAAGAGTGCCCTTCCAGAAGAAAATAAAACAGCAACATTGGGAAATCACAGAACAACTAATAAAGCAGAATGATGTGTGCATGGTCCAATATAAATCCACCGCTCACACACTATTATTGTGTCAATGGCATGTTGCAGAATACACTTGTGAAGGAACTTTCCATTCTGTCATGTACTGTATTTGCCACATGCAGCACTGTTTCCATTGTGCTGCAGTTTGTCTTCCACCAAAAGTTGTGTTATTCATCTCACTGTCCACTGTGGTGAAATTATGTACCAGTAATTATATTTTCATTGCATTATCCCACTCCATTCACTTCAATGCAAAGGAACCACAATGCAAAAGGGGGAGTGGGAGAGAGAGAGAGAGAGAGACTATTCCATATCATTTGCAGACTAAGAGCAACAACAACAGTGAACACTGATTATAATTGCTAGATTGAGTTCTGTTCTGGACATGGGGCAAATAAGCAGACATTGGCAGTTTCTGCTCCTGTTTCTGTCTGAATTCTCTGACATCCCTACTTCCATCTCCACCATCGAGCAGCTCTTGCCATTTGGAGATTTATTCTTATCTTAGCTGTCATCTGCTTTCCTAGAATTTCCACCCAATTGGTGCTAATCTTGCCATCTGGAGAAATGATCAGTTTGCCAGAAAGATAGATAAGATTGATATTTGCACCAGCCACCAAGCATTGCTGTTACTCTTCAGATGTTTGAAGACATTGACCATGCCTCCTCTTAAACTTCTCTTCTCCAAACCAAACATACCCGGCTCTTTCAACCATTCTTCCACAGACTTGGCTTTTCCAGACCCCCTCATCAGCCAAGTCAATCTCTTTCTTAAAATGTGGCTCTCAGACCTGGAGACAGTGCCATTTACTGCTTTTTGCATGGGATCCCAATATCTGCCCTGGGGTGGGCAGCCCGCTCTTCCCTAGTTGTAGCACCAACCACATCTGGAGGTCTTCTTTTGCATTTGACCAAATGTATGGAGAATACAGCAGAAATACGCATTAGCTTCATATTAACGTGTTGCTTTTATCTTATACTAAAAGATGTCTTGGTTTTATGAACATTGCTCCCCGTTCTGAGCCTGCAGGGATCAGGAAGGCTATACATTTAAAATGAAATCTATACTCGAATCCCTTGCTGAGCCCGTAATGCTGTTGGCTTTGCTGCCGAGTCGACAAAGCAGATGTTAAAATAAACATCACAAATGCAAGAAAAGGATTGTGGAGGTAAACAGGAGCAGCTCATTAGGAAAAAAAGCATAGAAGTTAAAGAATGATTGTTGGCTGAGCGAACAGGGATCAAACCATCGGGGGAAGAAAGAGTGATTGTTCTGAGCTTCTGAGACAGCAAGAGAGAACAAGCAGTCCTCAACCATGCCTCTAACTGTAGGGATAGTGAAAGACAAATAAGCCAAACACTATGCAAAATCCCTGTGTTGCAGTGCCAATATATATAAAAAACCCAGTTGGTTCTTTCTGGATTGTTTGCAAAGAAATCAAAGAGCCAGAAGCTCTCCCTGGACTTGCTTAATGAATGGCTGGGCCTGCATACTAGTTTGTTCTTAACAGCAATAATTGTGTCTGCTTCCCCCCACTCCCCCCCCTTTTTATGACTCTCCCAAACCCCATTAAGCGGCTCTTTCAGGTATTAGCAAATTAAATATCTGGCAGTCATTAATCTTGCATTTTGGTAAGTATTTTTTGATGGGCAGGCGCGCGGCTAAGACCTGAGAAGAGGCCAATTCAATTTCAGTGGAATCATTCAGCGATGATGGCACCATTCAAGCTTGCTCAATGGAAAATGGGCCAACTCGTCGTTGCGGTGTCAACGGTCAGACATAATCAGTCTCGTCTGCACATTCCCCTCATCTTTCTTTTCTTTTCTTTTAAGATAGATGTGAGCACACTGTATCATTCCTCTGATCCTGGGACAGAGGGAGAACATGTGGCTCATTACCTACTCCTTATTTGATGTAACCAGATGGCTCTGGATTATTTGCAGGGCACACAACATCTAATATTGGTATATTTGTGATGATGACAGATCAGGCGTGCAGCAGTGGTGCCAAGGCTTGGATTAGGAAGCAAAGCCAGAGTTTCAAAGCACCGGATGTTTGGAGGCTGGAGCCAAGCTAGTGGCATTCCCAAGGCTCTAAATGAAACCTTTGGGTCTACTCTGTTTTGATTCACAAGCTGAAAACATCCATGAACAGTGTGTATGAGGTGGTGTTGGTGTTGATTTGCATGCTGATCTCCTTCAGCAGTCCCTTGCCCACCCTCAGAACTGCATGCTGAACTCAAAACAAACTGAGCTAACTGACATGGATGTAAGAAAGCATTGCTTTCTGTTTTGCCCTCTTGTTAATCCCATGCAGTGCTGTCTCCATTCTGCTGCAGTTTGTCTTATGCCAAAAACTACGCTATTCCTCTTGCTAGCTGCTGTGGCAAAATTATGTAATTTACTTAAATAATTAAATACATGAATTTGAGAGAGGTGTAGCCAATTACGTATCATTTGTGGACTGAACAGAACAACAGTGAATACTGATTATATTTGCTGGGTAGATTTCTGCTACAGACATGACATGAATAAACAAAAATTGGCAACTGGATGGCCTCGGTCCAGTATACCTGAAGGAGCGTCTCCACCCCCATTGTTCTACCCGGACACTGAGGTCCAGCACCAAGGGCCTTCTGGCGGTTCCCTCACTGCGAGAAGCCAAGTTACAGGGAACCAGGCAGAGGGCCTTCTCGGTAGTGGCGCCCGCCCTGTGGAACGCCCTCCCACTAGATGTCAAAGAGAACAACAACTACCAGACTTTTAGAAGACATCTGAAGGCAGCCCTGTTTAGGGAAGCTTTTAATGTTTGATGTATCACAGTATTTTAATACTCTTTTGGAAGCCGCCCAGAGTGGCTGGGGAAACCCAGCCAGATGGGCGGGGTATAAATAATAAATTATTAATTATTATTATTATTATTATTATTAATTTCTACTCCCATTTCTGTTTTCACTGGAATTCAATACAGGTTGGATTTAGTCCTTGCTGACAGGTATTTTCTCAATCCCTCTAGACATATTAACAACTGCAGTGCCAAGTTCCATGGGTCTCTCATGCAGCAAAGGAGCCCTTGTTCAATGAGAATCTGCTTCATGAAATGTGTGTGTGTATCATGAGTGGATCAGTGTATTTCTAGGCTGTATCACTTTTGCAAGTGTTCATTCATAAGTCCGTTCCAAACCATTTCTACATTAATCTAATTTGCATGAAAATTCTTGTTTAAATACACACTTTTAAGATATGAAATGCACAATTCTAAATGTATTTTATCCTAATATATATTTTATTTTATTTAACAAGGCATCTATACCACTTAATCAAAAGGAATATCTAAGTGGTGTACATAAAATGGTGTAAAATGTTCATTTAAAAAAATGCACTCAAAACAGGTGTTAAAACAGTAAAAAAAATAATGAAATTGCCAAAATACAGGGTAATCAACAATTTTTAAAGGCAAATGTATGTAATATAATACATATCTGAGTAAGCATGCTTAAGCAAAACAAAATAAAATAAGTACGTGGTGAAAACTGTGCCATAGAGGTGCCTGCCTAATATCAATACAGTGGTACCTCAAGTTACAAACGCCTCAAATTACAAACGCTTCAGGTTACAAACTCCACTACCCTGGAAGAGTTCCCTCGAATTGAGAACTTTGCCTCATGATGAGAATGGAAATCGTGTGCCGGCGGCGCAGCAGCAGCAAGAGGCCCCATTAGTGAAAGCACGCCTCTAGTTAAGAACAGTTTCAGGTTAAGAACGGACCTCTGGAACGAATTATGTTCGCAACTAGAGGTACCACTGTAGTCAGGGAATTTCAGAGCATAAGTGCTGCCATGCTAGTGCCCCATCTGCACTAGATAGTTAAAGTAATATCATTCCACTTTGAGCAGTAATGGCTTACCCCTAATAAGTCCTTGGAACTGTAAGGGTTCTGAGAGTTGTTAGGCTACCCCTATTCCCCACAGGGCTTCAATTCTCAGACTGGTTTAACTATCAAACCTTCTTCCCAAGGAGCTCTGTGGGGCCTCCTAACAACTCCCAGCACTTTAACAAATTATAGGATACTTTGGGGGACTGTTTAAAGTGATACAATACTGCTTTATATTTATAGTGCAGGGGTGGCCTAAAACCCCAATTTCTTGCAATTGTGGAATGAACATTATGATAGAATCATCTAATACAACCCCCTGCAATGCAGGAATCTCAACTAAAGCATCAATCCAACCTCTGCTTATAAACCCAAATGAAGGAGAACCCACCACCTCCCAAGGGAGTCTGTTCCACTGTTGAACAGCTCTTACTGTCAAAGTCCTTCCTGTTTAGTCAGAACCTCATTTCTTGTAACTTGAATCCATTGGCTTGGGCTCTACCCTCTGGAGCAGGAGAAAACAAGCTTGCTCCATCTTCCATCTTTAGATATTTGAAGATGGCTATCACATCTCCCCTCAGTCTCCCCTTTTCCAGGCTAAACATACCCAACTTCCTCAACTGTTCCTCATATAGCTTGGTTTCCAGACTCTTGATAATCTTGGTCACCCTCTGCACACATTCCAACTTGTCAATACCCTTCTTAAATTGTGGTGCCTAGAATGAGACACAGTATCCTTGGTGTGGTCTGACCAAGGCAGAATAGAGTGGTACTATTATTTCCTTTGATCTGGACACTATACTTCTGTTGATACAGCCTAGAATAGCATTAGCTTTTTGTTTGTTTGCTTGTTTTCTTTTGTTTGCTTTGCTGCTGCTGCATAACACGATTTTCAGTTTAAGCTTGCAATCTACTCAGACCCCTAGATCCTTTTCACATGTACTACTGGCAAGCCAGGCGTCCTCCATCTTATATTTGTGCAGCTGGTTCTTCCTGCCTAAGTGCAGAGTCTTACATTTGTCCCTATTGAAATTCATTTTGTTAGTTTTGGTCCAGGTTTCCAGTTATGTGGCAGTGTTTCTTGTGAAAGCGTCAGGCAGTTGAGAATCACAAAATTAGGAGAAGTGCAAAATGCAGAGGACAACTCTTTCTGGACCAAACATTTGTTGCAGAGTTGAGGAACGGATCAGTTCCTATAAGACTATATTGCTAGCATCAGCTCTCTGTAGCAACTAAGAATATGTTGGGGCAGGGGGATAAAAGGTTGACTAAAAGATGTGTAAAAGCCACCAATAAAAACAAGACCACCCTAAAAGCAAGAGATAATTTCTAAAACTGAGTACTGAGCCCCCAAAGCAAAGCAAAAACACACACAAAACTCATGTTTTGGCTGCTTTCCCAAAAAGAGTCAATTCAACCAATCAGGTGGTTTTCCCTTGGGAAAGAATTTCACAAACAAACATGAACACGCTTACATTTAAAAGGTCTGAGTTTTACGGAGCCCACACATTTCCTGTAAATGTGTTTACGATTTAAAAGTAGCTGAAAATTGAAGGTGTGCACTTTGCTGAAGAAAACGGCATCCATTGATGGGCCAGCTGACTCCACAGTGGGATTTGTGCCACAAGCCCAGTAAGTACCACTAAGACTTGAGACTGGCAGGGATATCCCTGGACCGCCAACTTATTGGTGTAATAGCAGTGGGATGTGTCAAAGCAGAAATGATGCAAAGTGAACCCCAATCTCAGGAGAATTGTATCATCTTCAGTCCTATCAGAGACTTGTCATCAAAGATCCATAGGCCAGGCTTAGAGGAAGCAATCTCATTGGTGGAGAGATTCTTCCTTGGGAAGTGATCCTCATTCCCAGCCAATCTCTCTTATGGCTAGCACTGGGGGAAACACAGCTGATGTCATTGCCTGATACCTCACATCACCCATTCAAACCTCCTATAGGTTCCAGGCTTGGCCTCAGTAGACTTTTGAACTTTGCAGTTTTCTGAGACAACTTTTTGAGCTGTGTGAGACACCCACCATCCCTCTGCAGTGTAATGGCTTTTTCTCTAAAATAGGAGTGTGCAACCATGCTTCCATAACCCACGGAGGATATCCTCAGAGAAGTGTTTTGTCTTACATCCCTCACTGCTTGCAAAATATGCTGCTCAGATGAGGAAAACACATAGAATACCAATGCTCAGCATGGCACATTTGCCACCATATGGCCATCTGTCACTCATAACGTCTTCTTCCTGGCAACCTCCTCAAACATTATCTGTTCCCTTCTCTGGGCGAGAGTAGGGAGGGAAAGAGTCCATCCAGTTTGTAGAAGTAGCTTTCTGGGGGGGACACCTGCCTGGCCAGCAGATGCTATCCCATCTCCAGAGAAGACCTACACCAGCATTTGCCATTCAACAAACAGCACACAAGATGCGTTTGGGGCTGGAAATCGCCCCGTGCAGCAGTCTTTGTTCCGCATGAAAGAATTCTGGCTTTCAAGCAGCCAGAGATGTTGCGTAGGAAAAATGATGGGTAGACTAATCTGGATATACTTGTCAACAAAAACATCAGTCTATTGTCTATTGGCCAATTCCAGTGCAACAGTTTTTCCATAGAGCTGTACTTGTAAATACACCTTGGGGTGGCATTTCTCAAAGAGGTGCAGAATATTTCTGATTCAAAATTGGAAGGATACGTAGAGCAAGCACTCAACTCATATAATGTATATTGCTGCTGTAGATTCCAAGGTGTTTTTTTTAAAAAAATATCTATTTCCCCCACCCCACCCCAGCAACGCAGTCAAATGCAATCCCCAGTGAGCTCTTGATCTCCATTTCCATCATACATATACCTTTTTGCTGTTGGCTCTAGGCTGGGGGCTGCTTGGATAGACAAACAAGCCTTAGAATCCAGACTTGACACCTTTTAAAACTCTCATGGAAAACCTCGGCAATCCGATCAATAGATGAGGAGAAACTCCACCATTAATTAAATTAGCAAATTTTGTTAGGACCTGGGAAAACTGAGAGGGATCAGATACGTTTCAGTTAACATAGGCAAAGCTTGTAACTTTCTGAAATAGCTATTTTGGCACTAATGGAAATTTAGATCATCTGCTTTCTGCATGAAGTACCTAGCCAATTATAATGTAGAAAACCATTTATTTCTAGTTTAACTACTTTTGGGATAATGTGTTGTGGTAGTGAATAGTATGATTTCCCTCCTCCTCTCTCTTTTATGGATGTGTATTCTTTTAGAAATCTTAATGTACTTTTGAAAAAAAATTAATTAACTGCTATAGAGAGTGTGTGGATTTGTCTCCCAAGGGAAGCAGAGAAATTATTTATTTTTATTTTTATTTTTTATTTTTGGAACTGCTCCAAATCACAGCCTAGCTTCTATATGGTCAAATGCATTGTGCATTCATTTCCCAGAGGTCCCATTAGGTGACCCTGCAAATACATTAGCAGGTACCATGGGGAACCACCTCAATAAAGGTTTACCAGAGCCCCTACTAGGTGACTCAGCAGTCAGTGGTTGGGGGCTCCTCCATCCTGAAGCAAAAACACTCTTGAAATCTGCTTGCTCACAGCCTCCAATTTCTTGGCTAGGAATCAGGAAAAGCCTGACTAAGCTAATGACGGGTCATGGGCGGTGGAGCAGGTATCACAGAAGGCGATTCTCACTCCCGCTTTAATGAGAGGAAGCAAAAGGCATCACAAGCAAATTATGTATACAGTAAGCAGAGAGATTCCTCAGGGGACATATTTTAACGGGCTTAATACACATCTGTTGTTGTTTCCTGGATGACATTACAAGCCACAAGTTATTTAAGGAGTAACGTCCCTAAGAGAGGACTCTATGAGGCCGTAATTGGCTTTTCATTGTGATTAAATGCTGAGGCTTTTGGTGCTCAGGACATTATTTCTACTCTTGGACAGAGAACAGGAAGAAGCAATAAACTACAAGAAAGAAAAAGGGGACAAAACCAGAAGGGATAAATGCTTTTCTTGCATCGTGAAGCTTGGAAAATTCTATCTTGATGTGTTCATAAACCCATTACTAGTAGATGCCTGGAGGATAGGCCAACAGTGGTCTCAGAACACATTATCAAGAAAAAGGTATAAGAAAATCTGTAAATTAAGTATTGATTTGGCTGGTGGCACCAGGTTATCAATTAAGGAGCCTTTGCCCTGGAGGAAGGGATGCTAATTCAGACACACTCCAGGTACTAGTAACCTTGATGTGTTTTTTTTACCTTGTGACAACTAAGGGACCTATATTTTTCCCCTCTGCATTTCCTTGCTGGACAAGCATTTGCATGCCTTTCTTCACCTTTGGGATGAAAACAAAAATGGCTGGCTGCAGTGCTTTTATATACAGAGCACGGGCACCTCTTTTTCTGCTGCCCATGGCAGCCATTATGTGCTGGCACCTCAGGCACTATAAATGCTAAACACCACGTATCAATCTTCCCCAACCTGGCAGCCTCTTGATGCTGTTGGACTCCAACTCCCATCAGCCCTAAACAGCATGGCCAATGGTCAGGAATGGTGGGAGTTGTAGTTCAAAACATCTGGAGTGCACCAGCTTGGGGATGGTAGCCATACTGTATGGCCATCTGCTGAAGATTCTTTTGTGCAGGCTGCCCTGTGCACAACTGTTGCCACCTGTGTTAAATCCTCTTTCGCTGCAAGTAATTCTTCCTACATGTTAGTTTCGGTGCTTATGAATGGAAGCAGCATTGTGGAGGTCTTGAGTGTGGGCCTCCTTGGAGCAATAATGAGATGGAAAGCTCAAGTTGGCACCAGGGTCCTGCCCCATACCCTTCCCTCTCTTTCAACATCTCTGCTATCTCTCTGCCTCTTGGAAGCCACAAGCATCCTCTTGTTTGGATGATAGACTGAACAGCAGACACATGAACACTTGAGTTAGTGCCTCCTATAAAGTATTCCATCTTTCAAAAAACCAGCCAAAGAGATGATTCATAGCCTGTCACTTGAAAGCATGCATTATTTATAGGGATTTCAAAACAACTCCCATTCCAATGTGTCTCCAGATTAGGTTGTAAAGTGCCCCCTTTTGCCGAGTCGCTCAAGTTGTTAAGTCCCCCAGCTGCAATCTGCAGGATGTGATGAGAAAAATGCTGAAGACTTTTCAGGTCTCTCTTTCCCCCTGACCCCATTTTTTAAGGATGATTATTATTTTTTGCAATCAAACGGGAAATCAAGGACACCAACATAAATGACTAAATTCAGCCCAATTCCATACATGCTTAATAAGATGCCAGTTTGCATGCACCTTTAAGCAAACAGACTGGTGGCATTCAGAAATGGCTCAAGATATATCACTACCTGAGAGGACAAACACAAATGGCTTCCCCTCCCACGAATTAGCATGGAGCACAGCCCATGGAGACCTTCTCCTGTGCCAGCCCCACAGTTCCCATTCATTTCAACAAGGCTTGAACAGAAGAAGTTACTGAAAGTCATGGCTGAGACTTTCCAGTGGTGGCTGGTACCCACTGAGACTTGTAGGGTGAAAGGTACATGGTACATGGAGCAAGAACCAATGACAGATAGAGATGGAACAAATGAGAGGCAGAGCCAACTCATTCTATTTTTGCCCCATCCTCCTTCCTGCTGAGTTCTACAAGGGCAAAACTGAGACTACGGAGGGGGAAGCTGACAGCTAGTGCTACCCCCAGGACTGGCTATGAATAAGAAGGCAGGCAGGTAGTGAGGAGCTGCCTGATTGCAAACTGAGGTTGGTGAGGCAGAGTCCTCTGTTTGGACCAGTGTCCAGTTCTATCTCCCATTAATACAACCCACAACCTCTGCCTGAAGTGAGAGCTGGTTCTTCCTGCATGGCTACAATTCTCAAGTCTGTAAGTTACGTGATTTCACCACAGTGGACAGCAAGACAAATAAGGTGGGTTTGGGCAGAAGGTGAACTGCAGGGGAACGAAAACAGTGCTGCAGGAGACAAATACTGGAAGGAATAGAAAAGGATGCCTTCTTATATCCAGATGTTGTTGGGCTCCAACTCCTATCAGCCCCAGCCAGTATGGCTGGTAGTCAGGGATGGTGGTAGCTGGTCCAACAATGTTCTGGAGGGCTGTAGGTTCCCCATCCCTGCTCTGCAGCTTAGCTTGGGAGATCCTAAGAAAGACAAAGGCCAGTTATGAATTGCAGACCCATTTCTCAATCTGTTTCTTCAAAGCCTGGAGCTGTTTAGGTTTACCTCCTCTGCTGCCTTTAATCTTAGGCACACACAGAGAGAAGCATTTTCTTTCCTTTCAGGCCTGCTGTTTGGTATCTTTGGTTTAATTTTTCAAAAACAGTCTCTTCAAAGAGCATCATTCTCCTCCTGGGAAACTGGCGGGAGATGTTGGGGTTGGAACGCAAGTCGCTAAATCCCACTGCCCTTCTTTTCTCTCAGCTGCTGCATGAAAGCAGGCCATCCCCTTCCAGCTCAGCATCTGCCGCTGACTGTGCAGGGCTCTCCTTGAGAATACCTACTTTGCTGGGCAGCTAACTAATTAGATAATGCCTCTGATTCACTAAGATGCAATAGCTGAGCAAACAAAGAGCACGTTGCACATATGGACACTCTGTACTTCCAGTTTGGCCGTCTGGCTCAAACCAGGATGTGCAGGAACTGCAAAGGTGAGCATAAAAAGCATCCATTTATTACTTAAATAAATAAGCAAAGGGCCTTTAAGCTTTTGTCCCCCTGCCACTCACTTCCTCATTTTGGAAAGGTTCTATTACAGCCTTCTACAACCTGGCAGCCTCCAGATGTTTGGACTACAGTTCTGATCAGCCCCAACCTTGTTGTTGTTGACATCCATCTGTCTTGAGAGACAATCAAGTGTGCCTTCAGGTTGCTGTGTTAGCAACACCAAAGTTGCCCCCCGGGACGCAAGCCTGGGTAGCGTGTATGGAGGTTCTGGGCTGCCCAGAAAACAAGATTCCCCTCTTGGCCTTGCTGATGTGGTCCAAAGGAAAGCAGAGCAATATGTTTGTCACTAGCTTGGCTGTAGGAGTTGCCAGAAAGAGGCATACAAGAAGCTATCTAAGCTTCTGAGGGGCTCCACTCCAGATTTATGTAGGGTTCACTCTTTAGCCTTTTCTTCTCCCAAAGATATCCCTCAAGGCAGAGTTTTCCTTCTCCTAGCTTCCCAGGTTGACGAGCCTCATCTGCGTCCCATTTCCCTCTACAGCGCACGCAGAAAACACCTTTTTGACCACTGGACCCACTATTGGCCTTATCTTCTCAGTCCACCAGAGCCTGTCTTCACATGTGGGGGAAGTCTCTAACGCACGAAGGATTTAAGACCCATCGGCTACCTTCACCTGGGTTAGCCAGTCAGTCTAAGCTGTTTCCCAGGGTGTGGCCACTGTCACATGCTGACAGCTTCAAGGAGCCACTAACAAGAGCTGAGTGCAGATTGGGGACCAAAAGTGGACAAACTACCCCAGAAGGAGCACAGTTTTCCCCTTCCCTAACACCCCGTACACCCCAGCACATTTGTATTACCTAAGGGAAAAAACAGGCATAAAGAAATAAACTAACAACTATAGCACAGTGAAATATTTTAATGATTAACAAATCCCTATATAATTTACTTAGATATTAGATGCCCATGCTATCCTGGAATGTGTTAGTGTGTTGTTGTCATTGTTGTTGTATTTATTACCTGCCCTTCATCAGCAAGTCCCAGAACAGCTAAAAAATTCATAATGAAAACAATTAAAACATATTAGACTCATGGGAATTTAAACTTGTTTATGATTGTTGTCTTATTATTGCAATGTTCGTTATATTGTAGTGAAAAGGCTTTTTTGAAAACAAATGCACACATTGTTGAATGGGGATTCACCTGTCTTTGTGGGTCTCATAGACTGTGTGGTCTTGGTTGTATTCTTAGTTCAATAGGTTTAATAGCTTAAGCAAGTCATGCTTTTCATGCAGAAGGAGATTCAAATCCTGTCTGAAACCCTGGAGAGCCACAGCCAGTCGGGAGGAGCAATACTGAGCTGTTTTCTAGAGTTCCTATATAAATCACATCTATGCCATAGAACAGGGATGGGGAACTCCCCCCCCCCCCCAGTGAAAGCCACATACCATGAATGGGTCGGGCCAGAATACAAAATGTATGGCGCAACACATGTAAATTTTACCTCTGTGCAATCCCTCTCTGCTCTCCATCCACACAGGCAAAAGGCATTATCAGAGCTCAATGACACATTTCAGCCAGGCAAAGCAAGGGCTGGCCTGGGAGTCATGGGGTCTGGCTGGGGTGTTGTGCAGGGAGAGTCCTGAGAACCAGATAGAGATGCCTGGAGGGCCACATTTGGCCCCTGACTCTGAGTTTCCCCAGCCCTGCCCTATAATTCCTCCCGGAATTCTGTCCAATACACTAGGGTACAATGGCAGGTGAGAAAACGGTTTCCTAGCAAATGAAAGTTGCACTAAAGCTCCAGAGTTGCACTAAAGCTCCAGAGAAAGGCATGCCATGCAGGGGTATGTTAGAAGGAGAATTTGGAGGAGTGCAGTACTGGTTTTTTTTCCCCCAAAGCAGGAGCAATAATCTCATTGCCAGAGCACCAGGATAACTGATGGAGCCTCCATGCTCTGGCAAGTGAATGAGGTGGAAGTTAGGCTTTTGTTTGTGATAAACTAACATAGAGGGAACTGGATAATATTTGGAAATAATCAGAGGCTGGGTACTTCCTTGCTTTTTTTTTCTTTATAGGGTCCCTACATCGGGCTAATAGTTTAAACAGCAGCATTTCTCTGCAATGTGGTTTGCATTTCTAATCAAAAGGTCAAGGTTGCATTTTAGCTGAAGATATTTTTGTTAAAGTTTAATGTGTGAACCTATGCAGGCAGAGGTAGACACTACTGCTATTCTGCTAGGATCTGTAATGTTATGGAGCAGCTTTGTGGGGGGATAACTTTTACTCTCTTGCTCTTTTGTTTAGATCTGAAAGGTGTGGTTTCTGCCAAGAACGATATCCGCGTTGAGATTGTTCACAAGGAGTCTGCCTCAGGCAGAGAAACAGAGGAGCACCCGACGATCAAGCAGCTGATGGTGAGGATTTATTCTCTCTTTCCTTAATCTGTTGCTCTGTCTAACCTTTGACAGTAATGAGCACGGGCGCAGTGCGGTTCAGTGCGCAAAAGCCCACCAAAGGCAAAGTATGCTCTTCTGAAATCTCACACATCGCTCAGAGCTGTTAAAGTTGCACCGCTGTTGGAAACTCCCAGATTGCAACTTTGCTAATGAAGACAAGAAGCCAGGAGAGGTTTGCTACAGAGCTCCACAGCCTTCAGTCTCTGATAAACAGAAAGGCCTATCCAAGCCCTCAATAGGGAAATTGATGTGGCTGCAAATGGACAGAGAAGGGGAAGCTAAGTAACATATTAGTAGTAGTAGTAGTAGTAGTAGTAGTAGTAGTAGTACTAGTAGTATTAACAACTAATTAGGCACTAATAGCTTAGCTAGACTGAAAAGGCCTCCTGTACAAGATAGATAGATGGCGAGTCTTTCATGGGATATATCGCTGGCCTCGTTACTGTCAAATCACCACAGCTGACAAAGTGATATTGTTGATGAACTTAAGAACAACCTTGTTGGATCAGTACCAAAGGCTCATCTAGTGCAGCCCTCTGCTCCAACAAGCAGAGCTTGAGTCCCACAGCACTGTCTCCACTCATGGTTCCCAGCCACTGGTATTCAGATGCATGTTGCCTCCAGCAATGGGGTCAAATCAAAGCCATTAGGACTATCAGTCATTGACAGTAGCCAGCCAGTAGCAAAGTTTGCCCCAACTTAATGCCTTTCTGGCAGATTTGTGATTTTTTTTTAGGAGTGGGCAGATCACCTGACTACCAATATGTGTCGTTTTCTGTTTGGCCCTTCATAAATCTGTTTTGCTGCATTGCCGTGCACATTGATCTGTATTCTTTTTTTTTAATCCAGGCCCAAATTCATATTTTAATATATGAATATGTAATATCACCCCCCGCAAAATGTAAATATGTATTTTCTCTCAATGTATGCATTTCTAAATGCATTTTATCCTAAAATATGCACTGATAACCTCATCCTCCACAAGTTTGTCTAATCCTCTTGGAGATTCAGTTGACGCCTGCAGTCCCAATGACCTCACCCTCTCCTTTCTCTCAGAGATAACCCAAGACAGTTTGGTTCCTGGTGCTAAGGAATCTGAAAATTTTAATCCCATGGTGTTAAAAATTATATAATAAATTTAAGAAGTTGGCAAATTCTGCTCCCCACCCCAATTCTGTGCTTCAAAATCTGCTCCCTGAGGTGGGCTTCTTCACCATACCTGGGGTAGGGCAGCCCTGCTCTCTTTTTATAGGGCCTGGTGGGCCAGGATTGGTCCTGGAAGTCAGCTGACAGAGTACTCAGGCAGTCTGGTACTGCCCCTTCAAAGCACAGAGCTCAGTATTCCAGGCTTAATATGGAAACAGACTGCTGGTGATGCAAGGCACCAGGGCCTGACTGCTGGGAGTCCCATGTTGAGGCACCCGGTTTCAGGCACAGCTATATCCCAGGATATGTTTGGGTAAATTCCTGTGAATTCTTCTTAGCCACCTTATACTGAGGTCAGACCACTGATGCATCTAGTTCATTATTGTATTCCGCCGTTGGAGTCAGCCTGCTTTGAATACAGTCATACCTCATGTTACGTTAGCTTCAGGTTGCGCATTTTCAGGTAGCATCCCGCGCGACCCAGAAGTACCGGAAAGGGTTACTTCCACATTTCGCCACTCGCGCATGCACAGACGCACAAAATGACATCATGCGTATGCACAGAAGCGGCGAATCGCCACACGCAGACTCGGGTTGCATTCTTTTCAGGTTACAAACGGGCCTCCGGAATGGATCCCGTTTGCAACCAGTGGTACCACTGTACAGTACCAGTTGCTGGTAACCACAAGAAGCGGGACAGCTGTTGTGCCCGTGTCCTGCGTTTGGGCTTCCCACAGGCATTTGGTTGGCTACTGTGAGAGAAGGATGTTGGACTAGACTGGCCATTGGGTTGATCTTGAAGGCTCTTCTTATGTCTGCTCTGGCTAGAAGCAGCTCTCCACTGTTTGAGACGGGAGACATCCCTAGCCGTACCTGAGATGCCGGTGAATGAACCGGGGGCCTTTGGCTTGCAAGGCAGGTGCTCTACCACTGAGCTACCACCTGCAAATGAAACTTACACATGCAAGCTTCCAACAGTTGACAAGAGTTAGGGAGAAATGCTCATAAGGCTGACTGAAGAATTGGCCCCATAGGATTTCTCTGATCTCTACTGTTGCTAATACATGGAGCTGTAGACTGTTGTTTCAGCAGCTCCCTGCAACTGCTGTGTTCTGCATCCAAATGGCAGCTTTGCTTTCCGCCTGCCGATGTCACGTTATAAATGACTAATACAAGCAAAACAAATGGAAAGAACACTGAACCGTAAAAAAATAAACCCATCCAGCCATAAAAGCAGAGAACAGATGCAAAAAAGAAAAAAAAGACGGGAGGGAGAGAGGAAGCAAGCAGACTGATTTTAAGCACACCTTCAACCATTACTACCGCAGGCTTACAGCCACCTTTCGTCAACATTCATTCATTTGGGCTGGGAAAGGGTGCTCTGTAAACGATCAATGGAATCCCTGGTTTGAGAGGGGATGCATTGTGGGGTGGGCAGAATCGATTTTAGATGGTACACATGTACAGAGTGGAGCCCTTGAAATCAGTTTGAAAGGAAGATAAACGGCAGAGGCGTCACGTTGCTTTGTTATTCTGGTGGTGCTGCTTCTGAAATTGCTGTTTTGTTTCAGTTCAAAGGTCCCCATAAGATAGAGACCAACATGCTCGTTTCTCCTTCTTCCTCTGTTGTTTGCCCCACACCCAAATGGAAGTTGGTAAATAGAAACACCCAGATTGTTTCAGCCTGGAGCAAAAGGCCAGGATAAAAAAATAAATAAGCAAAGTAGATATTTTAGTGTTGCATTACGGCTGGAGGGCTGCGGTTCAGTTTGCATTTAGAGGCAAACTTTTCTAATCTTCAATTCCTGAAATGATACATAAACCAAAACAAAGCCGTTGTTCAAGTTTCTCACTTTTCTGAATTTCACAATGCAGTTCTTCAGCCAAGTACTGGGTACAGAAAGTTACTAAGGTAATGTGTGTACAAAGATGAAAATATTAGTGAAAATAATGTGCAAAAGTAAACTATATTAGGGGACATTGCTTTTTTGTATTTTTAAAATTGCATTTTTAAAAAGGTGCATGTTAGGCAAAATTCACATTAAATTGCTGGTGAATTTTCATGACAACATTCAAATAAAATAATAATAATGAATAGTTTTCTAGCATGCAATTACAAGTTACAAGATTTTAAAAAATCATAAAATCATTCCAATTGCAATGTTTTTTGGGGCTGAACTAGACAATTGCTAGGTATTTAGCCGCTTGCTACTACCTGTGTTCTAGTTAGGGAAGAGAAGAGACAAGCCTCCCCCTACTCATGTTCAGCCTTCCTGATAAAGACCATTGACTGACCCTCAGATATTCAGGTATTTAGAAGGGCTATGGGCTCTTAACCATTTACACACACATACACACTTATGTTGCAAGTCCCCCTGAGACTAATTTGAGCAGTAGATGCCTGAGAAATTAATTAATCAATTAAAAAAATCACAAACTGAAGTGGCAAAATAAACGCGAGATGGGGAGAATGAGAAACAGAGAGAAAGCAAACTGGACAGGTTTACTGATCCCCAGTGCTTTTTTTCTGGTAGTACGCAATGGAATGAAGGGTTTGGTTTTGTTATTCAAAGTTGGAGACGGTCCAACTTTCAGCCCCATCTCACTGAGCTCTGAGCCAGGAGCTGGAGAGGGCAATAAACTGGAGGCAGCTTCGAAGGCTGAGCTGCCGCTGCTTCCTTACCCCAAGTCAGTGTGGATGCAACCACACACCCCAAAAGAAGCCACCAAAAGGACTGGGAGGAGCCTCTCTCCTCAGCCGGTGCATACCCCAGAACTGGCTCCCCCAGAAACCTCCACCCTCCAGCACTGCTCCTGGCCTCCTCCCTGTCCTCTTGGCTGCAGAGTGGAAGGAGAGGAAAACCCCATCAGCACTGAGCAGGACCCCCTTTCCCAGCACCCACCATGCCGACCCTGTTGGGCTGCTGGCAGTGAGGCAAGCGGAGCCAGGCGATATGGGAGAGGCTGGGAACTGCAGGTGGGCAGAGTGCTGTTGCACTCATGTCCAGCTTGCAGGTTTCCAGTAGGCATTTGGTCAGCCACTGTGAGAGCAGGATGCTGGACTTAGTTGTTGTTGTTGTTTAGTCGTTTGGACATGTCTGACTCTTCGTGATCCCATGGACCAGAGCACGCCAGGCACTCCTGTCTTCCACTGCCTCCCGCATTTTGTTCAAACTCATGCTGGTAGCTTCGAGAACACTGTCCAACCATCTCGTTCTCTGACATCCCCTTCTCCTTGTGCCCTCCAGCTTTCCCAACATCAGGGTCTTTTCCAGGGAGTCTTCTCTTCTCATGAGGTGGACAAAGTATTGGAGCCTCAGCTTCACGATCTGTCCTTCCAGTGAGCACTCAGGGCTGATTTCCTTCAGAATGGATAGGTTTGATCTTCTTGCAGTCAATGGGACTCTCAAGAGTCTCCTCCAGCACCATAATTCAAAAGCATCAATTCTTCGGCAATCAGCCTTCTTTATGGTCCAGCTCTCACTTCCATACATCACAACTGGAAAAAACCATAGCTTTAACTATACGGACCTTTGTTGGCAAGGTGATTTCGGCTTTTTAAGAAGCTGACTAGGTTTGTCATTTTTTTCCTCCCAAGAAGCAGGCGTCTTTTAATTTCGTGACTGCTGTCACCATCTGCAGTGATCATGGAGCCCAAGAAAGTAAAATCTCTCACTGCCTCCATTTCTTCCCCTTCTATTTGAAGGGCATACAAAATGGCAGACAAAAAGCCATTCTATTAGGGGAATTTTCTTGCAAAAAAAACCCCAACCATGTTCATGAAGGATTTTTTTTTTTTTAAGTCACAAAAATCTGCAGTAATGTGGAGTACTAAATTTAAGATCAGAAGACTGAGAACCAAAATTGACAGATCCATGTGTCCCTAAATAGTAGGCACTCTCTCCCAGAATAGACATTCTTCCACTGCAAAAGTTTGGCTGGAACTCTGCTCTTAAAGAGGATGATGAGTCCATCCTTGCTCTATGCAAGATTTGATGCCCTGTTCTCTCTTTTTCTCTCTTTGGGATACTACCCCTCTTGATAGCAGGATCTCAGTGCTAATGAAGATTTCCTTCCAGATCATTAAAAAGCCTCTGTGCATTTCCTTCTCATTGCTCGCTACGCCACACACAAGCTGCTGCCTTCAGCAATAAAACGTCCGTCCTGTGCATCCTCAATAAGAGCCTAATAAGAGTCTCCAAAATTTGTCAATGAGCTGACAGATCAAGTTAAAGAATCCAGCCTCATTAATGAGCAGCTATGATGAATTCCTGGCAAGGGAGCAAGCTGTACAATGATGGCACAAAGGTAGCAGAACAAACTGGTGTGGGTAGACTGAGCCAGGGGTTCTGAGGAAATGGCAGTGTGGGGAGGCGATGACTCCAATCATGATTCTGACTCAACAACCACACGCCAATCCTTCTTTCTTGGAGGTCTGTCATCTGCACCCATCGGCTGCCTGTCATAGTTAGCATCTCTGGGTGTTGCAAGCAAGCTCCCGCCACCACCTTCCAGGCCCAAAGCAGAGCACAGTATTAATAATCCTTTTCCAGGTAAGCTGCAGTGACAATGATCTATGCAGGGTGTCTCTGCCCTACCACATGGGCTGCTACTGCTTCTCACACTTGTTTTCCACCCAAAGAGAGAGAGAGAGGGAAATCGTGCACCCAAATGCTCTGCCTCCATTCTTAGCAGGCTGCCTTCAAGCCAAATCTCATTACTCCCTGTATTTCCTGGTCACATTTCTAACCTCTCTGTGTCCCTTTGAATTATCTCTCTGCCCTCTCCGATGTTCACAACACCTCGCCATTTAATATCAGCTGTGAGTATGATTAGCATGCCGAGTCCTCTCACATAGAGATCATATAATGCAGATGTTAAATAGGAGCAGACAGAACATCAGCCACCACAGCGCTCCATTAGATGACACCTCCCCGGCACTCAATGCATTACAGAACACCATTACCCTTTCTGCTTGTCCTTCACGCGTTTCTCAATCCACGCGACAGGGCTCGCTTCCAAACCAGCCTGAATTACCTACAGGAGGCTTGGCGAGACACCATCCAAACAACTTTGCTGAAAATCTAAAGGTATTACATATAGCAACCGCACCTCCCTTCAACTGCTAATATTGTAATTCCATCAGAAAAGCAATCAGGTTTGTGCTGTGTAATTTGCTCCTTCCCAACACGATGGGTCGCCCGTTGCTAATGTTTTCTTTGTCCCCTAGGAAACTTCTCTTAATGTTTTCCACTATTGAGGTCCTATTGGATAAACACTGCCAGGATCCCTTTTTCTTCATTTTTTTTTTTAAAAACAGTATCACATGCTCATTCCTCTCCACTGCTTTTGCAATCAGCACGACGGTTCTCAAACCCTTTTCCTAATTAATAGTTATCACACCTAGATGCAGTCTTACTGCTCAGGCTGCCTGCTTGAAATGCAAGTCATATTTGTTCAAGTCAGTCTCCCTCCCTTATTATATTTATATATATTTTACCTAAAGTATTTAATTGCACTACAATTGTATAAAGAGGTACTTTTAGGTTCCTGGGGAAGTTCATCGCTCCGTAGGAAAGGACATGCTAGGAGCATGCAAAAGATCCCTGGTATTGCCAGTTCAAATGATCCAGTGCCAAATAAGGAGGGAAGACCTTGAGACCTTGGAGATCTGCTGCTAGTTAGAGTAGACTATACTGGAATCAATGGACAGCCATCTAACCTTGAAGTAAAGCAGCTTACAATGTTCTGCCCACTATGGGTGGGGATCCAGTTGGCTATCAGAGCTTTGCACAGCATCCTGCACAGTGTTTTGCAAGCCCAAATGATCAGCCGAATCTGTGTGGGCAAAATCAAGCCATGTGACATTACTGTGTCATCTGGTGATTGACAGTTGGGAGTCCCCACACACCTGTCAAACTTGGCCTGCAGGAGGTGGAGTAGGTAAGGACCTGTCTCACTGGATGGATCCAGTTCCTCATCTCTACATTAGGAGGAGTCAGTCACAGCAAAACCAGCAAAATCTGGGGTCAAGAGATCCAGTTTCCGGGGTCCATGGACAAGTAAGCTGGGAAAGTGGCAGTGATCTGCAGACAAAGGTCAGAGTCTGAGTGGTCTGGCCAAGCAGATTCAGAGGTATCATAAGCTCAGCAAACTCCAGATGTGCCATGCTGAGAAGGAACTGGAGCTGCAGGGAGGGCTGAAAATGCAAGAAGCAGTCCCAGGGTGATGTACAGAGCTGTCTTTCCTATTGGGCTTACTGTCTTGTTGTGCCAGGGCGCTAGCCTCTTAGGGGTGCCCCAGCGAGTGGGGGAGCTGCACAGCTTTGCTGGCGGCTTCCCCTTTGCCTGCACGCCTGCCAGCTGTGCCCCGTCAACCATGTGTCTGGCGGGCATGCAGCTTGCCGCCCAAGCCTCCGTGGAAGGAGAGCGATCCCCGCAGAGGCTTGGGAAAAGGTCGACAACTCTGGGAAACGGGGGGGGGGCCACCGGAGGGATCTTTGCACCATGGTGCCAGATATGCTTAAGACGGCCCTGGTGATGTAGTTTGTTGTTGTTGTTGTTGTTTAGCCGTTTAGTTGTGTCCGACTCTTCGTGACTCCATGGACCAGAGCACACCAGGCACTCCTGTCTTCCACAGCCTCCTGCAATTTGGTCAAACTCATGCTGGTAGCTTCGAGAACACTATCCAACCATCTCGTCCTCTGTCGTCCTTGTGCCCTCCATCTTTCCCAACATCAGGGTCTTTTCCAGGGAGTCTTCTCTTCTCATGAGGTGGCCAAAGTATTGGAGCCTCACCTTCAGGATCTGTCCTTCCAGTGAGCACTCAGGGCTGATTTCCTTCAGAATGGATAGGTTTGATCTTCTTGCAGTCCATGGGACTCTCAAGAGTCTCCTCCAGCACCATAATTCAAAAGCATCATGCAGTAACACCAATACAGCCAGTGTAGTGTAGTGGTTACAGTATTGAACTTGGGAGATGAGGGTTCAAGTCCCTACTTAACCTTGAAGCTTGCCAGGTGACCATGGACCAGTCACTGTCTCTTAGCCTAACCCTACCATGCACAGGGTCATTGTAAGAATAAAATGGAAAGAGGGAGAAGAACCATGCATGCCACCTTGTGCTCCTCAGAGGAAAGCTGGGTTTAAAATGCATAAACAAACAAACACACACTTTCCAGGGAGTGTGTTTTTCCACACATTGTTTCAGAAAGTGCAAATTTGGTAGGTTTGCTTTTAAGTGCAAACAAAATCAAATTTATCTCAAATCCCTAGGTGTAGCATAAGTCGCAAATGAAGTATGGCAGACAGAACACCAGCTAAATCAGAAACGAACACTCACCAGACCTCTAGTAACTGGGTTGTGTGCATATTTTGCAATTTGTAAAAGTGCAGGATGTGACTTCAGGAGCAGCAGTAGTGGACAGCAGTGCTCCCAGCAGCTGAATCGGTGCTGCTTACTAGGAAGAAGTGGGGAGCCAGTAGGGAGGTTGGTGTGGGGCAGAGGCAGAAGCAGGAGCTGGCTCTGCCAGTGCATTTGTACTGCACTGACCTCCCTGCTGCTTCATCCCTCTCCTTCCTGGTAAGCAGCAGTGGCTCAGTTGTTGGGAGGTCAGGTGAGCACCACGTCATTGACTGCTGAGGAGCAGATTCCAGAAAATCTCAGCCTTTGTACATGAAAAAACCAACAACAGCCCTTATTCTAGCCCTTATTGTTGTGAAGCTGTGCTTGAAAGCATGTGGGCCTTAAAGCCAGATGAAATACATTAAGCTGCTGTTACAATAGGGTGAGCTGTTCCACATCAACAGAACTACTCTCATCTTTAGGATGGGATGATAATTTCTGTCTCCTCTTCTCATATACCTCCTCTCTTTCCTTCTGACTGTGGAAGTCAGAGCTTGATCTTTGCCATTTCCCCCCGTTTTGAAAGACTCTGCTGTGTGCCATACATGTGTGTGTACTGTACATGCACGTAACACGCATGCAATACCATCCATGCCTGCACACAACACACACCCCAAGTCTGTGTTATGTCCTTTTCACCCCACCATTTTTCTTTCACTTTCATTGTCAAGAACTTTAAAAAAAAACAGAGAGAAAGAGATCAAGTCTTTATTGATTTTAGAGCTGTAATTAATTTCATCCTTTCCGCCTTTGTCAATGAATTCTCTGCCTCTCTGCCTCATAATCTTGTGCAGTTAAAGTGGATTGACTCCAACTTCACCCCCCTCCCTTTGACACTGCATATCTTGCCATCCTTTACAAGCCTCAGGTGCCAGGTCCTGAAATTACTTTGGATCAGGCTGTCACTCACTGAAAGTCTACCTCTTTGGGAAAGCTGGATGTTCCCAGCAGATGCTAGTAATCACATTAATAGCCTGGATCTTTTCAGAAACCTTATCATCTCACATGACCCAAAGCGACCCTGGATAGCCATCAACTGTGTTCTAGATCAAAACACTGCTCATTTGGAGCTGTGGGAAGTGTTCTAAGAAGCTTCCCCACAGTTATTGCAAATTTGTGGGGAGAGAGAAAAAGAAGGGAGAGGAGATGAGAAGGATCAGTGACTGGTGCACAACATATTTCATGTTTAAACCAACAGCAGAGAATGGGGCAGGCTGTGCAATAGAAAGCTGGTTGGTATTTGTGTGGGGAGCTATGATCAATGTGAGCCTAGTAGTACCATGAGCATCAGTGTGTAGAGCAACAAGTGCAACTTTTACCTTTGTACTGTAGGCTAGTTCCTATGCGCGCGCGCGCACACACACACACACACACACACACAGCCTATCCTCCATCTAGGCAACAAGAGTCATTATCACAAATCAATGATACCTTCCAGGTAAACAAAAAACCTCAGAGAGTATGAAGCAAATCTGGTGAGAGGTGTGGTCTGGATAGAAAGGGTGTGGTTTCCCCTGAAGGGAGTCCCAAGGGCCAGTTAGAGGCACATCTGGCCTCTGGACCTGAGGTTCCACACCTGTTTTAGCTTACGAATGCTTGAGCCTCTCACTTTGTTATGAAAAAATGAGCTGCTCCTGCTTCTTTATTGAACAGGCTACCTCTACATGTCACTTTGCTGATAGGAAGCCTTTCATCCTTGCAGGTCAGAACTAGCATCATAGATCCAGCCACAACTATACAGTGACCACCATCAGGACACTCAGTCAGTGTTTGATGTAAATGATTGTTTTTTTTTTAAATGTCAAAGGGCATGATTATGCGAATTGCAGAAAGTTTTCAATTTGTTACCTAACTCAAAAAATGCAACGTGGAGAATGAAAAGGTACCATCTCAGCTGTACTGCTGGCACATTAACAACTGCAATTGCCCATTAAACGCTTGACTTAAATGTGCCTGATTGTAATGGGAATTTGCCAGACAGGATGCTAAAGTAGCGCATGTAGAAGTGGAACCAAGACCAGGTTGTAAATGCTTGCAGGATGGGCCACCCCAGCATTTTTGCCAAGTTTAGGGTGTGACTTTGCTGCTGTACTGGAAACCACAGTGAAAGTCCAAGTGCCCAGTTAACACACACTCACATAAAGTTTTGTTTTGTTTTGTTTTGTTGGAACAAGAAACAGTGGCTTTTTTCAAAGTGGCCGAGTCCTGAGCATCACTTATTTCACTTATTGAGTAGTTAATGTGCATAATAACCAGCCACTGTGCACACTCACCAGGCTTCAGGAAGGGTATGTCCAGAATCCTTCTGTAAAGAAGGAATTGGGCACATCTCCCAGTCAATATACGTAAGTAATGTGCTTATATTGACTATATTTTGTTCATACTCCAGCCAGTATGCATAATCTCCAACAGAGAAACTACTGTATAATAAAATACAATGCAGTATAAAAGAAAACTACAACATAATGCATAAAACAACTTTTAAAAACCCAAACGAAAACATAGCAGCACATTTTGAAACATCTTTTAGCGTCAGAGATCCTTTCCCTCTTCACCCCGCCTCTTGCAAGGCACATCCTGACCCTCACTATACAACACTCATCCCACTAACACAAAGACATCCCACCCAAATTCTGCCTTACAGTTACACAAAACCACAGTACGAACTGCTTGTTCCATATCACTCAACCCATTCTACTCCCACACCTCACATGCATTCATCAGTACACACAAACACACCATCCCACCCAGGAGTTCCAATTATCTCCCACTACATCACCAATCAATCTTTCTACTCAACCTGAAATATATGACAAAAACACCAAGACAACAATGATACCATCCACTGACAGAACTGTATAAAATAATACAGATTGCCACCTGCCAGTCACACCCAGGTTGCTGTCTCCCACCCAGTACTCACATGCAAGGATGAATTGTGCTCCTTCCCCACCCCATCTCAAACATTTCAGCCCACACAAGGAAGAGGGAGCGGGGAGCTTGCATCTATCAGAGTATGGTGGAGGCTGGCTGGTAGAGGGAACAGGAGCATTTGGCGCTACAACATTTTATTGCAGGTATCGCCTGTGGTGCACTTTTCTCGCTGCACATTTTGGTTACATCCTGCATATTTGGGTTGTGTCCTGCCCATATGTCCTGCATAGATATGTGTGTGTGTGTGTGTGTGTGTGTGTGTGTGAGAGAGAGAGAGAGAGAGAGAGAGAGAGAGAGTGTCTGTAAGGATGATTGTCCCCTCTCTTACAGAGATATTTTTAATGTTTACTGAGGTAATAAATGCAAGGCAAGGCACTTGGAGCACACAGTGAGTGTTGTTGTTACTACAAAACAGCCAGCAGCAGCAGTCAACCTCTCTAAAAACAGCCAACTGCTGCCTTCCAATGGTGGAAGTTTGTATGATCATCAGGCTTCACAACACCAGCTTGTGCCATGGTGTAACTTGAGGACACTGGCTAAATTGATTAGCAAAGACCTTGTTTGCTCCAGGAACGGGGGGGGGGGGGGGGCAGCGGCAGTTTTCAAAACAAAACAATCCCTACTTGGTTGCTGAGTTTGAGCCACAGAGTGGCTCTCTGGCTTAATCCCCAACTCGGCCACCACTCGCTTCCCAGTCTGACATTGTTTGCTGGCGAGCGACGGTGCCAGAAGGAATTAGGAGCCATTTGTCTTGTTTTCCCTCCACCTCCACTTCCCCACAAAATCTGGACATGCCCTTGAATTCAACGGTCCTGGCAATAAGTTAATGGCAGCTACTCAACTTTAACAGGTCTGTGGGTAGCTTTATCGCCAGCCATCTGTGTTGACAGCAGTGTAACCAAAGCTCAAAAGCATATTGGAATCTTTGGCCATATGGCGGCCAGGAAGGGAGAGCCAATGAGTCCAGGAGAAGAGTTTGCATTATATACAGAAGCAGGTGCCCAGAGAGGGAGGCACATCCCTTACCTGACAGCTAACAGGACAAGGTTGTCCTTGGGGTCCATACACAACAAGAGAGCCATGTTTCCATAGAATCATAGAACTGCAGAGTCAGAAGGGAATCTGAGGACCACCCAGTCCAACCCCCTGCAATGCAGGAATCTCAACGCAGGACTCCCAGCTGGATCATTAACACAAGGCCATCTCTGTTAAGGGCATTCCACTTTGCCAATGCAGACTTTATTATCATCTCCTTTTAGAAACATGAAGAACCATGAAGGCTTAAATAAATATATAAATAAATAAATAAATAAATAAATAAAATAATTTACTATTTACACCCCACCCATCTGGCTGGGTTTCCCCAGCCACTCTGGGTGGCTTCCAACAAAATATTAAAATACAATACAGTGGTACCTCTAGATATGAACGGGGTCCGTTCCAGAGCTTTTCGCCGCTTCTGCGCATGCACGTGGTGTCATTTTGAGTGTCTGCGCATGAGCAAGCAGCGAAACCTGGAAGCAACGCGCTCCGTTACTTCCGGGTTGCCGCAGAGCGCAACTCGAACACGCTCAACTCAAAGCGTATTCAACCCGAGGTATGACTGTAGTCTGTCAAACATTCAAAGCTTCCCTAAACAGGGCTGCCTTCAGATGTCTTCTAAAAGTCTGGTAGTTGTTTTTCTCTTTGACATCTGGTGGGAGGGTGTTCCACAGGGCGGGCGCCACTACCGAGAAGGCCCTCTGCCTGGTTCCCTGTAACTTGGCTTCTCGCAGCGAGGGAACCGCCAGTGATAACTTATACAAAGCTAAAAACCATTTAATGCTGATTTTAGGTGTTTTATTATGACTGCGGCAATTTTTTTTTTTTATTGAGATGCGTTACTGTCAGGTGCTTAGAGGTTAAAGCACTAGAGAAGGCCTTTTCAGAAAATATCAGTCAATAAATCTCTCTAACCTGTTCCTCACCCCATTCTGCAAAACACTCTCAACACCTTCCCCTTCCGTTGATGCTACAAAAGGCTTTACTTCTTAGTCCCTTTTACCATCCTGGCCAGTAGACCAGTTCCACGTTGACTGCTGGGCCAAAACTCTCCCATTCTTTTCGACACCCTTCTTCCAAACATGTGCTTTGAGTGCTTCCTGATGAGTATTCTGTTCACGGGGATAATCTAGCCAAGCACTTTCCATTTTATGCTTTTCATTAAATCTCACCAACATCTAAATAGCAAAATCGATGCTTTTGTCAGCAGTGTGACATGTAGCAATAAGATTCCTCTTCCTGGTTTTGCTTCCCTGCCCCACTTGCCCACAAACCGCCTGGTTAGTTTTCTCACGAGAAAGCAGCACGGGCAGCAATTCAGCTCATAGGATTTTGCAGGTACATCACAATCACAACCAGGAAAAGGCATTTGAAGTTATCAGGTGGGTGACGGAGTTCCCTGTATGGAACTGCCATGCCCCTGTTACAGCAGATTTGGTCTCGATGGACAAATGTCATTGCCTGATATAAGGCACCTACATCTATTCCTAAATAAACATGTGTAGTTTCAGGATCTCTGGGCTTGAACTCTGGGATGGGAAGGAAACCTAGCGAGGTGCTATGGGCTGCAGGCAAACAGCACGCTCAGGCACGGAGGGATTATAGGGGTGGCCAACATTGCCCTCTGCAATTGGCTGGCAGTATGGAGCATCTGGATTGGCCAGACATGGTATAAATAGCATGATCACAGCAGTGAGTCAGGACTTCTGCCTTTGCCAGCTAAAATGGGCTGATGCTTGCTGCACTTCAAGTTCTCCAGCTCAAGCTGCTGATTTCAGTGGCCTTGAGATGGATGCACCACTTTAGATTCAAGGATGGCCACTCATAGCCTTGTCATGGCCCTGAGCGACAGGACAGATCCTAGGAGGTTCTGAAGCAAGGGAACAAAGGGCATTGATCAAATCAATATTCCCCTTAAGCCAGGAAGGGACATTGACCAGTGGTCTCAAGTCCAATCGCCAGCATCACCAGGTGGACCAAGAGAAACTCCGCTTGAAATATAGAAAGTCACTGTTGGTCATTGTAGACAATTGGATCTGTGATCTGACTCAGTAGAACACAGCTCCCCATGATTCTAGAAGCCAGGGTCTGTGTGCAACAAACTTGGTGCCTAAGGAAGAAGTCTGCCAATTTCAAGTATTTTGGCAAGAGAGTAAGAAGAGGTTGGCTGCATTTCCCTGATACTTGCTAATCCTGCCAGGTCATGTCACCTTTTGAATCCATTTTGCATTGTTGCCATTGTGGTTTTGCTAATTGAGACTGGAGTTTGCTTGCTGTGAACAGATTCAAGGGAGAGCTCCACCAGTATGGCCCTGGACTCTGCATGTGTTCCTCAAAGCAAAGTTTCCCAAGAGTGTGCTTTGTTATGGCACACCCAGCTGTGATCTGAGGCTGCAGTGGATCCTTTCTAACATGATCCATCATCCCAAAGCTGCAGGCCAGGTGGCTGGAAGGCATCTGGGTTGTCAGTCACATTCTTAGCTTAACCAGTCACATGCTTAGTTATCAGTGGACTAAGTTTCAGAGACTTGAATGGATTCCCTCATTTCTCCCATAATGCATCTGTGTAGAACAGGAAGAAGAACTCTCTACTGCTGTTCTTTTCAGTGGTTTCATCAAGATACTACACTGTATCCATGTCCCCGAATTTTTATTTTGTTCCTTCCCTTACCCTGTTTTACAACAAATCCTTTCACTATGAATTTATTGTTTTTACTTAGTAAATATATATTGTGCTCTTCCTCTCAAAGCAGCTCTGTTGCTTTTAAAGACTACAAAGTGCTGAGGGGTGTGTGTGTGTGTGTGTGTGTGTGTGACAATTTGACCAAAATTGTGGAGAATCAGGGCAAGGCTCATCAGTAACGTTAAGGGAAATACACACACACCAGCTTTCCCCACTATTTGAGCACTAATGTAGATAGTAACTAAACCTGAGCGTGTGCACACACACATTTTATTCCTCTGTGCATCCAGAAGTCCTATTATTATTATTAACAACATTAGCTTTTGTCCCTGCTCTCCAAATTCACACGTGCATCCACCTTCTTTAATTCAGAGCTTTCCCATTGCAATCCTTTTCAGAATACAGTGGACGCTTGGGTTGTGAACGTGATCTGTGCTGGAGGCACGTTCTCAACCCGCAGCGTCCGCATCCCGTCTGTTGTGATTTGGTCTTCTGCGCATGTGCAAAGCGCAATTTAGTGCTTCTGTGCATGTGTGAGTGCCAAAACCCGGAAGTAACCCAATCCGGTACTTCCAGGTTTTGGCACGTCCGTATCCTGAAATGCGCAACCTGAAGCGTCTGTAACCCGAGGTATGACTGTATACACTTATAGAGCTTTGCACAATGCTTGAAATTCAGGTACCACACCGAACCACATCAGGGGTGGGTGGGGAAAGGCTTCCAAGGGACAGTTGGCAGCTCAAAGTGGGCTCCTGGTTGCTCCTTTGCTGCAGCAAGATGCACTCCCAGCTGCCCATCTTCTGAGCCTGTTGATACCTCCCTTTAGCCTGTGGATGGTGCTGGCTTGGCTGAGTCGCGTACTGACACTCAGAGAATGGGTTTGCTACTAGTATGCAAGATAATACATAGCACTTATTCCTTAAGCCATGTGCTCCATAGTTAATATGAGAAGGGGGAATCACATTCCATTGTCTTTGATTTATCCAGTCTCCTCTGTCCGTACTAAAATCAAGTCTTCTAATTGCAGTGCCCAAACCCTCAAGGTGTATCAGGTTGCTAAGGCAGATCAGCTGAGAGGAAGACCCTCTTTTGCACCCAGCGGGGCTTTAAAAATATATATACCTATATCAACCCACCGAATTTAAGGGGCAGGTCTGGGGAATAGATGGAAATGGAAGAGAGTATAAAGGAAAGGAGGGGGGAATGAGCCTCCAGCTGTTAGTTGCTGGAGTGAGATCATATTGAACTAAACCGCAGTGTAAACTTTATTAAAGGTCACACTAATGAATGGCTTAATTCTAGAATTATAAATTAACTCATGTGGCTTTTCCTTTGTGAACAACTGTGCTTTTCTGGAGCTAACCAGCTCTCTAACATACACACAGTGAGTTGAGCTGATATGGTTATACTGCCACCTGCTGATTAATGCCACTATTTACATCTCAGAACTGCTCCAGAGATGGATGTGCAGAGAGATAAGCTTACTGAAAGTGAAGGGAGTGGGGAGTGTGCCCAAGTACACTGCCTTGTGTGAAAATTGCATACATGCTTGTTCACTTCAGCTTCCAAAAGGAAGAGAAGCTTTCAAAACTACTGTCTGGAGCCACAAAGATAAGTCCTTGCCGAAGACCACCTAGGCTGGGATGAGCTCTGAAGCAGTGGACTCAATGGAGGCAGATCCATTCAGGCAAATCAGGCACTGCCCCAGCCACTTTAATCTACGCTAAACCAATCCCCACCAGCCTGCCTTCTTACAACCAATCAGGAGATGGTTCTGTCTCTCATAGGCTCTGGCTCCACCTACTGTTGGTCTCCCTGCCTTACACCCCATCAGTTCCATGGAGCAACAGCCACCACTGAGTGGACTTCCTAACCCACACTACAGCACCTCCTAGTGTTGGATGGTGGTGGCACAAGGGTTAAATCCCTGCTTCTCATTCCTCAAGTGATCAGCCCAAGATCTACTGTAGGCTTGAACCTGAGCATGCAGAGCTGCTGACTTCAACACAATTAAGTTTTAAGACGGGACCACAGCTCATAGACATAGTACATGTTTTGCATGCGGAAGATCTCAGATTCAGTCCTGAGCATCACTAGGCTGGCTGAAAGGAGAGATAGCCCACTGCCAGAATGTAGTCCCCTCAACAACACAAAAACATTCCCCTTCCATGCTTTGGGATCTGAACTGCAAAGACAGCAGGGGATTGACTATCATCAGCCCCTTTACAAAGGAACCAAAATGACATTTTTCAGGATCAACAAGGAAACCACAAGCTATTTAAAGGCACAGGGTAGTATCCAACGAAATTCTACTCAGAATAGTCCCACTGAAATTAAGGAACCTAAGTTAATAATGTTCATTAACTTCAGTGGCTCTACTCTGAGTAGGACTAGCATCAGATACAACCCCTTAGATTGTACTCACCTGGGTACTGCCTGAGACAGCATCAAAAGGCCAATGCCAATACACACACACCCAGGCTGGGCTGGGGGCTGGGGGATAAATTCAATGAAGTTTACATTTAAACACAAAGCTATCAAATTCATACTTTATAAAACAATCCCCTCCCCCCCAAAAACAGCTTCCTTCAAATTCTGCACATCTCCACATTTTGCAATGCAGTTACCCAGCAAGTAACGTGCATAAAAATGCATATACGGTTTTTGAACGCCTTGGTACTTGAGCATTTTGGCTCCCAAATGCAGAAAACCCAGAAGTAAGTGTTCCGGTTTTCAAACATTTTTTGAAAGCTGAACGTCCAATGCAGTTGTCGGCTATTGTTTCCGGGCGCCTGCACCAATCGGAAGCTGCGCCTTGGTTTTCGAACGTTTCAGAAGTCGAACAGACTTCCGGAACAGATTACGTTCGAGAACCAAAGTACTACTGTACAATGGTTAGTGTGCATCAAAACGCACATATTAATGAAAATAGCAACAAAAAATGTGTACACTGAGTCAAATTGCATACAAAAATAGGTTTATTGGAGAAAATTCACACCAAAATGCTGTCAAATTTTATTTTAAAAAATCCACAAATTGCTGCTGAAATGTGGAGAGCTCAATTTAAAATGGGAGGGAAATGGGAAACTGAGAGAACCAAAATTGACAGATCCATCCAACCCTAATCCCAGGCCAGGTTATAGTGTATCCAGGGCCAACCACAGCTGGTGCAGAAAATTCCACAAGCCCCTCTCCCTACTCCCTGGCAGTAAGATAGTGTTGAATTAAATAACTAACAATTTACAGCCCTTTCGTGACCCTCAAAATTAGCAGCCTAGAGATCTCTCTCTGTATATGCACACACAATGCAGGTTCTAAATTTCCTTACCCCTATCCCTTTAAACTGAGAGGCCAGGACTGCGGTGCAACTTGACATTCAGCCCACTGAGAGGCCACATTGCCCATTTTGACTGGTGTGCTCTCTTTTCTCCCCTCCCCCCCCGCCCCAGATTTAATACTTTTGACACATGTATTTATTCTATTGAATCAATTGATGCTACCAGCATTTTTTTTTTACCTCTGAGCAAACAAAAAAACAGGTGCCTTAATTTATTGCATTAAATAGCTGTATCAAAGACTTTCTGACAGATCAAGAGAAACTGCTGCAGGGGAAGGATTTCTGCCACCATTTGCCAAGCTTTTTTAAAAAAAAAAGGAAAAGAAAGGAAAAGAAAAGCTAGACGCCAAGCAACAATCAGGACTGTATTGTAGATTTAGAATTGTGATTAGCCTCTGCATTCAGCAGCGGTAATTCCACCAGAAGCCCCAGACTTCAGTGGCAAAGAGAAAAATGGGAATGCTGAAGAGAAGAGATCAATATCTAGAGGAGATAAAAGGCAACAGAGAAATTGGCTGATAACTATTCAGATCTCGTGCATCCCACCTTCCTGAAAGAAGGGTAATTAAAGCCATATTCTAATTAACTTGTACTTTGCCCCCAATCAGAAGCATCCTTTGCAGAAAAACTAATGAGGCTGGGAGAATGGGTTCTTCCTTGTGGATCCGTCTGTCTAAGTAAAATAGAAAGCAGTCTTTAATTTGGGGCAGGAGAGGAGGGAAATGAGACAAAAGCTCTCTGAATAGTTGGGTGCTAAAGACTTCAGACCCCTCAACCGGTGCAGGTGAGAATCGGTGACCCCCTGCAAAAGCTCAGAGCCAAACCATACCTGCTCTGCAAATATGTGCATATAAAACTCAACACTCGCTTCAATTAGGAAGGGGTGGTTTTGAGCAGAGGAGTTGCGCTACTGAGCTTCTGCTACAACCCAGATCTAAGAGGAGGAGGAGAAAGAGATTTGCTGACAGCAGCTGGATGATTCCATCCTCCTTTCTACCCTGCTCCCTGTCCAAACTGCCAAACATGCTGGATATGGGGGTGAGAGGGAAGAAGGCATTTCACAACCAGCAGTGCCATTGAGGTATCTGACAATGTTCCTGCTGCCACAGGCTGAAAGACGAACCCAGATTAATTCCATGGATGGGTGCTTCAACAGTATTTGCTAATCTGCCTCTCCTGTTTGCAGATGGACAGGAGCGAGTTCCAGCAGGATTCGGTCCTCAAGCAGCTGGAAGTGCTCAAGGAGGAAGAGAAGGAGTTTCAGAATTTGAAGGTAATTGACTACAGCAGGGGTGGGGAGCATGTGGCCCTGGAAATGGTGCTGGACTCCAGTTTCCCATCAGTGTAGACACAGTGCCCAGAGTTGATGGGAGCTGTAGTCCAGACAACATCTGTAAGGCCACAGGGGCTCCTTTCCTGGGCAGCAGGATACTTACTACTTTACTCATGCAGGCAACAATGCTACCTTGGGGTTAACAGATCCAGGGATTCCTTAGTCACCTGTATCTGGCAAGCGGTAAGGAAAACAAGTCAAGTCTGGTTTAAGCCAATGAAGCGCCACTAGAATCAACATCAATACAATAAGCTCAAGTACTTATCACAGCAGGTAGCCATGTTTCTTCATTATACCATGAGAGGCTGGTAACCACCAGCGCTGCCACCTTTTACAAAGCAATTAAAGTGAAATTTGGGGCAATTCACACAGCCAGACTCAATCATATTGAGAACATGGGTGAGAGTGCGGCCCAGAGGAGTTCAGCATCTGATGGCATCATCCTGTGGTTACATCAACAGCCCCCCAGTTCCGTATTCAAATCGGTAGCTGCTGCAGCGCTCAAATGCCTCCAGCGGCAGCTTGGGGAACAATGTGCCAAACTCAATGTAGATCTGCTAAAACCATGTAACGCAAAACTCATTGTAGATAAGATATACTAAAACAGAGGCAGGGAACCGATTGTTGTTGTTGGGATACTGCCGGGAAAACGGGGGCACCAGGCAGGCATCAGGCAGGCCCCCAGCTGGCTCCAGCCACCGGCCGGCAGCCAGTCTCCCTTGGAACAGCATCAGTCAGCGGCATGAGCCTCAGATACGTTTAGAGACCCGTGCACGCTCTATCAGCAGAGTGTGCAAATCTTCTTACAGCAGAAGAGGCAGACAGAGAAATATGTAAGCATAATGTATAGTATTTTATTCAGCATAGTTCAAGAACAAAGGAAAACATGTCTGCTTCCCTTCGTCTCCAGCAAAACAGCAGTAACCCAAAAGCTATATACAAACAGAAGTGCTGGAAGTAAACAGGCATGTGACACAACAGTCATGCCTGTTCCCTTTTAAGGTAGAACAGAACGATATCCTAACAATTATCTGCCACCACCATCCCTGCAGGCCAAGTGTGACAGGTGCGTGGGGCCACTTGCTTGTCAATCACCTGATGCCACAATGATATCTGATGTCCTTTCTTCCCTGCCCGCATGATTTGAAATATAGGCAACAACCATTTTGCATGGGGATTCCCTTCCCTTTTCTGGGTCCAAAAGTGCTCATATGTCAGTGATCACATGTCATTTGGATGCTCCTAAAATGGCTCTTATCTGTACTACTATTTAAGAATTTGCACCTGAATTTCCTTCCCCTCCCACTTCCCTTGCTGTCCCTTTCCCCTTGTATGTTGTGTTTTTTAGATTGCAAGTCCGCAGGTCAGGAACTGCCTTGTTTAAATTTATTGTGTGTAAGCCACTCTGGCTGAATGCTGGGGTAAAAAAATACAGTCGTACCTTGGATCTCAAATGCCTTGACTCCCGAATGATCGAAACCCAGAAGTGAGTGTTCCAATTTTCGAACGTTCTTTTGGAAGCTGAACGTCCAACGGGGCTTCTGATTGAGTGCAGGAGCTTCCTGCAGCCAATCAGAAGCCGCACTTTGGTTTCCAAACGTTTTGGAAGTCGAACAGACTTGCAGAACAGATTCAGTTCGAAGGTATGACTGTACTCTTAAATAAAGGCGCAGCCAACAGTATAAACTGTTAAGTTGTGGGTGAACATATCAGACGACACAGCGATTCTTCAAACAGCTCTTGTTTATCCACAGGCCAGAACAGAACTGAACTGAAGGGTTCAGTCAGCCTGCTTATATAGAGGTCCAGTACAACGTAACTGTAACAATTTTCTAAAACTATCCAATCACTGAACATCACTTTCGATCCCTTATTTGCATAACTACCTACAGTATCCCCTGCTGGCCCAGGGTGAGAACTTCACTACATAACATAAACCAAGAAGTCTAAAACACAAAACACGCACCCTGAGCCAAGAAATAACTCTCCCCCCCCCCCATTTCTTCCAGGATCCCACTAATGGTTATTACAGTGTGAACACCTTCAAGGACCACCACTCCACTCCCACCATCTCCCTCTCAGGCTGCCAGCCGGACCTGAGACCAGCCAACAAGCAGCGCGTGCCCACGGGCATGTCCTTCACCAACATCTACACGACCCTGAGCGGGCAGAACCGCCTCTACGACTACAGCCAGCGCTTCGTCTTGGGCATGGGCAGCAGCTCCATCGAGCTGTGCGAGCGGGAATTCCAGCGGGGCTCCATGAGCGACAGCAGCTCCTTCCTGGACACGCAGTGCGACAGCAGCGTCAGCAGCAGCGGCAAGCAGGACGGCTACGTACAGTTCGACAAGGCCAGCAAGGCCTCGGCCTCCTCTTCCCACCACTCCCAGTCCTCCTCTCAAAACTCAGACCCCTCCCGGCCCCTGCAGAGGAGAATGCAGACCCATGTGTGAGGAGGATGGGACTGGGACATGGAAGCGGTGGTGGGGAGGAGGAGGAGGAGGAAGAGGAGCAGCAGGCTGGGACATTGGAAGAAGGCAAGCTCCCCTCCCAGCCTGAAACCCAGCCCTGCCGCCAGCCGGGGTGGAGGAGCCTCCTGAGGTTGGCAGGTTCTGGGTGGGTGGAGGTTGTTTTGTGGTTTTATTTGCATTCTAGTGACTTTTTCTTTATAAGGCCTCAAGGCACTTTCTCCCCTCTTCCTCACTTAAGAGGAGAAACTGCAGCCCAACACACAAGGCGACGGGAGCTAGGACTAGGAGTCTGTGTTGCAGGTAAAATAGTCCATACAAAGAGACACGTACCTTCCCCTCCTGGATCTGTTGATCCTACTGAGCAGGTGGGGAGAACCTACGGCAGCTGAACCCAAACTAATTTTAAGCACAACAAAGTCTGTTTTCTTCCTGCAGCAGACTGGGCTTAGGGGGCCATGGGAGCGACGGAAGGCCCAAAGACAGGCAACTCGTTTGAGTAACTGTAGGTCGGAACAAAACCCATAAGCTTCGTTGGTTGCTTTTCCATATGTGTAACAACGGAATCCTCTTTCAGGGAAAGGGTTGGGGTTCTAGACTCAACACCACAGGAGAACCACAGGAGAACCCTCTTTCATTCCATAAAATATGAGCTCTTCTGGCTGCAGGATGTTTTGAGACAACACATGGTCTTCCTGTTGACCAGCAATTTTGTATTTCCTGATTCCTCCGAAGATTACCTCTCCCATTTTCACTTGATGGGGAGATACATACATGCTACCTGTCAAGTCCTCTGTTCTTGGTCACTTCACAAAGAGAAGGTGACCAATGCTCCTGGTGTCTTTCCCCTCCGCTTCCTCTTCCTCCATGACATCACTTCCTGACTGGACATTTTGGAGATGGCACACCTTCAAAGCTGTCAAGTATGGCAGCCTACTGCCCTTCCTGCCGCTTAGCCCCATTTGCAAACTGCAATCACGCAAAAAAATTGTCTTCAAGCAACCTCAAAGAGTTTGGCTTACTTTTAAGGAAGTTCCGTAGAGGGGGGAGAGGAACAGTCATTAGTGTAACTTAGTGTGCACTGACTGCTTAATTCTGGTCGTCTTTTTTTTTACTTTCTTTTTGTTTGGTGTTGAGTGTTCATAATATTACAGTGTGTCTTTGGACTATAAAAGCAAAACAAAACCTGGAGTTGAAAACTTTTAAAGTGTTGATTCTCAGCAGAACACACAGACAGACACACAGACAGACACGCACAACAGGAACGCTCTGGTCTGGATCAGCTGCAGAGGAACTGTTGGTGGACAGAGGACTGAGCTCATAATCTGAGTGACGTGTGACAATCACAGAGAAGGCCCTTCCCGTGGGGGCTACTGCGAGTGAGCATAGAGCATTTTCTTACTGCTGCTTGTGTATTTCCTCTCCCCGCCCTATTCTCTTACCCCCTCCCCCCAATAGCACAACTGGAAAATTAATACAAGAGTTGTTACAAGTGCCTTTGCAGTGAATTCATTTGAAAGCTTGTCAGACAGAAGGTCTCCATTGCGAAAGAGAAATCACATACACCTTTTCGGGTGAAGGGTACCTGCAGAATGCCCCACGATCTCAGGGCTCTTACAGATACCCTATTCACTGAACACTCATTCTGATTTGTTTGCACAGGGGTTAAGGTGACATTGCATCAAAGCAAGTGTTGTCTGACACTTTCCTATACATTTCACCATCACTCGCCTTAATGCAAAAAGTCCAATCTTTGGGGGAAGTTGGTTTGCTGCACAAGGACTCCCAACCAACCATAATTGTACAACCTGAATTTACCAGTATGTGACTGTATCCCACCCCAACAATGGCAAGTCTGGAAGTGCCCTCCATTCAATGCCAAGTAGTAGCTAGGTCAGGGGTCAGCAAACTTTTTTCAGACCTCAGACCTTGTGCAGGGCCGGACTATATTTTTTTGGGGGGGGGGAATGAATGAATTCCTATGCCCCACAAATAACCCAGAGATGCATTTTAAATAAAAGGACACATTTTACTCTTGTAAAAAAAAATGCGGATTCCCGGACCATCCGTGGGCCGGATTTAGAAGGCTATTGGGCCGGATCCGGCCCCCGGGCCTTAGTTTGCCTACCCATGGGCTAGGTGATCAAAATGTACCAGAAGTATTATTATTATTAAATTAATTTTATGGAATTGTAGAGTCAGAAGGGACCCTAAGGATCATCTAGTCCAACCCCTTGCAATTGCAGTTGTCCCATACAGGGATTGAACCTGCAACCTTGGCATTATCAGTACCACCCGGTAACCAACTGTTGCCTAATACAAAATGTTTCTAGACGACTTACACACACAGTTATAAAATGACCATCGGGTATAGTAGCAAAACAATGATCCCCAAATATCTATCACTGAAACGGCAGTAAGCGTGACAATATTCACCCAGAACCAACCGGGAGATGAGAAAAGGCCACCCAAAGACCTACAAAACAAAGCCCATAAATCTGCTTTAACAATCTACACTGTAGCAGCCAAAAATAAAAATCAGCAACCCAACATTACTAATAATACTAGCAAAGATATACTTCTGGCACTCCCTGTAGGAGCTCCCCCAACCCCCCAACCCAGAAAAATACCCACCTGGCTTCTGGGAGGTTCTGGCCTTCTCAGGCCAGCAGGTAACAATCAAACAGCAGGTCTTCCTGCTGGGATTCTCCTCAATGGCAATGCATCAGCAAACACAGAGCAGGGCCCAGGTGGGGTAAAAGAGTCACACCTGTGCCATGATTGTCCTCTCTGCTGCATTCTTTCACCCAGGTGGGTGACTATGGGGGAATCAGATGCATAATACTGACCTCCTTCCTAGCAGCTGTTCACTGAGGGTTTTTGCCTTTTAACAATTTATTTGTGTACAATTTTCACATAATGTGCAGCAGACAAGGAGGTGTGTCTTGATTTCATGAGAACCCTTTCTGGTACAGGAAAGCTAAATAATCATCATCATCATCACTTTGGAAAACAGATTGGTCCACAAACTGTGTATCTTCAGATGGACTGTTCACAAGACATGGATGTCTACAAACATCCAAACTGGAGTGACTGATGGTTGACTTCCTCTTGATGGAAGGGGGCAGGGTGTGAGCATGGGATAACATATTTGTTAATGTCTGGAATAACAGCATATATAGAGAGAAGGGATGGGGACAGTGGCCTGATCTAGCGTATCACATTTCGCTGATTATCACCATGTGTATCATGAAATACTATTTTCTTCCCTGTTGCCCAGTATGCTGTGCTCTTTCTTTAGAGGCCACTTTTGGACTGCCAGAAACAGCAGAGATTTGCATGAAATTTGCATATGCTAATTTATACATATAGACGCAAGTTTAGAAATAGAAATGTAGTACATCCCACCATAGAAGGGAACAAGACTTTAAACAGGTGACCTGTGTGTCTTCTCAGCCTGCTATTTTGATTGAGGGCAAATCCGAGGCCCCTTCATTATCTTTAATCCAGACATGAGCTGGACAGCCCTTCAAATGGGACTGTCCTCTGACAGCCTTTTCAACATAGGACACAGTCACCTTTTACTGCTTACACAGATAACATGGGAAGCAGTTGAGGAGCTTTTGGGGAGGGTGGGTGTCTCAGCAAAAAGAAAGAAAGAAAGAAAAAATGCAGCCTGCATAAATAACAAAGGGTTTCTTCCTTTCGTTATTTTTTTGAAATTAGGGACCAAGAAGATGCATGTTCACTTTTTGCAGCAGATGCATACCCTCACAGCCTGCCAGGGCAAAGCTGTACTGATGCATGGCAACCCCTAAATGTTGGGGACCCAGTGTGGCCAGAGCAGTGGGGCAGTGAGTGATGCAACTTTACTCTTTAGACTTACTGGTCTTACGGAGGGCAGGTGCATCCACCATGCAGCTCAGAGAGCAGTGCACAAAGTGGTTCCCCATCCTCATTTCACCCTCACATCAACCCTGTGAGGTAGGTTAGACATAAAGGGCAATTTACTTCACTTCAAAATGCGATAAGCCAGCCCTCATCTGCTGTGTTTCAAGGCCTCTTTGCTCTTTCTGTGAGTAGGGGTCAGGCCTGGACTTCTGCCCCAAACTCCTGGCCTGACAGCACTGCTGGATCAGTTGGAGATGAAAGCTGAAGGGAAGTAAACAGAAAGGACAGCCCTGTTGAGTAGACTACGGCATAAAGCCAGGCTGCTCTTATTTGTACCAGGCCTACCCTCAAGTTCCATATTGCTCGCCACTCCTTGGGGCTGAGCTGCAGATTCCAGTTTCATTCTTGTTTCATTCTCTGTTGGAAAGGACTCTGTCAGAGCCCAAAGGGACTCACCAGGCCTGGCCCCAGCCACAGGCTTGGTCCACACAGCCGCTCCAGCAGTGTAGGACTCAACAGAGATCTTGCTGGTCTTTGACTATGGCCACGCTGGCTGGGGCTGATGGGAGCCACAGTCCACAACATCTGGAGGGCACCATGTGAATTCCTGTTGGTCCACACTGGAAGCAACTTTTGGCATGCAAGGTGTGAAAAAGTGTAAATGTTTGGCATGTGAAATGTGCTCTACCATTAAACTACAGCCCTGCCCTTACCTAATGCACATTGCCATGAGAAAAGTACAACGAGGATTCTAGATCAAATTCAAGGGCACAATAAAGACAAGTGTAAAGTTCTGCACTTAGGGAGGAATAACCAGCTGCACAAATATAAGATGGGGGATACCTGGCTTGACATAAGTACATGTGAAAAGAATCTAGGTGTCTTAGCAGACCACAAGCTGAAAATGAAAAATGTGTTCCGCAGCAACAATAAAAAGCGAATGCTATTTTAGGCTGCATCAACAGAAGTAAATGACCCCTGGATGGTTAGGTCCAGTCAAAGGCGACTATGGGGTGTGGCGCTCATCTCGCTTCTGGCCGAAGGAACCAGCGTTTGTCCACAGAGAGCTTTCCAGGTTATGTGGCCAGCATGACTAAACTGCTTCTGGCGCAATGGAACACCATAATGGAAGCCAGAGCGCATGGAAACGCTGTTTACTTTCCCGCCGCAGTGGTACCTATGTATCTACTCGCACTGGTATGCTTTCCAAACTGCTAGGTTTGCAGAAACTGGGACAGAGCAAAGGAAGCTCAAACTGCCAACCTTCCAATCAGCAAGCCCAAGAGGCTCAGTGGTTTAGACCACAGCACCACCCACGTCCCTGGCAATAGAAGTACAGTATCTTGACCAAGGGAAGTAATAGTCCCTCTCTATTCTGCCTTGGTCAGACCAAACCTAGAGTACTGTGTCCAGTTCTGGGCACCACAGTCTATAAAAGATATTGACAGGCTGGAAGGTGTGCAGAAGAGGGGGACCAAGGTTATCAAGGGTCTGGAAACCAAGCCTTATGAGGAACGGTTGAGGGAGTTTGGTACGTTTAGTCTGGAAAAGAGGAGAGTGAGAGGAGATACGATAGCCATCTTCAAATATCTAAAGGGCTGTCACATGGAAGATGGAGAAGGCTTGTTTTCTCCTGCTCTGGAGGGTGGGGCTGATCCAATGGTTTCAAGAAAGGAAATTCTTTGCAAACATCTGGAAGAACTTTCCGACAGTCAGAGCTGTTCAACAGTGGAACGGTCTCCTTTGGGAAGCTAGGGACTCTCCTTCATTGGAGCAGCGACTGGATGGCCACCTGTTAATGGATGCTTTAGCTGAGTTTCTTGCATTGCAGGGGGTTGGACTAGATGACCCTTGGGGTACCTTCCAACTCTACAATTCTATTATTCTGTGAACCCTGGGCCATTTGCAGTGTCAGAGGTGAAGCTAGCTAACCTCCACAGCACATGGCCAAGAGGCAGCTAACAATGCAGACAATTAAACAGCTCGTAAAACGCTTCATGCTGGAGAACCTTCCACTTCACTAAGCCAGCAGGCTGTGCATCAATCTTACAGCAGCTTTCCTGTTGCTTACCAGGCACTGGGTGAGCTATTTAGGTCGACAGTACTCAAAATCCCTGGATAACAGGTTGCATTTTTAATTATTTGTCATGCCAGCGCTGCTTCTGGTTTTGCAAACTGAACATGGAAACAAGACAAGCCCTCCTTGGCAAAAGAAACTTGACAGGTGCTTACATTGTATATTTGCACTAACCAAACATTATTAGGCTTGGACTCAACAATACAGAACAGGAGATTTTTAATTTTAATTCTATTATTTATTGCAAAAGGGAGGGAGGAAAAGGGAGGGGTGACTTTTCTTCCTCTCACCCTCTTTTTCTGAAAACATACTGTTGCTGCCACCTACTGGTCATGTGCAAGAATCGCAAACTCCTAATTGCCTTACATCCTTGCTATCTATACAGCACCCAAAGTCCCCTGGCTGAGACCACGGTGTAGGGCCCTCGCTATTCTACCTCACACATAATTCATGAAGCTTGATTAATATGCAAATACTTGGCAGCCGATCACCCCTCGCGAGCAGTTAATGATTTGTTCAGGGACCCAGCTGCCTGCCAGTATATATATTTCTTTAGTTTACTGTCTACGGCAGGAGCTTCTCCAACCATCTGTTCATTAATATGTAACAAGCAACAGTGATAAGCAATTAAACTGGCTGCAAATTAACCAATTTGCTTGGGGAGCAGCCTTTTGAGCGCTTGTTTGTTTCATTAAACCTTAAATTCATCAGGAATCCAAAGGAACGGAATGCCGTGAGCCACGTTCGGAGCCGGGCTGCAGCTTCTTTCTCGGAAGTAGGGAGGAAACGATCCCTTCCCGTAAGCAAAAATGCAGAAATGTCCATTCAGCCCAGATATGCAAGCTGCACAGGAGACTTTCTTTCTTCCTAGCCTAAAAGTCATGGTAGGCTGGCCCCCCAGTTGCCTGGAGGGTCCCTCCAATTCTGTTACCTCCTGACCTTGGGTACTGGTCACAAAAGCAGCCAGGGTGCCGGGGTGGGGAATCTACCAAGTGTGGCTAGGCATCAACCTCTGAGACCTGAAGTGGGATCTGCCCAGCCCAGCTCAGCTCAGCTCAGCTGTGCTCGGAACCCCTTATTTTTCCCTGCTTATCCTCACGTTGTCCCATTTCCCTCAAACCAGTGGCATAGCGTGGGTTGTCAGCACCCGGGGCAAGGCAAGTAATTTGCGCTCCCTAACCCGTGGATTTGCGCCCCCTAACCCGTGGATTTGCGCCCCCTAACCCTAACCCCCAGATGTTGCGGCCGGTGCGGCCGCCCCCCCTGCACCCCCCACGCTACGCCACTGCCTCAAACTCCTCATTCCAGCAAGGATCCAACTCAGGGGCGTAGCCAAGGGTAGGGCTAAATAAAGTAAATCATTTTTTAAAAAACTTAATTAACTGAGGTTCTGCTCCCCCCCCCCAACATGAAGCCTGCCCCTGCCCAACATAAATGCTGGCTATGCCCATGATCCATCTCTGCTGTCTTGGCGCTGAGCATTCCATATCCATTTCCTGTGGTTCTTTAACAGACCTAGAGATGGCATGACATGAGTTTATTCCTTTTTGTCCTCATCGCAATGCTCAAAAGCAGGAGGAGGCACCTGTGGTCCTTCAGATGTTAGTCATAGCTGCCAACATTTCCCTTTTTTAAAGGGAAATTCCCTTATTCCAAATAGGACTCCTCGCAAGAAAAGGGAAAAGTTGACTGCTATGATGTTAGTGGATCACAGCGCTCATTGTCCTTGACCATTGGCCATGCTAGCAGAGACTGGTGGGAGCTGGAATTCAACAGCAACTAGGCAAGCACAGGTTTGTTACTTTCTTGTAAAGGTTTATCAGACAGAGAGCAGAACCAGCACAAGACAAGATTCTTGAGGCAGAACTGCAAAACTCTCTCTCTCTCTCTCACTCACACACACACACACCCAAGGTCTAGTCCAGCTTCCTGTTATCACAATGGCCGACAAGGTGCCTCCCCACCTGCGATTCCCACCAACTGGTATTGAGAGTTCTGGGCACCACAGTTCAAGAAGGACACTGACAAACTGGAACGTGTCCAGAGGAGGGCAACCAAAATGGTCAAAGGCCTTATGAGGAACGGCTAAGGGAGCTGGGCATGTTTAGCCTGGAGAAGAGGAGGTTAAGGGGTGATATGATAGCCATGTTCAAATATATAAAAGGATGTCACATAGAGGAGGGAGAAAGGTTGTTTTCTGCTGCTCCAGAGAAGCGGACACGGAGCAATGGATCCAAACTACAAGAAAGAAGATTCCACCTAAACATTAGGAAGAACTTCCTGACAGTAAGAGCTGTTCGACAGTGGAATTTGCTGCCAAGGAGTGTGGTGGAGTCTCCTTCTTTGGAGGTCTTTAAGCAGAGGCTTGACAACCATATGTCAGGAGTGCTCTGATGGTGTTTCCTGCTTGGCAGGGGGTTGGACTCGATGGCCCTTGTGGTCTCTTCCAACTCTATGATTCTATGATTCTATGATTTCCCCCAAACCATGGAGGCAGGGCATAGGTGTCATAGCAGGTAAAATTGGCCATGCTGCCTGGAACCATTGGAAGTCAAAGTCCAACAAGTTATGGAGAGCCACATGTGCCTCCCCACTCTACTGTATAACCCTTTTTACATGGGGGTGGGGCGATTAAGAAAAAAATGTGCAGGTAAATCAATCCAATTGTTCACCAAGTAGTAACGCAATTACAAAACTAAACATATTGTGCTACATGTATTTATTATGTCCAGACTCTTCTAGAGTTATTCTGTCGCCCCCCCCCCGCCCCCGTACACATTTTGAGTATAGGCCTAAGCGTGAATACTACAGACAGGCATGTTTGCCAGGGAGCTACGACTGGGTGAGGATCATTGACACACTGCCCCTTAGCAAGCCAGGTTTGTCATTGGGTGTGCATTCCACGGGGAGCCACAGCCAGCTCCAGCTCTGAGAGAATTATGGACATTTCCTCAGCAAAATGGAGCTGCTTTAAGGATTTGGGTATCTTTCTCTATAGAGCTTTGGCACCTATGTAAATGAAGCAAAGCCTTGGTTTGCCTATACTCAGCTGTTTGAAACTGCTTGAAACTTCTTTGCAACACAGTATAATCCCTTAAATCCTGAGCTACTGCCGTGCAGTTTGGTTCAGGGTTAAATTCAACATTCCAGGGTCCAAACCAGAGCCTAGTCTCACCTCCCACTCAAGAGAGGGAGGGGGAAAGGTGTAACATACATTCATTGTATTCAGTTCAATTGTTTGTCCTGCTTGCAGGAAACACCATATAAACTCTGTGATTCTGAAGCAAGGTGTCATGAACTGGCAGGACTTTGGGGAAGAGAATCCTGGTGAGGGGTGTAGCCAGGACTGGGACACATCAAGGCAAGCTGCAGATGGGGAAGGAAAGGTTAGTGTAGGAAGTACTCACGGGGTGACGGAAGATGAGGAGGGGGTGAAGGTCAGTGCACAGGAACCAGAGCAGCAGGACCCATCACCAGAGCCGGGGGGCCCTGTCTCCCTGAACACAGTGGGCTCTGAGGTGTAGGGAGCAGCAGGAAGGGTGCTCCAGGAAGCTGAGGCAGGCAAAGGCCCACAGCCCAGCTCCCTAGCTGGCCAGGTGGAGCTCACTAACTCTGGGTGGAGGTGTGTGATTGCTCAGCTGGAGTAGACAGGTGAGGGTCATCTGCCTCATCAAGCCCAGATGCTGCAAGGGGCATGCAAAGTATAAAAGGGCAGCAGAGCTGAGGAGCTGTGTCTGCTCAGCTATCCATGTTGATGGACTTTGAACTGGATGTGCCTGGATATTTGGGTTTGACTCTGGACTGTTTCCTGACTGCTGGACTTGGCTACTTGGGTTGACCTTGAACCTCGTTTCCTGACATTTGGATTTAGGACTTTGGACTTCGCCTGTGTGGATCGAGCCTCAGACTTTGAATTTTGGGCTTGCCATACAGCCAAGAAAGCCAGAAACCTCTATCAGTTATACTGAGTTGTGGAGATTTCTTTCTATTAGGAGCCAGAGAACAAAAGTTTGAATTAGTCATCCACAATTTATGCATGAAAAGACAGCTGTTGCCTGATAACTTTCCTTTTGGAAGCCACCATTCCATATTCTATCCAGCCACAGGGTGGCGCTGCACAGGATTTGCTAAAATTGAAGACATTTCCTTCACATGAGAGAGGCATTAATAAATTTGCCCTCATAACAAATAAATCAACATAACTATTTGAGTAAATTTTCCACTGCAATTCTACCTGTGTGAGAAGTGTAAGACAAGAAGGCAGCTTGTCCTTGGACAGAATGAGGGCAAATTAACCTTGCTCCTAAATATTATTATTTATTTTATTTTATTAATTTAATTTAATTTTAATTTTTCATTCTTAACACATCAGTGTAGTTTATTAGGTCTGATAATATTGAGAATTTTGCCGCCAAAAGACACCAAAATCCCACAAAATATAAAACATGTTATGAAAAGTAAATGGAAGCGTATTGCTTATAAAGCAATGTCAAGTACAAATACCAAAATATTTTTTGCACACTGGGTAGAAACAATGTAGTTTTGGGTATTACTTTGTGGAAAATTTGCAGGCCAATGAGGTTTAGCAGTTAGAATATAAAAAGGTGGGGTGGGGGGGAATCCAGGTTTAAATCTCAACTCAATGACAGCCCAGAGGGAGATCTTGGTCCAGTCACTGTCAACCCATTCTCAAAGACTTCTTAGGATTATGCTAAATGGAGGACTCATGAAAGAGTGGGGTATTTTTAATAATAAAGTACAGACATAAAATTACATTTTATATATATACACACACACACACACACACACACACACACACACACACACACATTTTATATATATATATATGGTGTTGTTTTTCATGTGTCTGGAGCCTCAGGCAAAGTGAGGACTAAAACAGCCCACAGAGCTCATAGGGTGCAGGAATCATAGAATCTTCGAGTTCGAAGGGAACCAAGGGTCATCTAGTCCAACCCGCTGCAAATGCAGCCATCTCAGCTAAAGGCATCCATGACAGATAGCTATCCAACTTTTGCTTAAAAGCCTCCAAGGAAGGAGAGTCCACCCACCTCCCACCTCCCCTCGTGGGAGACTGTTCCACTGCCAAACAGCTCTTACTGTCAGACAGTTTATTCCTCCACAATCTCCTTTCTTGCAACTTGAAGCCATTGAAATCAATTGATGGCTACTTTGTTAGGGCAAATGGGGCACCGCCCCCCAAAAAAACCTCAGCCCACCCCAGCTAGCCCACCCCCACCTGCATGCCTTCTTACTTAACAACCAGTCCAGGGAGCAGCCATTCTTCCTCCCCAGTCTCTCCATCCTTCAGCAGCCACCATCTGAAGGGTCACTTCACTCCTGATACGGCAGCCATGTTTTCCACTCCTTGGAAGAGTGGTCCGTTAATATGAATGGGGCCCAGCTTGCCCCCCCCCCCCCACCTGCCTGTCTTCTTTTTTACAGTCAGTCAAGGGCGGTAAAAGGGCATGGCAGTCATCTTCCTCTATTTCAGTGGTGCCATTATAAACTCAACGGGGCAGAAGAACAGTGTGGAAGCAGAACTGAAATAAGTTGGCTCTGTCTGTCCTTGGTTCTGGCTCCACTTCCTCTTGGCCTGCCTCTCTCCATGGGAAGAAGAAGAAGAGTTTGGATTTGATATCCCACTTTATCACTACCCGAAGGAGTCTCAAAGCAGCTAACATTCTCCTTTCCCTTCCTCCCCGACAACAAACACTCTGTGAGGTGAGTGGGGCTGAGAGACTTCAAAGAAGTGTGACTAGCCCAAGGTCACCCAGCAGCTGCATGTGGAGGAGCGGAGACGCGAACCCGGTTCCCCAGATTATGAGTCTATCGCTCTTAACCACTACACCACACTGGCTCACTGGGCACCAGCCACCACGGTTGCCATGGCTACCTTGCAGGGGTGGGGAAGCTCAGGCCCAGTAGCAGAATGCGGCTCCCCAGGCCTTTCTATGTGGCCCTTGGGACTCTCCCCAAGCCACGCCCCATCTCTCCAGGCCTCACCCCCTCAGTGTCCCGACTTCGCAGCCTCTTTGGGTGTTTTTTGCCGGGCTGGAATGAGCCTGCCTTGAACACTTGATCATGCTTCTTGCTTTACTAGATTGACGATATGGAGGGTGTATGAATGTAGAAACCAGCTTACTGTATATTTTAAAAAAAAGTATAAAAAGTAGGCCCACTTTGGCCTCTGGCCCTTCCCACCACTGACATGTGGCCCCCACAAGATTGCACAGAAGGGAATGTGTCCCTTGGGCTGAAGAAAGATTCCTCACTCTTGCGTTTTAATGGACACACCAGTCTTCAAACACAGGATCCAAAGCATTGTGATGTATGTTTAGATATTAAAAACATTTTCTTTAATCAGTTCTTAGCAGTCTTATTGTGCTTTAGAGGACTGTGGGCACATATAGTCTTCCTGTAATCATAACAAACTTATTAATATCTTTCTACTGCAGGAACAGGAAGGGGAAATGACTAGAAGGAGCATTGTGTGTCTGAATGTGTCTGAGATCATCGGTGCTGAGGTGAGATCTAAGACTTTATTTGGTCTTGTAGCTCCGGGAGGTGGGGGGGGAGTGCTAAAAAGGGCCTTTGAGAAACAAGTTTAGATTGTCTGTGGGGTTGTTGGCATTCATTTATGCTGTCTGCTTTATTTATCAGCTAGCATAAGGCGGCCAGGTCTTTAATTAGAGAATGTAGCCTCATCACTGTCCTATAAAAGAGCTAATGTGAATGTTCTTTTGTTTCTTTTAATAGTGTTGCGATATCACGAACGTAATTAAAATAGTTGCTGCATCTGCCTAGCTTCAATAAGGACACCCTTTGCAGCTCTGTTGAATCACACATTTTATGAGCAACCGAAACACATCCTAGAGAAACTGAAATTCAACATTTTTACACAGCCTATAATCATCTTAAAGGAGTGGTGGTCTCCTTAAGTATTGTTGTGCTTCAACCTGGTTTCATTTCAACCTGGGGTGGAGAGATTGAGTAGATATATGCAGGTTTGCGTATGTCTATGGAAGCCATTTTCCCAAATAGCCACCAACCATCCTCCTTCAGAACCTCCCTCATATGCCTTGTAGCACCTACAGCCGTACACTTCAACTTGTCCAAAAGGCGACAACTGGATTAATGGCCAGCTGTCCTGGTTGTCAGTTCACTTCCAGGCCCTCACATTAGTACATAAAGCCTTAGCCCACAAATAGCTAAAGCAGTGGTGGCCAAACTTGGCCCTCCAGATGTTTGGGACTACAATTCCCATCATCCCTGACCACTGGTTCTGTTAGCTAGGGATGGTGGGAGTTGTAGTCTCAAAACATCTGGAGGGCCAAGTTTGCCCACCACGCATCTAAAGTCACCTCCTTCCCTACAGGTCCTCTGGGTAGTTTTCCTAACCCTCAGAAGTTCCAAGGGGTGGCAACCTAGGAGATGGTATTCGGCCTGTAAAGCGAGATAAGCACCGCAACCCGAGAGTTGTCTGCGACTGGACGGGGGTCCTTTACCTTTTTTTATGATGCAGTTAAAATATCTCTGCGTGTAGAAAATGAAACTAAAGATCGCTGAGGAGCGGAAACAACAGTACAAAGGACTGACCCACTCGCTGAATTAATTGATGGATTAATTGTATACCCCAGGGGGAAGTGAGCCTTTTTAATTCTCTTTTGATATATATGTATTTGCAGTTTTACCTGACAAACCTCTCCCGAAAGGTAACAGTTTGAAATACGCAAGGGGGTTTGAAAGAACACTGCTGATATCTCCTCAGTGGAAGGAAAAAATTCTGGACTGGAGCTACTTTGTTTTTGCAGAGGTACCAGCATTTTGGGAGATGGTGCGAGACTACGGAAGGGAACTCTGGATGGCTGCCCAGAGCTAATGGTGTCTTTTTGTCTGGGACTGTGGCATATTATGGCTCCTGTTGGCAAAAATATTTCACACAGAACTATGAAGACGAAAGTTTGAGCAGACCAGTGGTTGTAAACATAAATGAAAATTAAGTGAAGCATTAACATCTGAATGGTTTGTTCACTAATTAAGAAATGCAATGTGATATTAGATTATTAGCACTCCGTGAAATTCAGAGCTTGGGAAGCCACCCAAAGATACAGAATTTGGCATTTATACTTGGCTTTTTGATCGTACAGTGGTGCCCCGCAAGACGAACGCCTCGCAAGACGAAAAACCCGCTAGACGAAAGGGTTTTCCGTTTTGGAGGCGCTCATAAGCGAATTTCCCTATGGGCTTGCTTCGCAAGACGAAAGCCCATAGGGAAATCTCCGATCCGCGGAAGCCTGGGCGCGCTGATCTCAGCGCGCGCAGGCCTCGGCATGCCGGCAGCTCTCCGCGAGCAGCGGCAGCGCTGCCGCTGCTCGCGGAGAGGTCCGCGAGCCTGGGCGCGCTGATCTCAGCGCGCGCAGGCTCCGGCATGCCGGCAACTCTCCGCGAGCAGCGGCAGCGCTGCCGCTGCTCGCGGAGAGGTCCGCGAAGCCTGGGCGCGCTGATCTCAGCGCGCCCAGGCTTCGGCATGCCGGCAACTCTCCGCGAGCAGCGGCAGCGCTGCCGCTGCTCGCGGAGAGGTCCGCGGAAGCCTGGGCGCGCTGATCTCAGCGCGCGCAGGCTCGGCATGCCGGCAGCTCTCCGCGAGCAGCGGCAGCGCTGCCGCTGCTCGCGGAGAGGTCCGCGAAGCCTGGGCGCGCTGATCTCAGCGCGCCCAGGCTCCGGCATGCCGGCAACTCTCCGCGAGCAGCGGCAGCGCTGCCGCTGCTCGCGGAGAGGTCCGCGAAGCCTGGGCGCGCTGATCTCAGCGCGCCCAGGCTTCGGCATGCCGGCAACTCTCCGCGAGCAGCGTGCAGCGCTGCCGCTGCTCGCGGAGAGGTCCGCGAAGCCTGGGCGCGCTGATCTCAGCGCGCCCAGGCTCCGGCATGCCGGCAACTCTCCGCGAGCAGCGGCAGCGCTGCCGCTGCTCGCGGAGAGGTCCGCGAAGCCTGGGCGCGCTGATCTCAGCGCGCGCAGGCTTCGGCATGCCGGCAACTCTCCGCGAGCAGCGGCAGCGCTGCCGCTGCTCGCGGAGAGGTCCGCGAGCCTGGGCGCGCTGATCTCAGCGCGCCCAGGCTTCGGCATGCCGGCAACTCTCCGCGAGCAGCGGCAGCGCTGCCGCTGCTCGCGGAGAGGTCCGCGAGCCTGGGCGCGCTGATCTCAGCGCGCGCAGGCTTCGGCATGCCGGCAACTCTCCGCAAGCAGCGGCAGTGCTGCCGCTGCTTGCGGAGAGGTCCGCGAGCCTTGGCTGGACAGCTTTTGAAGGCAGGTGGGGGGGACAAGACTTTCGCCCCCGCCAACCTTCAGAAGAGGTCCAGGACCTCTTCTGAAGGCTGGCGGGGGCAAAGTCTTTGTCCCCCTGCCTGCCTTCCCAGGGGCTTTAAATTGCCCCGGACAGCGGAGAAGTCCTCCGCTGTCCCGGGGCAATTTTAAAATGCCGCCCGCCAGCATTTTAAGATCGCCCCGGACAGCGGAGAAGCTCTCCGCTGTCCCGGGGTTTTAAAATGCTGGGGGTGGAAGAAAAGCCCTTGTCCCCCAGCCTTCAGAAGAGGTCGGGGGACAGACTGTCCCCGGACCTGGTCTGAAGTCGGTTTCCCTAGGAACGCATTAATTGATTTTCAATGCATTCCTATGGGAAACCGTGCATCGCAAGACGAAAAACTCGCAAGAAGAAAAAACTTGCGGAACGAATTAATTTCGTCTTGCGAGGCACCACTGTATTGTAATTTGGAATGTTTTAATGTGGTTCTTTTTGGATTATTAAAATGGAAAACTTAATAAATATTATATACAAAAAGAAATAAATAAAATAAATACTCAATGACCTGCCTTTCAAATAAGTGGAAATGAAGCAGCTGGTTGCCATGGTGAAATTATGATGACACTGTCACTCTGTAGTGGCAGTGCTGAAGTCATAGGCAGATTCAAGGGGGAATGCCTGCCACTTAACAGTGACCTTAGGTTTTCCAGTACAGTGGTACGTCGGGTTAAGTACTTAATTCGTTCCAGAGGTCCGGGTTTGGAAGCCTTGTCTGTTAACAGGCAGCCAAACAGAGGAGGAGTCTGGGGGGACGCTGTCGGGTGGTGGCCATCCCACTCACCTGTTTGCCTTTGCCTTACTGGGATGTCTGGAGCCGGTGAGGTTTTCCCCAAGTCCAGCCTTCAAAGTCATTAAGAGAACTGCAGGACGTCCCTATTTACTTCAGAGAAATGAACGCCAAATACTGGCAGTGAGCAATGGACAAGGCCGTGGCCATACCTGAGAGAAGGAGCTTTAAAGGGAGACTGCAGGCGGACATGTCCTGCATTGCAAATGATGGGGCAGTGGGAGAGAGGAAAACGAGGGAGAAAACATTTGGCCACATTAGGTGCACCATCCATTGGAAGTGCTATGAAGACACTTTGAACAGGAATGTTTCCCCTCGGGGATTCTGGGAACTGTAGGTGGTTAAGGGAATGGAGAGTTGTTAGGGTGGTTAAGGGTTGGGGTTGGGTTAGGGGTAGGATTAAGGTTGGGGGTAGGGTTCCCTTCTTGTCAGGGAACTCTAGGAATTGTAGCTCTGGGAGGGGAACGGGGTGGGTCTCCTAACAACTCTCGGCACCCTTTTCAAACTATAGCTCCCAGATTCTTTGGGGGAAGAAGCCATGAGTGTTTAAAGCGGCTTCATAGCGCTTTAAATGGTGTGGATGTGGCCTTGGCCTCCCTCACCCCACTACCTCTTATTATTGAGGGATCTGAAGGCAGCTCTGTTTAGGGAAGCTTTTAATGTTTGATGCATTACTGTATTTTGATATTTTGTTGGAAGCCGCCCAGAGTGGCTGGGGAAGCCCAGCCAAATGGCAGGATAATAAATTATTATTATTATTATTATTATTATTATTATTATTTCCCTGTTCAAAACTCTCGGGAAAAGGAAGAAGAAAGACTTTGTATCTCATGCCATTTTGAAATGTCTTAACTTGAAATGCCAATAAAGGTATTTGTATTGTATTGTACTGTACTGTACTGTACTGTATTGTATTATGATTAACATGGGAAGTGGAATGGTAAAATGTTAATGAGGCAAACGCCCTTCTTGTGGGCGTGGAAGGAGGGACTTGCGGCCGGACAAGTGACTTTATAAGATGTGTTTTTCCTGATGAAGATGTGCCTCATCTTGGGTTAGCCCACTTGCAAGTGTGTATAATAAAAAGTTTTCCTAATTCACCCATTTTGTCCCGATCACTTTATTTAAAAGGATCCAGAGACCTTAAGTCAAAGGAACCAGTTTGTTTATCTCTCACAAAGGGCAAAATGAATAAATAATACCAATCCCTCAACTGCCAAAACAAACGGTCTTGCAGCATTGTAAAAACTAACAGATTTTTGGGAAACTCTTTAAAAATGGGAGGGCCAGGCAGGGTTTCTGAAGGTGCCATGGAGTCCACATGCCACACGTGTCACAAGGGGGGGGGTTCCCTCAGTCATCATTTCTTTATTAACAAGGCCTAGTTTTCCCCGCCCTGTCTATGTATGGTCTCCTGTGATGTCACAAGCAGACATAGCAACTGAGGGAAAGAGGCAGTGTCTTATTCTAGAATTTCAAACACAAGGAGGGCAGGAGGGGGACATTTTTCAGCCCAGGGGCTGTATTTCTCTCCACACAACACTAGTCAAATGTACAAATGAACAGAGCAATGAAAGCAAGCCTTACCTTTGCACAGGAAGCTGTTCAAGGAATGACATGCAGAGAGAAAGCACCAAATCCAATTAAACCTATTAAGAAATAGGTTGTCCAACCCCCTGGAATGCAGGAAACTCAGCTGAAATTTAGGAAACGTTTGTATTTCTGCATGTGTTTATAGTACAGTATCCATATTGCTTATCAGAATACGCTAAATGGGGGGACGGACCTCAGCTGCACACCCACCTCCCTTCATTTTGGGGGGGAGGTTCTCTCTCCCTCCCCCACCTACTATCTCCCCCTACTATCCCACTGGCACTGCATCCTCCCCCCAGCCCCCCGAAAAGCTTGCTGCACCCCAAGGCGTTTTGCACTCACCTGAACCCTTGCAGGGAAAGGGGCAGGGCACAATGGGAAGGGGTGGGGCGACCAGGCTGCTTAAACCACACCCCTTTCCCAACGAAAGCGGCATGGGGCGGTCAGTATCCAGCACCCCTTCTCTGCTTCTCTTGAACGCTTTAATCCTTAGCAGTTGTGTCCAAACTTTTTTCAGAGGGCCAGATTTGATGAAGTGAAGGGCCGTGAGGGCCGACCAAAGTTGTTAACCTCTTTTTTTAGGACTGAAGTTGTTGAGCTTTCTTAAGACTGGATTAGGCCCCCGAAACGGACTTTGGACATGCCTGCTCTAGATTCAACACTCTTAGCAAACCCAATGTTTTGTTTGAACACAGGATGCTGCCAGGAATGTGAGCCCAGGCTATTATCCTTTTTTTTTTTTTTTTAATGAGAATAATGAATAATGGGGACACACCCCATAAGCAGCTTTGGCCCATTGCACATGCAGGATTTTGGAAACTGCAGACTTGTGTCAACCTGCACGTGAAGTCTACCCTTCTTTTAGTTCCACACTATGCCTTCTATGTCATCCAAGTGGAAATGGCCATCAATATTTACTTTCCTACAGAAGTCCATTACAGTGACAGGACTAAATGGGGTGGAATGATATATGTGAGACAATAAGTAGCATCCCTGGGCCTTCTCTTCTTCAACTGTCACCTGGTAGTAGCCATTACAGCAGGTTGTCTCTGTGGGACAGATGGTGAACAAAGCCCATTCAATCCGCTCTGCTGAAAAAACAGCTCCATTGTTCTTTCCCTAGCAGTTGATCATTATAAGAATGTTTAACTTTTAATGATTGGCGCTTGAATTCTTTTACCCTCCCTCTTTCTTCCATATCCCTTTCTCATTGAGTGTTGGGTTTTTTACAGTGTAACCCTATGGGCACAACCTGTCTTGTTTTAATTGATTGCCTGTAAGCTGTTTTTGGCTAAACAGTGAGATAAAATTGCACCAAAGAAATATATAATATGCATCTCTAGTACAGGCGATATTGTTTCAATTAGTCAAAAGTAGTGAAAATTCACCCAAATATCAAAAATTTTCAACACATCTGCTGCGTTTGAAGACACTGTCTTCATACATGGAGGATATATGAAAATCTGAATTTCCAATGTAGCACTCTAAGGTTGGTGAACAACATAAAAAACAAAAGCCCTGAATTTTAAGAGCTTGACAATTGGCTAGTCTGAAAACATTTTAATCAGACTTCAGCAATTTGGTGCCTTCCAGATGTTCAGACTCCCATCTGTTAGGGATGGTGTGTGTTGAAGACCAGCAACATCTGGAGGGCTAAGGAATACCCCATGTTTATTCTCTGCTTCATAATTACCTACCTGTAGAAACCTGCCAGTCCTGTTTCCTTTTGGCTTTATACCTACTAGAGAGGAAGGTTGTAAGGTCCTAAACCACTCAGGACTTGGTCACGGGGGTCATCTGGTGGTGCCAATGTACATCCGAGGTTCATTTGGCAGCCAGCCAGAAAAAGGCATTTAGCATGATGGCACACTTCCCAGTTAACAGTTGGCTGCTTTCAAGCCTTCTAGGAGTAGCAACGCTGCTTTGTTTGTTTTTGTAGTTCTGTATGGTAGAGACTTCTGAATATTAGTTATTTCATATTGTTTTTAATATGCTGTATAACTTGTTGGGACGCGGGTGGCGCTGTGGGTTAAACCACAGAGCCTAGGACTTGCCGATCAGAAGGTTGGCGGTTCGAATCCCCGCAATGGGGTGAGCTCCTGTTGCTCGGTCCCTGCTCCTGCCAACCTAGCAGTTCGAAAGCCCGTCAAAGTGCAAGTAGATAAATAGGTACCACTCTGGTGGGAAGGTAAACAGCGTTTCCGTGCACTGCTCTGGTTCGCCAGAAGTGGCTTAGTCATGCTGGCCACATGACCCGGAAGCTGTACACTGGCTCCCTCAGCTAATAAAGCGAGATGAGCGCCGCAACCCCAGAGTCGGTCATGACTGGACCTAATGGTCAGGGGTCCCTTTACCTTTTTGTAACCTTTTGTCATCAGATGTCCATACATGTTTGCAAATACATACATACATAAAGGATGGGGAGGCTATGGTATTTCAGACCCAATCCAATTCCATAGGTCTCCAAACATAGACTGGGCAGGAAGCTTGGTATACACAACTGAAAAAGTTCCTCAAAGCTGATCCCCCAGTTGTTTATGTCAGATGTGTTTCGAGAAAGGGCTCTTGAAGCCACCAACCCCAAGGCCAAGTTGTGTTTGCAGCATAAACTAGGAAATAAATCCACTCATCTTTACAAGTGTATAGAGATGTGTCTCCCCTTCAGAACCTATGGCTTTTTTGTGATGAAAACATATCAGTGCACATCATGATTAGAGAATCAGAGAAAAGTGTGAGCTGGCCACCCCGGGCTCTTTCAGGAGAAAGAGCAGAATATAACTTAAATAAATAGCAAAGCACTTAAAACTTTCAAGATGTAATAGCCGGGGAGACTGCAGTGCTGACAATTCCAATAGGCCCGTAAGACTGTTCCAACTTATGAGCCCTCAAGAGTCAAATCCTAAGACATCCAGTCATAAGCCGTATCCCATGGCATATGCAGATGAGCCTTGCAACAGAGAAGTCATTCTTTCAGCTGATCCTTTGGTTCCCATGTGGTGGCACTCTTGCCACAGGTTGAAGTCTGTCCATACTTGCCACTCTAGCAAAGAGTACTAATTCCCCTCAATTCCCAGGGAATCTATTTCTAAAAGAATTTAAGAGTTGCCTTTCAGACCAAAAAGGACCCTCAAGGCAACTTACAATTTAAAAAAAACCCTAACAATACAGCCGTACCTTGGATCCTGAATGCCTTGGTACTCAGACGTTTTGGCTGCTGAATGCCGCAAACCCAAAGTTAGTGTTCTGGTTTGCGAACGTTCTTTGGAACCTGAATGTCCTCCAGGGCTTCCGACTGGCTGCAGGAGCTTCCTGCAGTCAATCAGAAGCCACACTTTGGTTTCCGAATGTTTTGGAAGTCGAACATTCCGAGGTATGACTGTATTGATAATTCCAACAATGCAATGAATTGTGCTTTGCTCCATAGTTTCATTCCTGCTTTGTATGGATATGAAATGGAACAATCCATCATTGTTGTCACCCTTTATGGGGCTAGAAACCAGCTGTAGGTGAAAAATCCTCTTCCACCTCTAAGAGATGGTCCCAAATCACCACCACACTGCATGAAATTGCTCGATTGTCCTAAACCGCAAGGAAAACTTCATTGGTAATAAATATCAAGCTTATTCTACAAAAGATGCATGATTTGCAAAGGGTATTTTTAAATTTAATTTATTAAATTACTTAACACTGAACTGCAGTAATTGCTTAACCAGGAAAGATACTTCCAACATTCTCTGTAGGATTCAAACTCCTTTGAAATAACAACATTTAAGAACTCTTTTTCTTCCGGGGATCAGTCTGGATTTCTGCGACAAACCAGTTCCCAAGTTGAAGCTCTATGTGCATTCTCAAAGGGACATAACATGAGCAACTCAATTCAGTCAGTTGCTTTCTTGGCAATAGGTGTGATGGCCTAAGCCATAAGGAGGTTACATTCCCAGCAGGCCCTTCAAAGTTGGGCACTTGCAATCACAGCTAAGGCACGGTGGTTGTGCACACAAGGTGTAGCGGGTGGTGGACAGGGAAATTATATTGTCACCTTCCTCCCTTTGTCTTCTTCTTCTTCCCCTCATGGATGAAATACAAGGTTCCAAACTGTGCAGCCATCAATTCAGACCCTTTAACCAACAGTAAGCAAATTTAAGAGATATACTTTGATCTCAAAGCTGAAATTAAAAGAAGGGGGGGTTAAAGTATTGATTCTTGCACAACTAGCCCCAAACAATATTTGGAAGAGAGTCTCTTCCAAGCACTTGTCAGGCAAGACCAGAACATTTGACCCGAAGCCCATTTCTGAAATGTCTGGACCACTCCCCCTAATTCTCTGCCTACTTAAACTGGCAGCTTACTTCAAAATTTGCCCCATTTTTAGGCGCATGAGAAGAGCCTTCGTTCTAAATGACCAGAACACTCATCCTGCTACTAGAAAAGACAAAGGCGTAGTGCAGAATTTAGGTTTTGTGAGCAAGGAATAATAAAACATTTTTTCCTCCCCCCCTACAAAACGGATACACAATTCCCAACTATCTCCCCCCCCTCCCCCCTCCTTCTTTCCTTCAACATTCAGCTTTGGTTATGCCATTTCCTTTGTACTGGAGTCTTATGTCTGATGGGAAGTAACTCCCAAATGCTAGAGGGGAAAAAAGCCTACAGCTTATATTTAAGAACAGACTTCGTATACTGGACGGACATACTCTCATTCTCTCTCTCTCTCTCTCTCACACACACACACACACACAAACACACACCCTTCACAGAAGGAGGATTTACTTCCAACGAAGTGCCCAGAAACACCCATGTTCAGCTCGGCACCTTTTTTTAAGTAAAAAAAACCACTTATCAAATACTGTAGGGTATCCTCCCCGTATGTCACAGACCAAAAAATAAGAACTGGATGAGAGAGAGAAATCAACATTATCAACTCCCACCATCCCTAACAGCTTTCTCTTGGGTATTCCAAACTCCTTCACTGCACGGAGGACTTGAACCAGTACACTTTTGTCTCATTCAAACAGAAACATTAAATATGGCAGGCAGCTAATAATCCTTCATTCAATTACCCCCCTGCTCCGTCCGGTGACACCTAACATCGTTTCAACAGAAACAGCAGCTGCCACTGCACTTCCCAGAGTCAGAAGGCAAAAGTGATTAAGATCTCAAGGTGCCACAGGGGTGATAATTTGACACACACCCCCACGGGAATTTCACTTGAGGCCCACAGGCAGCTCAGTCATTGGCCTCCCAAAGGCTCTTCTCTGCCAGGAGTGAAGATTTCGGGAACTTCTGTTTCTAAAAGTCTCAACTTGATGCAGGGAAAATCCTGCAACAGTCCGTGCAAAGAGGACTCTGTAGAAGGAAGCATCCACCCTGCTTCCAGCTGCTGCCATCAACCGACCACTTCCCAGACCATCTCCATCCCTTGCTGCCAATACATCTAGGGGTCACACACTTCCACCCCAGTGTTTCAAGTGAAGCTGCAGGGTCTCCACACCAGTCAATGTTGGGGGGGCAAGGGACAGCTAGCCATGGGCAGCTGTGTTGGACCAGCAGCTGGCTCAGAAAAAAAACCCTCAAAACGGCAGTCCATTTTCCATCAGAAGTAGGTGAGGTTCTTGATGACACCCAGTTCAAGCATCTTTTTTATTGCTAATGCCTCATGTGAGATATTGTGTTCCGAACCCTGTAAGAGAAGGCAATGAGAAACACATTAGGCCATGCAGTAGGGCTGGGCGATATATTGATATATCATCCAAAACTGGTTTGAAGTTCACATCGTGATAATTGTTTCATAATATTTGAGCTAGCAATACATCCCAAATCACAATGTGTGTAAGGGCTAGGCAATACCTGCTTATCAATATCACAACTCACAAGCTAAACATTGCAATCTACCACAATGTCTAAAATAAGGATGGAACTATACAGAGGCAGCTGCTGCTGCTACTTCTGTCACTCTTATCACCGCCACAGGGCCTTGCAGGCCACCACTGTTCGTGCCACATCCAAGCTGCTAGAAGGCCTGCTGGCAGTCCCAGATTATTTGTATTCACTATGACTCATCCCCACACTTTGGATTGTTCTGAATACCACCATTTGGTAGGTAAAAGGACCCCTGACCATCAGGTCCAGTCGTGACCGACTGTGGGGTTGCAGCGCTCATCTCGCTTTATTGGCCGAGGGAGCCAGCATACAGCTTCCGGGTCATGTGGCCAGCATGACTAAGCCGCTTCTGGCGAACCAGAGCAGCACACAGAAACGCCGTTTACCTTCCTGCTGGAGCGGTACCTATTTATCTACTTGCACTCCGACATGCTTTCGAACTGCTAGGTTGGCAGGAGCAGGGACCGAGCAACGGGAGCTCACCCCGTCGCAGGGATTCGAACCGCCGACCTTCTGATCGGCAAGTCCTAGGCTCTGTGGTTTAACCCACAGCGCCACCCGCGTCCCCAACACTCAGCTACCTCAGAAGAAAAGTAAGTAGCCAAGCCCAAAACCAAAAGTCTCATTTGGATGCATTTTGGCTTGCCTGCTGCTGCAAGTGAGATGATTGATAATATCATCATTTATCAGTTTTAGACCCTTAAGTAGTAGCAGTTGCCAGGACACTGTCCTGTTTGCCTCTGCTTAGTTCCTTCCTTATTTCAGATATCACAGAATATTGATATATCACGATGTTTAGCTGGTGATATATCGTGATACCCAAAACAGGTTATCGCCCAGCCCTACCATGCAGTTCGCTGGTTTTCAGCTTTTCAAGAGTTCCTAAAGGAGAAAGTTTGTATTCTAAGACAAATTAAACAACTGAGAAGTACCCTTGAGCTCATCCAGTCCAACCACCTGCTTAATACGGGACCTACAATGCAGGATGCAGATATGCTTGCATGAGAGTCAAGAAGAAGAACCAAGATAGTGGCACTAATTCTACAGACTCGACTCAGAATGGCATATGGACAGCCTCAGAGGGCTCATGCCGCTGCCTTGCCTGTGGGTGTCCCAGAGGCATCTGGTTAGCCATGGTAGGAAATAAGAGGCTGAACCAGACTGGAACTTTGGTTTTATCCAGCTGGCTTCTTACATCCTTAAGAGGCAATGGAAACCACACTGCCACAAACGTGCACAAAGCGGGTTTTAATCTCTGCTCTTCACCCATCTGCCACTCCCTGCCTAAGGCTGTTTTGCCATCTCGGGAGAGGAGCAAGCAGAATGAAAACAAGAGCCCAGCTGCTGGGATCAGACCAAGAAGGACCCATCCAGTCCAGCATTCTGTTCTCACAGTGACTAACCACATGCCTAAGGGAAGCCCACAAGAATGCTTCCACACACATGTTCCCCTGCAACTGGTATTCAGAGGCATGCCACCACCTCTCCCTTCTCTCCCTCTTTCCCAGTCTTATCTCTAAACCTCTTTTCAAGTTGTCCAATCATCTTTCTGGAAGCCCGCATGTTCTCACCAAGCCATAGCTGGCTTATCATGCGGTGCAAACCTGGTAACTGAGAAAGATACTCCCAGCCTAGGTGTAAAGGGAGGCGGGGGGAGGGGAGAGGAATTAAAGGTTGGAGTGAAACCTCAGTGATATGCAAAAAAAAGTAAAATCTGTGACAACTGGGAATTGGAGCTCAAATATATGCCGTGATGGATGGAGCCAGTCTGCCAAGCCAAGAGGATGGAGACTGCCAACCCTTGTTTCCTGGTGCTCAGAACTGAGATCAGGAGATAAAGCACTCTGCCTGCTCTTTAAAGAGCAATCTGTTAAACAGCATAAAAAAACTCTTCCATCTCAGCACTGTGGTGATCAGCAGAGATGGGAAGATAAAATCTGTCTGTGAAGTGTAAAAGGCAAACATTTCACACGCACATCACACTCCAATGCTATGTCCTTGTACATGTGGTTTGTGTGCTGTATGTGTTCTCCGGATGTGCAGTGAGTGTGCATGCATGCATGCCCTCACACAGAAGTACAGAATAACCACACCTGCTGGTGGCATGTGGCTAATCATTAGTTTAGCCTCAGGTTGAAAAAGGGTTCGCTACTTCTGCTGTGAAGGGTCATCTTGCATACTTGCTATTTACTTCCAACCTGTTTTTCTTTTGCACCAGGGATGGGCAACCTGTGGCCCTCCAGGCACTGTCAGACTACAACTCCCATCACCATCATTTACTGGCCATAGTGGCTGGAGCTGATGGAGTCCAACAACATCTGGAGGACCACAGATCCCCTGCCCCTAATTAAGCTCATCTGTATATATACACAGGACATGCCACTCATAAATCTGATTGAAGCTAGTCCATGAAAGGTTAATGCCCTAGGAAAACTGGTTAGTCACAATGTTGGGTTTTTTTAATGAACAAGTTTCTTTCTTTCTTTCATCTGTGAATGGTTAATAGTTGTTGTTTTACAAGCCAGAATATTAAACAAGGTTCAAACCTGGTTTGACATCCTGGCTTGTTCTGAGGCTATAATTTCCCAGTCCAGACAAAATGTGAAACTACAGTTAACTGCAGACTTTCTGATTTGTTCGTTGGCTTGTACAAAGTGGCTAAAGTCTTGTTCACATCTCAGTTTATTAAGTCGGTGGACTTTCCCTATACAAGCAGCTTCTTATATTATATTCATCTGACAAGAGAGGCAATGGTTACTCACAGTCATCGACTTCAATGTGACTTGCTCGTAGTAGTGAATGGTCTGCTTCTTGGAGTCAGGGTATCCAAAGCCCGCAATATGAACTATGTCACAGAAGTGCAATGCTACGGTGATAGCCACTAATCCTGTGGTTGGTTTCTAGAGGAAGACAGAGGAACATGATGCTGGGTTGACTTTCTCTTGGCACAAAGCTTACCTTGAGAAGCCACGATGGTTTAGTGGTTGGAGCAGCCTTCGACTGATGGGAGTTACAGCCCAAAACATCTGGAGGGGACCAGATTGAGGAAGGCTGGGCCAGAAGGCTTGACCCTGATCAGGGGGGACACCCAGGTTCAAATCCCCTCCCAACCACAAAGTTTATTGGGTGACCTTTGGCTGGTCCCTGCCTCTGACCCCTAACCTGCTTTACAGGGCTGCTTTGACTATGCTCTGCCTCCATAGCAGGGAGGAAGCAATACTTCTGAATATCAGTTGCTAGAAACCACAAGAGGGGAGAGTGCGCTTATGCTTGAATCCTGCTTGCTGGTTTCTCACAGGCAACTGTTCAGCCCACTGTAAGAACAGGATGCTGGACTATATGGGCCACTGGCCTGATCCAGCAGGCTCTCCTTATGCTCTTAATCTATACATTTTCACACGCACACACCTTTTGCCTGTAATTAGTATTGAGGGGGAAGTTCCTATTCATTCCAGAGGCTTTCCCCATCCCTAGACTGCAGACTTTCTTAAAACAATAAAACAAAGAATATCAGTGTGCTCAGCTTTATTGTCCCAAAACAATGTCTGTGTTTGCACAGGTGTGATGACAGCATCTTAGATAAAGTGTAGCTTCGAAACCTTGGTAGAAGAGTTTCTCATCGGCTTTGAAACGTCAGCCATAGAAATGCTTCCTGATAACTGCCACACACATAAAAAAGTAGTTCTAAAGTTGTCAAGGCAATGGTAAAAAACAAGACACCCCACCTTTACAAACACTGGCAGACGTACAGACGTACATCTAGAAGTTGCCAACAGGATAGCAAACAACACTGAACGTAAAAAGCAGTGTGTCCTGAGATGACATGAACTAAGGCCCAGGTGTCTTTGAAGTGGTAAACATCTTCCTGGGCTGTACCACTTCAGACTACAGGCTGGGACTCCCATGAGTAAATGCTCCTCCACACAAAAACAGCTCATTTGAGGGACAACTAGCACATCTGGGGGGAAGGGTTCTATCCTAGCCTTTAACACACTCATCTTCTATTTAAATAAATTTAGCACAAAGAAGCATTTCGTCATGCAAGCCCCCACCTGCAGCCTGAGGTGATAAGGCACAGGCATAGACTTTACCACCTCAGTGAGAACTAGGCTGAAAGATCTTACAAGTCACCTCACCCTGATTTGGAAAAGCAGTGCAGGCTGAGCTGAGGTGCTTTCCCCAACCAAGTGACATTTAAACTGTGACTAAAAAAAATAAATACACCTGCACCTGAAATGTCAGTTAATTGAACATACTTCTGATTCAAAAATTAGCTTTCTGCCCTGCATGGACAACATTCATATCTGCTACTTCCCAGGCTAAAGGATGCTCCTAGGAGCACGGGATACAGATGATCTGTTATTAGAGAGACAGACACACACACACACACACACACACACACACACACACACAGACACACAAAGTGTGTTTAGACACACACAGCGAGAAGGAGTGTGTCCTAGGAGCACGGGATACAGATGATCTGTGATTAGAGAGACAGGCAGACAGACACACACACAGACAGACAGACAGACAGACACAGACAGTGTGTTTAGACACACACACACAGAGTGTGTGTGTTTAAACGCTTAAAATAAGTGGCAGATACAAGTTGAGAAGTGAAATGTCTCAGGACACCAGCGCTGGGAAAGGGCCACAGTTAACACTTTGCCTCCTGTGCTGTTTTCCCCAATCAAAATCAAAATCCTGCTAAAGGGCAGGGGAACGAGATACCGGAATCCATATTGTAGCACTCCCCCCCCCCCGCCCTTGTCCCACTGGTCTAACAGATTTGGGGCAGGGGAAAATATGTTAAAGGAAATATAACACGGGGGGAGGGTTAACACTGAGACACACAGCTGGCACCACTGTTCCGAGGCCATTTACACTCTACTCTCACCACTGATTTTAAGCTTTAAAGACAGCCGCCTGGAGATCCACTCACAGACCACCCACATCATGTGTATTTGGGTCCCAAAATATCCAAGTGCCACATTACAGGAGAGATCACAGCTTGGAGACGACCAAGCACCATCTCATCTTGAGAATTTCAAGACAAAGAGCGCTTTGCTTGTTTTAGGAGTAAACCTCAACTCCTGTAACTTGTCCCTTCTCTCTCTCTCTCTCTCTCTCTCTCTCCCTCTCTCTCTCTCTCTCATGCTTACCACTCTTACCTGTTTTAACTTTTTCAGCTGCTTCATTGGAAGCTTAAGCAATTTGGCAGCAGTTATTTCCATAAAATACGGGTTCAGGATTCGCACTTGCTCAGGATTCGCATCCCAAATTAAGGGAGGCTGTTTCCAAAAGCCCTTCCGAACCTGGAAAAGAGGATTGAGATAGGTTAGCCAGGTGCTCTTTGCTCTCAAGAGCAGAATCAAAGCAAGAGAGCTGGGTTTAAGCAGGAGGAAAAAGTGAGGCAGCGAAAGCAGAGTCATTTCCCATTGGTGGCTTTCTGGTGTTATACCCTAGGATCTGATCTCTGTGCTTCAGATGGGATGCTCTCTCTGTATCTTTAGGCCGCCTGGAGATCACAGTATCTCTGAGCAAGACCAGAACGCCCTTCCATAGCTACTTCAATTGCCTTGGTTCTCATGTTCACCCACACCACCACTCTGGAAGGTAGGTTGCTATTCCCATTTTTATAAGCTGAGAATTTAGCGTTTGTCCATGTCTACCATAGAAGACCATGGCAAAAGCAGATCTTCCAGAGCTGAGTCCAATACACTGCCTGCAGGGTTGCATGGACAAACAAAATCAGTTGCCATGCTTCTGAAGAACATACTCGGGGGAGGAATGAAACTCAGTGGTACAGCATCTGCCTCACTTGTAGAAGGTCCTAGGTTCAATCCCTGGTGTCCCCAGCTGGGGTTGGGAAAAGCTCCTGCATGAAACCCTAAAGAGCTGCTGCCACTTAGTCCAGAAAATGCTGAGAACTAGACGGACCAATGGCCTGGCTCAATATAAGGCAGCTTCCTGTGTCCCTGGGGGTAAAAGAAAGGGCTTCTGGATCAGAGGAAGGGGACCAGAAGATGTACTAGTCTTCATCTCCCAATAACTTACCCTTTTCTTGTCATGCAATATTGTTTCCATCCACTGGAAATCCATAGGTTTGAATGGCACCAGCACCAGCAATGTGTCTGGATTGTTTTCTCTTTGGGGGTTGAAATGTGCTGACTCCGGGTAGAAGAGCCGCATAGTGGTCTTGGAGCCCACGTCGCTCTCATAACCATAAACTGGTGCATTGTTCAATCTGCAGTGGGGCAGAGAGGAGGAAAAGGAGTTTGCACCCTTGGCAGAACATAGGCAGGCATTTTGTCGTTTTATGAGAACAAACCCATGCACAGTTCGACCGAAGGGTTATCTGCCACATGTCCACATGATATACTACAGGGTGGCTGTAGTTACTCTCTTATCTTATGCTTAGCCGCTGCTTTGACTTGGAACAAGCTAGAGCAGAAACAGCCAAGAGGAGTATCCTCCAAATGTTGTTCAACTACACCTATCAGCTCCAGTGAGAGTGGCCAAAGCTCAAGGATGAAGGGAGCTGGAGTCCAAGAACACGTCTCAGCTAGAGTGCAACTCAGCATTTACTTTATCTGCTGATCCATCAATTCAGAGGGAAACCATAATACACAACCAAACCCGGAGGACTTTTATGAGTCTCTTCCCAAGAACACGTATATGTTACGGAAAAGCACTGGGCTGCCAGTAAAAACAACATCACTTAGTCATATTCTTCTTGCTCTGTATTACAGTAGGGTGTGTGTGCTTAGTGCTCTGATGTTATCATGCTGTGCATTTCCCCATCTCCTCCTTCACATTATTTGCTGCTGCTGATGGGGGTAGTAAGGTGGAAAAGTGGAAGGTGGTGATGTGAGTAGTTGAGGTAAGTAGGACTTGCAAAGAGGAAGGATCCACTGGGAGGATGCCGCTGTTGCAAACAGCCCCATTCAGTTCCACGTGGCAAAACAGGACCATGCTATGTTCAGAGAAACTGGCTGCACTGCCGTGAAAGATCACAGACCCCGATGCATCTAAGTACCTGATCACAACATCGTATTTGTTAATAGCTTCTCCCATAGAGCTGTTTCTGAGCCGGTGTCCATTTCCTACTACTGCACATCTCCGGCACTTCAAACTGCGAAAGAGAAAAGGGAGACTCCATTATACACTCCTAGACAGGGAAGAAACGTCTCTGGCTAATCAGAGAAGAACATAGGAAGCTGCCTTGGTCCACGTAGCTCAGTATTGTCTACACTGACTGGCAGCAGCTATTCAGGGCTTCGGGCTCTACCTGGAAATGCCGGGGATAGAACTGTCTACATGCAAAACAAAGGTTCTTCCAAGCTACGGCCCTTCCCTAAATGCTATGACCACTTACTGGAAAGCAGGGACACACGCCATTTTAAGCACTCCACCTGACAATATATGAAGTGCCAGTAGGGTGGGGTTTGCAGGGGTAGACTAGTTGTACACTAAAGGGGGGGGGGGAACCAGAGCACAATGGCAGAGTATACTAACCATTTGTAAGAAACTATATTTTTACACAAAGTATTCTTATATCTCAGTCTTTTACAGTACTGATTTGCTTAAATTTGTTTGCATTTTTCCATTAACATCGATTTAAATAATCCCTTATGAATTTAAGAACATAAGAGAAGCCTTGCTAGGTCGGGCCAAAAGCCCATCTAATCCAGCACCTTATTCTCACAGTAACCAACCAGGTGCCCATGGGAAGCCTGCAAGCAAGGCATGGGTGCAACAGCACTCTCCCTTTAATTAGGGATTTGTAGGCCAAAAACATCTGGAGGGCCAAGTTTGAAGAAGCCTGTTTTAAGTGTTGTTAAGTTACCCACTTCAAATATTCCCATAGGGTCTTTAATACCGGCTTTTTGGTAACACAGCCATGTTTTTGCATGTTCTGTTGTTATTTTTTTAATTTATGTTACATCATACAAGCATAATAAACCATGATACGACTGACAAAAAAAATGGGTCACTAGGAGGGTAAAATACAGCACATCATTTTACAGTACATCGTAATGAGCTGATTGCAGTAAACCAACTTCAGTAAATTAACTTGGAAAAACACAGAATAGTAAGAGTATTATTACCCACTTATCTACACCATATTGCAATATATGTTGTAGGCATTTCTTGTCTCTGTGTTGCTTCATTTGTATATTTAATAAAAGTACACCATCAAGTGTATAAATCATCTTGTTTTTTTCTCTCCCCTTGCCACCTTCAATTTCTGTGACGTTTCCATTATGGCTGTTTGCCAGACTATATTACACCAGAGGTTAATGTGTGGACATTCCCACCACAAATGGTGGTAAGTACCCATAATTTGGCATCCTCTGCAACATAATGGGAATCTACTGGGCTTTATAGACGATAGGCACATCAGTGTTATACACCATGCACAATTTTTAGTGAACATTCCCTAATGGTTGCTGGCAGAGAATTATATGGTGCTTTTATCCAGTTATTATATGCAACTTCAATACTATTTTGTAGATGGGAAACCAGGTGCTAGGCCAATACAATTAATTTCTATCTTGAATGGGGATTTAAGGCACAGACCTACTTGGTTTACCCACATGCTAATACACTAGGCCAGCAGCTTGATAGATTAAGCCACAAATTTGCACACACCTACATTAGCTATTTCATCCTAGCTTTGGCTGATTGGAAGCTCAGCTTCTCACACCTCTGCCAAAACCAACATTTCCTTTACTCTCCTGTGGATTTCTTACTTTTCACTTTAAATACCCAGACTGACTTCCAGAGCACTGACTTCATTTCCAGGCAGACGTCAGACTTCTGGCTGTGACTCAGTGCCACGATTTCATGTCCCGAAGCAAGGGATGGAACCACACGTCAGAGACTTGATCAAGATTGGCACTCTCAAATACTGGAGAGTCACACTGCCTGTAAATGAGCTAGATGGACTAATAGCCTGACATGGGTTAAAGCAACTTTCTAGGTTCCCCACGTTAAGATTTGAAAGAGGGATTGCCACTCTTAGGTCGCATTCTATACCATACATATAAGGCACACTTAACAAACATGGTTTCCCACAAAGAACCCTGAGTTTACCTCTCACACAGCTGCAATTGCCAGCACCCATAACCAACTACTGCTCCCGGGATTCTTTGGGGGAAGTTATGTGCTTTATATATGCTGTAAATATGCTTTAGATCAGGGGTCAGCAACCTAAGGCCCATGGGCCACAAGCGGCCCATGGGAGTCGTTTAACTGGCCTATGGACCCCTGCCACCCACTCAGTCAGCTGCTGTGTGCCATGCTAAATCGGTGCAGAGCAGAGCGGGGACCGCCTTCCGTGACACTGGCCAGCTTCCCATTGGCTACAGGAAGCTGCTGCAGTCAATGGGAAGCTGCGCACACCTCCTCTGCGCTAGAAGGAGTGCAGGAAATGCGTTTGCGCACACGTGCGCACACACACACTCCAGCCCACCGCGGTGTCTGCGGGACTGTGAACCGGCCCAAGCCACAAAAACTTTGACGGCCCCTGCTTTAGATGCAAAGTGGTGTTGATGTGACTGTACAGTGCAGACTCACACCCAGTTTCACCTCTGGTAATCAGGTTTTGCAGGATTTAAGTTTAAAAACTATACCTGCAGCACAGGCTGAAGTGTGAAAAAAATTTTCCAAGGGGAATGAAACCTTCCAAACAGTGGTGCTCTCAAAAGCACTGTCACCTTAAGAGTTTTTTGTTGTTTTTTTTTAACTGGAGATGCTGTGGACTGAAAGAGGGACCTCCCACACAAACCACAAGCTCCACTCATGCTCATGCCATCAAATCTCCGTAAAAATGGCAAGTTTCTGAGTATCCTCCCCTGACCATTGACTCTGATTGCAGGGTCAGGACTCTGGGTTCTCTGAATTCTTTTACCGCTGAATTGACCTCTTTGTGACTTTACAGACAGAGAGAAATTCTCGTTCCCAGCATTGCTTGGGAACTCTTAAGAAACTAAAATATCGGCACAGTTTTGAAATCAGTGGTTAACACCAACAGTTTTGTAAAGCTCTGTCTGCCATCTTGATTCAAAGCAGTGTCCAACTGTATGCCAACATAGACAAAAACCTGCTCCTTGATCTCGGGACCCATCATGCAAAATCTGGATACGGTATCTTAAGAGGTGTTGATATATACAGCCAACAATCAACTTTCCAAAACACATGGATACACATATTTCCTGTAAAATTTTCATTCTGTAATACACATGTATGAACTTGCCCTGAGTAACTATGGTGGAGAAAAGAGATACTCCATGCTCTGCAGCTACCAATTCCATAAATGGGAGAGAAGAGCCCAAAGAACTGAACCCACCCGTTTTCTGAATGAAGTGGCATTACCTTTGTAAGCTTTCAGGCAGAGCATAACTTGTGATCGCCAGAACTCGCAAGAGAATTTCCTCTGCAAAGGAACAAATGTAGGCAGTTAACCGGCTTAGTCCATGCTGCCTCGGTTCAGACATTAAGAACGTAAGAGCTGCCCCGATGGATCAGCCCAAAGGACGAAACTGCTGGAAACAGAATGATGGACTAGATGGAATCTTGTTCTGACGTAGCAAAGCAATTCTTACAATTCTTAGGGTGAGTGGAGAGCAGAATGGTGCAGGCAGCATTACTATATAACCTGCCTCTTGCCTGACGCCATGCTAACTCCAGAGGAACTCAGAAGAGAGGACTCTCTGGTTTTAAAGGTCCCACTATTCTCCTGTGTTCCAGACACAGGAGAAGGGCATGGACTTATCAGAGCTCTCACAGCATCCAAGTGCATCCAACTGGCATTAGGACTGGACAAGCCTTCTTCTGTATTCCACTCAGCACTGGAGAGAGCTGTCACCAGATGGAAAGATACAGCAAGGTATTCAACTGAGTTTTACTCAGGGCAGACCCACTGAAATGAATTGGCCTAACTTGGTTATATTTATTAGTTTTAGTCAGTCTACTCTGAATAAAACAACCTTGTTTTTTTAAATATTTGTTTCCAAATGAGTTTCTAAAAAAAAAAAAAAAAAAATTGGTAGTTTGACACCTAACTGCAGGGAAGCAGCTTACATATTTTGCTCACCTCATCTTATCCACCTCAGGCAGCAAAATGTCTTGGGGTGACCCAGCCCTCCCTCTTGCAAAGAATATTGACAACACCCAAACTAGGAAAGTTTTTAACTGCATTTGATAGACAGAATGAACATTGAATCAAAAGTTAAATCACCGTGGCCGACCCATCATGCTTCAAGCAAACCATCCTTTTTTCTTTTCTTTTTACATTCCTAAGTACTGTAGGTACAGTCTCCCACCCTATTTTGAAAAAGGAGTAACTTTTTTGATGTAGAAAAATTACTCTGGCAAGGAAGGGGGAAGAGCCACTCAGCACAGCCACAAATACGAAGATTAGCCTTGGGAAAGCTCTAACCCTGAAAGGCACCATACAAATTCGGGGGGGGGGGGTGTAAATAAAATGGTGCCTGCTAAACTCAATGTGGGAGAGAAAGCAGCATGCACAGTGCAACAAGTGTGTTTCCACAGCAGGCTCTCTACTAAAATTACATAAATCTAGACGTATCTTGAAAGTTCCAAAGTCCATTGTTGACCAGTGTCTTGACAAGACTCATGTCACAACCCTGGAGTTGGATTTCTCATCTTCAGGGGATGAGGGAGGGGACTCTGAAACAGAAGGGGAAGGATATGCAGGGCTGGCCCCAAAGTGCTCTTAGATGGACCTGCGGGAATAATGCTACCGTCTGGCCTGAGGATGCAGTGCTGCCATCCTCTGACTTGGAGGACTCAGCTGCAGAAGACCCCAAAAGATTTGAGGCTCCCTGCTCCCTTGCGGTTGGACATAAGAGAAGAAGGCTGGGCCCTTTAACAGAGCAGCATCTTGCAGCACAGGTGGTGCTAACAATTAGGCTGCACCTGCTGCTGCTGCTACTATATAAATGCTCAATTTCAGCTTGCCCTTATTGGAGCAACATCCCCAGAGTACAGACTGAGTCCTGCTCTTGTTTGGGTTGCTGCACCACAGGCCTAGTTCAAACCAACAAGGAATGAAGTGCTCTAACTCCTCCTGAAGGTCTGCTGTGGATGTGCAGAAATTTTAAAAGTTTTTTAAAAGGGCTCAGCCTACTATACTTTACCAATAGTTTTTAAAACTGTTCAGCCATGACATGAGGCAACACAACTCAACTCGCATTGTGTGTGCAAGGTGTGCTTTTCTTCCTGTCATGTACTAGTGGATTAGGAAAGACAACAGTCAGATCCCTCTACGGATAGATGCAGACGAGATGTTATCAGTTCATAAGCAGAACCCAACACATCTTGGAACAACAGACCCTTTGACTGCACCTTGCACACAATAGTGGTTCTGTCTGGAACAAGGAAAGGAGGGGGAAGGAAGAGTTCCAGCTTTGTACATAAAGTCATTGAACTGTGCTTATTTTGGGAACCTCCACCTTGCTGAACTCCTTGGGAAAATGAGAGGAATTAAAAAGAATCTGACGGCCAATTGTTAACAAATGCAATGGTACAGCCAGTCACTCAACAGAAGCAGAATGCAGTCCTTTGTATTATTAAAGTCAGTTAACTAGTTAACTTTCAACCAACAGCAACAGTTATGAGAGAGCCATTAAAAGGAGGATGAACACCTGCCCAGTGGATACCTGCCAATTTATACTTTTGCCTCTTGGAATGAAGTCCATTGTTTCAAAATAATGCCAAAATTACCTGATATGATGAAGTTCTCATGAGCCAACCTATTTATCTGCTGAACTATAGATTAAAAATTGTATGATTGATGAACACATTCTGCTGGACCTATCACAGATGTCTTTCCTTATCTCTGGCTCAGTTTTAGCACCACGCTAAATCAAAATTTAGTGTGACGAGACTGAGATGTGGTGAGTCTCAGGTTGACATGCTCCCCTCTCTTCCTCCACGACAGCCGCAAAGAGAACTCCTTATTACTGTTTTCTAACTATGTGCTAATTTTATATTTTTCCTTGATAACAAACTGATGGTTTACGGATGTTGTTGGTGAGGTTCCCAACAACATCCATAAACTATAAGGAAGGAGGGAATCAGTGGCTACAGCTATGAATTCTGCTATTTTACTGCCTGTGGCTCTTGTGTGTCTCCACAGTTGCCACTTCCTTATAGTTTATACTGTGAATAAGAGGCTAAGGAAACAACAACTTTGCTGATATTGGCCCTTAGCAATCACAACTGGCTGAACAAACATGTGGCTACAGCAGGGATAGTAGTGACTTCCAGATGTTCTTCGACTACAACTCCCATCAGCCCCAGGCTGCATAGCCAATAGTTATGGATGATGGGAGCTGTAATAGGAGGACACCACCCTGGGCTAGAAAGTATGCTGTGTGGATAAGGAACCCAAACTAGGTGATCTGGTGAAAGTCGCCTTCAGTAACTGAGCACACTGCAAAGATAAGGTATTCTATTGGGTGTACTTTTGCGGTGAAAGAAGCCATGCGGCATGGGCCCTACATGCTGTCTCGATGGGAGACCACCTGGAAACTTAAGATGTTCAGAGCTCCTTGGAGAAAGAGTGGAAACACCTGACTTACCTTTGTGTGAAGAACGATATATATGATCTTAGAAAAATAGTCCAACAGATGGCTACTAAATCAGAGCAAACTTTCCACAAGAAAAATGAGAGGGAAAGCATGGAATAGAGAGACAAATACAGAAGATGCTTGCTAGAAGAGACGAGACAGCTGGTTTGCTTACCGCTTCCTTTAGTACCATATGGCAGCTCGTAGGGTGAAGGGGTCTTTACCCAGAAGTAATCCTTTAGCTGTAAAAATAGTGGATGTTCCCGTGTGTAACTGCAATGAATGCAGAGGAGATGATCATGCAAATCTGGCGTTTTATATATTCAGAGCCTCCCTCTCCTGTTAGACTCACTCTATCTCATCCCACCCCATTCCTCCTATCCCCCCCCAAGCTTAGGAGAAACAGGTAGATGAGATCTGAGAGACCCCATTCACACAGTATACAACTAGTCCCGTTACTTACTTTGCAATGAGCTGTGCAGCTTTCTTCTCCACCTCTCCCAGAGGACAAGTCATCTTTTGTACTGGGAAATAAAAACTGTAAGACAAACAACAAAGGGAAATGGGCTGGGGGAGTTAAGTGTTGTTGCTGTTGTTTCCTTACCCCCCCCCCAAGTTGTCTCAGTGATGTACAATTTAAGAGTGGATGCTTGTGCAATCCAAGCCTCTAGGGCAGGGGCAGATTTAGGGCACTGCGACCGGTTCCGCTTCCCTGGGCGCTGAGCCTAGGGGATGCCGCAGGGCATCGCAACTATGACATAGTGATCTGAGCAGAACAGAAGACAAGAGGAGGAGGTGCACCAAATTTTGGCCCCTGCTGAAATTTGAAGGTCCATAGTCCACCCACGCTCTAGGGACTTGCAAGAAAGAGGTTTGGTTTGGGACATCACCTGCTAGCCACAAGTGAAACAAACCACCACTCCATCAGGGTGCCTCCACGGGACAGACGAGAAGCAGGGCTCATTCCATCAGATTTGCCAAAGGTTGAGTCCATCAGGCATGTCTTGCCCATGAACTGTTTCTATGCCAGATAAGGACTACTATTTAAGAACCAATGCCTGAGTTTGCTTTTTTCCTCTTCCCTTCCTGTCCTTTTCTCCTTGTGTATCATGCTTTTTTAGATTGTAAGCCTCCGGGCAAGGACTGTTTCATCTTAACTGACTGTGTGTAAGCCACACTGAGCAGCATTTTGGCTGATGTGTGGGGCACAAGTCCTCAGCATGGATCAGCGAGGCTGTGCAGAAATGACAGCTTCTCCTAAGACCCACATTATTGGAAAGGGGCTGCAGCTCAGCAGTAGTCAACATGCGCTTTATACAGACAGTTGCAGGTTCAATCCCTAGCATTTCCAGTTAGGGAGGGATGGGAAAGACCCCTGCCTAAATCCCTGGAGAGTCACAGCCTGTCAACTTAAATGTGCAGACATTACTGAGATAGGTGGCCTCAATATTCATACACGCCATACACTGAAAGCACAACTTGCCCTGAAAAATCCTGGGAACTGTAGTTTGTTAAGGGACCTAGGTCTGGGAGGAGTAAGCTACAGTTCCCAGGATTCTCGGGGGAGGTAATGTGCTTTACATGTGTGCCTAAGTAAAAGGCACCTTCCTAGCCCAGGATTACACTTCCAAGAGTGGTGGACCAGCCTGTGCACTAACAGAGCATGAAAAGTGATGCTCCAAGCATTTGGAAGGTAATGGGAGATAAAAGTGTCTTAAGCATTAGAGAAGAGGTGCTTATATAGGCAAGCACCCTTCCTCAAATGGCTGCAAGCAGGACAGAAGTGAGCAGGGCTCGTAAGTTTTATTGATAAGTGTGTTTTTGTATAGCCTTTGCTTTTATTGCTAAATCTTCTTTACTGTTGCAAACCAGAGAGAGGGGATCCACCGTCTCTGGGTCCAACTCAGCCCCAGGCAGCATTGCCAATGGTCAGGGATGATGACCTTTCAGCTGCCACAGGGTGGAAAGGGGTGAAAAGAGCTCTCAGTCACCTGCACAACCACTTTTTGTGGTTGGTCTTTGTTAATTGCTTACAGTCTATAGCTTATTACGTGGCTCCCCAAGACATGGCAAGGAAAAGCGGGAATCCATGTTTATTCGGTTCAAAATGCCAAACCTCATGCCACATTACTTACACTTTAAAAGAAAATATTTTTAAGCTGGCCACTTTTATTTCGAAAGAAAAGCAACCATGCTGGGGGCCCTGATCATGCAGGGAACATGCTTTCTACATGGATCGAAGCCCCATGTTGCTTTACTACCAAACATCAACACCACCAACTTCTCTTATTTGTCCCCAAATGTGGTATCAAAACCACTGGTGGGAAATAGGAAGGGGGGGGGGTTGAGTGAGAAACAGGCACTAGCCCCAATCTGGACTCCTCTTGAAATGAGCAAGTTTAAGCAAGCTTTTTAAAAAGTGGAACTAATTTAATGTGCAGTCTGGGCGATATATCGATGCATCATCCTAAGCCAGTTTGAAGTCCATATCATGATATCCGGTTCATAATTTTTGACCTGGCAATATATTGCGAATCATGGGGTGTGCGCGTTTGCTCGCGCTATGCAAAAATTGCAATGCAGGAAAATCTGTGAAGCCAGCCAATGCCTCTACATAGTTCCATCCTTATTTCAGACATTCTGATATATCAGTATATCATGATGTTTAGCTGGTGATATATTGCAATGTTGAAAACCAGATACTGCCCAGCCCTGGTTTGGCCCAAAGCTCACAATGGCTTCTGGTTGAGTTGCCAGGATAAAAACAGTCCAAGAAACATTTTGACAAATATTCCTCCCTCCAGAGATATGGATTTGAAAGCATGCTCAGTTCATTTGTCCAGAACACCACTATCTATAATATGGTTTCCCCCTTCAAGCAAACTTTTCATTCCCAGTTTCCTGGCTTCATTTGTTACCCATGGGAGGTGTTTTCAATGTCAGGACTCCTTCCTGGAACCTATGAAAAGATGGGCGAGCCTATGAGCAGGTGCAGAGTGCACTTTTCTGGCCACTGATTCATACTACATGACGTCCACATGCATTCGAGATTAGGAGAAAGGGTCCCTAAATCAAAGAGCAGCATTGCCAAACAGAGTTACTGAACCTTTATCTCACTTTGCGAGAGAGAGAGACTTTGACTTTAAGAAGATAAGAGCAACAATTCAAAAGCAGGAAACTTGTAAATAACTAGTGGCCATGAAAATGTCACAGTTTAACTCGGCTAGGTTAAAGGCGCCCACAAAAGTAAATAGCCTGTGGAAGTTTTTACTAGCCTGCTAGGGAATGGCAAAGGATGGACTGAGACCTCAATCTTTACTCTGGGTTCCTGCTGTTTTTCTACACTGGGTAAGGGGGGGGGCGGTTCCCTCCTCTGGCAGCCCACTTGGTTTCTTTGGTAGATGTAAGATAAGGCACTGCTTTGACACACACTTCTCCCAAGCCATCCAAGGCTTTAAATCGGGGACAAGGAACTTGTAGCCTTGCTGTTGGATTCCAGCTCCCATTATCCCTGGCCACTGGCTATACTGGGATGACAGGAGTTGGAAGTCTAGCAGTAACTGGAGGTCTACAGACTCCTCACCACTACTTGCAAGGAAAGCAGTCGAACAACGCTTAGGAATGGACTTGTCACCCATATGAATAAGTGAGAGATGTTCTCACCTATTGTTCCCAGTTAAAAGCCCTGAGGGTCCATTTTGAACTAGCCGATGTTTCTAAACAACGGCTATTAATCAATTAGGGCCCGATTCAGGTAATATATCTGACCTTAATAAGACGGCAGGGATAACAACCCAAAACATCCCATGTGCCCCCATTTAAAATAAAAAGAAAAACCATCTCACAGCTGCATGTACCTTTCCTCCCGGGATTTTGTATACCACACCATCACCAAAAATATAGCCAATACTCCAAGTATCTTCCATCCTGAACAAAAAAAAAAGACAGAATACTGTTAACACTGAGCCAGTCAAGTGTAGCCACACAACACCTAAAACACATATGGTGGAATGCCAGAGTGCAGAGTGAGAGAGAGGTTTAACTTGAGCCTGGATTCACTAGGGCTCAGCTCTGGGGCCTCTTTCGAAGCCAACCTGCAAACTTAGGACCTGGGATGTAACAAGAAGGCAGACACCTGTACATCAGGGGTAGGGGAACCTATGGCTCTCCAGGTGTTGCTGTACTCCAGCTTCCATCAGCCCCAGCCACCTGTCCTAAGGCTAAGATGGTCAAGTACGGAGATGTCACCATCTTCTACAAAGGAAGGCAGGACATATTTTGGGTCGTATCTGGGGCATTTGAAGAACATGTGGGCATAATAATGTATGAAAGGGGTACAGGTGTACTGTTCTAGCCCACATTCCCAATGTCCTTGCAGAGAGAATTCAGTGTGCATTCAGCTGAACAAACAAGAGAATCAGACCTTTGACCCAACCCACAAAGGTCTGAGGTTGCAACCAACGGGGATGTTGGGAGCGGGGTTAGTGCGTGCAACCCTGCTTCTCCCTCAACAGTTTTTCAGGTGAAGACCTGAATAAGAGTACAAGGGCAAAGCATAGTGAAACAGCAATCCTATACAGACTAAATCAATGGGTTTTGAAGATAGAAGCCTAAGAGCACAAAGTTGTAATAAACAACCTAAAAGCATTTACAAACCTTTCTGATCCCACCCACACCATACATTTAAAGCAGATGATTTCCCCGCAAAGAATCCCAGGAACTGTCATTTACCATCAACAGAGCTACAATTCCCAGCACCCCTTAAACTGCAATTCCCAGAATTCTTTGGGGCAAGCCATGTTTAGTGTGGATGGGAGCGGTGGCAGAGGCCAGGTTACAGGTGTCGGGGGTGTGTGGAATAATTTGCTTTGCTGAGATTGCAGTCTCATCAGGGAGGCTATAGGTTTTCATGGGTCCTTGGATAACAGTACATTGGGGAACCCTTCCCCCTTGCCACCGCTCATTTGGCATTGTCCTCCAAATGCATCCTTTCCCTCTTTGGAACCTGTATCTTCATTTTCTAAAGGCACCTCCTTCTTTCAACCTACAACAAGCCTTTCCATATGACCTCAGACAGGGTGCTTTTCAGTTGAATCCACACCATTATCCAATGCCGAGAAATCATTTTCTGGGCATCCATTTGTGAAAGAAGCTTCCAAGGCCCATTGCCCACAATCACTTTTGCTAAAGTAAAGGGGAAAGTATTTGATCCCCTGCTAAATTTGCCCATTTGCCCTCTGACGAAGAAATGACCAGTCCATAATTTTACTAGTAGGTTTACTGTAGCTGTGAGAGACAGAATAACAACAGGAAAAACCCCAGAAACCCAGAAGACAAAAGTCACTGTATCAGCCGCATTCTCATATAATGATAAGCTAAGATTTAGAATGGTTTATCTGGAAAGAGCAACACACTGATATGATTACTGATAGTTCCCACTTTGCTCATCCCCTGAAACAGGTGGGATAAACAAACTAGGAACCCTTTCTTGGCTTTGTATCACATCTGACCAGGGAACATGTTTTCTTGTTTCCTAGCAAGCCACAGTCCTTAGCCAATCTTATACCCACCATTTTTTAAAACATAATTTTCTACTACACTATCACATACCCCACCCTTACTTGTCCAGATCACAAGTACACTTGCTTCCAGATATGTGTAGCATAAGAAAGGGGAATGGCACAACACTTGGACTTACGAGACTTGTTGATCATTTTTATCAGCAGATGAAGAATCGTCTTGTGGCTTTTGCTCTCATTGCAACTGCTATCAGCCACCTGGAAAACAAACACATGCTTATTTGAGTTATTTATTAATAAAGATATGCACACACAGCTACATGATTAAAAATATCAAAGCAGTTTATCACAAAATGCATAAAACCATACACACGAAAGTTAAAAACAGACCTCAACTAACCATTGCAGAAAGATAAAGTCTTAGTTGCCTGCATAGGTCTGGTGGAATAGAAAGGTTTCCAGCAGGCATTTAAGAATTGAAACAGAAAGTGCCCACTGAGTCTCCACTGGCAGAGTACAGTACAGTGGTGCCTCGCAAGACGAAAAGAATCCGTTCCGCGAGTCTCTTTGTCTTGCGGTTTTTTCGTCTTGCGAAGCAAGTCCATTAGCGGTTTAGCGGCTTAGCGGCTTAGCGGATCAGCTGATAAGCGGCTTAGTGGCTTAACGGATCAGCTGTTAAGCGGCTTAGCGGATCAGCTGATAAGCGGCTTAGGAAAAAGGGGGGGGGAGGAAAAAAACCCCGCAGGAACTCGCAAGACATTTTTGTCTTGTGAAGCAAGCCCATAGGAAATTCGTTTTGCGAAGCACCTCCAAAACGGAAAACCCTTTCGTCTAGCGGGTTTTCCGTCTTGCGAGGCATTCGTCTTGCGGGGCACCACTGTAGTACCTCCGGTTACAAACTTAATCTGTTCCGCAGGTCCGTTCGTAACCGGAAACCGCTCATAACATGAGGCGCACTTTCGCTAATGGCGCCTCCCGCTGCTGCCCGCATCCCGCTCGCATCCCGGGGCAAAGTTCGCAACAAGGGGACCTACTTCTGGGTTAGTGGAGCGCGTAACCCGAAGCTTTCGTAAGGGGGGGCGGTACGTAACATGAGGTACCACTGTATTCCACAATACTGGCCCAATGACAATGAAGACTCCCATTTCTTGTTGTTATCAAGTGAGCCTCGCCAACTCAGGGAACAACCAACGATGCTTCTGCGGATGATCTCAGTGATCGAGCTGAGATCTAAGGTTCAGGCAATCCCTGACCTACCCTAGACTTAACTTGTTAAGGGCTTTGTAATTAATACAAGGATCTTGAACCTGGCTCAGTAATAGATGGGCAGCCAGCGCAGCTGTGTTAACAATGGCATCACATGTTCTATATGGCCGTCGCATTCCATATAGGAGCATTGGAGCTTCCAAACCAGACCCAAGGACAGCCCCACATGGAGCACATTACAGTTATCCAGCCTTGAAGCTACCAACATGTGGACTATAGTGGTGAGGATATCCCTGCCCAGGAATGGCCGTAGCTGGCAAACCAGACGAAGCTGGTAAAAGGTACTCTGAGCCACAGAGGATATTTGTGGGCCTCTAGTGACAAATATATATCCAGGAGTACCTCCAAAGCTACACACCTGTTCCTTCAGAGGGAGAGCAACCCCATCCAGAACAGGTAACTTGCCATTTTCCTGCATATGGGAACCACCCACTGAAAAAGTCCCTGTATTTTCAGGATTTAAGCAGTTTATTGGCCCTCATCCACTCCACCACAGCATTCAGACACCGTATCTAGAGCTTCCCTAGACTCTCCTGATAAGAATGTTAAGAATCTCCCGTTGCAGAATGTAGCTCAAATAGCTGTGAGATGTTGTGACTGCGTTCCCCCCCCCCCCCCAACACGGGAAGTTTAATGAACAAACAAGGAGACAGACAGCAGCAGCTCACTATTCAAATAGCACTGTTTACAAGAGAAAGGCTTTAATATATAAAATGTACTATATTCAAGGGAGTATACGTTGTTATACAAGTTGTTGCCCCCTAAAAGGCTGTTTTTCCAACCAAGGCCTGTCTCACACAAAATGTTAAGCCATGGTTTGTTTAATAAGCCATGGTTTGCCCCATAGACAATCAAACAACTGATGATTCTTTCTCCAAAGTTTAGTTTCAACTTCTCTTGTCTTGTGGGATGAGTGGGGGGCAAACAAACCATGGTTAAATAAGAGTGCTGCTTTTATTTAGAATACCAAACCATGAATAAAGCAAACCAGGGTTTGTAAGACTACAACAAACCATAGTTAAGCTGGTGGGCTAGGTTCAGATGATAAAAAACACAGTTTAATAAACTGGTTAAAATCATACCCAAACCAGGCAAAAAATGCAAGCTTAATCCCAGCAATTGTTTCCTGAGTTTTCATCTTTTTGTCTTTTATTCTAAGGTTTACAATTGAGAGCCATATGTGTAAGGGTTTCCACCAGGTGGTCTTCACATGGGCAAATTCTTTCTCCTTCCACCCTGCCTGAGAACCTTCCCCAAAGGAGGAAATTCAAGGTAATTATGGTTAGTTTCATGTGCCCAAGAAAGTTGAAAATAAAGAGGGGAACATTTTTTCTCTGCTGCTACTGTCAATACCCCACAACCTAGTTTTTATTATAGCCTTGGCAGATGGTAGGGACATCAATCGCAAAAGTTCCACAGACAGCACAAGTTGCTGTACCTTCTTGTTAAACTGTTGTAGCCCTGGGGAAAGAAAGGGATCTAACAAAACTTCACTGAGGAGAGGATCTTTATCTGATGTAAGGCAGATGTTTAACCAGCATAGAAGAAATCTTGCCCAGGCGGCAGTCTCTACCCTGTGTTGACCTCCCTCTAGACACAAGGCTGCATAGGGTACACAGCGTGGGACAGTAAAAATCTTGAAGAGGAAAGCTGCCTGCACTCGTTCTACTGCTCTGCCTCCTTTCTTTTAGCAAATGTTTTATGCCACTGGGGAAGTGGTAATTCTGTATTGATTTGTTCTGGATGTTTGTATGTGATGCCAATAAAAGGTTTGATGATGATTTATTCTAAGGTTGGGGAAACTCTTCTTGTCTCTGGCACAGAATTAAAAATAACAGGTTTACATAGGTTTTTTTTAATAAAAAAAAGAAAGCTCTTGAGCTCCTTTGATTTCAATGAATCTTGAATATGTGAAAACGTTTCTGAATTGTGTTTTGTTTTCTAAATATGCATAATCATAAATGTTCATTGAAAATCAAAACAGATGTTAATGCAAGATCATTTAAATTCATGTAGACTGAACTCAGAATAAAACTTCTCAAAAAAACAACAACCACCCAACCCCTAATCAAATACTTAAGAAAGCTACATTTAAGTTATATTTTTAAAAGCACTGTTTGTTCCAGCTCTGATTTCAGTTTGTAACTTGCTTTCTTCTGCAACTATTTCGGCAATTTTATAAAGTTATAGAGTTTACATATCTCATCTTAGGTTAATATGTGAATGCATGTATTTACACACATAGTGTGCCCTCTGGATGCTGTTGGGGTACAGAGCCTCCATTATCCCCGGCCACTGGTTAAACTGGCTGAGGCTGATGGGAATGGGAGTTCAACAGTATCTGGAGGGTACCATGTTGGCTGCCCCTACATCAGTCCAAGAGTTCATCCCTGCCAACATCTTGCTTCAGAGGTGCCAGGGACAAAAAATATTGGAGACCTGTTGCCCCCATCTGCTGGAGGCTTCTCATTGGAAGGATTTGGCTGGCAACTGATATGCAAACACATTACAAAAGAAAGAGTCCAGTGTTTCGTTTTCCAAATGTAAAGCATGCAAGGGCAATTAAAGGAGAGGCATCCACGTATTCATTACTGTTCATATTCAAAAACATTCTGTTTTGACACAACCCCAAATACCCAGAAACATCACCAAGCCCTCATCCAACACCAGAGAAGACAGCTCAGTACGCTTTGTAGCCGCTGAACACCTCAGACAGGATCCCTCATAAAGCAGACAAAGAAGCAGGGATAAAAGGTGACACTCAACATACTTGGAAAGAATCAAATTGCTCCAGCTCGGTCATCTCAATCAGAGCGAAGAAGTCAGTCTCTCAAAAGGGCCTCTGGGTTTATGTTTGCTGCTTTCCTTCCTTAGTGGGTGCACCCAACATGACTGAGCAAAAGTGGAACTTGCCTCTTGGATGCCCAGTCTCCCACTAAGGGTTTTCAACACTGCATTGCCATGAGGCTCAGAAAATGTACAAGGAAGTTTCCCTGCCCACATTCAGTGTTTACTTTCAAACACACCTGTGATGACTCGAGTGATGCCCAGCACATCTTAAGCCTAAACCACACATTGCACCCAAATGCATGCCAAAGGAGACCACGGGTCTTTTTGATTAAAGCAAAACACTGGCTTTGGTTAGTGACTGGTGGGCTCATTATGCTTAGCTTAGCTGGGCTTGGCTTGCTAACAAGACAGGTTACTTCCTCTCCCCAAAACCAAATGAGCCTGCCCAAATTTGAACAAAGCTCATTCCAAACCACGAAGATAGTCTCCTTCCTTACCTGTGTGTTATCCCCTGCCATCAGTACAAGACTTGTTAAAAGTTTTTTGGGGGGTGAAGCATGGGAAATAGAGAAGTAGTAAGAACTGGGCACTTGACCCTTTCTCTGCTGGCCATTTATTATATGCTAGGATTTTTTAATGCAGGAAAAAGTGGACTTAAAACTGGGGGAGAATGAAGAACAGGTTGGGAGGGGTGTGATTGCGAGGGGTGAAATAGCAGCTCAGAAAAAAGCTCCATGCACCCTTCTTCAGCTCTCTTCATTTCACTGCCACCATCAAAACTCCTCAAAACTCTGGAACTCACTGCCAGTTGAACATCACAAAATTAGCATCCTTTTAGGCCTACAGAAAAGCCTTAGGGACCCACATATTTCCAGTGGCCTAGTCATGAGGGATAATGTATGGAACTACTGCGTTCCCTTGGGGTTGAGAGAAATTGTGCTTTATTTATGGCTGGATATACAATACATTCATAAACGGTGTGGTATATTGTCTGTTTTGGTGAAATGTTAATGTAGTTAGTCACATCTATACGATACATCTAAAGTGCTGTTGGGGTCCCCTCATATCCCATTTTGTATAAACACGCCGTCTGAAATGCATGAACATGGAGACAGGAAAAAGCAGAGGTTCCTGTGCAGCAGCTATCAACCATTGAGACTCAAGAGAAATGTTCCAAGAAGACAGGGACAAGACATTTGTCTTTGCAAATTAAAAACCACAATTTTGTTCTTCATTTCCAAGTGCTTAAGGGGAACATTAAGTTGCCTGTGAGCTTCTTTCAATACAAGACTCCGTTTCAGCAGAGCTTTTCATTTGAAAATTGGTGCCCTATGACAAAGAAGCAATAATTATCTGACCAGTTCAAATCCAAGTTAAAAACAATAATCTAAAAGGCCTGGAAAAAAGAAAAGGTTTTTTGACCGGCACTGAAAAGACAACAAGCTTGGTACCTAATAAGCATATCAACGTTTATAGCTTTGCAAAGTAAGTAAGGATTCCATAGCCATTCACCAAAATAGCACTTATACAAGCTCATAAATTCATATAATGAAGTGAGATACACAAAAATAAATCACTTCAATGTGTGGAGGAGGTGGGGTGAATAACCAACAAGCATAATCTGAATATGTCACTTTAAAAGTACAGCTATAAATCAAACTGTTATTAATTATAAAATGCTTTTAAAAAATAACAGATCACAATTCTTTTTCTTGTTTAACTAGAAAGCAGCCTTTGAATTCATTTTCCCATAGAGGCTAGCTGTCAATAGATTCATGGGCAATCAAGAGACTTTCAGCATGTTCAAATAACCCCTTTAGCAACTACTTCTCTCTCTCTCTCGACTTTTTATAGTCCTTCGGTTTTGATGCAGGCTATAAACACATCAATAAAATCCAGAAGGTCATTCTTTCTCATTGAGGAGTATTACTTCAGCCAACTAGCAGAGCAGAGGCAAGTATCTTTCCCTTGGAAGGACAGGTTTATTAGTGCAGTCAGAACCAAAACAAGGGTGCCGACTGTAGTGCCGACTTAGAAGGCTTATTTTGCTGACTTTAACCTCCACAGGATTGAAGAGTCTGGTATGAGGGATGGAGTGGGGCTCGTTTGGCAGAAGCTTTTAACATCCACCGCAAACTATACGAAACCTCTAGATATTTCTAAAAGCTGCTTGACATTCAGAAACCTGCACACAATAGAAAGCTTTACCTGTCATCTGACATCTTTTTGACAAAGAATGTGTACAGTGTAATAGGAAACTCACCCAGTTTCAGAACTCACTAGATCAACAGGATCCACTGCCCTTTTCAATTGTTCTAAGTAGGGATGATCGGCAAATATGTCAATTTCAGTTTCTCATATATCCAGTTCCCCACATTTCCACAGCAAATTGCATCTTAGTGCAATTTTCTCTCAATATACACGTTTTTGTATGCAGCTTCGACAAATAGTCACATTCCCCCCCCAAAAAAAAACAATTTCCCCTACTCTGATGCTCTTTAGAACATTACCTTCACTCTTGTGTACATTTTATGCGCAGTGTCCTCCAATATATGCATTGTTGCAAACATGGGCTGGGGAAAGGCATTGCAAAGTTCAGAGAACTGCAAATTTCAAAGGACAGCTGTGCTTCAGATCATGTACGTATTGGTTCGAGAAGAGTGCATCAGGTAGTCTCTCATTAAAATGCAAACAAAACTGCATTTCTCCCCCATCCCTAATTCTAGGTGCGTGCAATGATAATGGTTTCTGCTTCCAACCTATGCACATTCATTAGAAAGGGCGTAGCAAGACACAGTCCCACAGTTGTCCACATAGAGATCTCCCTCCATATGATGAATATGCATATAGAGTAGAAACAGAGGGTTGCATCCATTACTAATTCTACTCTACCCACTGAAGTTAATGGACTTGACTAACTTAGGTTCATTAATTCCAATGGGTCTACTCTGAAAAGAACTAAGCTGGATACATCCCAGAGTCTGTCACAATGATACTGCCCCAGTACTCGGAACAATTGGAAAGGGCTATGGAATGAGATGCTAATGGAAGGTCTAATTCCATGGGGGCTATTTTGCTAAGACATACAAATTGCAGAGTTGGCAGATAAACTGCCAAGACACAGTCATGCAATTTATTCTAATCCCCGGGCATGGGCTGAAGTTGAGCAGGGACTGGCTTTGGTTGGTGCCTAGGCAGAAAGTCACCCAGGAGCCCTACTAAACCCCACCGTCAGTTCCACCAGACAAAAGTAAGTAAATAAACTTTGACATTCGGTTCAGATTCAGGGCAAGCAATCAAACTGATAAATGGCCTGCAAACGTTATTGCTGGAAGGTAAACATCTAATCCACTTGCTAAGAAGCAGCATTGTGTGCATATTTATTTAAATGAATATAGTTCATTAAGTATTTCATATGTATGTTTAACAAGGTGGTTCTTGTGTACACATGCTTAGTAAGCATTTATAAAAACAATAGCTGTAATAAATCAATACCATAATAAAGAGAAACCTGAAATGCAACTAACTTATGAACTTTGCAAGTGCAAGAAAACTAGTCCTGAAACTGACTAGAATTTTATTTAAGTCGGGACCCATGGTTTATACCAAGGCAAAGCAAGATTATTTAAAGGTGAAACTAACTGAGCAGAGGTCCTCCTACCAGCTGCACATGAGGAGGGTGGGAGATGAGTACCGAAGATTCCAGCGTATTAGGCGACTGGGTGTATTAGATGACCCCCCCAAATTGGCAGCTGCAATTTGGGGGTTCGTCTTACAAGCCCAGTCGCCTAATACGCTGGGCAGCTCCGTGCCAGGAGAAAGCCACCCGGGGCGGAGCGCAGCCCGCCGCCAACTGCTTCCGAAGCAGCAGTGGGCGGGCTCCATACCGCACCACCCATGCCCTGTGTATAAGACGACCCCCAACTTTTTAACCTCCTTTTTGGGGTTAAAAAGTCGTCTTATATGCCAGAATCTACGGTATCTACATTGTATTAAACCGCAGTTCATGGTTACTTACAGACACCATCTTGCTAGCTCCCCCAGCCAGCTGCCGTCAACATAATAATTTTGTCTATTTAAACGGCAGCAGGGACACAGGGTAGACAAATACAGGATCAAAAGTCATTGGGCAAACAAAGAACACTAGCCAATACTAAACAGTTACTAAACATCCGTCGACAGAGTGCAATAAACTCTGAAAGTTTTTATTTCCCTGTCACAGAGAGCCCTTTCTTTCTCTTTTTAGTTCCATTCATTGATAGAACCTCTCTGTTACTCTTATGCCAACACATAAGGCACCTTATCCAGTCTTGCCCCATCCACCAGCAAGAGAAGGGAAAGCTATAGAAAGCATCCCTTCTCTCATCTCTGTCAGAAAGCATACTCTAATTCCAACTGTCCCAAGACTGCAGAAGCCAGACTAAAAGGACACTGATATCAGACTCAAACCAGAGGAACAAGGGTGTTTGGTAGTTTTAAGTACATTTTATATATGCATATAGTTTTAATTCCATTAATGTTCAATTGGTTTTTAATTATTGCTTTTCCCCCAATGTTTTTAGCTATTGTTTTTCTAATCTGTGAGCCGCCTTGAGTATCACCAGGGGAAAAGGTGGGGTGTTCTTATTCTTATTCTTATTGCTTTACATTGTTTGTATTTGTTGTAAGCCACCTTGGGGGAAAATTGATTGAAAATCAGGGAAAGAAAGGAGGATTTAGTCCAGGGGTCTCCAAGCTTTCCTTGCCTCGGGCTGGTGTCTCCAGTGACAATTGCATGGCGGGCCGGAGGGCGGAATAGCGCGCGCCCACGCTATTTCTGGCGCACTTCCGGGTCGGAGGAGGCCCATGCGCATGCGCACAAGCTATTTCTGGTGCTTCTCCAACCTGGAAGTGGGTCGCTGTGGGCCAGATAAACAAGTCCCTCGGGCCTTATTCAGCCCCCGGACAGTAGGTTGGTGACCCCTGATTTAGCCCTTTGGCAACTGCCTTAAGCTGGAGCCAATCTGACATGCTGACAGGAGGGAGTCCACCATTTCCAGCAAAGGGAAATAAAGCAGAGAGGCCACAAACAACATAATGGTATCACCAGGGCTATTTTGCAGCCTGAATCTCACCAGAACTTGGTTCCAGCACCTCTCAGGTGGGTAGCATTGTCATTATAAGAGAACAAGGGAGGCATTCATGGTGAGTTCTGGCACTTCTTTTTCTAGAAAAATAGCACTGGGTATCACCACTGGCAGGAATCATCTGCCCTGAGTCAGAGGCATTCTAATATGCTGGAGATGACTCCACCCGAGTTCATTGAATAAGGAGGGGGAAAGCCTCATGCCACTTACATACCACTCCAAACCAGGTCTGCCACTCACTCATCACAATGTTGTTAAAAAAAAAAAAGGGTTAAGAATGAAAAATAGTCAAGACACATTCCACTAGTTGTCACCAATTCATCCTAGATAGAGGGCAGGTGTGTCTAAGGCAGCTCACAGTCCAGCAAACACAGACCCAAGACCTCTAAGACCTCTTCCTGCTGAGCCACCAATAAAGCCAAAGACAGGAGAGAGAAGACTCTGCTAACTGGCCTAGGACAGTGATAATGTGTGATAGCTAATAATGCAAGATGGACCACAGCTGCCTGTATCATACAATTTCACCAAAGACTAAAATAACCCAGAAGATTTTCACCTCTACACTACAAGAGGAAGCTAGTAAATGGTGAAGAGGTGCGCCATCAATGGCTGACATATCCAACCTCAAAAGATTTGTTTTTGTTTTGTTGCAGGTTCAAAAGACTGAAAGGACATTGGAGAGAATTGCGCTTATTTAAAGGGAAAAACAACTGATATTAATCAGCAGAAAACTAGATGACTAGATGACCCTCAAGTCCCTTCCAACTCTATAATTCTTATGAACATTTAAACAGAGTTAAAGATCAAGAAACTATGGTTCACTTCCTTGGAAAACATATCCAAAATGAGCTTGTACAGCTTCCAGCAGGTGTTATAAAGCAGAAAATTTGTACACATGCAAACTCAGCGAAATACTACTCAATTATTCTGGACTGTACACCTGATGTCAAGTCATATTGACAATACATTATGTTGATGTACTTTCAATTGTACACTTTTATTCTTTGATCTGATATAGCTTCCAGGAGTTGAAGACTTCTTCTCACAGCCCAACTGTTACCATTCATCCCTTACCAGTCAGTACAGCTCATCAGTCCCTGGGATTGTCCCTAACTCATTGCAATTTATTTGTATACACCAGGTGTTCTAAACTCCCAGATGCACATAAACTATGAATCTCTGTATAGTTGTTGTTATTATGGCAATAATACTACAACCCTAAGCAAAACAGGAACAGCACTTTTAACTGCCTGTCTTGATCCAAAGGGATGTTATTTTACTCTGGGGCAACACATGCCTCTTTCTTCCAGAAGCAGTTCAAAATTAATGGCCAAGTTCCTATTTTGCAATAGTAAAACAACAGCACTCACATTTTTTACTATTAGATCCCTGTGTCGGTTTCCTGAACCTATCAAGCTAATATCTCATCCTCTCATCTTCTTGTCAAAAATACTTTACTTATTATTCAGTTCAAATATTTATAACCTACCCTTCAAATGCATTCACATTACTAAAGCACGGCTTACAGCAATCAAAATATCACAATCTAATAATGATGATGATGATATGCTGTAAGCCGCCCAGAGTGGTTGGGGAAACCCAGCCAGATGGGCAGGGAATAATAATAATAATAATAATAATAATAATAATGGAGACTTCCGGGTTGGCGCCTCTGGCAATGGCGGATTTCCTCCGATCGGGAGGAATCCGCTCCGTGGAAAACAGGGTCTGAACCGCCACGGCAAGGCGGAGACCCATCAAAAACCACAGGCGGGAGAAGCCTGTGGACGTGGGATTCGGCTGGCACCTTTGCGCCCCCCCCCACTCGCGGGGAAGCCCGGTTTCGGGGATCCGGAGCGACGTGGGGTGAGTGGCGCGGTGCTTTGAATCGACGGCTTCTTTCACGGAGTGAAGCCGCATTGCTGTTGCCGGAGAGCGCTGACTTTTTCCTGCGGACAATTGGATTTTAAATAACTGCCCGTGAGTAGAACGGAAAATTGGATTAAGAAATTTCTTTTAATTCGGCACTGAAGTGGGAAGGTCTAAACAGGAAGTCCGCCTTCCGCTTTTGTAGATAGATTGAAGCAAAGACACGGCAAGCTAGAGTTTAGAAAGTCGTCTGTAAAGGATCAAATTTTCATCATATAAAATTACTGAACCCCCCTTGGAAGCAGGAGAAGAGGGGGGAACTTTTTCTAGACTGTTTAAACCTGCAGAAGAGAGAGTAAAGAAAAGCAATTTTCCACCGTCTTGAACCTGGGAGCGAGGTGTCAGGACAGACGTTCCCGGGAAGTTCATTGACTATAGACAAACGTTTTTGACAGATAGTTAAAAGAAGAGAAACATATTGATTCCATTGTTCCCTTTTGCATTTAAAAGGAACAAAATATTGACAAAATATCTGAAAAAGGAAACTTTGTTGTTAGATCTGCTTTTTTTTAAAAAAAGAGATGGACACAAATAGAAACTCTTTCCCCTAGAGGGAGCTTGTGAAACTGTTATTAAAACCGAACTGGGGAGCTTTGCAGCTGCAATAGATTAAGATCGTGGGACCAGACTTTGACCTTGAACAAGAATGTACTCGGAGGCTCTGGTGCTTGCTTTTTGCAAGACAAATGCTTTATTGGAACAGTTACATGAGAAGATGGACTTGATGACTGTTGTGATCGGAAATTTTGGACAGGCAGTGGGTACCTATTTAGAACCCACTCAGGAATTAATTCAGGAGTGTGCTCTGACAGATCAGATGAGGGAGGAGGTTGTTGCTGGACCTCGGGAGGCAGAGATGGAGGGAACTGTGGCCCAGCAGGAACATGAGTTGTTGGACTTGACAAATGAACCTGGAAAAATCCAGATTTGGAGAGATAGAGTCTTGTTTGGCTTGGAGATGGGGGGCTGGATAGACCCCCCCTATGCAGGGATGTTTTGACCTTTCAAGTCTGGCTTTGGGCCGGGGGGAGCTCGGAGTTGTGGGGGCCCTTAACTTTGGAGGGACCTTGAAACATGTTTTTAAATACCACATGGAGTTCAGTGTTGACTATGGAAAAGGGGCTGATTTGTCGAGAAGGGACAAAAATATTGTCAAGCTGGAGTCTCCCCGAGTGAAAGGAGCAGAAGACAAAGTAAAGTACAGGTATAAATATGAAGAAGACCTGCGGAAGGGACATGGAAGAGACTTAAGAGCCTCGGACATAAGGTTACCCGGTTGATGGACTAGATGGATGGGATAGAAAGGACTGACAAAACCCGAGACCAGGAAGAAGAGACGATGGATGAAGATTGGAAGAAAGTTTTTTAAAAAATATTTTGAAAAGCTTTGTAAAATTAGTGAGTATTAGGAAAATGTTGGAACGAAATTATTTGGCTTTAGCAGAAATGTTAAAAAGAATCATGTAAGAATATGTTATGGTTAAGATAATTTGGTATAAATAAGATTCAAGTTTTAAGTTTTAGGGTTTTCTATGGTAAGATAAGGTTAAAATAGATTAAGGTAATTTAATGACAGAATACTATGAAAGATGGAAAGGATTTGCTGAGATAATTAACAACTAGAATACAAAAAAGGGAGGTGTGAGGAAGTTGATGAAATAAGGTAATGACAGTTAAGGATTTGGGAATATTGGATCTGTTTTTAAATTTTTTGTTTATTTTTGCTTTTTGATTTTGATGTATTGTGTTTTGTTTTTTCTTTTTGACCTTGATTTTTATTGATTTGTATTGTTTAATTGTTACTTGTTTTTTCCTTCTTTTTTTCTTTGTAATCTTAAAATTCGCAATAAATATCATTTTAAATAAAATAATAATAATAATAATAATAATAATAATGTTTTTATATATTTTCACGGTACAGAAGATACATTTCGAGAAAACAATTGTTACAACAGTAAACAACAAGTAACTTGTTCTGATAAACTTACAGACTTTTACCATGCCAGGTGTTAAAGTTTCATTTGATTACTCTAAAATATCACACCAAATTTTCCCATGAGTACTGGGTGGAATGCTGCCACATTTATGTATTTAATAATCATTTGCTGTATGTTATAAAAGGAATATGGATTGTGTTTGCCCTTTTCCACTCTCACCTGGCATGTTAGTTTCTCAGCCAATGCTACTGACCATACTCTGCTATAACAAGAATCAATGTTCAGCCCATCACCGGTATTCCAAAATCTGACTATCTCCATACAAGCAGCAGTCAACAGAAGGGCTAAGAGGTCCCCTTTAGGATAATCATGAGCAGACGTGATCTTAAGCCCAAGCAGTGCAAGTGAAAGGAACATTTCAATTGTTTTGTTGTATATCAAGCTTATTTCTTTGAAGACAACATTCCAGAAGGGTTTGATGATGTCACAACAACACCACATATGGAAATATGTACCTTTTGACTGTGCATCGCCTCCAACAATTATTAGTATTATTATTATTAACAACCAACAATACTAAAATAAAAATACAATAATGGAAACTGGTCCAGCAGATAAAAGCTATTGAGCCCTTCCCATAGGGCCATCTCCTCCCCCCACCCCATTGATGGTAGGCTTGTAACCGGGCAGAGGGCCTTCTCAGTAGTGGCGCCCGCCCTGTGGAACACCTTCCCATCAGATGCCAAGAAAATAAACAACTATCTGACTTTTAGGAGACATCTGATGGCAACCCTGTTTAGGGAAGTTTTTAATGTTGTGATGTTTCGTGTGCTGGGAGCCGCCCAGAGTGGCTGGGGAAACCCAGCCAGATGGGTGGGGTATAAATAAATTATTATTATCATTATCATAATTCTATTGCAGTCAATACTATAGACTACTCACAAATGGTACCCTAAATGGTAGCATAGTGGGAGAGCATACACTTTGAATACTTCATTTATTTATATGCCACCCATCTTGACTGGATGGCCCGAGCCACTCTGGGAAGCTTCCAACAAATAAAAACATGAAACACAGTAAAACATTCCAGAAGATGTTTTAAGTGAGAAGATCTCGCATCCAATCCCTGCTTTGCTGGCGGAAATGAATAGTAGCATAGACTGAGAACGATTTCTGCTTGAAACCTTGTAGAGATGACGACGTTAAATGGACCAAGAACGACAGTAGTGGAGTATGGCAGAAACAGCATGGAAACTGTTGGGCAAAGGACCCGGACTTTGAATGAGTCTTCACATTCAGGTGCATGCTTTATAAGGTTTACAAAGGTGTTGCCTGGGAACTATTTTAATGAATTTAAGCATTCTGATAGGGAAGGTAAATAATTTGAAATAGTTGAGGGCACAAATCTGTATCATAGGATATGGGGCATTATGGGTGGATGTGACGGAAATCAAAAGGAGAAATGTATACACCCATCCTGAACAAAGCAGTGCAGCTAACCACTAAGAGCACATAGAACAGTGGCTGCGGATAAACAGAAACAGATTGTTAGTGTTGCTAAGTAAACCATTGTGGGGTTGCTTTAATGGAAGGCATCCCCATGCCTAGTTCAGATCAATCATTTTCTGGAACAAATTGCGTCAACTCTTTTCTACACACCAACCACCAAGTACTAGAGCAGCCAGGAGGTATCAGCCCCAGCAGATGACTCAAGATTAGAACTGGCTGCAGTAGCAGGACTTTTGAGAAAGCCTAGAGACACGTCGGGGAAAAGCAGCCGGAGAAACTGAGGAATCATATAGACTTGTACGGGGTCATGAGGGTCATCTAGTCCCAACCTCTGCAATGCATGAATCTTTTTGCCCAATGTGGGGCTTGAACCCACAACCTTCAGATTAAAGAGTCTCATATTCTACTGACTGAGGAAGGAAAGCCGGGGAGGCTGCATGTATTTTAAAAGGCATTAAGATAGTAGCAAAGCACACAAGATAAGAACCTAGCAGTCATGCATGGTGAGATGCATTCCTGATCTAGAAGTATTTGTAGCCAGGTCTGGAGAAACTGGCTATAACAGAGGGGAAGTATGGCAAAGTACATGCTGCGCGTGAGGAAGGTCTCAGTTTCAATTCCCCACATCTGCACCTTGGACCGAAGAAGACACCTGCCTGAAGTCTTGGAAAGCAGCTACCACTGAGTGCAGAGCAGCCTTTACCCACATGGTGCCCTCCAAATGGTCTGGACTATAATCAGCTGACACCACCCAAGATAATAACTTAATTAGGCGTGGTTTGCAGAACCTGGTAAAGAATGACTGAGAATGAAAGTGTGAACGTGTGGGCTGGGTTCCGAATCTAGTTGCCCAGAAAGAAAATCCTTCCCCATTTACTTCAATAAGCTGGCGCCCTCTCTTCTCAGAATGCAACCGAAATTCCAGAAACAAAGTGAACTGCAATATTCCTTCCAAAGATGAATTAAAACCTTGTTTTATAAATCTTATAATGTTAAATGCCACCTAAGATTTTCTAGTATTTGTAAAGATGTAAAAGAATCTCGTGGAGTTAAATATAAGATTCTACATAGTAGATTTAAGTCGTGTTCTGTTATTCTAACATTTACATAGACTTACCTAAACTTTTCAAAAGTGCGTAACACATAAACGGCAAGTACCGCCTGGGTCTTTGATCAAAAGGCTCCAAAACCGCCCATGGCATCTCAGTAATGAAGGGAGTGGTTAAATCTAACCAGTGGCTCAAAGGCATCAGCTTCAAGGTCTCCTAAGTCACAAGCTGCCCAGCTCTTCTGTAACAGTGAAGTTGCTAAATATATGACATCTCTTCCCCCAAAGCTCCTCTATGACATCAAAAGAGATTAGCCAGAGGGTGAAAAACTAACAGCACTATCTGACCCATATCTACTCAGAAGTAAGTGGGGCTAGGATTATAACCAAAGACAGTCTCTTCCCCACCTGGTGCCCTCCAGATGTTCTGAACATTTCCCATCACAGCTGACCATCAACCACACTGGCTACAACTGATGGGATGCTGTAGTTCAAAACATCTGGAAGGCATCAGATTGGAGAAGGCTGATAAGACATGGTATTTTCCTGTTTTTGCTTTATTTATATATGGCAATATAGTGTTTCTGAATTACATCACAGTTCAAGAGTGTTGCATTATTTACTTAAGAATTAGTTTTTCCAAGCTCTTAAGGGTGAATCAATCAACCTTTAAAAACTACAGTCTGACCTCAGAAGCTCCCCTTTGATGTACAATCAGTCTAAAAGGTGCTTAGGGTGGATGTGGCTTGCGGTCAGGATTTTCCCACCACAGTTTCTGCCCCTCTTTATGTTGCAACTTTGGCTGGGAGGGGGGTGAACAGAAGCAACTTTTGCTGTTCGCACCAAAACTGCTGTTCACACCAAATCTATTAAGAACTACCGTATTTTTCGCCCTATAGGACGCACTTTTTCCCCTCCAAAAATGAAGGGGAAATGTGTGTGCGTCCTATGGGGCGAATGCAGGCTTTTGCTGAAGCCTGGAGAGCGAGAGGGGTCGGTGCACCGACCCCTCTCGCTCTCCAGGCTTCAGGAAGCTCTGCGCAACCCTCGGGAGACCGGCTCCGATGGCCGCGCAGAGCTGCCTGCAGTCCCGGGCTCAGCACAGCTCTGCACGGCCATCGGGAGCCGGGCGCAAAGCCCCGCCCGGCTCCCGATGGCCGCACAGAGGTGCCTGCAGTCCCGGGCTCAGCGCACTTCTCCCCATCGCCAGCCCCACAAGCTCGGGGGACAGCAGGGAGGCGGAGCGCGCCTTCCCGCTGTTCCCCGACCTGGTTCTTCCAGCCCCGCACCTGGGGGGGGAAATAATTTTTTTTTTCTTTATTTCCCCCCAAAAAAACTAGGTGCGTCCTATGGGCCAGTGCGTCCTATGGGGCGCAAAATATGGTACTTGGAAGTCAAGTACAAATGCTAGCCACAATCCTTGAGTCATTTACCCCCTCCAAGGTAGTATTGGGAAAGTGAAGGGAACTACTTTTGATTTGGGGAATGCAATCTTAACATGCCATATGATGGCACATTGGACTTGAAAGATAATGCATCTAACTCACCTTATTCCAGAGTGAAAATGGAAAAGAACAGAATAAAGACATAATGTACAAAAAAAAAAGACATAAAGGAAACTGAATAGAAGGTTCAAAAGTTTTTAAGTCATAAAATTAAGTTTCTAGGGAAAGTCATGCCATCGGTCCATCTAGTTCAGTATTGTCTACACTGGCTGGCAGTGGCTTTCCAGAGTTTCAGACAGGGAATATTTGCAGCACTACCTGGAGATACTGGGGATTGAACCTGGGATGTTCTGAATGAAAAGGAAATACAGATAGCAAATATATGGAAAAGACGGAAGTCAGTTCTCAGCTCAGATCTGCACAGTTAGCCAATAGGCAAGCCGTTCCCCTCCTATGCTGACTTGCTCGCAGCTCTCTTTGATACCAGGGCAAGGCAACCACAACAGCTGCAGCAGGCATTTACTGTAAAATCATGGAAGAAGAAACACACTGGCTGGAGGCAGGGCAATGCAAAGGGTTTAAAATAAGAACAAGGTTTGTCTTTTGGGATTCCTAACAGTTTGCAAGCCTCCACAGTTTATAGTTCTGTGTGCACACAAAATAAGGAACCTGAGGATGAAAGGTCAAATTCCATCACTAAATCTATGTGGCACAGCGAGAGCGAGAGTGAGAGTGCAGTGGTTGTGTTATTGACCACGAGACCCCACTTCCTTCTCCATATGCCCTGGGCAGCAACCGTTTGTGCTTCCTCTTAATCCACAAAAACATCCTCAGTGGTGCGGTGAAATCAATCCAAGCAGCAGCATGGACTGGATAAAATTAGTCAACTAGTATGGGTGAATACTGTGCAAAGCCAGCATGGGCCAACAGACAGAAGGCTGCAATGGGGAAACCTGGGACCCCTCTCTGATTCCACCAGTGCAGAGTTTGCTTGCCCCCTGTGCAAGCTAATGGAGACCAAATCTATAGACGTTTTTCCTCTAAGTCCTCCGTGTTCTGTCTTCAAGGGATCTCTCCTAGGCTAGATTGCTCTACTCCTTGGCTCCCGTTCCCTACCTCCTTCCACAATGTTCTGTAATTCCCCTTCTGTTTTTCTATTTCCCCTCATAATAACTGAAGCTCAAGGAAACATACCAGGGCTCAGTCTAACCTTGGTCTTCCATCATAGCAGAACTGGCCTGATGGCTGATTTCCTCAGCATCTGCTGAAATTCTGATATCCTGCGAGTTCAGAATATTCCACATCACCATCTCTTGTCTGCTTTACGTTAGAAGCGCAATTCTTGGAACCTGGACTAATTAAGGACAGATTGGCTATTGGAGCTAATAGACGACCGAAGTTAACGGGAGTCTGGAAGATGCTCAAAACCTTCCCACACAGATAGAAGCAGAACCCAGATGTCATGCTGATCACATGGCTAAGAGAATTATAATCCAATTCAAGATTGGGAGGATACGATTATGGCAAGACCTCCAAATTCCTCAGCCCATTTCAATTACAGAATCTAACACCTTCTTCCACTATCAAGCCTGTAAAAACTAGAGAAATGTTGTACAGTGGTACCTCAGGTTACATACGCTTCAGGTTACAGACTCCGCTAACCCAGAAATAGTGCTTCAGGTTAAGAACTTTGCTTCAGGATGAGAACAGAAATCGTGCTCCGGCGGCACAGCGGCAGCAGGAGGCCCCATTAGCTAAAGTGGTGCTTCAGGTTAAGAACAGTTTCAGGTTAAGAACAGACCTCCGGAACGAATTAAGTACTTAACCCGAGGTACCACAGTATTTGTGATTTCAAAAATACATACCATCAAGTGGGAGTGGAAAAAGAAAAAGGGGAACACCGTCAAACTAGCAAAAAAAGAAGATCCTGGGAACTTGGGAGTTATCAGGGATTAGAATGCACCTAAACCTTAGGAACTATTATTTTTGCCTGGAATAAAAGTGTTTGCTTGAATTTGCAATGATCCTGTAAAAAAATATTTTTTTCAGCAACCTAAGAGGTTCTCTTCCTCTTGTCCCCACCACAATACATGGCATTCTATCACACACATAGCCAAAGACTGATCTTCCCAATGGCTGCTACTGCAGTCTTCAACTGCAACTTCTCCCTTCTTCTATTTAAGTTACAAATCCTAGTATGGCAGCATATAAAGCATGGGATGTGCAATTAGCTGGCAACAAAAGTAGATGGATAAAGAAACGGCAAGTAGAGAATGGCAGGGTTTTTTGTCCTGTAAGAGGGGTTTGGAAGGCAAGTACTTTGGAACTGTATCTGCTTAAAAATACAAAAATCTAAATACAGAATATAACATGGTTCAGAAGGCATGCAAGATCCAATCGTATGCCTGCTGGTAAATAAAAGACCACATTTTGCTGTACTGCCATATTGCCCTAAGCAAAACACAATAGAAGCTGGATGCCCATTATCTGCTATTTAAGGCATTCATGTCTTAACAAAGACTTCAAAAACAGTGAATATCTGAATGTTCAAGGGGGTTGGGAGACACCATATGGCTGACTGTTGTGTTGGATCCAGTCTACAGCAATATGAAAGTGTACTACAGGCAGAACTAGAGGCTATGGATTTGATACTTAAGCAGTTTAGGTACATAGGATTCTATCAAGCAAGGAAGCTGAGACAGGGAGAGGGGAGATCAGACCTCATTAGTTTTGTTGTGGTTGGGTCTCTTCCTGCTTAAGAGTTTTATTTTGGCTTACTTGGGTCACCCACGTGAGCCAAAAACCTCAGTTTCAATTCTGCTTCTGGTTTTGCCAAAGTGGGTGTATAGCTTAGAGGAAGTATGTGCCTCCTTTGACATATTTCAATGAACCGAAGCGTATTATTTCAAATGATAACATTTATACACAAAACAGCTCTTCACCACTGAGGATTGAAGCCATGGATCCAGAAAACAACTTTTCTTCTACTCATACTGTTATCTTTGGCTGAGACAAGTCCACCTTAAAAAAAAGGCAAAACCTCACACTGAATGAAATGAAAACCATTATTATTAATAGGAGCTATCGCTTCAAGTGGAGCAGGAAGCCAATCTTGAAACCATTTAAAAAATACATATTTAAACTTGGTTCCTAAAACAGCAAATCTGGTGCCAAGATATTGGGCAAAACAACCAAAAAGCTCCTCTCTCTGATAACACCAACCACTTTAGAAGGCAAGGGCACATGGATTCCAGTCTTGAATATTGATCTTAATAAACAAGCAGATGGATGTACACGTAGGAAAGGTCCTTGAATGAAAGCCCAGTCACTTCACTGGAAGTCACTTCACATCTTCCTCCTAGCCTCGCTGAAAGCTTAAGCCAATGTTGGGGAATCTGTGGCCCTTCAGTGGCTTCAGGACTCCATCTCCATCAGCCTGCATTGCCAACAACATCTGAAAAGCCACAGGTTCCACGTCCCTGGATTAAGCCGGACAACTCAGGCTGGACCTCCTCCCTGGACCAGGTTACAGTGGTACCTCGGGTTACATATGCTTCAGGTTACAGACTCCGCTAACCCAGAAATATTACCTCGGGTTAAGAACTTTGCTTCAGGATGAGAACAGAAATTGTGCTCTGGTGGTGCAGCGGCAGCGGGAGGCCTCATTAGCTAAAGTGGTGCTTCAGGTTAAGAACAGTTTCAGGTTAAGAACAGACCTCCAGAACGAATTAAGTTCTTAACCCAAGATACTACTGTATTTTCTCAAAGGAAATCTCCCCTTTATCCAGGGTTGCTCCTTGACCTCACTCACAAGTTTACCCATACAGTGCTTTCCAGAAAGCTGACCACGTGGGTTACGGAGGACGTGGCATAACGCAAAATGGCTGCCACATCCGAAACAACATAAAAAGGCGCTGTAACATAAAATTGTGTATGCATACCTCCCCATCTATGGAGAAAAAAAAAACATCTACATCAGCCACCATCACTCTTGTAACTACCCTCTATTCAGAATGAAAGGGGACGTGTGTCTAATCCTGGCATCCAATGGCAAGTGGGCATGCTTAAGAGGGCAAGTTCAATGTTGGATGGCTATATGTCATGGATGCTTTAGCTGAGATTCCTGCATTGCAGGGGGTTGGACTAAATGACCCTTGGGTCCCTTCCAACTCTAAAATGCTATGGTTCTAATGTTAGGAGAGGACAAGCTAGTACAAACTAAGTACTGAGCAGGAAGAGGAAGCAGGAGGGTATTTAGGGTTTTTAAGGGGATATTTACACACAGGCTTCATGGGAAACAGTGGAGAGTGTTGGCAACCCCTAAAACATTTTTAAAACATCATCAAATATATGGTAGCTGAAAAAGAAATGTAGCCTGGTGAGGGGTTGATCGGAAGAGGAGAAGAGGAATGGTGAAATATCTCTTGTGAAAGAAGGCATGGGGAGGGGAATAAGGCAACCTGAGCTGAACTTAGCTAGGTAAGCAAAGTACATCATAGGGCAAAATGGTAAGTTTCCATTCCCACAGGCTAACTGAGAAACATGCAGAGCAACATCAGGAGGAGGACTGACATTTTTTTTTAAAAAAAGAGTTTAGCAGCTCAAGATTTAGAGGATGGTAGCCAATAGGGTTTTGGAAACACAGGAACAGTCAACATGGATCAAAGACCTGAAAAGCAAACTAACTGTTCATGCACAGACACTACAAATGTGCATCATTTATAAAGAATGTACAAGTTCTGCATACAGTAATAGCTTTGCGCACGCCGACTGGATATTAACAAACAGAAAGATGTTGATCAGTTTAATGAGCAGCAGCTGTGGACGCAGGTAAATATGCTAGCAACCACACTTCCTTTTTCCACTGCATCACTCGCTTGTTAAAATTTAAAAATACAAAGCACTAAATAAACAAACAAAAATTAATCCATGCCCGGTATAAACCCAAAGGTACTAATTCTAAGCCTCAAAAATATAACAAATCCAAACACTGGGTAAGATCATCCCCAGCAGCCCCATCCATCAACCACCTGACAAAGCTTTTCCCAGGTCCCATCAAGCACTTCCATTTCAATTATTCCTTAAGCACAAAGGCCTGCCAACTTTGATGGCTTATGCTTAAGCAGCACTGCCTCACCTTCCACTCCTTTGACTGCTGCTAAATCAGGAGTGAATCCTATGTGGGTTATCCTCTGCCAAAACGGCTGCTTTTGGGGTTCATCAACGTAGTTTGCCCAACGGCATTCTCGTAGCCAGTACTGTTCTGCCACCTCTGTTCTTAATTTTCAAAAACCTCTAGGATATATTTAGTTATGCACTTCTACCACACTATCAGAAGTGAGTATATAGCATAGCTGTTAACTTTTCCCTTTTCTTGCAAGGAATCCTATTTGGAATAAGGGAATTCCCCTTAAAAAAAGGCAAACGTTGACAGCTATGATATGCAGAAAACTGTGCTACAACTATTGAAAGTGTGCGCCCCCCCCCCCACCTGCTGCATACCATGAAAATGGAAGAAAACTGGTTCATCTGGGAGTATGATAATATTCTGTACCAAGCAGAATAGTGGAAAGCAACATAAGGCAATATGTGATGCAAGGACAAACTGAACCACAGTGCAATTGCTATGACCCTGATATGTGTTAACAAGGGTCCCCTGCAAAGAGAATCCTGAAACAGAATAACTACCACTAGGTTTAACAGCCACCGTGCAGGTTAGCAAAATCAGGGTTGATTCATGCATCTTTCGAGTGGTTCATTAATTTGTACCTGAGATGCGGAGTATGCCAGAGAGCCCTGTTACAAGCATAAGCTCCAGCAAACCACCAGCCAACCCACTTTAAGGTCGCTTGCCATGGCAAGCTTTATCGTACCTGTGATGAAATATCAGATGACCTCTTTGCCACTGAAGCACGAGTCAACCCAGATGTAAAAGAAGTGGATGGTCACTCTCCCAAGGACACACATATTGTAAACAAGCCTTTGCCCACACTTGGTGAAAAGTGTAACTATCTCTCCACCTGACCTTCATTGCAGATTTATGAGGCCAACACACCACCAAATTCCTTAGAGAAGAACATAGATAAAAGAATAGCAAATAACAGTGCAGTGGTACCTCGGGTTAAGTACTTAATTCGTTCTGGAGGTCCGTACTTAACCTGAAACTGTTCTTAACCTGAAGCACCACTTTAGCTAATGGGGCCTCCTGCTGCCACCACGCCAATAGAGCCCAATTTCTATTCTTATCCTGAAGCAAAGTTCTTAACCTGAAGCACTATTTCTGGCTTGGTGAAGTGTGTAACCTGAAGCATATGTAACCTGAAGCGTACATAACCCAAGGTACCACTGTAATGATAACACAGCAGCTTAAATTATGCGGTGCTGGGTTTTTTACATTGCTGTTATTAGGCAAAGAAGAGACTTGGGCTGAGCTGACTTTGGGGAGTGGGCGCTATAGATAGAACAGTTCACTTCCCTCACTTCTTAACAGCCACGCCACATCATGTGCGGCACCACCTTGGCACCTCTGCCTGGATGTAAACGTGCACAAACTGCTGCAGCTGAGACAGGTTTTACATTTATACAAACCTAAGAGTGGGGGCATGTTCACTGGGAAAGTCTCGTTCATTTTGTTTTCCATGAATAGGAATTGCATTCATTGCTTTCCCCCATTTATTTCAGCAGGAGCTCCCTACTAATCGTCTGCCACCCATAATTTCCATGTCTTGCATCTAAATAGTATGACGTTTCAGGCATTCTACGAGAACTCCAGCCTCACAAACCAGGCGTCACTCCACCTGCCAAATATAGATCGAACAAATGATTCTCATTTTAAAGAGCCCGTTTGATATTGGGTGATATCTTTGTGCTTCCTCTTTGCATACAGCCCTGCAGCCTTTCTGTGGTCTCCAGAGGCATTGATACCGCCCCCCCCCAAATAGAAATGATTGAAAAATAAATCAAACAGAAGCCAAATCATTTTTTTTTAAAAAAAATCAGCATTTATTCATTCGAACCCCCTTCATTTTCATAATGAAAACAAATGAGATGGATTATCTGTGTTGCTTGCTATTTATTTTAAAAACGAATGAAAACCAATCTACCAGCATCCTTTTTCTCTATACACCAATGAAACAGGGAAACCTGCCTAGCTTCCTCAGCAGTGACATATGTCAGGGTTTCTTCGCAAATTGAAACTTTCAGGCTCTAGTCTCAATCTAAACACTACTCCACCCTCAACACCTGAACTCAATCACTTTGTCTATCACACCCTCCCCTTCCGAAAAGATGAATGCCAGCTGTCACCTTTAATCAAGAAGATTTACCTCTCCGGGGTGGACCTTGGGCAGGGGGAAAGGTGAGTAAGATATAATGCAGCCAACTTTTCTGGAAATTCAAAGCCAGAGGCACTCAGTATTACACATTCAGCCATCCCTAATAATAATAATAATAAGCATCTAAGCCAGTCTTTCCCAACCTGGTGCCATCCAGATGTTGCTGGACTCCAGATCCCATTAATCCCAGCCAGGCAATTGCCAGGTATGATAGGAACTGTAGTCCAAAACATCTGGAGGGCACCAGGTGGCAAACGGCTGAGCCAAACATTAACGTTCTTAAGAGCACTTTGCATACACTACCTGAGGAATTCTTATAAGTCAAGTCAACATGATTATACCCTATTTTTAAGAGGAAGGCTGTGGCTTGAAGTTAGTGGCTTATTTGCCTATTAAAATGAGGACAATGGGGGAGTAGAGTTTTGAACAAGGGAACTTCACAGCTCATAATATTAGAGGCAAACTGTTTTTCTTTAGACCTGTAAAAAAACCTCAAGCCGTATTAAGCTTAAAATGAGACAACTCCCAGTCCAGCAATCATGTGGTGGTATGAGATTAAAAAAAGAAAGGGGGGGGAGCATGAATAACAACATGTGGTCTCCCCCATAGCCTGTAAATACACAATAGCTTACGGAACTACATGGGACTGTAAATAACAGTACGGTAAATCCATCTGCCCACTCCAGTAAGGTAAGTTGAGAGAGGTTCAAGGTGGCTGCTTCCCAGTCAGATTATGTCCCTTCAATTGGATATTCATCAAAACTCAAACCCAGGTATCTCCTAGAAGCAATATAAGACTTCATTGGCCTGACTTTTTAACAGTTTGTGTGATGCTACAGGTAGAGGTTTCAGCCTATGCAAGAAGATCGCAAGCAAGTTGAAATATTTAAGTATGATCCAGCAAAAAAAAAAAAAAAAGGTAAAATATATTTAAGACACTACTGAAAGACCCACTTACAACTTGGGTTCCAAACAATGCTTATGGGTAAAAAATTAATATCAATGGGAAAGCGACGTTCCACTGGGTTAATGGAACATAAACCAGGATTGAAGGTTTTCTCTGAACCAGGAAACTGCTATCTACTTAATACACCTTCAGTGAAGAAAAACCATGCATGCAAGTTCACTGCAGTTTGACATATAGGTTTCATATTCTTTTCCATATGCAAGGTCCTTCTTGGTTATTTAACGAAAAATATTTAACAAAATGTACATGGCACTTGACCATAATAAAATCAGTTTGCAAGACATTATACGACCTCAGACAAGTCATGATTACTCAGTCACCACTGTCCAACAGCTATAATAGTGGCTTTCTTTACAACACTGTAAGACTAAGACTGGCTAGAATTCAGGCTGTATTAAAAAAAAACCTATGTAAATAACAGAGAGTAATTAATTTATTTTCAAATAGCCATAAATAATGGTGGGGCTAGAAAATCTTGTGGTTGCTTAAGCGGCAGGACCCAAATAAAATAGACATGGCTTTGGGGAGGCAAGGAGAAAAAGACAGAGAAATTGAGTTTATGTAAACATTATGCCATCTGGTTTGGATAAAACCAGAACCTATCTGGCAGAATTCACAGGGAAACTCAGCACAAAGTCACCATGAGGAAAACAATTAAGCTGTATTTAACTGAGCAAATTGATTCAGAGTAAACAGTTTTCTTTTGTGATTCTTTCCTCCATTCAGGATTAACAAAGTTTCGTTTCCCACATGCCAAGGCAGTTTTGATTCAAGGCCAAAGACAAAGGGATTGCCACTAACCTTGAAGGAGGAATATAGCCTTCCCCAATTCTGAGTTTGTGAAGAAGTTTTACAGGTGCCTGCAGATTTATGTCAAAGAACTGAACTCAAATAACTGATGGGAAGAGAAAAGAAGAAAAACCTAGGCGGGAGACTAAGCTGAGAATTAATGGGCAGTTAACACTTCGTGGCAAATGAGGAGTGAGGTGCTATAACAATTCTGGGATGCGCTTCTGCACAAAACAGATGGAGAACTGTATTTATTTAATGCACAGTAAAATAAAACAGATTCCTGCATGTTGTGAACTAGCATACTCAGGAGAGAAGCTGAGCATAGCCTTTACCTGGTTTTGCTGATCACCTTCAGACAGAATTTTCTTTTCAGAGAAGAATACCAGCACAAGAGCTGTAGACTAAATTGTGGTAGATCCCACAATTTTACCTGCTCACTCTGAGAGCTATACAGAAAGGCTATGACCTGAAACATCGCCAAGCAAACCTAAAGAACAAATGCACAATAAAGATCACAGCCTTGTGCAGCATAGCGCAAAGACAGAGCATTGATAGTTGCTGCAACGCCCATCACAAAGGTGCTTTTATTCAGTCTCCCCTCCTGCCAGACATTAGCCTTTTGTCTCACAACAGGTGGAATGAAAAACTGGGTGAAGAGACCAGTGCGGCAAGAGATACAGAAGCTGAAGCCTCACTCAAAATAATTTTGGACTTTTTAAAAACTGGTTCTGATCTTCTAAGCTGATATACACCAATCCGACTTCAGCGAAGTGAAACCACAGCAAGCCACAATCAATGCCAATGTGCTTTGTGAGTACAGCACTTGCCAACGCTATTTGTGTTAAAACAAAATCCCGACTACAGCATACGAAATATTGTGAGTAATAATAATAAATGCACAGTGGGTATCAATAAGTAATTTTTAAAAAAATCAAGTTGCTATTAAAAACACAGGGGTGAGAAATCTTGTAGAAAGAAAGAAAGAAAGAAAGAAAGAAAGAAAGAAAGAAAGAAAGAAAATACCACCCGTACTTTTTAAAAACTAAGCAGTGACAAGAATCTGATAGATTCTCTCTCTGGAAAAAATGTTCCACAATCTCAGCCCCATGATGGAAACAGATCTGTCCTGAAGGCACTGCCAGATGTCATTCCAACCACAGGATAGTAACAGAAGCAGATCTTAGAGACTGGATAAAATAATAGGCATTCCTTCAGAAATACTGTATGCTGAATGCATATATCGACATGGAAAGGCAGAAACCCATACAGATCTGTTCACACCTTCTGATTGATACGCATTTCTGTCCAACTGTACCCCAAAGACTCAAGGTGGATAACAATTATTTGAAGGTAGTAATCAATTCATTAACAGTTGTAAAAATAAGTATGGCAAAGAATTGGGTAAACAGTAATGCACCATCCTTAATCGATTGGATTGAGACAATATGATCCACTATAACAATGATAAACTTAATTACTATTAAGAGAATACGCATAAATAAGGGGGGAAATGTTTACAGGAAAATGGACTGTGTTCCTTATCGTTTGGAATAATAAATACCAAGACAATGTGCAACCTGTATGATACTATCTTCTTATAAATCCGATTTGGGACTTTCAAGAAAAGATGGCTAACAAAAGACAGAGAAGGAAATCGGGGGGGGGGGGTTTAAACTGTGAAATCCTATGCATGCTTACTCAGAAGACCCTCGGTGTCATTATAATAAATCTCCCGTTTGCTTAAAAAGTCCATTTAAAAAGAAACACCACAAATGCGAAAGGATCACCACTGTCTTTAGCAGCCTTTTAGATCTAGGCACAAGTGCTAAAGTATGTGTACACACCATACATTTAAAGCACAAAGAATCACAGGAGCTGTAATACACCCACCAGAGCTACAGTTCCCAGCAACCTTAACAAACTACAGTTTCCAGGATCAAGGGGGCGGGGTTTCAATGTACAATGTGTATTCAACTGCAGGAGTGATAGAATGCATAGGTTTTGGTGTGTCACCAGGCGCCTGTAAAATATTCTCTTGATTTTTATTTTTTTAAAAAAACCTCAAATCTCAAGACTCCTTCAGTTTTGACCTCTTCATTAAAGAAAAGCAAACCAACCCTGTCATTACCTGGGAGCAAGTTCTTGCACGGAAGCACTGTCGAAAATCCATCAGCCTTCTTGAAGTTAACTTCCGAATGCTTCTTAATTCACAGGAACATGGGAGTCTCATTTATGTATCCCAGAAAAGTGCATGATGGGAATAGGTAGATCTGAGAATCAGAGCTAGGGAGGAGCGCAGTGGTTATTTTTAGCTACCCTTGGCAGATCCTTTAGTTTAAAAAAAAAGCCCATCTTGCAAGAAAGAAAGAAAAATGATTAATTTTACCATGGCAGGCTGGATTTCAAACATGCCCCATGTGATATAACTTAAGGCATAAATCAACAAATCCTCTCACTTGGGTTGTTAGGGCACTGCTTGCTTCTTTAGGCAATTGTACAGGGCGTGGATGGGAAATGATGCCAGGTGACCTCTAAGGAACATATCTGTATAAACTTCCGAAGCAATGCCACACCCTTGGGCCTTAATACCAGCCTGACCATGGGGACGGGTGCAAAATGGCTGCCATAAAGTTGCACTCCTCTTGAAAGATGGTAGTGTAATACTCTGCAGAAAACACACAGGGTAATATTTTAAGTGGTACCAATAAGGAAGTGTTGCAATTTGTGTGTGTTCTCGAGCATACTTTGGATCTAGGGACCTGAAGAAATCTCTCTCCTCTCCCCCCGCTCCAACACTCACAATTGTCCTGCATGAATATTAAGTTCTGCCAGGAAAGTTCTCCTCCGCGCCCTTTCTTTGGGAGCTAAACATTATGTGGAGACACAAGACAAGGCCTCCTTTATGGTGGCACCCCAACCATGGAACACCCTCACCTCTGAGCCCACCTGGCACCAGCTCTGAATTTGTTTCAGGCTGCATGTCAAGAACTGGTTATGAGCTCAGGTACTTGACTGCTATCAATACAGACCGGCTTACTGCTTTAGTAATTTAGTAATTTCGGTATCTGAAGAAGTGTGCATGCACACGAAAGCTCATACCAATAACAAATTTAGTTGGTCTCTAAGGTGCTACTGGAAGGAATTCTTTTTATTTTGCTTTAGGTTTACTATAGATCCCCAAGCCAAACGGAGGACATAGATGATGCCTTCCTGGAACAGATGGCCAAGCATGCAAAAGGAAGGGAGATAGTAGTAATGGGAGACTTCAATTACTCGGATATTTGTTGGATGTCAAACTCAGCCAAGAGCATAAGGTCAAACAGATTCCTCACTGGCCTTGCAGACAACTTCATTGTCCAGAAAGTGGGAGAAGCAACAAGAGGAACAGCCATTTTAGATCTGGTCCTAACCAATGTTGATGACCTGGTTAGTGGGGTAGAAGTGGAAGGATCATTAGGCGCGAGTGATCATGCTCTTCTGAAGTTTACTATACAGCGGAAAGGAGCAGCCAAGCATACTAGGACTCAATTTCTTGACTTTAAGAAAGCCGACTTCATAAAACTTAGGGAAGTGCTGGGTGAGATCCCATGGACAGTAATACTAAAAGGAAAGGGAGTTCATGATGACTGGGAGTTTGTTAAGAGGGAGATAGTAAAAGCACAACTTCAGGTAATACCAATGAGACGGAAACATGGAAGGTGCCTAAAGAAGCCAGGGTGGCTATCTAAAGAACTTTTAACTGAGTTAAGATTAAAAAAGGATGTGTACAAAAAATGGAAAAGGGGGGAAACCACCAAAGAGGAATTCAAACAAATAGCCAGCACGTCTAGACACAAAGTCAGAAAAGCTAAAGCACAGAATGAACTCAGGCTTGCTAGAGAGGTTAAAAGCAACAAAAAAGGCTTTTATGGGTATGTTCGTAGCAAAAGGAAGAACAAAGAAACAGTGGGGTCACTCAGAGGAGAAGATGGTGAAATGCAAACAGGGGACACAGAAAGGGCTGAACTCCTCAATGCCTTCTTTGCCTCAGTCGTCTCCGATAAAGAAAACAATGCCCAACCTGAAGAATTTGGAGCAAATGATTCAGCAGAGGAAACACAGCCCAGAATAACTAAGGAGATAGTACAAGAATACTTGGCTAGTTTAGATATATTCAAGTCTCCAGGGCCAGATGAACTGCATCCAAGAGTATTAAAAGAACTGGCAGATGTGATCTCAGAAACACTGGCAGTCATCTTTGAGAATTCCTGGAGAACAGGCGAAGTCCCGGCAGACTGGAGGAGGGCAAATGTTGTCCCTATTTTCAAAAAGGGGAAAAGAGAGGACCCAAATAATTACCGCCCGGTCAGTCTGACATCAATACCAGGGAAGATTCTGGAGCAGATCATTAAGCAAACAGTCTGTGAGCACCTAGAAAGGAATGCTGTGATCACCAACAGTCAGCATGGATTTCTGAAAAATAAGTCATGTCAGACTAACCTGATCTCGTTTTTGACAGAATTACAAGCCTGGTAGATGAAGGGAACACAGTGGATGTAGCCTACCTTGATTTCAGCAAGGCATTTGACAAGGTGCCCCATGATATTCTTGTAAAGAAGCTGGTAAAATGCGGTCTTGACTATGCTACCACTCAGTGGATTTGTAACTGGGTGACTGACCGAACCCAAAGGGTGCTCATCCATGGTTCCTCTTCATCCTGGAGAAGAGTGACTAGTGGGGTGCCACAGGGTTCTGTCTTGGGCCCGGTCTTAATCAACATCTTTATCAACGACTTGGATGATGGACTCAAGGGCATCCTGATCAAATTTGCAGATGACACCAAACTGGGAGGGGTGGCTAACACCCCAGAGGACAGGATCACACTTCAAAACGACCTTGACATATTAGAGAACTGGGCAAAAACAAACAAGACGAATTTTAACAGGGAGAAATGTAAAGCATTGCACTTGGGCAAAAAAAATGACAGGCACAAATACAAGATGGGTGACACCTGGTTTGTGAGCAGTACATGTGAAAAGGATCTAGGAGTCTTGGTTGACCACAAACTTGACATGAGCCAACAGTGTGACGCGGCAGCTAAAAAAGCCAATGCAATTCTGGGCTGCATCAATAGGAGTATAGCATCTAGATCAAGGGAAGTAATAGTGCCACTGTATTCTGCTCTGGTCAGACCTCACCTGGAGTACTGTGTCCAGTTCTGGGCACCACAGTTCAAGAAGGACACTGACAAACTGGAACGTGTCCAGAGGAGGGCAACCAAAATGGTCAAAGGCCTGGAAACGATGCCTTATGAGGAACGGCTAAGGGAGCTGGGCATGTTTAGCCTGGAGAAGAGGAGGTTAAGGGGTGATATGATAGCCATGTTCAAATATATAAAAGGATGTCACATAGAGGAGGGAGAAAGGTTGTTTTCTGCTGCTCCAGAGAAGCGGACACGGAGCAATGGATCCAAACTACAAGAAAGAAGATTCCACCTAAACATTAGGAAGAACTTCCTGACAGTAAGAGCTGTTCGACAGTCTTTAAGCAGAGGCTTGACAACCATATGTCAGGAGTGCTCTGATGGTGATTCCTGCTTGGCAGGGGGTTGGACTCGATGGCCCTTGTGGTCTCTTCCAACTCTATGATTCTATTCTATGATTCTATGTGTTACTTTATGCAATGAATTATAGCTTTAAATTAATTATGCACCCCACTCTGAGACCAAGTAGTAAAGGGCGAGTTATGATGAGGTGCTCTTCCTTGCCACACAACCCAAAGGACTGCTCACTCTCCTAGGAATCTTCAGAGATCCAAGATCTTCTTCAGAGTCCCTTTTATGAATCCATCTGTTTTCAGAGGGACTTTAATGGTGCCACTCCAATTATGCAACCTCACTCCTAGCAACGCCCACCCAGGGATTGCCCTGTTATGATTCAGATGCCGGGACAAGACCTTTTTTATTTGATGTTGCCTGCTGTAAATCTCATTGTTTTACCTGGTTTTTTATATAACTTTTACTACCACCATTGCTTTTACAGTTTGCTTTGGGATACTGTTTTTTTTTTAATTGGATGTTTTAACTGCATGTTATTCTACACCACTTTGAAACATTTAAATTAAAATAGAAAAAGTGAGCTGTGAGTCTTTGAAATAACAATAAAAGGAAGGAAGGCAATGATTAGCATTGAAGGCTCTACAGCAAACTACAGATATGAGTGCTATAGAAATAGCCACTGGTTCTGCTTGGTAATCACCCCCTGAGCACCACTTCTAGAGCTTTTTTGCAGGAACATTCAGCTGCTTAAAATACCTTCCTTTCCTACTGATTGAAATTCAAGACTTGTTTTTTTAAAAAAAGATTTCTAAAAAAACCCATAACACACAAAATAAATCAGTCTAACTAAAATCCCCCTCCCAACAGAAATCAGCAGAATTAGCAACATTATTATAAAACTACATGCAGTTGAATTCTACCCAAAGCTTGCTTTTACGTAAACACAGCTTTCATCTGGCCCTAAGCTGATATACTCATGGACAGCATCCTAAAGTCAATTTGCGCTGACAGAGGAGTCTAACTTCCAAAGGAACTAGAGAACCTAAGCTGCAGATAATAATATTGCTATAGCAGCCAACATGGTGGCTGTCTGCATGCTCCCCAGTGCCCCCATAGTCTCCCCTGACACCCTCCCAAGGTCTCTTCTAATTTTTGGAAGTTTGGAGGGAGGTGGTTTTGCTTAGTTTTTTCACCTTTTTCACCTTTAGGAGACAAGCTCTAGCTTGCAGCCAACTCAGCCATCTTGCTTTCTTTATGCCCAGAATGCATCTGAACTCCACCGGGGACAAACCAAGCTAGCGCTTTGCTTGTGCTCAGCCAAGGTGCCTGCATGTATCTATTTATGTATGCACTGAACTAAATAAAAAGAGGAGAAATATGTCACATGGTTGCTTCTTAAGGGTCTGAGGAGAGAAGGAGTGCTGGAATGCCTGGGAGGGGATTGTGGCTTATTTAAATTTTGTGGGAGGGCGATTTTGTGCTTTGGAGCAGAGGCAAATGCATTGCCTGTGTGTATATTAAAATAATGCCTGGATGCTGTTTGAAGACGTTGGAAGGGAAGAGAAATTGGCCAATTTGAGAGTTCCTCAAATTTTGAAATATGCTCATGCACCTTAACAGTTATGTGACCCCTGCTTATTCAAATACATTGAGTTTACAGCAACCCTATAAGGCAAGTCTATATTATTAGTTAGGGTTTCTTTGGAATTTTGCCGATTAAGGATCTGTCAGTCATACTTGCAAAAGCTAACTGCTGCCATGATCTCTTCAGTAGTGCAGAAACATAGTGTGATCAATGGACTGCAATGCAATAAAATCAATTTTATTTGTAAGTCACGCAAGCCAGCTTGGCTGGAGGTTTCTCACTATTAGCATTGAAACCACGTGACTTCAAATGCACTCAGCAAAAGAAGCCAAACCGCAACCCGTGTTCTATGCACGGCAATGAGAGTTTAGAAATCTGGAAAAATCTTTGACAATTAGGATCAAAGTGTATGTTGTAGAAATGCATGGCGGCGGCTGATCACATGTAGGTTATGCATCTCTCAGGTAATGTCTAGCAAAAGTCATTACCCAAAATGGCTTTCACCATTTCTCTACCTGTGCTCAAATTCACTGTCCATTGCATAGAGCAGGTGGAGAAATGGTGAATGATTGCATCATTCATAAATGCATATAGAGATACACACATATATTAATGTGACATGGGCCACCAACAACCACGTGTCCTTTGTCATGTCTTGTTAGGGCCTAAAAAGCAACCAAATAGCCATTTAGTGCATTATCACAGTTCTGAGATGCTGAACACCCACACCATCGGGGTGATGCAGTGGACAGGGAACACGGGAACACAGCTCTCAGACTTTTTCCAGAACAGGAGCAATTATGTTATCTGCCTGAGTACTCCCGACAACCTGATAATGTGGCTTTAAAAATGTTTCTAACAGATTAGCACAGAGGAAATCAGAGAATGAGAAAAACAAACAGAAGCGGCATACTAGCAGCTTCAAGGCTAACTCTTTACTGGAAGATTATTGCCATTTCTTCTTTTTAAAATTGCTTTATTGTTGTTGTTGTTGTTTCTTTTTAAGTAGCACTGCCCCGTAACAGAAATCCCAATGTATACATATGCATAATATGCAGAATTCTGTTCCGACTGGGTACACCATTCTGAAATCTCAGTCTTCAAGGTAGATATTGTTACAAAACAAATGACAGGATTATAATATTAAGATCTGATGGAATCCTTGGAAAGAATTTATTGAGCTGGACTGTAAATGGAAATAATGGGAAAAAATTAAAAAATCAAGAACTACTTTTTGACTTTTTGAGTGAAAAAAAATATTAATTTGTGGTGTCTGAGAAGATTTATGTCTGGCAGACTGATAAGCACCTATATATTATATGATATAGCTAGATGGTATCCTACTAGTGAATGCTTTGAATACAGTGGACGCTCGGGTTGCGAACGTGATCTGTGCGGGAGGCACGTTCACAACCCGCAGCATTCGCAACCTGCAGCGCCGCATCTGCGCACGTGCGGGTCGCAACCTGGCGGTTCTGTGCATGTGCAAAGCGCGATTTAGCGCTACTGCGCATGCGCGGAAACCCAGAAGTAACCCGTTCTGGTACTTCTGGGTTCGGCACGGTGCGCAACCCAAAAATGTGCAACCTGAAGCGTCTGTAACCTGAGGTATGACTGTAATTTGAATGGTTAGAGGATTGGAAGCTCCTCTTTCTTCTTTGTTTTTCTTTCTATCTCTTGATCTTTCTTTATTTTGGTTTTTGTAAAATTTATTTCTTTAGATTACTTTGACTTCTATTGTATTTTTATGTTGCAATAAATTTTCAATAAAAATATTTTTTTATATATGAGAAAGATATCAAATTTGGAGATTAAACCAAAAGTCTCACTTCACTTGGCCAATAAAACATGCATAGAGGTCAACACGCGAATATAAAATTGGCTGACGGGAACAGTGAAAGAGAAGCTCGTCTTGTCTTTGATGGGTACATTTTGATAATCAAAGATCTCTGCATTTGCAAGTGGGAACGGGAGAGTACATGTCAGTGTTTGCTGTGAATCTGTACAATATCTAGGACTGTTAACTGCTGGGTCTTGCCTTCATTTTTAAACAGAGTTTTGAAGAAACAGCAGAGGGGAATATATGTTACTAGAAATAAGATAGATAAAAGGGAGAGCAGAGCATTAGTTATAGCCTCCAGCAGTCAAAAACCACTGCAACACAAGTTTTCTGTGCACAAGGCTGAGACACAGTAGGTGTAGAGAGAGAAAACACAGGTATGAATAACTATTTAGGTGCAATAGTCTCGCTTCTCGCTCTCTGTCTCATTTCATATTCTCTCATCCAAACCACTGAATGGTTTAACTACAGCCTGTCCTCAAAATCAGCATGAGCCTTTCTTACCAGTCCACCAGTCTACATGTTTTGCTTTGATTACATTCCTCTGATCAAAGAGATACTGGCAAGCCAGTTTGAGCGAGACAATCTTTTTGAGTTCCTTAATCTCTCAATGAAGGAGTAATTGGAGAACAAATACCATGCGGTACACAAGGGTGAACTCAGGAACCGTGGAGAGGAAATATGAATAGAGGAAAATTTCGGGCTGAAATGAAGGAACGGTAGGTGTCCTGACAGCAAGAAACATCAATGGGATGAGAGAGGGACAGAGATAAATGCCCAATCGCATTGGTGCATTCTGATTGCTGAAAGCAAAATGGTGAAATCCCTGTATCAAACACAAATTAGACACCCAGTTAAAATACTTTGTAGGATAAGGGAATTTGGAAGAGGGAAATTAAAAAAGAATAGTGACATGGTAGAGTCATGGGCTCTTGAATATCTTATATCCAAAGGATAGACTTTTTTCAGTGCCTAGACATTTTCCCCTTCAAGCCTCCATAGTTCTCCAACATTCCAGAACAACAGCCTTTATAGAATCCAGGGCTGGCCATCTCTCTCTATTTCAATCATACAGAGAGCCTCTGGTAAAATTGCATCACTGTCCTTACTCCCTGCTAATTTCTCCATCAAGAAGTCTTTGCATTTAGTGCTATCTGTACTTCACTGTGGGTGGATTAATGCAACTATTTTCCACCACCTTTTATGGGTAAGGGCCAAAGCTCAATAGTATAATAAATACATTGCATATAGAAAGTCCCAGATTTGTATCCCCTGCATCTCTATGGTAGCGCTGGAAAAGACTCCTGTCTGAAACCCTTGAAAGTTGCTGCAGACCAGGGTTGGTGAAACTGTGTATTTCCAGAAGTTGTTGGACTGCCACTCCCATCAGCCCCACATAGCATGTTCAATGGTCAGAGATGGGTAGTGCAGCAATATCCGGAAAGCCACAAGTTCACTGCCCTTGGTGGAGGCAACGCTGTGATAGATGTACCCATAATCTGACTCATGTAGGGTTGTCACCTTTGTTCTGGAATAATACAGGGCAGGGTGCGGTGCTGAAATGACTTCAAAACAATCCATCATAATCTACTGAAGCCTAACAGGACGGCCTCTCTGGAATCTGTCACATGCACACACATACACTTGAATTTGTAAATCTGTCTGTACTTTGCTGCCCAGAGCTTTAATACATGATCGCTTTCACACACTTGGCAGAGAGAGAGATGGGGAGAGAGAAGCAGAGATACAGAACAAACTGCATTGAATCAATGTAGGACGTAGCATTTTACATTGAAATACGGGGCAATCCTGTATTATACAGGACAAGTGGCAACCCTAGTCATAGTAAGACCATCCTGTGTTACAGTTTTACACTCCAAGCTGATTTTTGGGCCAGAAAGTTATGCTTCCTCAAACAACAGGCTCAACACACCTGTGCAGATCAAACCCTAAGTCAAACCTATACACACAGATGGGGATGAGAGGGTAGAGCCAATTGCAGCTGAGGAGTGGGTTCCAGTTTTCAGTGTTATTCCACATAAAAATAAGTCCCCATAAAAAGAAAAGGTTCAATCCCAGACAGTTTTTGACCATGTTGGCTTACTATTTGAATCCATTGAGTATTCAGCCTTGCTGCTCTCTACTGACCAAGTAAAATTTTAATAGAAAATTAAGTAACTTAGTTAAGAACACATGAAAGTAAATTATATTGTTTGTTCTTAGGTAGGGCTGATAAAATTTGGATAGGTAAAAGGGAGTCTGACCCTTCCCAAATATTCTGATGGCCCCTCAATATTTTTCTCCTGTTCACCATCCCTCTTGGCAGATGCTTTGCATGCTTTTCAAGTTGGCTAATGATCCAGCTAATCAGCAATTATGGATTCATGATCATGACTCAATGTAGCCCCTCACATGTGACAGTGGGATGTCACAATGCCAGATCAGTATGAGGTCTTGGCTACTGAATGAGAGAATAGTCGCTTTCCATTTTAGAGGTGAAACAAACGAATAAATCCTGACCAAAACAGGAAGGGAGGGGGGACATTGGTTCATGGAAGTGTATTTTGCAAGACACAGCTTCTGGGAATCCTGGCTCAACCCTAGTTTTGCATTATATTTACTTAGCTCTGTAGGCAAAGGACAAGGCAACTTGACTGCATTTAGCTCCAACAGTTCAAAAGTCTATTCTCAAGCCACTGGCCTTAACAGGACATTACTATAGTAGAACAGCAGAGACACAGGATTCTGCAGGTGTGGTTTTAGAAAGTGGGAAGATATTTAGCAGAACAGTAGGAGTGCAAGGGACACTGTCATTCTTGCCCTGCTGTAGCACATATTTTGAAAGCCATGGAAAGCTCTTACACAGTGCATCAGGAAGACATACAATCTCACCCAATGAGGGCTGAATAAACTTCTTTTTATTGTCTTGTACCAGGTTCAATATTTAAAAGTTATTGTTAAACAATAAAAGCAGATATTTTGCCCTTTGACATATGCAAATATATGTTCTTTCCTCCACTTTAACAGGTTTACCATTCAATCCAATAAGGAAATAGTTATATCACCTCAGTAAATTTTTACAGTGATGCAAATTTAATGCCCTGTGGGTGTGTCAGGTATGTAGGTAGCTTACCTTTTCCTTTCAGAAGTTTTACTGCTAAGTAAATAAATTTTGCTGGGATGGAGAGCTCAGTCTCTCAAGTAACATGGGAGCTGTGGGAATGTGCTATAGATCTGGAACGCAAATGATCTCAGGTTCAGTCCCTGGTGCCTTAAATCAAAAGCAGCAGATGATGGGAAAAGTGCCTTGCTACCTCAAGCCCTAGAAAGGCATTAATAGCCAGAATAGATAATACACGGGGCTAGATAGACCAATGATGGGACAGCTTTGTAGGCTTCTTTGACTCAGGCAGTTAATGGAAGATCCCCTTGCCCAGAGGCATTCCTTCAATACTTAAAACAGTTATGGGGAACCTTTGGCCCTCCAGGTGTTGCTGAACTACAAGTCCCATCAGCCCCAGCAAGCATAAAATCATAGAACTGTAAAGTTACCACAAGGGTCCAACCCCACTGCAATGCAAGAATCTTTTGACCAACATGGGGCTCAAACCCTCAACCCTGAGTCTCTTACTCTACCAACTGAGCTCACTCTTCTTCTTCTTCTTCATGACCCAATAGGGCGTGTTGAATTTTTCACCTTTCAAATTCCAAAAATGAGGGACACTTAAAATGTTGTAACATGACTTGGGAATTCAAAAAAATATTTTGGCTATATTAATATAATTTAGTTTTGCTTGGTGAGTAAAATATGTGTACAATTTCATAGAAGTAATTAAAAATGACTGTCAGGTACTTGCAATTATATTATTATTATTATTATTATTATTATTATTATTATTATTATTTAGCATTACCTGACATTTTCAAAAGGTAAAATTAAAATTATCTGGTTTTCCAAAAAGTTTATTTCCTTCTTCATCAAATGTAGGCTTACCAAGCTAAATGTTGCCCAAACCCAAAAATAATAGCATATTTTAATTCCTCACACCCAAAACCAGTAGAGGCAGGACTTAGCTTTATCCTCCATAAATTTGCCTATTCCTCCTTTAAGGCCATCCAAGTTGGTGGCCATCCATCACTGTCTCTTGCGGAAACAAATTCCATAGTTGAATAATACACTACACTCTTTTTCCTGTCCTTAACCTTACAACATTCACCTTCGCTAGATGTCCAGGATGTCAGGTTATGAGCAAATGAGAACATTTTTTTGCTCTATCCATTTTCCCCATACCATGTATAATTCCATACACTTTTATCATGTTGCCTCTCTAAATTGAAAAGCCCCAAATGTTGTCATCTGTCCTCAAAGGGGAGTTGTTCCACATGCTTGATCACTTTGGTTGCCTTTTTTGGAACTTCTTCCAGCTCTACAATATCCTTTTTCGAGGTGAGGTTGATAGGAACCGTGCACTTTATTCCAATTTTGGTCAGACCATAAATTTGTGTAACAGCTGGGATAGCTCTCTTGGTAAAGCACAAGACTCTTATCTCAAGGCCATGGGTTTGAGACCCACACTGGGCAAAAGATCCCTGCACTGCAGGGTTGGACTAGATGACCCTCATGGTCCTTTCCAACTCTACAGTTCTATGATTCTACTGGTAGTTTTATTTTCAGTTCCTTTCCTAACGATCCCGAGCACTGAATTCACCTTTTCCTCAGTTGCCACACATTAATACCACCTCCATCTTTGACATCCAGAACTGAAAGATTAACCCCAGCCTGAGAAACAAGGTAACGGCAGCAAGAAAAGCTCTGCTGATCCACAGGCCTGACTGGCAAGGTCCTTACCTTGTGGAGGTTGATATCTACAAAGGGAGTGTTACTTTCCTGGCCATATTACATTACATGTTTGATGTACCTACACCTGTCTACGAAAAAAGTATAGGATTACAGATTGTTTTTTCTCAGCCAACACAAGTTCTTGAAAGCCACAGTGTCTCTAAGACAGCTCCCCCGAGACTGAAAAAGTAACATCAAATGAAGCCAAATATAGGAGGCATTTCAAGGTTTAAAATGAATGGAAGCCTTCCAAAAAAATATTTCTATGTAAAGATGAAAGGGTTGGGCAGATCTCTTAGGGAAAGATTTGTTTTTGTAAATGTGCCGGGGTGGGGTGAGGAGTATGTACAACATATGCAAATAGACACACTATAAAAATAAAAAAAAATTCCAGCTCCATTAAGGGATTGAACTATGTCCTGTAACAATGATAAAATAATTATGATGAACTCTGCGAAGAGCATTCTAACTTCACATTTCTGATTTATTCACCAGCACTTGGAGAGGTTCCAAGCCTTGTGACATTTTATTATGTTGCAATAAAACATGCGTCATTAGGTCACTTGTGGATTTACCCAGGGCAGCAGCTAACACAAACGGCATTTGGTCTATTAATTATATGACTCAAATTATTTTAAAGCTTGACATTTGTTACAGATATATATATATATATAGCACTGTAAGTCATCCTGACATCCTGTTTCATTAAAAAAAAAAAATTCTATAGGGCTGTACTGCCCAGTAATGAGCAAACTTAATTTCACTGAGTGATGACAAATAACAATACGTCATACTTACCAATGTGGTTTGGCTACTCCACCAGTAAGCTGTTCTCCTGAACCTGAGCTCATTCTTAACAGCACATTTGGAATCCATTACCCAATAGGGATCCATTACTGACTAATGTTGTGGGGGCTGTTATGTGACCTCCCCACAACACTTATGTGAGGGGAACATGCTGGCTAGTTACAGCCCCCACTACATGGCTTCCAAGTGCATTAGAAGAGACTCTATGCACATATCTATGTATAAGTGCATGGATTTTCTCTACCTGAGGGCAGATCCTGGCTCAATCAGAGTCGTATCCCCCCATCCCACACAGCATTACAGGTAAACATGAACAGCTCCTTCCAATGTGCTCTGAACATGCAGAGCTAGGCACCATCCTTACGCATTCCTTCAGCATGGGTGCAGTGTCATCTGAAATACACACGAGCCAAATTCACTCAGTAGGGAAACTTTTCTTGAACTTCTGAGCACTTACATCTCCAAATTAATGCCACTACCTTCACAGCAAGGTTTTTTTTGCAGGGAGTAACTAATTCCTTGAGTGATAGCTCCACAATTTAGTGATACCAGCTTTTGGCCTAACTTCAGCTATCTACCCATCACCAAGATGCAAGAGCCTGCCAATGAGTAGGAAGACATCATTATTCCCCTGACCCTCTGAATATACTTCAGTGTTACAGTCCCGCAAGTGTAGTATTATCAGCTAATGAAGAGGACCCTTATTTATTTCTGATATTTATATCCCACCCTTCAATAACAACTTAGCACTCTTAGGGTAGCTTGAAAGCGTCTTTAAAAATACAAATATTATACCTAACAAACAGCAACAAAGACAACAAGGCACATGATAAAGCACAGACTTTGGTGCCACCACCAACAAAGCTCTCTCTCCTTGGTTGCCACCTGCCTTGCTTCCAGTCGCGGGGGTGCCCAGAGAGGTGTCCCAAATGTAAAACTCAGCATATGAGTGGATAAATACTGCAGTGTGTGGATGCAAGTGAAAATCTTACAACGTGTTGATTCTCATTCAATTCCACCCCCTTATGAAATCAGATCTGATTGCCTATTAAATTAAATATGCCTATGGGGCTGTCCTTGCCCTGCTCCCCACAGTTCTAGTACAGCCATGCTTACCACAGCCACATGAGCAAGAATACAGATTACAGAGCACATCAGCAAACACTTACCATACCATCAGAGATGCATGGGGAAGGGCCCTTTGCCATTATATTCTCATTCTTATACATGCCCAATTATTATTTTTTTATTAAAAAAAACCTTTTAGCATGTATTTTAATGACTTCAAGTTAGCAAACTCAGCTACAGCATTGCAGAAGTTGACTTTGATGGGAGAGTTCAGCTCTATGGCAAGTGTCCTTTCCCCTTGTTGAACTAGAATTGTAGGAGGGGAGAAAGGGGACGTGCTGGCTCTCTCAGTTCCCTCTGTCACGTCCCTGGCACTGTCCCAGGTTTCCTGCACTGGTTGGAGAGCAAATGTCTGCAACAGGGAAAAATGCAGCACTTCTGGAGAATCCCCACCTAGTTTTGAACCTTGAACATATGGGTTCTGAATCACACTGGAAGCTCTCCAAGGTAAAAGAGTTTCCATGCTGCAGGTATCTGGCCTTCTAATGAGTAGAGGGCAGCAGGGGCAGCAGTGGGGCCATGAGGCACACCCCTGCTAGCTCCCCCCCCCCCCAATTGTACAAGAAGAATGATGTCTGGACAAGGCCAATGAAACCTAGTAAACTGGGTGTTCAACATCATGAAGCTGGAACTTAGCATTCAAAATATGCAGCCGGTTTTTTAAAAGCCAGAATCACAATGAAGATGCGCAGTCCACTTTCTACTTCTGTCCACAGTGACTGAGGTGTCAGACAATTCGCAACATTGCACACCATTGCAAACACCCTTCATGCGGCTTGAGCGCTGGTTAGCAAAATCCTGTGACGTCTTAAAATATCCCAAGCAGGTCCTGAAACTTGGTATAGGAAATGTGTGCCTATGAACATCATCTCATGGTTCCTGCAGCCTACTTTGTTACCCAAAATGTTTACAAACAGCTGACTGGTTCATGCTGGCAAAGTGTGGGAGAGCTGTTAAAGGGCACTCCAAAAATACAAAACTCTAGTAGCAAGATGTCAGGATGAGTGTTATGCAGTAATTTCAACAGTGCACATTACAATATACTGGACATTATTCCCTTTATTTGAACCTGTGGTCACATCAGCACATGATTTCGGGGAAAGAGATTTGTGTAATCAAGCAAATAGGCTTTGCAAATAGCATTTTCCATGAGACTGAGTCGTAGCTAGGAGTGGCAGAAAATATATCTAGAAACCCTTTCAGAGAACATGTTCACTTCATAATAATAACAAATATCTAGAGAGATATCAATCAAGTCATGACTGCAGTTCATTTTTACAGCCCAGTGAGTTTGACTAATTCATTGCATGCACTGAAAGAAGAAGAAAGGACATGTTACTTAAGTGCTAGGAAGCACTGTTGTAAAGAGGAAAAAACTTCTGAAGATAAACAGAGCAAGCCTCTTGCTGGCAAGTACTAATTCATCTGTTGTCTAAATGACACTGAAAGATGGGTTTCAAAGGGAAATGTTCATTTAGCAGGAAACTAGCATAGATTTAATGGAAAAAGTAGGCCTCCAAGGTTTGCTCTCAGAAATATGTCAAGCACAGTCAACACAAGGATATTGTATAATGGTTGATTATGGGGAGCAAGCACACTCCTCAAACTTCCTGCACCAAACTGCCCAGCGTCACTATATCACTTGTCCGTAAGGATTTGATTACATGTGTGCACCTCCTGGGTTAGAAATCTGGGCCGGTTTTTAATGACACATATAAGCCACACCCATGTGCAAAATTGTGCAGAACCACCTATCTTGAACACAAATTACCTCCTGGAAAAATGTGCAACTTCTTACCTCAAGAGCACTGTGCTTTTCTTCTGTCTCTTCCATTCTTTCAAATGTTATCCTTCGGATTATAAATTATAACAGCGGAATGTCAAGGTGGCAGCTCCTGTTTGATTAATTAGGCTTTTTAAAATTTATCTGTTTATTTAAAACACACACACACACACACGACTTCACCAACACCACCATTTAAGTTGCAAGTCAGAACCAGACCTCCATTAGGCAAGTTTTGTTTGGATGAAGTCACCATCCCTTCCTACAACATCAAGACGAGCCAAATTCAAAGAACAAAAAAATTAACATCTTTGAATTTTTTTTATGAAGTGGCAGACACCTTAATTCTATATTGCCATCTTGCTTCCTTAAGGGTGCAAGCGAGGGCAAAATGAGACATGGTGACATTTATTTGTTGCTCTGCTTGGGGTTTTTTTTGGTGGAGGGAACCATGGGATAGGAATTCAAACTACAGTGAGATGGAGTGCCAGCACGTCTTCTCCCAAAGAATACACAGTGCCTCCTGGCCCATCAGCCTCCATGATTCCAGAAAGGAGGTGGGGGGGGGGGAAGACTAATGGACAGCTTCACAGAGAAGTGGGGGAACAAACCTAGGACTCATTTAACAGTCAGGAAAATAGAGGATGCAAAGCAAGAGGAACAACTCAGGTAGGTATATAATTTAAAGTCCCTTTCAAGCTACGCAGTGAACTTAACTGGGTCATTGAGCAAAGTGTGCTGTTTCTACAAGCTGCCAGCATGAGTCCATATCAGGCCCCTTCTATAGAGGGGTTGGGGGCTTTAACCCTATGGTCCCAATCCATATTGAGGAGCCTATTACTGCAATCTGCATTGCAAAAAAAAAAAAAAAAAAAGGTTCAATCTGTTTCAGCCACTGTATGGGGAGGGGCATTTAAATAAAGCCCCACCCTACCCTAGCACTAGGGTCCCAATATGGACCCCCCATATGCACACCACTGGCCATTCGTGTTTGCGTGTGTGAAACTATACTTAATATGAGAACAATGGAATTAAAGGCACAATTAATGCTTGTGAGGCGTGGAGGCCGCTGCCCGCAAGGCCCTTTCCACCTGGCCTAGGGGGGCCAGGCCCACACTCACCCATCCCCACTAAAGAGGCTCCTCATGAGGCTGGAGGAACATAGCCCGGCTAATGTTTATTGATTTTAATATGCTGTAAACCGCTTTGAGATTCTTATTAAAAATATAAAGCGGTATAGAAATTAAAACAAACAAATAAAAATATGGACTAACCCCCAAGCAAACGGGAAATGCAATCTAATAGCCAGGTTAGACACAAGAGAGCATTCAGAGTCTGGCAGACCTGACATAGTCCTGGGATACACGCTGGTGTAAGCTTTGGCTCGGCCATACACCCTGGCAGGGTACTGAATGGGCACAGCTGTGTGATGGAGGGCTGTCTGCTGAGGGCTTGAAGGGCCCTGCCCTTGCCTCTCTCCACCTGGCTTGGGGTGGGGCCTGACAGGCTTCACAAGGCCTGCAGCTGCTGCTCAGCAGAGAGGGCTCCTCTATTAAATTGTTTTTTAAATTTTTATCTGTATTGTTTTAAATTTTTATCTGTGTCGGCTGTGAGCCCTGGAAGGCCTGCACCCTGGCCTTTTCCCATCTGGCCTGGGAGAGTGGAGTGGTGACTGACTCCAGCTACAAAATCTGAGGCTGTTGAACAGATCCTTGGGCTGGAGTATTGTTTACGGGGGGGGGGGGAGGTTGAGAGAGCTTGTTGCTAATAAACATCCACAATTTTTTTAATAGAATAGAATATACGATAGACAAGGTAATAATATGTACCATTTTTAACATGCAGAGAAGAGGAATGTGCAGACAAACCAGAGAGGGGATCTGAGGGAAGTCTTTGTGGGGAGGAGAGGGAGGAATGGGGGGGGATAAAAAGGGGGGAAATAATGTACAGTAGTTGATTATTTGGATTGATAATTTGTTTTGTTGAAATTCATAAAAATGTTTTTAAAAAGAGAGAGAGAGCATGTTGCTGTTATTGATATTTTTGTTGTTTTGGATCTTATGATTTATGTGGAAATTGTTTCCATTTGGTTGTACACTTTTTGATGTGTTTTATTTATTGTTTGACTTCTGTTATGTTTGTAATTATGAAAATCTTGCCGTGTTGTAAGCCGCCTTCAGCATAGTTTCAGCTATGGAAAGGCGGCATACAAATAAAATGATGATGATGATACCCTCCCCACCATGATATTCTCTGGACAGCTCCTTCTCCCCCCTGTCCTGCAATCTCCCCAGTCTCTGTTCTCTGTCCAGTCTCCTCAGAATCCCCTCAGAACCTGTCAGTTCCCTATGGCAGCTCCCAATAATAATAATAGTGATTTAATAATAGTAATTATTATTATTTATGACTTGTCCCCCACCCATCTGACTGGGCTGTCTCAGCCACTCTGGGTGGCTTCCAACAGAATATAACAAAAGACAATGGCTAATTAAATAGAAAAAAGTAAATAGCAGTTGTGACTGGCCTGATCTAGGCTACAACTGGGGGAAAGGGGTTAAACTCCCCAGCAACCTGCCCTGCAAGCCCAGGTCCTGATCTGGATTAGACCTTTGTGCTTGCTATTCACTTTTAAAAACAAACAAAAAAAACCAAATTGCTAATTGTGTAAATGGCTTCATATCTAGTTTCTACCCTAAATGTTGTAATGCCCCATGAATAATAAGAAATTTGTATGGTAATCAAAGTATAAATATTCTACAAAACTAAAATACTGTAGGTAATTATTCTGTGACTCCCAAGAAGTGTCTAAGCACTCCTACAAAACTACAGTCTATGATAATTACATGGGTGAATCCATGAAAGAGGTGAGCTGGTTTAAAATGTGCTTCAGATATGTAGCATGTAGCAAATTTTGACACATGCATCAGGGTCCTATTAATAAGGTAATATTATAATATAATCTGGTAATATGCAGGTTATTGCCCTCTGAACACAGGGATATTGCATTTCTAGCTATTATGGCTATAAACAATGATAAATATACCTTCCACAAATATATCTAATTCATGCTAGTGATTGGCTGTCATAGCCTCTTTAAGCTATTAATGTTGCAGGTTAACTGTGAATTGGGTGAAGTGGTACTAATCCCCCCACTTTATGCTTATCTAAAATGTAATCCACAATAAGGCTGGGAGTATTTAAGTAATGTTCCCATAAGAACAGACTCAGTTTGCACACAATGTTAGTGCAAACATGCAGGCTGCTGTTGAGCAGATTGCAACCACTTTTCCAGCAACACATGTTAAACAGCATGTTATGCTGTTTTATTATTGCCCCTTGGACTGAGGGAATCCATTTGTATGAAGGGCACTTCTAAAATATTTTAAATAAATAGATATTCCCCTTTTTGAGAAAGGAAGGATCAGCCAAAGATCCTGTATGGTCAAGATGACAGATCAGATCAGTGCCAAAGGTGAGATCCTTCTAATCAACAAAACTATAACAGAATCTCAACAGCTTGCAGGTAAGTTCACTTTCCACTTCAAAAGGCTAGTCCGTGGGCTGCATTGCTCCCTCCCATGTGCAATTTTACTTGATCTCTGAAAACTGTAACCAATGGTAATTTAGGCATGGTTGAGAAAAAATTGCTGAGGATAAGGAATAGAAAAGTTTTGTCAAGTAGACAAAAAAATCCCACATGTTCTGATACACTGCTTAACATGCAGTGCCCCCTATATACACATGCTCTGTAACTCTGACTCCTCAACTGTCAGGTTGTACCAAGTTTCATTACAGAGCCTGACTGCTTGCCAATGGGTAGGGTTACAACTTACTCCCATGGATTCCAGACCTTCATCACAAGAAAAGTGAGCGTTCTCCCGCCACAAGCTGGCCACCCTTTGTGACTACCAGCACTGTAATCTCAAACAAACAAGTTTCCCCTATTCCCAAGCAGCTACTAAAATGTCTTTTATCTGCCATAGTTTTCTGCACAAATCACTACCTTAACAAGACACCTCCCACACACTGCAAAAGGCCACTTTCACACAAAAGTAGGCTTCTGCCTTACCTGAGGTGTCTTAGCTGTGCTAATCTGCGTGCAGGTGATCTTTTCAGCGGTCCAGCTACACCTGCAGCCTGACTGCTTGCTGGATACCCCCTCCTTGTGTTTATCATCGTTACCTTGTTTACAGCTGCAACCTTTCCACAGGGAGCCAGCAACAGGGGAAAATTTCACAGCCGAGGGACGCACACACGTACGCACACACACAACACACTCATAGCAGCACTGTAAAGGCTGCTTTTGGATACCACGTTTGCAATGGCTACAAAGATATGCTAATACAGGCAGTTATCTGACCAGGGATCTGGGGATGTAGTAAGCCAAAGGCTGAAAACTTTAACTGATTAACTGGTGTGGTTAAATAAAGAAAGCTCTGAAACCTGCCCCTTGCGATTTGTTGGCAGCAGGGGTGGCCATAAGCAAAAAGCCACAAAGGTTTAAGGAAAAAATTGTGACATTAAAAGACTGCCTTCCCTGCAAGCCACAGGAACCCATGAGCTCTCACGCCTGTACACCAAATCAGATGGCCTTTACAATAGTTTCTCCTTCTAACTCAAAGGTGAGGAACCTTTTGTCATCAGTGTAGGCTGGTGGTGCAGAGGCAAAAATGAGTGGAGCAACAAATGGAAATGCTATCTTCGTACAGTAGGCTAGTTTCCGCTTACACTCGCACAGTGCTCTCTGCCTTTCATTCATTCAGGCAAGCAAGCAAGAGGCATTGTCAGACCGGAAGGACACATTCCAGCCAGGCAAAAACAGAAACAAAAACCCATTTATGCAAGATGCAAAACAGGGCCAGTCAGAGCTGGGGCCTGGGGAAGAGTCCCAAGGACAAGACAAAAGAGTTTGGAATGACACAATTGGCTCCTGGCTTGAGGTGCCCAACCCCTATTAAAGCTCATGCATTAGCCGTGTTGGCATTTAAGTATTTGTGTCATTTTAAATATGTGTTTTTAAAAAACAAACAACAGCAGCTTTGGTTCAAGATGAAGGTTAAGGCTGACAATTTCCAGCTGAGCTTCAGTAAATACGGAAATGGTAAAGTAAAGAACAAACTCCCATGCCACATAAGCAGCCAAGACTTTAGTATGGTCTTAAACATTACGCTCGCTTACAGATTAGACTCCATGCACCCTCACATTTTGGTTATTCAGCTCAACAAGTGGAGGGGGGGGACATCTAGGCAGAAATTCTACAGGTGCAGCTTCTTCTATCATTTGCAACAGCTCTTGTTGTTTTTTTGAATAGTAAATTCACTGAGTTTTTGAGACACTTACAAATTGTAATAATAGCTTCTTTTTTAAAAACAACAACAACCCAAATCAATATCTTTGTCTTCAGCACCTTCAAGTAAACAGCATCTGTTATCTAAGAACTTTAACAAAAAGCACTGAATTTAGAAGATATTTTCATAGATTTGCAAGCAAGCTTGAGTTAGGAAGAGAATTCTAGAGTCCCACTGCCCTCCTGAAATTAATTTAATCTTTATTTGCTACTTGCACCACTTGCCTGGAGGTAACATAGAAGGGGGAATGAAAGCCACATCAACCAACAAGGGTTCCTCATCACATGCATGAACCTTTGCTATTCACTCTCAAGAAGCATTATTTAAGCTGACAGACTCTTTACTTCCTGTCCTGTGTCCAATGTATTAAAAATGGGTGTGCACATACCTGTTAACGGCTTTTGATGACAGCTGTGTCTACTTTCATGGGTGGATTTTCAAGCAGTGTAACATTGCAGAGCATGTGAACCAAGAAAAGCTCTGCCACCAAATTACCAAGAAAGGTGCACACATGCAGAGCAATTGAATCTCCTCAAGTGCCTTTTTTTAACATGCACTTCTGGCATTCAACAGCCACACCTGTACCAAAGTCCTCTGGCTCTAACGCCCTCGAGAAAAGAGCATGTTCACATATGCAAATGGCTTAGCTTGAATATACCCAGAATATCTTATCTAGCAGTGCTATACTTCCCTCTCATATTAGGGTGGAGTACAGAAATACAGTGGGCGCTCAGGATGTGAACGTGATCCGTGTGGGGAGCACGTTCGCAACCCGCAGTGTCCGCAACCCGCAGTGCCGTGTCTGCACACGTACGGGTTGCAATTCGGCGCTTCTGCACATGCGCATGCGTGACCGCCAAAACCCGGAAGTAACCCGTTCCGGTACTTCCAGGTTTTGGCACATCCGTAACTTGAAAAAACACAACCTGAAGCATCTGTAGCCCGATGTATAACTGTATAAGAACACAATAAAGCGGCATAAAAAAACTGCACAGGGCTGTCAGCATAAAAGAGTCTTTGAAACTATGCAATATATGTAAGTTTAGGTGCTAATACCACAACTAATAATGCCCTACGCCCAGTGCTGGATTTATGTATAAGCTAAACAAGCTATAGCTTAGGGCCCCACTCTATTGGGGGGCCCCAAAACATTAAAGGGGAAAAAACTGGATGTACATTTCCAAAATATAAGATAAAAAACAAATAAAATAAAACCTGCATACAGCAACAGTGTTTTGTGTTGTGTAGGCTCCTATTCTGTTATGTGCAAATGGCTTTAGATACCTATTAGGTCCATAAACAGCATATAGCATATATTCAACACAAAAAAGCGACAATTTGTTGTTGACAAAGGACAGCTGGACATATAAAGGGCCCCATTACCTTCAGTAGCTTAGGGTCTCATCAAACCTAAATCAGCTGCAATTTTGCTCAGATGTTTCACACAGAGCCATCAAAAGAGTCACTAGGAGAGGACAGGGAGGAAATGAGCTACAATGGTGCCACTTATTTGGCAGAAGGAAAATTAAATATGCCTATTCTTGGACTGCATCTTAAAATACTTGGGATAAGCAGCAGCACCTAGTTCAAGATTCATAACATTACTAAAAAAAAAAAGTTAGTTTTTTATTTTCTTGTTACAAAATCGTACACACTTAAATAATACAACATGACAAAAAAAATGGGTCACGGGCGGGGTAAAATACTAATAACTAACAAAATTTTGTGTTTTCAATGCATCCATAAACATGCACCAAACGAAGGAATAAAAGTGTGTTTACTTTTTACCAACATGTTAGCTAAAAGGTGTTAAGTGGTAACAAAATAATCATTAAGTGATCGTTAATAAGGGTCATCGTTCCAACAGCAATATGTACCCATTACCATGCAATAAAGAAACCAAAAGGTATCATATGCCAAGTCAACATTGAATAGGCGGATATTTCAAGGATCTACATCGCTACAACACAGGAATGCTAATTCTGTGGCAAAAGCTCTGAAGCGATAACAATCACATGTTGGAAGCTCTTGTTATTGGATTCCAAATACGACCCTAGTACTGACGTAAACACTAATAATCTCCCAAGCAGAGTTAGGATATTGGGAGCGTAAACCAGACTCACACAGATCTCCATTCTCTTACCTGTGCTAATTCCACCTTCCCTTCTCTCGTTAGGGTTAATTATGGTGCAGCATTACCTGAATGGGCACTAGCCATGGTTAGTGCAAGCCAGCAGCTTTGAACTCTGGTTTCAACCACTGGTTTAAAAGCCAACAATCCTAAATACTGCTGTAGATAGTGCGGCATCACCATAAATACTAACTCCAGCAGCAAGCTCCCTATTTCCTAACCATGGTTGCCTGAGTCTGCAAGAAGCTTCCATCCTCATGACCATGGCTATGTCTGCATCAAGAGGTCAGCGCTTCAAGGCTACCTATTTCTATGCACAAAACCTTTGTTTGCAAGTGTAAATTGTGAATAAAGTTCTAATATTCTTACATTTAAACCCAGGACATTCCACAAACATTTTTTTTCTTGCAACACATGCTAATAATACTTTATTTATTTATATCCCACCCTTCCTCCCAAATGGCAAACACACAGGTGATAAAACAATCAAAACATTTTAAAACAATGCCAATACAGACTGGGAATGATCTCTACTTTAAAATGCTTGCTGAAAGAGGAAGGTCTTCATTAGGTGCTGAAAAAACAACTGAGATGGTGCCTATCTAATCTTTAACAGGAATATCAGACATATAGTTTTAAAAGTACTCTAAAATGCAGTTTAATCTGTTTTTAAAATCCAGTGGCGTGAATGCTAAACTTAGGGATGTGAAGATACCTGAATAACCACTGACTACTTTAAAAAGACAACAACTGGTATAATAGAGAAGAGACCAAACTGTTAGAAAGTTCCTGGTTTAGAAATCACTTCTGCTATGAACTCACTACGTAGCCTTAAGCAAGCTGCTATTTCCTCTTCCAGCCTCAATCCCTCAGTCTGTAAAATGGGCACAGTAAGGGATAAACTCTGTAACACAGCTGAGATGTGAGATTTTTATCTCCTGGGTCTCTTTTAATTTTGGCAAATAGCTTCCAAGAGTGGGCAGAGGGAATCCCCATCCCCACTAATATTTGCCACAGTGTGGGAAGCCTCTATGTACGCAGCCTGCATATGTACATTTCTCTAGCGGGGAGAAGAAGGACAGAGTGGGACTCCTTTGCCATCAACCTGGCTCCAAATTAAGAAAGGAAGGACACAACATTCATTGTCTTCTGGTTTCTAACGTTCAAGCTGTGAATGCTGCTCTTTAAGTAGTGAATACAGCACCACCCACCAACCAAGTAGAAAGTATGAGCACTCTTGGTGAAAACCCCAAGGCTTGCAGGGTGGGGGGGAGACTCTTAAGGGGGGGGCAAAACAACCCCATGAGGGCTGGTTTTTGGGGAGGGGATTAGAATGGAGTTGAATGGAATCCTGAACAGGAGCTGTATATGCACCATACATCTAGGGCATGCTTAAAACACATTGCTTCCCCCAAAGAATCCTGGGAAGTTGTTCACAACTTACAGAGTTACAAATCCCAGCACCCTTAACAAACTACAGTTCCCAGAATTCTTTTGGGGGTGGGGAGTCATGTCCTATAAATGTAGGACAGTTTTATTGCGGTTCCCACTTAGTACGTGTTAATTCCAAACAGGGTCCCAACTGGATTTAAGAAACCTGGCTATATTTGCAATGGAGAGACACTTGGTTATCACCTCAGTACAGCGAAATATATGACACAGAGGTGAACTGTGATCTGCTTCCAAAGCACACCACATGCCCATCGTAGAGAGAAATAAAATTGGGAGAGAGAAACACATTGCTGTCCCATTTCACACGTCTCCATGCTTCCTAATCACCATCGAGCTACCATATAACGCAACTTTAAAACTTTACTTACTTACAGTCCTCTCCTTCCCAAACCAAGACAGCATCACCTCCATGGGCTGGGAATCTACAATCCCATTTTTTTTGTCTGTGGAGAAATAAAGAAAGAAAAATGCAAATGAATTGGGCAGGCAGTAAAATACAGTAAATAAATGAAATGGGCAGTTGAGTGTTGCTTTAGGAATCTGCCTCATACTGAGTCAGAACCATTGGCCAATCTAGTTCAGCATTTCCTACACTGACTGGCAGCAGCTCTCCAGGGCTTCAAGCAAGAGTCTTTCTCCCAGTCCTACTGGGGGATGCCAGGGATTGAACCTACAACCTTCTGCATGCAAGTCAAATGTTCTACCACTAAGCTCCGTCCCTTAGCACAGTACACATTCAAGCTGAGGTTGAATTTACATAAACCTTTCAATAAGTCTTGGCGTTTGATGGCTTTTGGGGGGTTGCAACTGGACACAAGGAGAATACCCCTTTGTAGAAATGGGCTTAAACAAGTGGGGAGGAGGCAGAAGGAACAGGAAACACAAAGGAATCTGTGCTTCTTGTTTCTTCTTTTGTTTAAAACATTCCCAGAGAGGCTCCAGAAATGGAGACAGAACTTGAATCTCACCACAGGTAGAAGAGTTTCTCATGGGTTAAGTCACAAATCTGGATAAAAGACAAAAGGATAGGTAACTGCTTGCCCAAACAGCCAGTTGCAATTCAACCCATGTTTTGTGATAACTCATATCCTGCCATGCTGAAAAGCTTGTGGGAACTGGTCTCAGCGTGCCACAAAAAAAATGAGAGAAGAGGGGGAAAGTGGGATGCTTATGGAATTTGCACCTACCAGATTCTGACCTGGATTGAGAAGTTCTGCCACACGGCATAAGTTTACCAGAGCAGAGCTCAAGTTGCCAGATTCCATAACTGTTGTAAGACCATGAGAAGAACCCACTGGATCAGGCCAACGACCCCTCTTATCCAGCATCCTGTTCTCACAGTGGCTCAACAGATGCTCACGAGAAGCCCATCAGCTCTCTAAGCATTAGCATTCTGGGGCATCCTGCCTCTGACAGTGGACGTGGAAAATAGCCATCCTTGCTAGTAGCCCTTGATAGCCTGTAGATTGCACCCCAATAACCACTGTCTGTGTAGCACATTTTAAAGTATCAGATATGATGACAACCTCTTCTTCAACCATTCCCTCTGAGGCCACTGTGCAATTAGCTGCAAAGACTGCATAAAGGATTTATTTGTATTGTAAACAGGAACGTTTACATCCTGATAAGGCACTAAAACTCTACATAGCTGCAATCCTATCAGTCATCACTTGGCCTGGCCTCTGGAACAAGGGATATGGTGGTTTTAATCAGAGAATCACAGCTTTTGTTATACTTTGGCCTGCATGGTTGACTGAGGGAAGGGGTGGAAATAGCTTCTACTAGATGAACCAAGTAAGCAGTCAATGTCTACATATATCTAGGTAGCCTACTGAGTCTCCCTGTCTATTCCTACCAATTCCAACTCAAAGAGCCATGGTGAAACCTTTCTCTCTGTGAGGTTTTCCTGCCAACACCCTAGTAGACATCGTCCAGATGAGGCAGGCAGGCAGGCAACATTTAATAAAGCATATCCAGATGGCGCCAATGCAGTTGTCATTGGAAAGAAGTCCATTCATTCCAGTAACTACCAACAATCTCTGCTTACCCCTCCTTGCACACTATGCAATGCAGTGGTGTCGAGCAGCTGCAGGACTCCTGATTTCTCCTTCCAGCTGCACTAGTGGGAAACTTTGGGCAAGATTATGAGACTCTCTGTGCCTCAGGTTCCCCATCTGTAAAAGAGAAACAATAACAATGCTATGTACTTCAAAGGGATGCTGCAAGGCTTCATTACATAGTTGCTTCCAACATCATTAGGAGGCAGCCGTATTTTCACATACTTGGGTGGCTATTACTTTTGCTGCATACTTTGGAGTACATTAAACAGAAAGCAAATAAGATCTGCTTATCACATGGGCACAGATCAGCTGTCATAAGGTGAAGAGGGGGAGAGTCAGCCTAGACTAATAACAGTGACACACTGACTGGGGTTGCCACCCTTTCCAACGGGTCCTGCTCCATCCTGTTCCTTCAATAGCAGCCTGAGAATATTGTAGCCAAAACAGGACTACCGAGGGGGTGGGGAGGAATATCAACATGCTAAAGGGAACTCCAAGGTTTGCAGAACCATTAAAAAAAGTGTTTAGAAAAACACACCTGAGGTGCAAAATAATAATTTAAAAGATTAAATAATAATTATTATTTTATAGTCCAATGAGGAAGGGGCATGTTCAATAACTACAAAATGTTAAGTGTGAACTGGTGAAAAGAAAAATGGAAAAGGGAGGTAGGAGAAGGAATGGAAAGGAGCATGTCCGCTTCCACAGGACCATGTGTCTTCTATCTATTTTCTTTTGGGGGGGTATTTGTAGATTTTCAGGGGGGCAGCCAATTTGAAGAATTTTAAAGCGAGAGTGCAAAGAGTGCCCCCCCTCAAAAAACCTTATTTAACAACAACAGCAAAGCCTTACCACAACTTCAAACATAGCTCGGCATTATTTCTAAACTCACACAGGCAACGGTCCGCCTTAATTATGACTAGTTGATTCAAGCCATAGGTTATAAACCTGGCTTGTCTGAACTAACCATAGTTTATGATAAACCACAGTTTAGGATCCAGGCATAACACTAAACTGTGGTTAGTTGAAATTGGTAGCAAAAGTTTCTGATCTCCTTGCAGCCATGGCAGAGAGGGAACATACCTGAACAAGCATAAGAAACACACACCCAAACCATAAGCTCGTGCTGCTTTAATTCTGTCAAAGGAGACCAAGGCGGAATGCCTGGTTTTGTTGGTTTTAAATGTTGTTTTAAAGGCAGAGGTATCGTTTTCATTTGTTTTTAAAGTTGTCAGTTACCTCAGAAGCTTTTAAGCAGAAAGGTGGATAGATTTAAAAACAACAAGGCTACCAACAATGTTTCCCGATACCTGAAAGAGGAGTCCTGCTCTCCCTCATGTCTACTGCTGAAGTTTACCCACAAGAACCTGCCAAAGTTTTATAATCTCTCCCCAACACCTTCTGAAGTGGGTGGTGGCAGGAGAAAGGGCCTTTTTCTGTTGCGGTGCGCCAGCTGTGGAACATTTTCCCCAAGGAGCCTTGCTAGGTACCACTCCCAGTTTCGTTCCAGGGCCAGCCAGCGAAGTCCTCCTTCTTCCACCCAGGCCTGATCAACTTTTTGGTCTCCTTACAATTTTGCTCTGACACTATGCCACACTGCTGTTGCTATTAGTTGATGTTTATAAAAATGTCAACTATTCTGAAAGTCCCCGGGCTTAAGAGCAGGAGAACAAGGATATGTGATAAGTAGCTCCCTCACCACCCAGTGAATCACCAAGCTGCAATCAAAGAAAACAAGCAGTCTCTCTCCAAAACCTGAGGAGAGAAGTGAGACGGCTTCATGCAGAAATGCCTTTGGCAGGTTTTGCTAAGGCTCGCTGCATCAAAGGCAGTCAGCCAAAGCAATCTCAAGAGCACAGCAGGGCTCGACGGCTCCAGCGTGGAATGGCAGGACACAGAACGGCTCATTGCCCCAGCCGCACTCTCACTTTGTGCAAACTGCATGCTAAGTCCTACTCAGTTTAAAAGAGGCTCAGGTGGATCCTGACACCCTAATAAGTCACCGAATTATAATGCCGGGTCACAACGAGAGGCAGCTGGCTGGTGACCTCCAGCCCAAATAAAGCGTTTAGGTAGTGTAACGGCCCAAAGGAAATATATCCCTTCATTTTACATTCATTCTATCTGGGCTTGCTGTTTCTATGTCTATTGAGTTACTGGAGATATTTTACATTTATTTTTATCTACTTGTAAGCTCCCTGCAAAGGGACGCGGGTGGCACTGTGGGTTAAACCACAGAGCCTAGGATTTGCCGATCAGAAGGTCGGCGGTTCGAATCCCCACGACGGGGTGAGCTCCCGTTGCTTGGTCCCTGCTCCTGCCAACCTAGCAGTTCAAAAGCACATCAAAGTGCAAGTAGATAAATAGGTACCGCTCCGGCGGGAAGGTAAACGGCGTTTCCGTGCGCTGCTCTGATTCGCCAGAAGCGGCTTAGTCATGCCGGCCACATGACCTGGAAGCTGTACAGCTCCCTCGGCCAATAAAGCGAGATGAGCGCCGCAACCCCAGACTCGGTCACGACTGGACCTAATGGTCAGGGGTCCCTTTACCTTTACCTTTAAGCTCCCTGCAAACCTGGCAGGGTTAAAAACTGAGATATGAAAGCTAGGAGCTAAATGGAACCTTAAACCTAGGTTATGGGTGCAAAAATGGAATGTCTAGGGGAGCTTTTTTATAACAAGAATACAAAGCTGAAAATGAATGAGCTGCAGCTAAAATATTATGTTCATTTTTCACATGGGCTAGTAGTCATTCCCCTGCCCACCCCTCTAATATTCTTAAGGGGGCCTCTTCTCCAGTCTTCAGAGAGTAGCTGGAAGTGGGGAGGCAGAAAAAGGTCCGCCTTTCCTTCCACTTTGCAGATTTAATCTGAAATATTAAGTGCAGTATTGTGTCCAGAGCTCAGAAGCTGCTCGCACTAATGAAATTCCCTGTCGCAAAATGCACCCAGAACATGGGTAGGCAAACTAAGGCCCGGGGGCTGGATCTGGCCCAATCGCCTTCTAAATCCAGCCTGCGGACGGTCCAGGAATCAGCGTGTTTTTACATGAGTAGTATGTGTGCTTTTATTTAAAATGCATCTCCGGGTTATTTGTGGGGCATAGGAATTCGTTCATTCCCCCCCCCAAAAAAAAATATAGTCCGGCCCCCCACAAGGTCTGAGGGACAGTGGACCAGACCCTTGCTGAAAAAGTTTACTGACCCCTGACCTAGAAAATGGGAGTTTCAAATGCTGAAACCTGGGCATAGGGTTTGAAACAAATACAGATGTTTGAAACAAATACAAATTAGATAGAGATAGATAGAGAGAGAGAGAGATAGAGAGATAGAGAGATAGATGATAGCTAGATAGATAGATAGATAGATAGATAGATAGATAGATAGGCAAAAATGTACAACTGCCTCTGAGGAACAATTTCAATACAGGTGAGAAGCAGAGGGAGCCTTAGGTATCAATTCCTAAAAACAACTGGTGCTCTAATCTGTCTAAACCCCATCTACCTGTTTGAATCTGTGTCTAGTACATGATCACTGCTCATGTTAAATAACAGCATTTTTGCAGCAATAAAAGCCTGCTGGAGATGTTAAAAATCAAAAGTCAACATTTTCCACATTTAGTGGACATATTCAAAAATAAAGATTTATTTTTTTTAAGGGAGAGTAGAGAGAGACTGCACGTTATTGAAAAGGTGACTGGATATGTTATACCATCGACATCTTCTTCTTTCTTCTCTGGCTATATGGACAGATTTTGTGATTGTGAAACAGCATGGAGTGAGTTGGAAAGTGATGACAGCTGCTAAGGTTACAAATAAGCCCACAAAACTTATGTAGCCTGCGAAAATGAAATACTACCCTGCTGAGGGCTGGCAAAAGAAGAATCAAAATGGGACTATCCCTCCTGCAGAATTCTGTGGCATTTCTATGCCCACCTGTCTGCCTGCAATTCCTTCTCACCTGTAACCACTATAGTTGTCCTTTTAGCTAGCAAACAGAAACACAGTGATCCTCTTGAAGGGAAGCACAGCCTAGCTAACGCCTGCAAGATTGCAGAGCAGGGGATGAGGAAGCTGCCATCCTCCAAGTCCCATCAGCCACAGCCCAAATGGTCAAGGATGGTGGGTCCAACAACATCTGGAAGACCAGAGGTTCTCCACCCTGGCTGTAGAAATAATAGAATATATCGAAGACAGGGTAATCCAACCTGCAGCCCGCGGGCAAGGCCTTTTTTTCGCGGCCCTCATCAACATTCAGGAAAAAAACATATTAAAGCCTTTAAAATTTATTTATTGTGTCGTGCGTTGTTATCAAAAGTGCATACCTTTGTTTAATAATTAAATCTATTAATTGTGTCTTTGAGGGTATATATTACCTGTGTATTTTAAATCATCTTAAATATATTGCAAACACTTTAATCTACGATATGGAATTTTAATTCAGTTTGTGGCCCACGGGTTCTGTGTTGAAGTACTCTTGCGGCCCACTTGGTATGAAAAGTTGGGCCACCTTGATCAAAGAGAAGGGGAAAGGAGGGATCAGAATAACATAGGAAGCTGCCTTATATAAAGTCAGACCATCTAACTCATTGTTGTCAGCACTGACGAGCAGTCACTCTCTTGGGTTTCAGACAGGGGTCCCCCTCCAGACATACACCCTACCCACTATACCAGGGATGGGGAACCTGTGGCGTTCCAGGAATCTGAGGGCCATTATCTCTGACTATTGGCCATGCTACCCTGAAGCTAATGGAAGCTGGAGATGGAGTCATTCAACATCTGTAAGGCCACAGGGTCCTCATCCCAGCAGAACACCACACCAGCTCCTCCAAGTGTCCCTATTTTCTAGGGATAGTCCCAGATTTACAGAAGTTGTCCCAGATTCTGATTTGATCCTGGAATGTCCCGCTTTTCCTTAGGACATCCCTACTTCCCTCAGAGAAATGCTGAAGGGTATGGTAGGATGTCCCTATTTTCATCGGAGAAATGTTGAAGGGTATGGAGTTATCCAACCACTGAACCATCTGAATGAAGTTCTGTTCAGGGAAGTTTTTCAATGTTTAATGCTTTATTATGTGTTTTATATATGTTGGAAGCTGCCAAGAGCGCCTGGAGAAACCCAGTCAGATGGGCAGGGTATAAATAGTGAATTATGGAATAGGACAGCCCTATTTTCATCAGTGTTTGGATGGTATGCCATGCTGGGTCTCAAAATGCAAACACTTGCCTTACAAGTTACAGGGTATAAGCATGGGTACACAGTCAAAGACAAAACAAAAATAACTGTGCAAGTAGATGTGATCCCAACACAATTTCACGAAACTCTTTATCAAGGGGGGGAGGGTTGTAAAAGCATACAAAATTACACACTCTAGGAAGTGTGTTACACCTAATAAGGTGTCATGAACCAATACTTCAGTCTCAAACCATAATTTTCACAATATATACTGTTTAAACACTCAGCTTATAAGCAATATTTAACACACCGCAATAAACTACAGAGAATCAGATAAGCTTCAAAGGCATATAAAAATAAACACGATTCGTCTCCCCAGCCCAGCAGCCTATATACCTGTATTTATCCACACACAGTACAATCAAACTCAAAACTTGTGTAGCGCTTCTTGATAAAAACTGCTTATGACAAATTTTTCTGATGCAGCATATCCAAGCAAAATTGGTTCACATTTTGTTTCATACACAGATATAAATATAACCCGCTGTCTCCTAAAACAGCTAACCCTAACTAACTTCAAAAGGCCTTGTTCCAGCTTTTTAAAATAACAAGCTGATATACTACTACATACTACATACTACACCACAAATCTCACATTTATCATGCTATGACTTGACTGACAGCCGCTGCACTGTAATCAAAAGCAGTACAGATACCCCCAAAATACAGCACCCCTTATTGCTGAGGTGACCCCACTGTGAAGGAACATATTACTATCATGTTTCCGAAGGAAACTCATACTCTTATCTTAACAGAAACAAATATTATGCTTTGTCGTTAAGCCTTCTCTAGTATGAAGCCTCGTAATCGAGATAGAGGAGTTTATTTCTAAACATATTCCTTCTTTATAGGAACAACTTGCTCAGCAAACCAGAATCTCCTATCTCACGCCCTGCACCCATACTGTAAGTAATGTTTAACTAGGATTTCCACTTTTATTTTCTGTTTTATATTTTTACGATGTTTACCAATTCTGAACGGCACTTTATGAGTTGGCGTCCCCACATACATCTGTTTTCCCGAGAGTTAACAAGTGATTCTGAGCCAAAGTACTATTGAAGTTTATATTTGTGTGGACTACATGTTGGAAGAAGACTGGAGGGATGTAACAAGGTTTCTCTGCTTTCCCACTATGGGCTGTCTAGGGTGGCACGTTGCTGAAATGTCTAGACATAAATGTTATGATCCAACAAAATCTCTGACCCAAGAGGTTCACGCTTAGCAATGCTATGGTGTGACATAATATTTATCCTTAAATATTTATTTCCCAGTAGTTAGAGACTACAGGGATGAATAGCTTACAAAGAGTTTTATATGATGTTCTCTATGTAGGGTCATCACAACAGCTTGAAACTGCTCACTAATGTGCTGTATTATAGTTTTTTGTTGTGTATCTTATGAGGAAGGAGGAGGAGGAGGAGAATGGTCTAAAAGGCTTCCCCAACCAGATGTTGTCAGACTATTAACTGCCATCCTCCCTTAATACAGTCGTAACTTGGAAGTCAAACGGAATCCGTTTTGGAAGTCTGTTTGACTTCCAAAACATTCGGAAACCAAAGCGCGGCTTCTGATTGGCTGTAAGAAGCTCCTGCAGCCAATCGGAAGCCGCGGAAGCCCCGTCGGATGTTTGGCTGCCAAAAATAGTTCGCAAACCGGAACAATCACTTCTGGGCTTGCGGCATTCGGGAGCCAAAACGTTTGAGAACTAAGCTGTTCAAAAACCAAGGTACGACTGTATTGGCCATGCCGACTGGAGCTCATGTAAAGTTGGGAGTCCCGCAACATCTGGGGGGGGGCACCATGTTGGCTACCCCTAGTCTAGACCAATCCTATTCAAGGTCACAGTTAAGAGACAACCTAAGGCATCCCACAACACAGTGCAGAAAGCTCCAAGCTGTTCAGCCCTGTACTTCTTGCATCTATAGAATTTCCTTCCTATATCCTTGTTACATTAATTTTGTTGCATAGGAGTGTGCTGGGATTAGAAGGAATCTTACATTTGCTCCAACCGCTGTGCAGCTATTGTAGGCAGTCCCACCTCCCCCTCCAGCCCAGACCACTGAAGTGCTCAATCTGTCCAATTAGGCAGCAACAGCCATGTGCTAGCAAAAGCTATCACTAAGCTAAACACAACACACTTGCTAAGGCACACTCTGCTCTGTCCTTCTCCAGTAGAGGTCACTAATGCATATAATAGCATGTGTAAACCAGAGTCATCTTCATCTAAAATACAGGTCTCCCTAGACTCTACTTAGCACAGTCTGTTTTGTCTAACTAACTGATAACAGGCTAGCCAGATTAAGCTGATTTGCTCTTTTCTTCTCCCCTTCCCCCCCTGTCTTTTTTTTTGGGGGGGGGCTGGGAAGTAGCAGCATGGGTAGTGCACCCAGAGATTTTGACCTTCCTGCAGCCTGGTTTCCAAAACTTAAAATTCTGCACACAATTGCCACACTGCCAAATCCTCAGGCCACCTGCCCAGCTGCTGGTACGAAGGAGAGGTGCAACAGAATTCTGCAAATGCTTTAAGTAGGAAAGACTCTGAGATGAAGGTGATCTGCCAGGAGCAGAAATTGGAAACATGATGCAATATCACTGTTGTTGCTTTCAAAAAAGAAAACTGCATGAACCAACCCAATTAAAAATGCAATTCAAACTGAAGGGTGGGGGAACCAATTAAAAAAACAACAACAAATTAAGACAAGGGGGGGAATAGCATCCTGTTGCAGATGTCAATTCACTGAACTGTGAAATGTGTTCTATTTTGTTACACGGCTGGTTTAGAAAACAAAAAACTGAGAAATAAATAGTGTACTAGGCTAGAAGACAGCTTCAGACAAGAACCGGAGTTAAGATTATTCACCTTGAATCAACGTAAGGAGTTTGAGAATTAAGGATTACGCATCCTTACAAATGATGACAAGGAGAAATAAGCAGAAAATGCCAAAGAGTTACAATGCACCAGATATGATTTCTTGTATTTTCATCCTACCATGGAAGGCAAGGCTTTTTACTCACAGCATAAGGATCTAGGGGAGTTCCCTTTCCAAACAGTGACGAAACTCCTATTTGCCCTTTGATTCAGAAGCAAGATACCGTCTTTTTTGCTCTATAAGACTCACTTTTTCCCTCCTATAAAGTAATGGGAAATGTGTGTGCGTCTTATGGAGCGAATGCAGGCTGCGCAGCTATCCCAGAAGCCAGAACAGCAAGAGGGATTGCTGCTTTCACTGCGCAGCGATCCCTCTTGCTGTTCTGGCTTCTGAGATTCAGAATATTTTTTTTCTTGTTTTCCTCCTCCAAAAACTAGGTGCGTCTTGTGGTCTGGTGCGTCTTATAGAGCGAAAAATACGGTAATTGCATACCTTCACACTATGACCACATTCACAACATACATTTAAAGTGCTATCATGCCGCTTTAAACAGCCATGGCTTTCTCCAAAGAGTTCTGGGAGCTGTAGTTTGATGATGGTGCTGAGAATTGTTAAGAGGCCCCTCTTCTCCTCCCAGAACTATAATTACTGTACCAGAGTTCCCTGTGAAGAGGAACTGATTGCTAAGCCGCTATGTAATAATATTACAGGGGCAATAAGGGTCTACTAACAACTCTCAGCACCCCTAACCAACTACAGCTCCCAGAATTCTTTGGAGAAAGCATGATACTGCTATAAATGCATGATGTTAATGTGGCCTATGGGTTGCTTTCAGCTAAACCATCCCACGTGCTGAATGCTTTTGCAATCACAACGTAACTTCCCCTTCCTCCCTCCCTCTCCCTCCCCCACCCCTGCACTACCCAAATGCCCTCTAGGGTTTTCCCCCTAACCCTCCAGAGCAGATTTGGGGACAGGGATATGAGAGGGAAGGAGAAGTTCCATTGTGCTCACAGAAGCCATCACGCACGCACAATGATTTAGCTGGATGCTGCGCTGGGTCCTGGGTCCTGGAGCAAACAGCCCTGGGCTAAAAAGCAAACATATATGTCTCATCACAATCAGCACATATAAAGTGGCTGGCCTTATTCCATGGACAGAAAAGTACTGCACACAGGGGCGTAGCGTGGGGGGGGTGCCGGGGTGCTGTAGCCCCGGGCACACAATTTTTGAGGGGGCACAAACCAGGAGCCCCCAGGCAGGTGCCGCAACGCATCCCAGCCCGGTGCTCCTCTCCACCCACCAAAGACCACATCAGCTGACTGGGCTCCCCCAGCAGCATGGCCCCACTTTGCACCAGTGGAGGAGAGGATGGGGTCGCTCTGGCAGCATCAAGGGCTGGGCTGATGCCCCACCCACCCAGTGCAAGTGTGCCTGCCCCAGGCACCAGCAAGCAGTGCTATGCTGCCGATTGCATGAAAGGACTCTTATTTTCCTGAGAACCTCCTGTTACTGTTACGTATTTTTTAAAAAATTGCATTGTTATTGCATCTTTTATTTCTTACATATTGTACTCCACAGAATCAAGAAATGTAAGCAAAATATAAAAGAAATGAAAATCAATATGACTATTAAGCGTGATGGATGTGACGTCTCCTGTCTCCAAGCACAAGGCACCAAGGACCACCTGAACGAAGCTCACAGATCACTGTCAGCCGGCAGATCACTGTTTGGGGAGCCCTGCTCTAGGCTATGGAAACTAATGGGCATTATGCAACATGGCTCCGAATCATACAGCAATTATGTTAAAGCTACTTGAAATATACTTTAGCACAGGTCTTTATTGCGCTGCCTCAAGTTTAGTTAGGTAATGCCCTGCATTTATTTGGCTTTCAACAATGCGAAGGTGTTCACATGCACACACCTACTGTAAACGTGACACTAGTCCTCCAGTTGCTCATTTTTTGTGCAAACGAAGCGCTGTATTGGCCAAGGTACAAAGTAATGTCCCTTATCAATAGCCCCGCATGGCCCAAACCAAACAGACCCACAGGCATGAAGGAATCAAGTAAACAAGTACATCCACAAATGAAAGAGTCCTATTTCAAAAGAAATTGCTCAATGTTTGACTAGATATTGGCAGACTGAACTGGCTCTGAACACCACTTTGAGTACTCTTAAGCCCTATCCAACTATGAGCTTCTTGACATTGCAACATGGTGCCCTCATATCCCCTTGGTGCTTTCCAAGGTCCCCAGTCCCTCCCATTATTTATTTAGTTTTAATGAGGTTGTTGGGGTTTCCTTCTTTTTTTGTTTTGTTTTTTTGCAAACAGGGTTTTCCTGTTTTTTCAGGGTGAGGTGTGCCGACTTCTTTTGGTCTCTGCTTTGTTTGTTGTGGGCAGGATATGAACATCAACCGTTTTCTTCAATGAAAGGGGTGTTTTGTGTGGCATGTCTCAGATTTCCAAGTGTGCCCCCAGCCTCAAAAAGTTGGGTGATCCCAGATCTATCCTTTACAAATTGTACAATAGATATACAGTGGTACCTCGGGTTACAAACGTTTTGGGTTACAAATGCTTCAGGTTACAGACTCTGCTAACCTGGAAGTAGTACCTAACTTTGCTTCAGGATGAGAACAGAATTTTGGCAGCAGTGGGAGGCCCCATTAGCTAAAGTGGTACCTCAGGTTAAGAACAGTTTCAGGTTAAGAACGGACCTCCGGAACGAATTAAGTTCTTAACCAGAGGTACCACTGTAACTTAATTCTTCATCGTTGGCCTTTGTCCAGTTGGGGTGGAACTCACGACTGGTGCCTTCCAGATGTTTTGGACAACAACTCCCATTAAGCCCTGACAGCATGGCCACAAACAAACGGTAAAGAAGGAGGAAGAGGGCAGCAACTCCTGAACTATCCAGGGGCCCCAAGGTCTGAGTAGGCTGGCAACGACTATTTTACATGGATTTCATGCATTCAAAATAAACAGTCCTGCAGGTGAAAAGTCCTCCTTGCTACCAAGAGGTTTGCACCAGCTGTGTTGCTAATTCAAAAAAAGGGGGGGGATTTGTGGGATCTGTCTCACGCTTTATGATATGCAGTATTACAGAATCGTGGCTGAGCCAGCAAGGCAGTTTTGCTGGCAATTTCTTGCGTTTGTTCAGCTGCTCAAGAACATCACGGGCAATATAATTATAACACACACACGCACACCCACACACCCACAAATGCATACACTATACATCCTGCAGCTGAATGCAGCTGCAGCCGAGGAGAGGAGAGACAAAATAAATAAATGTGTAATGTTTAGTTTCTTCCTTCCTTCTTTGTCCATGACACAAATAACTGGTCTTTTAGCCCAAATACTAACCGGTGGAGGCCCATCTCTATCTCAGAGGCAGGGGTATTTCTCAGAACCTCTGAGCCAGTGTGGTGTAGTGGTTGAGAGCGGTAGTCTTGTAATCTGGGGAACCGGGTTCGCGTCTCCGCTCCTCCACATGCAGCTGCTGGGAAACCTTGGGCTAGTCACACTTCTCTGAAGTCTCTCAGCCCCACTCACCTCACATAGTGTTTGTTGTGGGGGAGGAAGGGAAAGGAGAATGTTAGCCGCTTTGAGACTCCTTAAAGGGAGTGAAAGGCGGGATATCAAATCCAAACTCCTCTTCTTCTCTACAGTACCTAATCCACTTAACTGGGGCTGCCAGGATTGGACCTCATACCTTCTGCATGTAAAAGAGGTACTCTGCCACAAAGCTACTATGACACCTGTTCCTTCCATGGAGCTAAAGATTTACCAAGCCTCTCTATTTCAAAACAAAGCTTTACTAGGAAATAAGATTCATAACCATCCTCAAAGTTGCCATCATCTGCTTCTCCTCAACACCCCCTCCCCACCCAAATTTTTTATTTTCTTTTTATGTTGTGCATATAACACCACAAACTGGCACAACTCCACATTGACCAAGGATAAACATTTACATATACACAATAGCAAAAAGATGAGCAAAAAGAAAGGAATTTGCCAAGGTTAAAGTTGTGGTTGGCAAGTTCGACTCCTACTTCCCCCCAGAATGTACTAGGCAAAAGGATAATAGAGATTTAAAGTTCTCATACATGCCAGAAGATTTCCAAAGACTTAAAAGAGTGTGTCCATTCAGCTGCAGGGATGGAGGAGGGAGGAATAACTGCATAGTGTGTGGAGTGCAAATAAATGTAAAATAACAGAAGGCAGCAAGAACAATTAGGCTGTGCTCACACTCCAATGTACTGCACACTCACTGGGTTTTTAATCCATGATCACATAACAAAAATGCAAATACATCATGCCCTTTGTTATGAAATGCTACTGTTTGAGGTGCTGCTTCTCAAACCAGCTTTACGCTAACTGGCCTCCTTAAGCTGTTTCTAATTTATCTCTTGCCAAGGTGTGAACACTTCTGAAAAAGCGTAAACAGAAAGGTAACAAAGCCCTGCAGATGTGAAGTTGGGGGAACAAGGATAAAAGGAACTGCTTTTTTTTTGTATGTTAAATTTATATCCTGCCATTCCTCAAAAGGAGCCCAGGGTAGCAAATTGTCTTGCTCAAGCCCCTAACAGCTTGCAGTAAGTGTCCTGTAGAAGGACAGGGTTTGGGGGTTGTCATGAGGTTAAAAAAGGGGGGGGACAGCTCAATTCGCTGTGCTATATAGGGATGTTTCAGGAGGAAGGCAAAGGAAAGGAGCGTATTTTCCTGCCTCCAGAATCACCTCCCTTCCACTGGTCTGGACACAGGAGGGGAAGCGTCCTAGCCAGGGCCGGATTTACATTTGATGAGGTCCTAAGCTACTGAAGGTAATGGGGCCCTTTATATGTCCAGCTGTCCTTTGTCAACGACAAATTCTCGCTGTTTTTTGTGTTGAATAAATGCTATATGGTAATTTATGGACCTAATAGGTATCTAAAGCCATTTGCACATGCAGAATGTAGGCACCCTATATATAGAAATGAGCAAACCAGTGATATTTTAGGGAGCAGGCTAGCAGGCGGGGCCCATTGCTTACATCACAGGAGCCTACACAACACAAAAAACTGTTACTGTATGTAGGTTTTATTTTTGTTTTTTATCTTATATTTTGGAAATGTACATCTTTTTTTCCTTTAATTTTTTAGGGGGGGCCCAAGTGGGGCCCTAAGCTATAGCTTATTTAGCTTATACGTAAATCCGGCCGTGCTCCTGGGACATGGCTGCCACCCATAGCTGTCAACTTTTCCCTTTTCTTGCGAGGAATCCTATTCGGAATAAGGGAATTTCCCTTAAAAAAGGGGAAACGTTGACAGCTATGCTGCCACCCCTTCCCCTGAACAGGAAACTCCACTGAAGAAGTGGAGACAACCTTTAGTGTGCCAGTCTCACATGCAATCCTTATTTCCGGACTTACCAGTTTTGCCGTATCCCTCAGGAAATGCTTTACACCAGGGGTGGCGGCCGTCAGGCCCTTCCCCTTTGCTCCAGGCTCATTTCCCAGAAGTTCAAGACCTCTTGAAATATGCACCTCCCTTTCTGGAAAATATCTGAAAGGCCACACCAAGCTTTTGAGGCCCAGCTGAAAGAAAAGAGATAACAAAAATTAAGGAAAACGTGCCTGCGCAAATGACAAGATTACAGTTACGCTTCCTGAAAACACTGTGTTAAGTAGCAGCACTGCTGCTAAGGAAAGAAAATTTAGTCATAATGCTCATGGAAAAGGGTGGACGGAAGGGGGAATCAGGATTTTTATGTCTGTTATTACTGTTATCTTTCTTCTCACATTCAGTAACATTTTAAATAATGTGACCCAATGGACGGTTCCCCACTGCCACCTTCCTCAACCTGGTGTCCTCCACATGTTGTTCGGCTACAACTCCCATCATCCCCAGCCAGCATGCCTAATGGTCAGGGATTGTGAGCACCAGGGTTGGAGAAGACACTAACAAATCTACACATACACATACAGATGCACCATGGTCTTGTGAACTAATCATTATTATTATTTACTACAATTATTGGTAGTAGCTACAGTGGTAGAATTTGTGTAGTGCCATCAGTATGTACTACAGGAAAAGTCCATGCCCCAAGGAGTTTACAATCCAAATTTCACCAGGAGAGGAGGAAGGCAGAAATGGGATGAACAAAGAAGCAATTTGTGGCTGTTTCCATTGTGCCTGCTTAAGTTTAGCTATGGGCCAAGTTACAACTGGACATGGAAACTTGGAGGTTTATACCACAGAAGAGCTGAGTTTTGAGGAGGAAAAGAGGCTGCGTCACACAGGTAGACAGCTTCAGAGACAGCATACAGACCATGGTGGCAGGGCAGAGACTTCGAGTGAACAGGAAAATCTCAGAGTATAGGTCTTGGGCAGAGATGTATGAGGAAAGAACTATGGGGAGATGAGCAGCGGGCTGCAAACTGAAACTCTGAACCTGAATTAACTCAAGTTCTGAATATGTTGTGAGCCTTACAACACTGGGGACAGAGATCTGCAACAGACCAGCTGCAAGCAACCGAGGGAGCAAAACCATGGATGATATTTCTAGATATATAAATATTGAGGAATAGGGAGATAATTCAGCTTTGCATTCAACATAGTTTTACAGTGGTCAGCACAAACAGCAGCACAAATGTATTTAGGGGACAAAAGAAAGTCTCAAGGCACTTAGGGTGTTGGAAAGAATTTTTTTTCAGAGGTATTTACTGTTGTCACTTCTTCCCCACTCCAGAAGCCATCCAAAATGAATGTTGTTGTTGTTGTTTAGTCGTTTAGTCGTGGTCCGACTCTTCATGACCCCATGGACCAGAGCACGCCAGGCACTCCTGTCTTCAACTGCCTCCCGCAGTTTGGTCAAACTCATGTTAGTAGCTTCGAGAATACAGTCCAGCCATCTCGTCCTCTGTCATCCCCTTCTCCTTGTGCCCTCCATCTTTCCCAGCATCAGGGTCTTTTCCAGGGAGTCTTCTCTTCTCATGAGGTGGCCAAAGTATTGGAGCCTCAGCTTCAGGATCTGTCCTTCCAGTGAGCACTCAGGGCTGATTTCCTTCAGAATGGATAGGTTTGATCTTCTTGCAGTCCATGGGTCTCTCAAGAGTCTCCTCCAGCACCATAATTCAAAAGCATCAATTCTTTGGCGCTCAGCCTTCTTTATGGTCCAAAATGAATGGCCACCTATAAACACCCCTATCAATCTGCAATAGAATTAGCTAAACTGTTGGAACACCAAGATCTGCTCTTAGGCACACATCCTGCCAAGCTCTATCTTCTGAGAAGCAGTGCAAGGAGAAGACTGACACTGACATTTACAATCCATGTTTTCCAAGGTGGACAGGCCTGATTCATTTAGATATGTTAAAAGGGAGGGAATGCAGCTGTGAGACCTGGAACCTGGAACGGGCTTTTTAAAAAACATTCCATATAATTACAAGGCCAAGTCAAAGCAAACCAAAGGAAGCATATCTCGGTTTACAGACTTTCTCAACCTTGAGTCCAAACTGCAACCTTCAGTTAGTTCCAGTGCAGTCAAAGCAAACCTAAGTCTTCTGAATTCATGGGTTACAACAGCCACCTGCTGCCTCCTGGTCTGTTTTGGAGGTCAACATCCATCAGTGATGAATGCTGCAGTTCAAAACATCTGGCGGGCACCTGGTTGGGAAAGGCTGGGTTGCACAATGGGACTAGCAGCAAGGCTAGGAGTAAGCTACAGTTCCCAAGAATCTTTGAGGGGCAAATTGCTTTAAAGATATGCTTTATACCCAGCTAAAGCTGACACAGGGCACAGTGCAGTGGCATAGAGACTGAGCTACACATCTGGAAGTCTCAAGCTCAAACTAGGGAAGGGCCATAAGCTTAGTGGCAGAACATCTGCTTTGCAGGGATCAGTTTCAGCTTGTTCCTTGCTGGGGCAGCTTTAGAGCTCTGTGTCCCCTGGAACACAGCCTGATCCTTGCCTTCCTGCCACCCTGATCTCTGCCTTGCATTCAGCGTGAACTCTGCCTTGCTTCACTTTGCCTTGTTATCCCCCCTGAACCTTCTTTCACCTTTTCTTGTGAATCTCGCCTTGCCCTACACCCTCTTTGAGCCTTGCTGCGCCACAGAGCACAACACCTTGCAATGAAGGGGAGAGTGGCTAGTAATACTGGTTTATCTCATAAAAGTTTCTGAAAGGTTTACAGCTAGAAAATGCATGTGACTTCCTTTGAACATGATAAAGCACTATGCACTCCTTAAGCATCATTGCATTTTAAGGAGGAGGTGCAGGGACAAAGAGCTGTTGTGGGTCTTAAAATGGGTGAGATAGGTGAAATAAGAGTTAGGCAGATAGCTGCCCAGTACGGGAAAGGAGTGGTGAATCCTTGTTGAAAGAGGATTGGGGGGGGGATGCAAAACAGCAGCAAGAACTGGAGGAAAGAAGCAGGGCTGGTGGGGAGTGAAAAGTGGGGGGAAGTCATTGTGGCTCTCAGCGACATGGTTTTCGTTGTGGCTTCAAACTTGGCAGTGCCTTGAATGCACTTCCACTATACATTTAGGATCAGTGAAACCATCTGTACACTCACACCATTCTCCAGCATTCTGTTTCACTGAGTTTTTCAGAATTACATCCAAGGTGGTGGTGGAGGAAGAACTAAAGGCTAGAACTTCTAGATCAGTTAATGCACTTACAAACGTTATCTTAAGCGCTGCAGCACATTCACAAACCAGAGAAACTGTCGTGGACACCACCCCACACCCAACTGACCGCAGCAGCAAGTGCTTCTTTCAAGCCAGTGGTAGCTGGTGCCCATCAAGACTGTTGGAGCAGAACACGGGGAGCCCAAGCAGTAGGCAGTGCCCAAGCCAACAGCAGGCAGGGTCAACTAGTCTTGTTCCCATCCTCAGCTTTTCTGCTGCCATGGCCTGGACTGGCTGTAAGTAAGAAGGCAGACAGATGGAGGCAGACAGGTTGGTAGGGAAGTATCCCACTTGCCCGAATGGATCTTCTTTCAATATGAGAAAACGTACGGTGAGGAGACCTTGTGGGTATCAAGGTAGAACTATGCAGGCACATTGTGTGCCTGCGGTCACCATGCAATACGCAGTTCTTTATTTCTTTGACTTAACTCGGTTTGCAGGATTTGGGTTCCAGCCATCAGACTTTCTGTCTACCTGAGTTCATGTTTGCTGCATTAAACTAATCCACAATTATCAGATCCCCCCCCTTTGTTTTTTTGCTGTATTCACTCCGTGTGTATCCGTGATCCAACATGTGTCTACACAAGCACACTAATGTCAGGATATAAAATATTAATTTATTTCAGAATAAAATAGCTTCTGTCCCTGTAATTGATGTCACTTGAGAGCATTGTTCATGGTGCACAGTATACAGTGGTACCTCGGGTTACAGACGCTTCAGGTTACAGACGCTTCAGGTTACAGACTCTGCTAGCCCAGAAATAGTACCTCAGGTTAAGAACTTTACCTCAGGATGAGAACAGAAATTGTGCGGCAGCAGGAGGCCCCGTTAGCTAAAGTGGTGCTTCAGGTTAAGGACAGTTTCAGGTTAAGAACAGACCTCCAGAACGAATTAAGTTCTTAACCTGAGGTACCACTGTAGTTCACATTTTGCTCCATGTCCACATCCCAACATGTTTCACAAGCCGTGAAAGAATTTATCAGGTTTCCAAAGGGACAAAACAATACAGTGGTACCTCGGGTTACATATGCTTCAGGTTACAGACTCCGCTAACCCAGAAATAGTACCTTGGGTTAAGAACTTTGCTTCAGGATGAGAACAGAAATCGTGCGGTGGCGGCGCAGCAGCAGCGGGAGGCCCCATTAGCTAAAGTGGTGCTTCAAGTTAAGAACAGTTTCAGGTTAAGAACGGACCTCCGGAACGAATTAAGTACTTAACCTAAGGTACCACTGTACAGTACATTGGAAACGTTTTACCATAACAATTAAGCTGTTTCCCAGCAGTTCCACTCATGCAATAGTCCCTTGCCAGATCAAATGCCCTGAGCAAGATCCATCTGTTCCTTCTTACCAGAGATATCTATTAGAGGGCTCTGACTCACTCGGCACCAATGGAAAGACAGTGAGTACTGTAATATACAGCACTTTTGGTCTGGGACCTGGCATTTGTCTTATCCTTTGATGTCTACAAAAACCAGGAAGAAGTTTTGGGTATATTCCACCTGCTGAAAATCACGGGCTGATGCAAAATAATGGGACTCCCAGCATGAACATAATTACAGCTATGTATCTTGGGAAATAACTTCCCATACGTCAGAGGCTGCTTACAGTCAGTAAAATACAAACTCCCAACTCCAGTGCAGGTGCTTCTTATTATTAAACAGTGTGAAACTTTCTCCTGTCAAATTACCTCCACGAAATGATACTGCGGTTGGTTGTACATAATTCCTTTTAATTTTCTGGGCAGTTACTCAAGCAAAAACTTCAAAGTAACCCATTTGTCCTTTATGGAGCAACTTGCATAAATAGCAGAGGAAATAAATTATAACAAGGTAGGTAAAAGTTCCATGTATGAATACTAAAAGGTCGTCTGGCCACTGCCAGAGTGTTTTGTCTTGTGATGTCATGGGCACAACGTTAGTATTACTGTGGATCTCAAATTTTCTTAAGGTTTCTAGTTCCTCACGAATCAAGAGCAATGCTCTTTTTTCCTTTCCTTTTTTAACAAGTTGTGGAGTAAGCATGGACCAATGGTACCAAACAGTATGGGAAACAGCCTTATTAGAAAAAATAACCAATAAACTGAAACTGACACGGGGACAAATGGAAGAAGGCACCTTCACCCCGGTATGGCTCCCTTTTATCACATGCACAGCCCGACAAGACAACGACAAGAATCCACCAACAGCATACGAATCAATAGGGCTAACCTGATTCAAAAACACCCACCCACCCACTCACACATGAAAACAAAGTTCACCACAGCCAATCACAAACAAACAACCACACCCTAGGCCAGCCCCAACCTCTCTCACCACCAAAGGAACACAAGCGAATAGTAAAGAGAACCCACACAAGCGACGCTGACACAAAACCCCACACATACGTTAAGTAAAATAGAAACATCGCCACCCGGACTCCACCCCAACTCACCATGGCCCCCTCCACCTCTCCCCCCCTTTCTTCCTAATGTAACACTAATGTCTCAACAAATGAAACTGATCTGTAGAAAACGTAACTTGAAAAAAGAGACATTACACATACTTTTGTAAACTAAGAAATCTTTAATAAAAAAATATGTTTAAAACAAAAACAAAAACAAGATGTGCCTGGAAATATGGGATAAGGATCTGGAAAAGCTCTTGTAGAAGAAGAAGAGTTTGGATTTGATATCCCACTTTATCACTACCTGAAGGAGTCTCAAAGCGGCTAACATTCTCCTTCCCTTCCTCCCCCACAACAAACACTCAGTGAGGTGAGTGGGGCTGAGAGACTTCAAAGAAGTGTGACTGGCCCAAGGTCACCCAGCAGCTGCATGTGGAGGAGCGGAGACGTGAACCCGGTTCCCCAGATTACGAGACTACCGCTCTTAACCACTACACGACACTGGCTCTAAGTGAATACAACTTTATACTCAGTGAATACAACTTTCAAGCTCCATAGATGTCTCAAAGCTCCTCTCGAGCAAGATGGCTACATTTCCTTATCTACCTTGCTTACTTACAATGGGGAAGGGACGTAACTCTGTTGCAGAGCATCTTCCCCAACATCTCCAGACAGAGTTGGAAGAGACTCCTGCCTGCCCCAAACCCTGGAGAACTCCTTCTAGTCAGCATAGACAACTGGGACCTAGATGGACCAAAGGTTTGATTCAGTATAAGGCAGCTTCTTTGTCATTATCATCTTATATATTTATTTATATCCTGCTCTTTTCCTTGATAAAGAATCAAGGAGGCTTACAGATAAAAATAAGAACACCAAAAACATAGAAAAACTGCCAAACATTATAGTCCTATGTTCCTACAGAATCCCAAAAGACGTCATACAAAAGTCTGAGCAATACTTGCGTAGCATTCAAGGAATTCAGGCAGTGGCATAGCGTGGGTTGCCAGTGCCTGGGGCCGAGTGGAGGGGGAGTTGGAGGGAGGGAAATGGATGGAGTACACATGTACATTCAACTGTGTAATAGTGTCCACATCACCTAGGAGATTGCAGCTGCAGAGATAAGAAAAGAAGAGTCGTTCCATTTTCTGGAGAGGTCACTTCCTGGTTCTCATGGAGAAGCCACTTTCAATGGAGCCCAGCAATGGAAGCATGTAGCTATACCGAGGCATCGCCAGCTGTTGAATTTTTGTGCCCCCTAGCAATTTTGCGCCCAGGGCAACTGGCCCTGTGTCCGCCCCCATGCTACGCCACTGACTTCAGAAAATTCTAACCTTTTCCAAATCCCATTACTACTTGTTCTAAGCAGAGAGGCTGCTCTGTCCACAACAAAAAAGCAAAGTCAATGGCAAACCGAGGGAAGACACAACCTCTCTGTTTGTAGAGACCTGTTGTGACATCAGAAAAAGCCACTGTGACGTAAAGAGGCTTGCAGAAGGTCAGGACGTTAAGAGGCACATGCAGAAACCAAGAGCTCAGAAGTGCAGGAAAGTCACCATCCATCACACTGATTAGTTTGCGTGTTTTGTTTTGCTTCACTTTTAATTAATATTTTATTGTATGCTTTTCATACCGTAACCTTCCCTGAGCCTCAGAAGAGCAAGATGACATAAGTCACATTAAAAAGAAAAAATGCCTATAGCCGCGGAGCTGACACATTCATTGCCACAATTAAGGATAAAATAAACCCAAAGAGAGAACGGCAAACTTTATTTCTACTTATGAGTTCAAGACAAGGCCACAGCACTGAGCCAGGCAGAAGGCCAAGGGGGGCGGGCGGGGGAGAGACGGGACCATTTGGTACTTAACACATCAGCTGGTCCAGTAAAAAGAGGCAAGAGCATAAGGTTATTCCCTAAAGCAGAAAGGAACCAGGATGTGACCAAGATAATCCTCTAAAAATGCAAGGATTGGTTAGATCAAAGTCACTGGCAACAAAGGAAGCTTTATTGTTGTTGTTTAAAAAACATGAATTATAGAATTCTTTAATGAGGCTAAAATTCTCTCTGGAGTGAGGATACAATTGGATGCTGGTGCTTTCAACAGAGCAAGAGGCATTTCAGGGAGGCAATGTGTGCATTCATAGCGAAACCCGTGCAGGCACATGACTCCAGCTCTCATCTGCTTGAGCAAGCTCTGCAGACAGGGTTGCAGTTCAGAGGAGAAGGTCCGTTTTGAGGACAACTTCATCTCAAGAATGATGCAGGGTGGGGGGAAAGGACAACAGAATTCACATGACGCACAGAGCCCTCGCTTATTTTCAGAAATGAGGCTCTTAAAGGAGGGTGAATTATGTAAGGGCCCCTACGGAATGGGTTGTGTGTGTGTTCTGCAAGTATATTCTGCAACATGCCATTGAGTTCCACAATAAATATAATATATTCTGAGTAATACAGAAACAGAGCAGCATGGACAATTCAAAGAAAAACACTTAGTTTTCTTTGTAAAGCCTTTTCTAATTTTGGCTCAACTTCCCTAGTACCAAAGTCTGGGAACAGAAATAACACTTAAAATAAAAAAAAAGATTTTCTACCATTTTATATTTTTAAAAACTTAATATAAAACTAAAGCAGTAAGTATGTGGTTTCTTCCCCATAAACACAAACCTAATCTACAACATACACATTTCAAACTATTTGCATTTTAGTAAAATTAGAATATCTGGTTGTTTACCCTGCAACACACCAGAATATTTAGATGAATGGCTTGCTGGAAAGTCAACATATTTATAGGTATTGCTTATGCCAGCATGAATTTTTAAAAACATTTTTTAAAAGCTATTGCTTCTCAAGTGCAGCATAGGGGAAGAAAACTAAGTTAAGAGCCTCTTAAGACATCGTAACACACATTAAGTATTGCCTTCTGTTTTTGTACACATTACCACAGATTATGGGAGCCATTTCACATAAATATCAGACAAATGGAGAAATCTGTTCTTTTACTCCAGATTCTGAGTGTCGAAAGGCAATTCAAGTGCATTAGGACCAAACAGCATTACATCATCCCAAGGAAGCACCTTTAAAAATGCATGACAGTTAACTCTGCAGTTTAGCAAAGACTGGTGTATTGCCAGTTACAAATCACACACACAAACACACAAAATACAATATACTTCCACCAATCAGGCAACGGCTTACTTAAAATTCAGTTGTTATAGCAACTTTCTGACAACTTTTTGAGAGATGACACACGTTGGCAAGGCTGGCAGATTGCCCTTCGAGGAAGATAGCAAGTTTCCTTATGAAACAGGAGCACACACAGGGAGGAAAGTGTCAGAAGCAGTTATGAAGGCTTACAGGAAAGAAAACAAGGACTCCTAACATAACATGAGGATCCTGTCTAAATTCCTAGGCCAAGCTTGTGCCCTCCAGATGCTTGGGCTACATATCCCATCAGCCACAGTCAGCCTGGCCAATGGTAAAGAGATTATGGGTGTTATTGTCCAAAACATCTAGGGAGCACCAGGTTGGGGAAGACTGCTGCACAGACCACTGACTACACACAGTAAAAGATTGTCATCCAGTCCAACGCCCACTGCAAGCATCCACCAGCAAAGATCTACCTATGGAATTGCACAGAATGCCACAAGCAGGGGAACAGGTGCACTGCTCAACACATGGGTTCAGATAGTTGCTCAACGTGATGTACGGATGCGAGCCAAGTCACACACAACATTCATGTCAATGGCTGAAGAACGTCTTGCATTATGAACACAAGCAAGGCAAATGCTCTGGACTGAGCTCAGTCTGGCATTTTAAGGACAATGCAAGTGTTAATTGAGAACTGGAAATTCTTTACCCTTTCTTAATCATACTTTTACTGGAGATGATGTTAGAAAGCAGATTTTAAGCTACATTTTAAAGATTAGATTTCTTTCTTAAATGGATGGTTTCTTCTTACCAAATTATGATATTCATTATAGGGGTGGGTTCGCGGTTGGTTTTTTCCTCCTTCCCCAGAGTATTTTGCCTCTCTTTATAACCATTTGAACTCTACCTTCATTTAAAACAACAACAACTGCATACTTCTCAAGCTTATTGCCAATTAGATCTGTGGGGAAATATCTACACACACCAGAGAAAGTGTTCCAAAACTGTTGAGAAAGAAAGTTTCCCAACAAAATGTGACCGTGTGGAATTATTATAAACGCTTGGAAATTACATATGAATTCACCAGTGTATAAATGCCTTAATAACAACAACATGAGACGATGGAAGCAATACAAACCAGGCTCTGCGTGTGACCAATTCATGCAGTACATTTGAGTTTCATGAGCAGAATACTAGAATATGTAGTTATGAGATTTTACTAATTGTTATTTATTTGTTGTTGCTGTGATATACCTATTTCCATAGAGGTAGCCTTGTTAGTCCCTTGCAGCAAAACCAACAGTCTTGTAGCAGCTTAAAGGTGAATTTTATTGCAGTGTAAGCTTTCGTGAACCACTCAAACTCAAACTTATTGATGATATTGTGGTGGTGATGGTGGTAGCGGTTACCTGCCCTTCACCCTAAGGTCCCACGGTGGGTTGCGACAATTAAAACACAACATAAATGTTGAAACACAATATCACACAATATTAAAAACAGTTTAAAACAACTTAAAATTACAAAATGGGGGGGGTTCCCTAAAATATACATCTCAAATACTAATACTAATAATTTATTATTTGAATATAAAAACATAGTAAAACACTAAACCTAAAAAAGCTTCCCTATACAGACACACCTCTGTGGGAAGAGAATGCCACAACTTAGGGGCTGCCACAGAAAATTCCCTCTCCCAAGCCACCCGCCTCAAGTTTCTGAAGGCGATAGAAAACCAAGAGGACATCGTCTGCTGATCTAGCACCCAAGATGGTTTTAGGGAAGGATATGCATATGTCTTCTGAACACATATGCATCTATCATTTAAGAATAAACAACAAACATCTGATGAAGTTGGCTCTAGTCCATACTTCCTCCACAATAAATCTGTAAGTCTTTAAGGATGTCACAACAAGACTTTGTGGCTAAATCCCAGAAGGAGAGGTTATTTAGAAGAACAAGGTAGGGCAATTCAAATGACCACTGACACTGGCTGTAATCTCAAAATCATAAACAAAACTGCAACAGTTTATTGCAATCATTCCTTTATTACTTATTAGTTATGCAAGCTGCACAGCATGAGATATGCTGCTTTATAGTTTTAGGTTTGTCAACAGCCTTCAGAAAAGCAATCTGAACAAAGACCAGAGCGCATTGCAGTTAACTTGCACACACGGCCAGTCAATCAACAAACAGACAAATAATAATCAAATCCCACTTCTAGATCAAAGTACCCTCAATCCCCACTTAGAATCAAAGCATGCAAATGAAGTACACTTGTCTGTATTTTTCCCCCTTCTGCATGCATTATTCTACAAAAAGATTGGACGTTTACAAGAAAAATTAAGAAGGTATTGTTGACAAGAGTTGAATGGGAGGGAGGTGAACTGAGGTTGGATTGCCAATGGAAAGGGCCAGGAGGGTAGCAAACAACACAAAAACGAAGCTATGTTAGGAGAATTACAAGTTGCAAAGAGATCAGAAGCTCTGTATTCAGGTTGCTGGGGAGGGGAGCACTGCTCTGCCTTACACTGGTTTCAGAATCCTTTTCAGACACTGCCCATGCATTTTAAACTCTTTCTTCACAGCCATGAGATGGAATATCAAACAAGTTTCACAGAGAAGGCACAGCAAGTGGTTGCGAATCCTCTCCAGAGCTTGCAACTCTGCACCTACCAGCACGGTTATAAACTTCGTACGATTATTCTTCACTGGTACGGCAAATCTGTCCAGCACCCATGTGAGAAACAGCACTGGGATTCCTTTACCACAAGGCCTGTAAAAGCTGGGTTTATAAAGCCTCCATCCTCTCTTACAATCCGTTTTGCCATGTTTGTTCCAGGAACTACAACTGTCTTCTAGCTAACAGCCTGCATCCCAAAGTCACCTGTGGGAATCTCGATTAACGCAATAACGCTAGGAGCACAGCATCCTAGACAGCTACCTTATATTGAGTCAGACCATTGTTCTGTTTAGATCAGCACAGTTTACTCTGACTGGCTGTTGCTCTCTCTGAAACCCAAATACGGGACATTTCCAGATCATGAGGAGGGGTGCTGCAAATTGAACCTAGGACTTTTTGAAGATGCTCCCCCACTGAATCACCAGTCCTTCATGATTATTAAAGCCTTTGAACTTTAATGAAGGATGTTCCTGGAAATAATATTATTTTCATTCAATAATTACGTTATTCTTTAAAATACAGTGGTACCTCGGGTTACATACGCTTCAGGTTACGGACTCTGCTAACCCAGAAATAGTGCTTCGGGTTAAGAACTTTGCTTCAGGATGAGAACAGAAATCTTGCTCCGGCGACGCGGCAGCAGCGGGAGGCCCCATTAGCTAAAGTGGTGCTTCAGGTTAAGAACGGTTTCAGGTTAAGAACAGACCTCCGGAATGAATTACCATATTTTTTGCACCATAACACTCACTTTTTTCCTCCTAGAAAGTAAGGGGAAATGTCTGTGCGTGTTATGGAGGGAATGCCTACGGGTGGCATGCCTACGGATTTTCCTCCTCTAAAAACTACATGCGTGTTATGGTCGGGTGCGTGTTATAGAGCGAAAAATACGGTAAGGACTTAACTTGAGGTACCACTGGAGAGAGAGAGAGAGAGAGAGAGAGAGAGAGAGAGAGAGAACGAGAACATTGGACAATGTTCCCATGAAATTAAAATCTGTGGGAAGGTGAAGGGGGTTTCAAAAGATGAGGAGAATCCAGCATTGCTTGGAGCAACAAGTGATGCAAATTCCTTCCAGGCACCAGTTTCTTTTTATAGTATATGGTCTCAGATTCAAGGCAGAGGGTTGCTTTGCCTTCTTTTCCAAAGCACTGAATGTCTTCCCCACTGACTGCAATGGGAAAACAAACATCTATACTTTTGTGTGTGTGGAAGATTTCAGTGAAATTTACAGGCATCACAGCCCTTTCAGAGGGAATGAAGAACTCAGACAAATAGGTGCAGTTAAATGTTGAGCCTTCCTTCCTTCTAAAACAGTCCTTCCCATATGTTGTGTGGGCAATGTATGCATTTAAAAGTCTCTGAAGCTTTAACACTTATGAATACATTTTATTTTCTACTCAATTTGCACCAAAGAGTCACAAGATTTTCTACTTCCCCTTCCCAAAACATTGTGCTTGGAAGTAAAGGCTGTTGATAAATGTCATTCCCTGATTGGAAGCTAGAGCTGTCTGTCACAACTATGCCTGCATCTAACCCTCTCTGCCTGGCATTAGAGAGAGCTTGGAGGTTACCAAAATTCCACCAATTAGGTAAATAAACAAACACCAGAAGCCTTTCCAATGTCCGAAGCTGCGCCAAAGCCGCAGAGCTAGTCTGCTTCTGCTCAGACCACCTCTATTCCACATCTCTGAGGCAAGGAATTCAAAGCCCAAGTAAACTTCAGATTTTTTTAGGCTGCCTCTGGTTTGTTTTTAAAACTGAGATTCAAATGCTAATGAAGGGATCTTCATATAATGCTCCAGAATTAGCCCACACAGAAGCCAGAAAGGATTTTCCCTCAAATGTGATTTGGCAGTTTTGTTTCCTCCCTCTGAAAACAGATGGCCATGGCTTTTTGTTGGGATAATAAAGGCAATTGTTCTCCCCTGGGTACACCCATTAATCTTGTCCTCTGGGCTCTCTTGTCTGATGCAGGTGATAAGCTTGTGACTTCTGTATTATTCACAAGGATGGAGTAAAATATAAACAGGTGCAAGGGGGCTGGGAAAGGGCACTACTGTCGTCCTAGGCAGGGCTTGCCCACACGGTGCCCTCAGGAATTGCTGGACTACAGTTCCCATGAGTCCCAGGCAGCATGGCCAACTGTCAGATGATGGGAACTGTAGTCCAGCAACGACACCTGGGGGGGGGGGCACCACATCAGCTACCTGCGGTTTATACTCAGGCAACAGCAGGAAGCGGGTGGCACTGTGGTCTAAACCATCGAGCCTCTTGGGGTTGCCGATCAGAAAGTCGGCAGTTCAAATCTGCACGACAGGCTGTTGCTCTGTCCCAGCTCCTGCCAACCTAGCAGTTCGAAAGCATACCAGTCTGAATAGATAAATAGGTACCGCTCCGGCGGGAAGGTAAACAGTGTTTCCGTGCGCTCTGGCACTCGTCACGGTGTCCCATTGCTCCAGATGATCTGGAAAGCTGTCTGCGGACAAATGCTGGCTCCCTCAGCCTGATGTGAGATGAGCGCTGTACCCTATAGTCAAGTTTTACTCCCTATAGTCAAGGTCAACTGGACTTAACCATCCAGGGGTCTTTTACTATTGCCTTTTACCATAGCCAAGCAATGATTCCATTATTGCCACCTGTGGACAGAGAAAGGTTCTTCTCCCTCTCTCATTAACACCAGAACTCAGGGATATCCAATGAAGCATAATATTCCAGGGATCCCCTGGAAACTGCAGGAGCAGAAAGTGCTCTTGTGCTTAGGTCATGCTTGAGAGTTTCCACTGCCATCTGGTTGACCACCGTGAGATAAGCATGCCGGACTAGATGGGCTATTAGTCTGATTCAACAGGCTCTTATGTTGTCACAAACAGGTTTAAATAAATCTGTCCTTGCAGGAAGCAACCAAATGTAAGGGTAAGGTAAGGGGACCCCTGACCATTAGGTCCAGTTGTGACCAACTCTGGGGTTGCAGCGCTCATCTCGCTTTACTGGCCAAGGGAGCTGGCGTACAGCTTCCGGGTCATGTGGCCAGCATGACTAAGCCACTTCTGGCGAACCAGAGCAGCGCACAGAAACGCCGTTTACCTTCCCGCCGGAGCGGTACCTATTTATCTACTTGCACTTTGATGTGCTTTCAAACTGCTAGGTTGGCAGGAGCAAGGACCGAACAACGGGAGCTCACCCCGTTGCGGGGATTCGAACCGCCGACCTTCTGATCGACAAGTCCTAGGCTCTGTGGTTTAACCCACAGCACCTCCAAATGTAGGACATTACTAATAAGCCCTGACGGGGTTCTAGAACCAGGCACTCTGCCAATTAGTTTCTAGCATTGGTTGCTCAGTAAACTAGGCAGTTTAGGATACGTGGATCAAAAAATACCCTCTACACTGCAGTATTAGCCTGTGTTGACTGAGCCCACAGACCAACAGAGACATGCATTTGCATCCAAATCAGCTGACAAGTCTGACCAATTTATCTTGTTTCAACAGCCAGGCAGACTCCCTTGCCTCATCTTTTCCAGACTCTGGCCATCAGCCTACCTGCAAACACACCATCTGCCTCTGACCTTTTTGATCCTTGTTTACTTGCACAGCACCTGGACCACCACATGCAAGTGTGGCCAACGCTTGCATGATCTAATGACTGCTGAGATTGTGGTTGGCCAACCTACGGCGCATGGCAGAGCCAATAGGTGGCTGTGGAAGGAGCAATGCTAATGGGGCAGGCCTAATGCGAGTTGTAGTCCCAAGAACATCTGGAGGGAGGCAAGTTCCCCATCCCTGGCCTGGAGCACATCTACAGTGGACGCTTGGGTTGCGAACGTGATCCATGCGGGATTCACATTGGCAACCTGCAGCATTCGCAACCCACGTCTGCGCATGCGCGAGTTGTGATTTTTGTGCTTCTGCGCATGCGCAAAGCGTGGTTTAGCGCTTCTGCGCATGTGCGACCGCTGAAACCTGGAAGTAATCCATTCTGGTACTTCCGGGTTTCAGCAGTCTGCAACCTGAAAAAACACAACCTGAAGTGTCCGTAACCCGAGGTATGACTGTATTACCAAAGCAAGGGGACCTGCAAATGTTTTACACCAATCTTTACCATTTGTCACTTTTATAGCCTGTTCTTCATTCAAGGAGTTTAGGGTGGCATCTCTCTCTTTTTCCCCACCCCAGTTTTTATCCCAACAACCCCCATAAGACACCTCACACTGGATGACAGGGACTAGCTCAAGCCCCCACACTGAACTTTGTGGACAAGCAGTATTTGACACTGGCAGTGGCGGAATTTGGGCTCTCAAATTTCAGCAGTGCATGGGTGCGACACTAAAATTCAGCGCTCACACTCCATTCTACAGCATTGTTTCAGTGCCCCTTGCATGGTAGTGGCCAGTGCAGCCGCATCGGTTGTGCTACCCTAGAAAACCGCTTCTGACGCTGGATCTCTCTAGTTCTAGTCCAACCCTCAAATCACTACACCACACTGGCTTTCTCCATTAGAGTGGGGAATGGCACAATCTTATATTTTGGAATTATGGCACACTTTCTCAAAAGTAATGAGTATTATATTGAAGGATGCTAGTTTACAGTGGAGCCTTGGTTCTCCAATGGTTTAGTTGATTAACAAATCGGCTACAGAACACCACAAACCCAGAAGTAAGTGTTCTGGTTTTCAAACATTTTTTGGAAGCCAAATGTCCGAAGCGGCTTCCGCTTGAGTGCAGGAAGCTCCTGCAGCCAATCAGAAGCCATGCCTTGGTTTCTGAATGGTTTCGGGAATCGAACCGACTTATGGAACAGATTAAGTTTGAGAACCAAGGTACCACTGTACTAGGACAAAAAAACAGAAGGATCTCATAACTGTTGGTGAGGATTTACCATCTTAAAGCACCCTTCCTACAGAACAGCTGGAAATTGATGCCAACTCACTTATTCTCATGGTAGACACACGGAATTTAATGAAACTAGGTTAGCCACGCCTATTACTTTAAATGGGTCTACTCTGAGTAGGGCTAGCAGTTCCTCCCATTCATTGTAGGGTTTTTTTTGGTTTTTTAAATGTTCCTTATGAAAAGGAGCCATGTAAGATTGTTAAAGAGAAGAATGGAGCATATTGAAGACAAGAATGGAGCAAGATATCCTATTTGGTAGACATGTACCTGTAGTTATGTACAAAAATACTGGAAGAGGATTATTAGAAAAGTAACAAAAATATTGAAATGTGAAGTTCCCTTAGATACAGTGTTGATATTGCTGATCTATAAATCGCATATCCTAAGGAAAGAACATAAAGAACTTACATTGTGTCTATTAACAGCAGCAAGAATGTTAATTGCTCAAAACTGGGAAGTTACATAGCTTGGAATGTGTGGCTTAATAAACTTTGAGATTTGGCTGTAATGGCATAAATAACATATTACCTAAGAGCAAGAACTGCAAGTGAATATGGAAATAAATTCTGAGAAAACTGGTTACCCTTTATATGTTTTTTTCCCAAGAAAAGTTATCTCCCTCAAAAGCAACTTCAAGCAGGCATTGAGGGGTTTTTAAAGCAGAAATATTGTGATTTTATGTTAAGTCATATTTTGTTGCAGAGTATTATGACCTGAATTTTTTTTCCTGGAGCAGTTTTGTTTATTATTGCTATTAATTGTTAAAGGAGAGAGGGGAGGGGGTCCTAATCATAGTATAGCCACCAAGGGGAGTTGGCACCAACCAATTCTTGCCCATCAGTTCACTTGGTAGCCCAGCCATGAAAAGGATGGGAGAGAGGCGAAAGGAATCCTCCATTGTGTCCCGGCTCCATTTAGGTCATCCATTTTGGATGAGGCACAAAGGAAGCTGGCATCCCTCATTAGGCAGTGCACAGAATCACCCTGCCCCACATAGGCCTGGCCAAACTAGCAGTTCTGGAGCTTTCAGGGCAGGCTGCAAAATGCAGAAGTCTCGGAATGCTGAACAGAGAACGCTTGTCACATTTCCTCCCTGGGATGTGCGGCCCGGTCCCCTGATGCAAAAGGCAGCCTTTGTCCTTAGCCTTTTGGGGGAAAGGGAGGCAAAGATAAAGCATCTTTTCAAATGCATTAATGATTTTTGAGAAAAGAGATCGCGCTTTTAATGGCTTTGCCTCACATTTCAAAGGTTCTTTTCACTTTCCATAGAAGTTAAGTTGCTGAACTGGATGAGGGATGGATTGATCTGGAGAGTAGTACAGCTATGGACCCTGCTGCACTGTAAGTGGAGTAACTATTTAACACAATCATAAAACAGTTGAGTTGCAGAAATATGCAGCTGTCCCATATGGGTATTGAACCTGCGACCTTGGTGTTATCAGCACCGCGCTCTAACCAACTGAGCTATCTAGGTTGTCATATCAATATAAATATGTTCTTGTTGGAGAGTGGCCCTGGTTTTGACTGCAATAGATTCAGCACCAAGAAGGACTAGAACATGGATAGGCAAACTAAGGCCTGGGGGCCAGATCCAGCCCAATAGCCTTCTAAATCCGGCCCTCGAACGGTCCAGGAATCAGCATGTTTTTACATGAGTAGAATGTGTGCTTTTATTTAAAATGCATCTCTGGGTTATTTGTGGGGCATAGGAATTCATTCTTTTTTTCTTTTTCCCCCAAAATATAGTCTGCCCCCCGCAAGGTCTGAGGAACAGTGGACCGGCCCCCTGCTGAAAAAGTTTGCTGACCCCTGGACTAGAACATACAGATTTGGCATTCCTTTATTATTATACAGCAGGACCGCCATTTTCAAGAAACCCATCAACATAAACCTGACAAATCTGGGACTATACTTTGCAATCAAATAGCACTAATATCCACTCCTGATGTGAAGACAACTTTTATTCTTACTTTCCCCCCGTTTTTCATAACCTGGATTTTGTTACTTTTCCCATATGTAAATGTACTTGTTTTACGGTTTAATGGTTTTATCTCCACCTGTTGTTATGCATTTTCTTTCTGCTTCATATACATTATAAAATGAATTTTTGAAAAAAGAACCATCAAAGTGGTTAGACTAAGACTGAAGGAACAGGTTGCCAACACACACAACAATTGTCTCTATTTAACAAGTACTGTATCCTGTTTTATAACTCAGTTTCTAACATGCACCAGGCCTATACCAAATTCTGGAGCAGATCTTTCTACCGTACAGTCCTTATTAGTCTGGTGGCATTCAGAATATTTTTCTGGCATATGTTGAGTTCTGAAGCCATAGTATTACGGAAAGTTATAGTCGTATTATTGATAATATAATGCCATCGATGCACACAGGGTTGTCTTCAATTCTAGTCATACTCAGGTTCAGTCTATTAATTCCAATTTACTCTGGGTATAACTTAGTTATAGCCCATGTAACAAAAATGTTTTTTTAAAAAGAGAGTGTCCCAGGCTTTACCAAGGAACTTGCAATCGAAATTGAAGTTGTGGGTGATGGGCACAGCCAACTGAGAGTGAAAAACAAGGATAACAAGGCATGATGGAGAATATTTTCATGACACTACAAGGAAGTTTACACTACAGTCTCCACAAGAAACCTGTGTCGTTGTCCTCCCAATGTTAGTGAACAACAACTCCCATTAGCCTCAGTCAGCATGTACAGCAGCCAGGGATAGCTCAGTCCATAGAACATGAGACTCTTAATCTCAGGGTTATGGGTTTGAGCCCCAGGCTGGGCAAAAAGATTGCTGCATCGCAGGGGGTTGGACTAGATGACCCTCCCAACTTTACAATACAGTGGTACCTCAGGTTAAGTACTTAATTCGTTCTGGAGGTCCGTTCTTAACCTGAAACTGTTCTTAACCTGAGGTACCACTTTAGCTAATGGGGCCTCCCGCTGTCGCTGCCGCACGATTTCTGTTCTCATCCTGAAGCAAAGTTCTTAACCCGAGGTACTACTTCTGGGTTAGCAGAGTCTGTAACCTGAAGCATATGTAACCTGAAGCGCATGTAACCTGAGGTACCAGTGTACTATGATCTGGAGGGCTACAGGTTAGCTGCCCCTCCCATATAACAAGAGTTGTTTCTTTGAAACCTATATATTCTGAGTAACTGAATATTTAAAACCTGAATAAGATTTTTAAAAGAAAAACCTTAATATGGTTGTACACACAGAGCCCATTTGTGTTTATTAAGTGGAGGTGTTTTCTCACATAAAATTAAAGGAAGTGGACCTGCTTTTCCATTGGGGGGAAAGGATAAGCCATTGTGGGTGATTGTGCAGCTGATAAACAGAAGAAAAGAAGGCCTGGATTTTCCAGGAACACCTAAGGGGCCATTACCCCAGGCAAATTTCCCAATTATACCCAGAGCAAGACATGAGGCAGATCAGGATCTACCGGTAAGGAGTAAATGATTTATTTGTAGCTCTGAAAGGCTTTCTATCTTCTAATGGTTTAGCAACAGCAACAACAAAAAGGCTTGCCTAAATCTAAATTAGGCTGTTAGAATTTTTGAACTGCAATAACTCAAGTTTTGCACCAGCAAGAGAGTCCTAAAAAAAAGAGAGAGAATGCTATTGTTTCAATGTTTGAGAAACATACAATACTCCAACTAGCTTCTGGAATGTAACCACCTTTAAAAGGAGGTCACAACTTGTTAAGAAAGAAAGAAAGAGGAAAAAGAAAACCTCCCCTTGCCCACCCACTCACTTAAACCCCACTGACACAGCAGGGGACCACTTATATAGCACTAAAAGCAATTACCCAGACTGGCTTTCAGCCAGGGTTAAACACATGGTTATTTCTATGGAGGGGAGAAAAATAATAATCTTACTAATGTGCTTAAATTCACAGAGAAGACGCCTACATCCATTAAAGACTGTGTAAACAGCGGGAGATTAACTGTCACGCTGAACGCCTCTGCAATAAGTGATTTGCAAACATCAGGGACAGCTGGACAACTACATTTTTAGAAATCAGTTTACACAGAGAGAGAATCCAATAGTTCACTTGTCAGCGCTAAATATACAAAAAATAAATAAGTGTCATGTTCAGGAGCTTAAGCATTAGTTGCAAAGCTACAAACTGCTTCCAAAGTCTGGAGAGAAAGAAGGGTAAGCCTTGATAGGGTCCTACCAAAGGATGTAGAAGGGCTGGCCACACAAGCACCTGACTGTGAGATGGCCATGGAGAAGGTGGGGGATCCGTCCACCGCTAGGTAGAATTTTCTGTATACGTTTTCAACATTTTAACACCAGTAACCAGTATTTCTACATCACCACTACGGTTTAATATGTGTACTGCATCAACAGAAGTTTCATCGCTGAAGCACCCATTAGCTCTGCATATTGACAATCTGGGTTAATTGAAATCCAGCCAATCTATCTAAACTACTCCCCGAATACGAGTCAACAGCATGACAGAAGAAACTGAACAGTTCATACAAACAGCTACTGTCCACCATCAATGACACAAGGACTCCAAATCTTGTTCAGGCACGTTTACACAATGGTTTCACTCATGAGAACACCAAGGTCTCGTCAAGGAGCCATTAAAAGCAAAGAGGCAGAAATCGAAGCAGGTAGGCAGGAAATGGATGGGCAGGGAGGGCAATGGAAGGCAGCTGCTGGAGTAAACAAGAACCATTAATACTCTTCCTGCACTTAATAATAATTATAATAATAATTTATTATTTATACCCCGCCCATCTGGCTGAGTTTCCCCAGCCACTCTGGGCGGCTTCCAATCAAGTGTTAAAAACAATACCCCTACACCATGGACAAAAGCTGCTGGGAAGTATGACCCTGCTGAGATGCCAAATGCTATATATTCCACTGTGCAGATGTTAAACAAGTGGAAAAAGAGGAAGGGTCTGCAAATCAGGAGAAATTGGGGGGGCATCTAAGAGTAGTTTGAGGATCACACATCTAGATACCGTTGTTGTTGTTGTTGTTGTTGTTTTCCTATCTCAAAAGGAGATGGCTAATCACACTTGCTAAACCTGCAGGGCACTGAAGTGGGCTTATTTTTCCCCACATGAAGGGCTCTCCCTTGATGTAGAACAGGGGTCAGCAAGGTTTATCTTGCCTGGGCCGGATCGGTCCCACAGAGATCCTTCTGTGGGCTGGATTGCACCCGCAATTTTCAGTGTCTGCGCAGACACAATTTCTGGCACTGCGGAAGTGAGTCCCCGCACCACCGGTTTAGCGCCAGAGTTGGCAGCTTGGTTCGGGGGCGGCTCGTGGACCGGTCAAACGACCCCCGCAGGCCACTTCCGGCCCATGGCCCTTAGGTTGCTGACCCCTGATGTAGAACAATCTTTGCATGGGCCACAAGTTTCACATGGGGAGAGGAAGGCTTTCAAACTCACACACTGAAACGTGGAGACAAAAATGGAGCAGACCCCATTTGCGTGAGGAATTTTCAGCTCATAAACTCCACCCTGCCCCCCCCCCAGCCACCCAACTAAACACATTTCCAATTAATCCTCCGGATAAAAGACTGCCGAGCAAAATGCTAAATACTCACTTTGGTGCCTATTGCAGGTGCTGCACTGGCTTTTACTTTGCAGGAGTGAGACTTGGAAGAGGAGAGGTGAATTCCCCTCTGGCTGTAAATGACCAAGCCCTTACTTAAGTGTTCTCTCCAAGCCACTCCCTGACCTGTCTTAAGACTTAGAGAAAGGATGCAGAAACAGATGGAGGTGGGGCGCTACAAGATTTTTCCATTCCACCCAGGGAGTTTTGTGAGGCTCTTCCATACTCAAACCTTTACAGATACTTGTTCCCACAGACCAGTACAGTATCATACCACTGGTGCAAACACCTTCATTTTCCAGTTCATGCCCCCATCACACACTTCAAGTACTCTTTAACAGTCATGGCTCCCCCTGCAAAGATTGTGGGAACTGTAGTTTAGAGGGCCTGGGAATCGTAGCTCTGTGAAGGGTCTTGGCACCCTTAGCAGACTACAGTTCCCATGACTCTTTGGGGGCAAGCATTGCTATACTAAGAAGAGTGCTTTAAGTGTACAGTGTAGAGACGATTCCAGTAGTTGGCATAGCAAAGGCTGCTAAGGATATGAACTGTGATATCCCATTTGCTACACATTCACAAGGTGACCTAGGGATGCAACTGTTCTTTTCAGCCTCTGTGTTCCCACCATCCTAACAGCGCAATAAAACAGGCCTAACCTGATAGGATTGTTGGTGAAGTTAGTGCCAGGTGAAGGATTCCTAGTGGTGCCGCAGTAAAACTGCTAGCACACCATCAAAGCTAAGCTTTCAAATTGGATGGAGAGGTAATCGACTTTAGAATTAAATTAAATAAACAAAAATCAAAAAATTTAAGGAAAAATTAACCTAGAATTAAACAAAGACTTAACGAGATGCCGGCTACAAAACTCGTTTCACTGAACTAATCAGTTTCCTCAGAAGGAAATAAGGAATTTTATAAACCCTAAATGATTTTAAGTGATTTCAAACAAACTCAAGAGCAGGGCTGAAACGCTTCCCTGAGTTTAAAAAAGGTTTTAAGAAAAATTTACAAAGGAATAAGAGATAAGCTTAATTGGGGTAAGTTTGTTTGGGTTTCAAACAAACTCAAAAACAGGGCAGAAGCTCAAAAACAGGGCTGAAGCCTTTTGCCGGAGACGCCGCCAAGATGAACGACACGGTCACCATCCGAACAAGGAAGTTCATGACCAACAGGCTGCTTCAGCGTAAGCAGATGGTGATAGATGTTCTTCATCCTGGAAAGGCCACTGTTCCCAAAACTGAAATCCGCGAAAAGTTGGCCAAAATGTACAAGACAACCCCAGATGTCATTTTCGTCTTTGGCTTCAGGACTCATTTTGGAGGTGGGAAGACAACAGGCTTTGGCATGATTTACGATACCCTCGACTATGCAAAGAAAAATGAACCAAAGCACAGACTAGCCAGGCATGGTTTGTATGAAAAGAAAAAGACTTCAAGGAAACAGCGTAAAGAACGTAAGAACAGGATGAAGAAAGTCAGAGGAACAGCTAAAGCAAATGTTGGAGCTGGCAAGAAGTGAGCCAGCAGTGGATTTTAACAGAAATTAAATTATCCTGGCAGAAAATATATGGAGATGGTACTGTTGTGTTGCATTCCGGTCAAATAAATTCTGTGAAAACTCAGAAAAGAAAAAAAAATGAAGCGCTCCTGACTGCTGATGTTGAAGACTGCTGATCCTTACACTCTTATGTCACATGCTGTTTCAGATCTGAGAAGCAGATTTGTGTGTATTTATTATTATTTTACTTTACTGTGCCAGCAGGAAAAATGTTTTTTAAAAAAGGTGGGATAATAAATATTTTAATGAAACTTAAGAGTATTGAGATAATTACATCAAGCCCTGTGGATACTGAAAATGCACTGTATTAAATTATACTCATCTATCCCAAAACGTAGTCCATGGTTAGGTAGAGAATGCTAGTAATGTGCTAGAAGGCTTAATCGTAGCAAAATGTGCAAGATGGCATGCCCAAAAGACAATTATGCTAATTAAGAAAGCATACTAGAAGTTCATTTCTTACGTCACTTAAGCTCTCAGTTGAATGAACAGTCTTCTGGAAAATACAAGGTGCCTTAAAACGTAGGAAATGCCGGAAACTTGGGCAGGTGGCCTAAAAGTGTGTTCATTTTATTCTTTCATTTTAGTCTGGGGTGTGTATATCGCCACTCTGCAGCCTTTGGGTGGAGGGCAAACTATATATACTCCCAATTTTCTAATATTTGTTTCCCTGCAGTCAATGCTGCAATTAGGTCATTTTAAGACTCTGGACTTAATGGGCTTAAGGAAGAGAGGCTATTTAAATGAGAATGTATATTATTTTACATTATCTGTAGCTGCTGCTCAGTGGTGGAACACCTGTGTCACAATCCCTGGCATCTTCAGGTAGAGCTGAGAGAGACCTCCAGCTGAGTCCCTGGCGAGCCGCTGACAGGCAGTTCACCGTCAGCATCTGCCTGTTTCAGAGTGTGCCATATAGAATCAGATCATTGTAGAGTTGGAAGCGACAAAGGCAGTGCTTTTTTTCTAAAAAAAATGTTTAGGGGTACTCTCATTTTCCTACTAATCTTGAAATACTGCCCGTCAATGAGGCCAAACTTAGATTCACAAAATGTTTAGGGGTATGCCTACCCCTGCGTCCCCCCCCCCAGAACAAAAGCACTGCACAAGGGTCATCTAATTCAACCCCCTGCAATGCCAGAATCTTTTGCCCAATGTAGGGCTCAAACCCACAACCCTGAGATTAAGAGCCTCATGCTTTACGGACTGAGCTATCCCAGCCTCTGAGATAATAACCTATGACCATAAGACAAACCTGTTGGATTAGGCCAAAGGCTCATCTAGTCCAACACCCTGTTCTTACAGTGGCTGGCCTGTGGGAAGCCTGTAAGCTGGACATTGCTCACCTGCTATTCCTACCAGTTGATACCTCTGGCAGTGGAGGTAGAATATAGCCATCTATCATGGTTAGTAGGCATTGACAGGTGGCCCAACGGTCTGATTCTTTTTTAAAAAATGATTTTTATTAAATTTCCCACTTTTATCATATTCACATTTTGTTACATAATTCTATAACTTAAACACATTACTCTGTAAGAGCATCAACCTCCTTCCCTCCCTCTTTCTGACTTCCACACACTTTTCTATATTCTCCGCATTTCTATAATCACATGTTTACCTTCTATCTTATTATAATATTTCAGTACTGATCAGTAAATCAGTTCCTTATATTTACATTACAAAACATTTCAGTTCGAACCTACAAACGTTTTCAGATGTTTACAATTTTCTTTCATATAAAGTATAAATTTGTTGCAGTCCTTTTGAAACAGTTCGTCACGCTGATTCCGGATCTTCCCCGTCAACTTGGCCATCTCTACATACTCCACCATCTTAACCTGTCAATCTTTCAGTGTTGGGAGTTCCTGCTGTTTCCATTTTTGAGCCAGGAGTATCCTTGCAGCCCAAAGGACTGATTCAGTATAAGGCAGCTTCTACGTACCTGTGTTTACTAACTACAATGTGGTAAACCAGCCCTGCTACATTTAATGCCAGTGGTGGTCCAGTGGGAGCACCCCAGGGGCCTGCCCCAAAGCCCAATGTTGATAGCACCACTGCCTGCAATGGACTGTAGCACTGTGCCACTGAATTCCTAAAGGAGGCTTCCGCCCAATGTCATTACACAGCATCTAAATAAAGCTTCTTTTGGACTTCCCATTCTGGGGGTGGAGGGAAGTATTGGAGGGGTAGACATGTCTCTCCTTTCTTCCCATTGCAGGCTTCAAATGTGAAAAGAACAAGGGGGTGAAGGCAGAACGACGGCAGGAAACACCCAGGAAATACAAGGTGGAACAGTGCGGTTCTGGTGGTTACAAGGCTGATTCGGACGCCTGCTGTACCTGTTACAATATGTGCTTTGTCTAGTTGCATTCCAAAAGCTGCCACTCTGGTGCAACACTCACTTCTGTTAGGCAGACCCACCTGACTGCATTTCTGAGCGTCCCCTTTAACCCACAGGCTCCAAAGATGTGTTTCAGGAGTGCTCAAGGCAAGACTGAATATGACAACTCATGATGAGCAAAACTGGAGGAAGCAAGCCGGGGGGGGGCAAAGAGGAAGAAGAAACCCTTCTTGTTTTCCAGGCAAGCCCTGAAGAAAAACCAGTCTTTCCGGGTAGAAATGTTTCAATAAGCATACGTCACAGAGCCGGGAATCATCTGAAATCTTCCCTGGTGCTATCAAAAGCCAAGAATGCAGAAGGCAAGCTATCATTTGCGTATGTAAATAAAAGTAATCACACCAATCAACCTGTATAAACTTAAGGGGTACAAGTTTTAACAGAAGTGAAAGCTGTAATTTTCCAAGACCCGGAATCTGAAACCTGATGCTAGATTCTCTGCAGCCTAAAAACATGAGCAGCTCTTCTTGACCAGTTTAGGTTTTATATAGCAGTCTCATCCTTGACCTGTAACTAACAGCACAATCCCAACCATGTCTACTCAGAAATAATCCCTATTGAATTCAATGGGGCTTACTCAAAATTGTAGAGTTAGGATTACAGCCTCGCTACTCTCTCTCTCTCTCTCTCTCTCTCTCACACACACACACACACACACACACAGGGAGAGAGAGAGAGAGCGTGCAACCTGGCATGGCTCAAAGGTGATGAACAGCAGGAGTCTAGCATCATAATCATGGATCTGCTAAGCACTGACACAATTCTCCTCAGTCACCAAACTGAGACAGCATTTTCCTTGCCAGAAGCCTTCTTCCAAAAGCTCAGCTGTTTATTCTTTCACACCTAATCAAGACCCAGTAAATTAACATTCCAGCTGAACCAGTGCCCAAGGAAACAGAAAGAGGGCAAGAAAAGAGTTCTCTCCTTCTCCCCCCCCCCAAAAAATATATAAATCTGGGAACTGTAGCTTAGTGCAGGTGCTAGGAAGCCTAATTGGAAATTACTGCTGTGCCCACTACCCCACCATTGGCCCACAGTCCTACAATCACCATTACATGGGAGAGGTTATGAGGTGGGGAGCTGAGTGCAACTTCCATTTCAACTATTTGGTTTCATTGCGAATTATATCGTTTTGTAGGGTTTCATTGTGTTTTTGAATTTGTATCTATCATCTATCTATCTATCTATCTATCTATCTATCTATCATCTATCTACATCTATCTATTACGCTTAAGAGAATATTTTATTTTCCTCTGAATTTGACCTTCTTTTCTAAAGTTTGATATTTTGTACTGTTATGTCATATTCTTTAAATTTGGTTATAAACCATTTGAGATTTTTTTTTAAAAAAAATCAAGCAGTATAGGAATGATTTTAATACTACCACTACTAATGTGAATATTAATAATAAATCTGAAGGGTTCTTTAGAGACTGCCTTGATATTTGCAGTGTAGCTATGTCCCGAAAAGGCCAGACAGTACGTCGTGGGAAGCAGCAGAACATCCATATCATACATTGAAGAAAAATGGGAGCTCTATGCACTGGCTGCCAATTAGTTTCTGAGTGCTGGTGTTGACCTATAAAGCCTTATATAGCTCAGGACCTCAATACCTTAAGAACCACCTCTCCCCATACAGACCTAGACCCTGTGCTTGTCATCTGAGGCCCTTCTCTATGTCCCCCGGGGGGGGGGTGGCAACAAGAGAATGGGCCTTCTCTGTGGTGGCTCCCCAACTATGGAATGCTCTTTTCTGAAAGGCCTGCCCAGCACCATCATTACATGTCTTTAGGCACCAGGCAAAAGCATTCATCTTTCCAGGCCTTTGGCCGTTAAATAATCTATGACCTGGGGAGGGGGCTGTTGTTGTTGTTATTGTTACTTGCTGTTGTTGCTGCTGTTGTTGTTCTGTCTGTTATTATGCTTTTAAAATGTGCTTATTATGTTTCTATTATTGGTGCATGCAAATTCTGTACCCTGCCACTGAGCAATAACAACCTCCCTCTTTAGAGAAACACAAGGAACACATTTCTGCACATGGAATAGCCTGCGAGCAACTTGCAAAGATAAATAGTTTCATGATCACTCTTGTAGCCATCCTAGGAAACAGTCCTAGTGAACTCAAATCAGATAAAAAACACCATAATTTCTGCTTCAGAAATGAAATTTTAGGGGCACACGTTAGGAGAGATTCTCCAGCAGAAAAGTGTAAAGATGCGGGAAAGTTTGCATTGTTCAAAAAGGAAAGTTGAGAGGGCCTGCAATTTCCCATCCTATTTTGGCTGCAGCTGTACCAGGAATTTAAATCAGTTTCAAGCCAATGTAACTATCATGTGCTTCCCCAAGGTGCCCTGGAAGCTAAGGTAAAGGTAAAGGGACCCCTGACCATTAGGTCCAGTCGTGGCCGACTCTGGGGTTGCGGCGCTCATCTCGCTTTATTGGCTGAGGGAGCCAGCGTACAACTTCCGGGTCATGTGGCCAGCATGACTAAGCCGCTTCTGGCGAACCAGAGCAGTACCTATTTATCTACTTGCACTTTGAGGTGCTTTCAAACTGCTAGGTTGGCAGGAGCTGGGACCGAGCAATGGGAGCTCACCCCGTTGCGGGGATTCGAACCGCCTACCTTCTGATCGGCAAGTCCTAGGCTCTGTGGTTTAACCCACAGCGCCACCCACATCCCTGGAAGCTACAGTACACTTAAAAAGGTGCAATTTTACAGGCCATTTAAAAAGGTGCAACTTTAATAACTGTATAGCAAGCAGGAGCTCTCTCAAAGATATTAGGCCAGAGTCCTGTGAAAGTGGCTGGGTCCAACTGCACAGTAATGGTGTGTTTTCTAGTTGTTTGGCCAGAATACAGAGCTAAGTAAATAAATCACCTCCCAAGTGTTGCCACGATTAATGATCCACAATTAACAGTTATCATCCTAGCTGTCCTTGGCAGAGCTTCAAGCTTTCAATGTTGTTTTTACAAAAGGGAAGGGGGAGCATTAGCCAAGGACGGGGAACCTATATGCTGAGTCTGTCTGCAGCAGCGAGGAGAAACATGTGGCCTTCTGAATGCTGTTGGAGCCCAACTCTCATCAGACCCAGCCAATGGTGAGAGATGATGGAAATCAGAATTACAGCAATATCTGAAGGGCCAACTGTTTCTCATTCCTGCTGTTGAAAACCCTTGAATTTAAAACCGAGAGAAAACAAACAAGCTTTGCTCTCCTGTTCTAAAAGATAACAGACTCTACAGCATTATAGCATCTTTGATTAACCTCTGAGCAACTGTTGAAATTCCTTTTGGATAAAATCTTTTGCAAATGCCAAGAGAAATATTGCACACATTGTGTGCAGAACAGCGACTGTCTCCCAGCTATAGCAAGTGAAGCCCAGGGACACTTTCAATTCAGCAACCGGCATTATTTACATGCAATGGGGGGAGTTTCCTAAAAAAATTATTGCATCCTTCTAGAAGCATTACACTTTCCCAAGTGCTTTACAGTTTACACTGCATTTGCTGTCCCAGCACTCCTGAAAGGATGTGCCCATTTAATCTGTGTCACAGCTGTATTCCACCATCCAAGAACCTCAGAGTAGTAATGGGGTGATTTTCATCCAAACAAGCAGCTAGCTCATTCTCGGAAAGCCCAGCCACACATATCTTCCAGGAAAAGAATCATAGCTCAGCAGTAGAGAACATGCTTTGCACGCAAAAAGTCCCAGGTTCCATCCTCAGCACCTGCAAGTAGCACTGGGAAAGATTCCTTTCTGGAATCTTGGAGAGCTACTGCCAGCCAGCACAGGCAGTACTGCATTAAATGGAGTGTAATGGTCTGACTGAGTATTAGGAAGAGTTTAAGAGTTGCCATATGTCCTCTTTTTCCAGGACACACCCTCCTTTTCATGGGTATGTAAAATGAGAGTCCTCATAGTGATCCATAGTTAAAAGTTGGCAAATGTGTCCTCTTTTTCGCTCTTCAGAATATGGCAACCCTATCTAATTGCTCTCAAAACATGCTGTGGTCCTGGGTGGAAGCACTCAAGGCAACAAGGAGTCCCAATATCTGAAGAAAATCAGGCCTATACGCGGCTATTTGGCTGAGACGAAAGATGGGAACTACAAGAAGACCAAAAGCCAAGGCCTGGGTTTGCCCATGTGGCATCTGTGGCACAATGGCGTCCTTGAGGTCTTCCCCTGGTTGTCCACAAAGCCTTTGAGCCTTCCCCCTCACAACCCACTTTCCCATGAGGCGGAGATGGTGGTTGTCTTTCTTTCACTTGAAAAATACATAGAGCACTCTACATACATTAAACATAATAGAAACACCCGCCACCCGACCCCACCCCTATCCATCTTCCCTCTCTCCACCCCCCCTTTCTTTCTTCTTTCTTTTTTCTTCTCCCCCTAATGCCTCAACAAATGAAACGGATTTGTAAAAATGTTACATGGAAAAAAAAATACGAGGCACTACACTTCTGTAAAACAAGAAAATCCTTAATAAAATATATTTTAAAAAAATACATAGAGCAAAAGGAGGAAGTGGAAAGAGTGCTGCTCTTTCCCACTTCCTCTTTCAGCTCTATGTACTATTCTTGGCTCAGATTAATTTTGCTGAATCTGCCTGCTACTCTTGGAAAACCTAAGTGTGTATGCAAATGCATTCTCTCTGTCAGTCTTTGCAGGTGGAGGTGATGGGGGGAGGGGAGACTTTCATTCATTCATTCAAGCAAGTTTAAGAAGAAAAAGAAAAGAGAAAAATAGCAGCTCACATTAATAAGACAATTACCATCAACCACCTCAGTTTACAGTGGTACCTCGGATTAAGTACTTAATTCGTTCCGGAGGTCCATACTCAACCTGAAACTGCTCTTAACCTGAAGCACCACTTTAGCTAATGGGGCCTCCTGCTGTTGCTGCACCGCCGGAGCACAATTTCTGTTCTCATCCTGAAGCAAAGTTCTTAACCTGAAGCAATATTTCTGGGTTAGTGGAGTCTGTAACCTGAAGCGTATGTAACCCGAGGTGCCACTGTATATGCCACCCAAATGTCCCCAAAGATACCCAAACAAATTCCACACTTATTGCATTTGTAATAAATGCTTTCAGTGTAGCAAGGGCAGCGATGTCTTCGGATCATAATGGTGGGTGTTTGTCTGTCTAGACTCAAAGCAGAAGACTCTGGGCATCCCTAGAGGTTTCCAAAACCCACTTTTGTTGCCCTGCTGTCGATCCTCATATCACAGGGAAATAGTTTAAAATTGCATGGATATCAGAAAACGTAAAGGAATTCACCTGGAGGACAGAAACTATTAGAAAGGCATGCACTCAAATTTCCAAACGTTCACGGGCTAAAAATGTTGGCGATCCCCGACATAGGCGATATTCCTTGAACCCTGACAAAAGACCTCCACAGGCAGCGGTCCGAACAGTGACAACTCCATTGTCCAAAAACATTAATTTCCTCAGCCCTGCATCTATACAAGACAAAGCCAAATCATCTCCGCGTACAGCTTTACAAAGGAGACAAAGTGTATCTGGCAGAATCAACGTCTTCCCATTACCATCGGCTCCTGGCTCCGAACAGATAACTGTGTGCTTTTGTATTTGTTCCAACCACTTGAGTTAAAAAGTGAACAGGAGTCCTACCGCCTCAGGAAGGCTTCCCATTTGCTCCGTCCGTCTCCAAAAGCCAAGTGGGAGGGCTTGCCTCTCAGACTGAGGCCGACATGCCCTGCCAGATCCGCATAGGCAACTTTTAATTAAGATGATATATAGTCTCTAGAGACAAAACAGGGAGGAATCTGCAGAGATATAGAAAACTGAAAGGCAGCCAATGCCTTTGTAGTTCAGAACCGAGGCCAAATGAGCTGTGAGGCTCTGCTGGAGTCAGTGAAGCGGGTTACCAGGCTGGGGGTGCGGGGGGGGGAGAGAAAGAAAGACAGGGAGCACTTCAAAAAGACAGAAATGTTAGCTGACACCCTACCGAGGCAAGGTGCCATCTGAGCACTCTGCTTATTGAGAACACTGCGGATGCTTCGTTTTATTTTGTACCTCAACACTGGCAGTGTCTGGCAAAATCTTGAGCACTGGTGTGAAGCACCTAATGCACTTGCGCCCCTTATTAAATGATCGGTGTACAATAAAAGGAAGAGATTCCAGCCCCCTGCCCACCTGCTGGAAATGCTGTGGAGAGGGGCGCACACGTACCCGCGCATTTCCAAGTGTGACTGCGTGTAAGTGCATGAGTGGGAAGGAGGGCTGTGTGACTGTCTGTCGGGTGAGTGTTCATGTGCTCTGTGTGTGTATATGTTGCATGTGTGCTGAGGGTATACGTGCGTGTGTGTGCCTTCACAAACACTGACCACACCTACCACTGCCCTCAGGACACACACACACAAAAGGTTAGCTACCCCTACAATAAAGTTTGCTTCGGAGAGGGCATTTTCACTGCAGGAATCTGAGGGAGCAGCCCAGACACAAAAAAAGTTAAATATGGAGAATAAGTGGTTGAGATACTCTGATTTACTGATAGAGGATGCTGAGAGATTTAAATTAAAACCATTTGATTTAGTTAAATATAAAATAAATTGGCTTCAATATTATCAAATTAATGAGCTATTTAAGATTGACCAAAAAAAAAAAAAAAAGGTTTTGCAACAGAAAAAACCAAATTGGAAACGGAGTTGTTAGATACTAATGTTAAGAATATGTCTAGGATGTATAGCTTACTATTGGAGTGGCACACGAAAGATGAACAAGTAAAGTCGGTTATGATTGATAGGGCACAAGATGTGGGACACAACATAATGATGGAGGATTGGGAGAGACTTTGGAAGAAAGGGGTTAAGTTTACCGCATGTAGTTTGCTAAAGGAAAATATTATGAAAATGATGTATAGATGGTACCTAACCCCTGTCAAATTAGCAAAGATGTACCACAATGTATGTTGGAAATGTAAAGAAAAAGAAGGTACCTCCTATCATATGTGGTGGACCTGTCCCAAGGTAAAGGACTTCTGGGGGAAAATTTATAATGAATTAAAAAAAATGATGAAATATACATTTATTAAGAAACCAGAGTCCTTTCTCCTTGGGATAGTTGGTACTGAACTGCCCAAAAAAGATGTGAAAGTATTTTTGTATGCCACAACAGCTGCTAGGATTTTACTAGCTGGTAAATGGAAAACACAAGAATTACCAACGGTAGAAGAATGGCAGATGAAGATGATGGAATACATGGAGCTGGCGGACCTCACTGGGAGAATCCGCGACCAGAAAGAAGAGGACTACCAAGAAGATTGGAAGAAATTTAAAGACTATTTGAATAAATATTCTAACATTAAAGATATGTAACCACTTGAAAGAACCAACTAGGCCTAGGACAAAATTAGATTTATATGTATAATTAAGAAAATGCACAATAAGAAAGGTAAAGAAAGTGGAATATAACTGTAATATTGTTTTTTGAAATAATGATATTGGAAACTGCTACATTCAATTTAAGAGGAAATTCAGATGAAGGAGATTAGAGGAAGTCAACTAAAATGTTTATGAAAATGGATCTTAATTAATTAATTGATTCTTTTTTTCTGTTTAGGTATGTCAAATCTGTTATTCTTCTTTCCCCCCCTTTTTTCTATACTGTTGTTATGCTGTTGTGTTGTTGTATATTCTTTTTTGTTTGTTTGTTATGTTTATTGAAAATTAATAAATTAAAAAAAAAAAAAGGAATCTGAGGGAGCAGGCAGCGAGAGAAAGAGCAAGTATATTGTCACAGACCACAATTGCACAAGTATCCTTTTGGCCATGGAATGGGTACACCCCAGTGCTAGAAAAAGAGGGGCCAGAACTCTTCGCCATGAGTTCCAGTGAGTTCCAGTTAAATAAAAACACCCTCATTTGGCAGCTTCTGTACCGTTTTAACATGACATAGTATATACTGCGTGAGTATATTCATTGATAGTCACAGGTCTACTTCCGTGAGAATTCTGCAATGAAGAGGGTACTCAGGACAGGACTTTGTCCCAGCGTTGGATAGAGTTCCAGAAAGAACCTACATAAACAGTTCTCAGAAACTATAATGCCTGTGGGTTGATGTGGGCAATAATAAGAAATCTTATGCACTATATAACAACAACAATTTCCCCTCTTTCTGTTTTATCCTCACGACAACCCTGTGAGGTAGGTTAGGCTGAGAGACAGTGGCTGATCCAAGGTTACCCAGTGAGCTTCATAGCTGAGTGGGCGATTGAACCCTGATCTCTTAGCTCCAGCACTCCAATGACTATACCACACAGGAATATTCATTTAGCCAGTGTTACCACCCAAGAATCTTTCCCTGTTATTTGCTTAAAGTGATTCCAGACAGCTTCTCCATCAAAAGCAGAGCTCAAGGCCTTTTACTTTTTTTCTTTTTTAAAAAAGAAAGGAGAGGTATACAAACCTTTCCCCTCCACCATCTGGTTTTCTTCACACTCTGCCTCTTCAACATTCAACATCATAACAAAAGCAGCCCCATTTCGTTACCAAAAAAATGTTTGCTGAATTTTTCACTTAAGTTTTCCAAAACAACATCTAGTTGCGGAAATCATTATTTTTTTAAAAAAACAAACAAACAACAACACCTGATTCCTTAAGAGGCAAATGGTCTGCACAGCCCAGATTTCTGTCACGAATAGCCACCAGATCCAAATAATTGCCGGATCCGAGGAAGTTCATAATAGCATATCGAGTGCTCTCTTCCTAGCCGTTAAAACCTCTGGAAACTTTGAAATTAGATTCAATAAACAAACACTCTATGTTGTTTAATTGGTCTTTTTAAAACAAACTACTTTTCTTTCCTTGTTCCATGAAATCCCAAAATCCAGCAGCTTCAGGTCCTTCCTCTACCAGTGTCATCATGTCTGGCCACATCCCCTTAGTAGAAGAATGTGCAAGAAGGATGCAGGGTTATGGATTCCCACCCACCCCAGCCTGGGGCCACAATACCTTCTAGGCAGCCTTCAAAGGGCCACATTCCAGTGGTGGTCAGGACCAGAGGCAAAAGTAGGAGGAGCAATAAATGTAAATTTTACCTCGCTACAGCTGGCCAATTATTACACACTCGCTAGCTTCCATCCATCCATCCAAACAAACAAGGGATGTTACCAGATTTTAAGGACCCATTCTGGACTGGCAAAAATGTCTGGGGTGCCAAGCAGGGCCACTGAACGATGTGACCTTCCTCCTCCATTAGAGTGGCACAAAACAAATAATTTCCAGCATCTGGAAACAAATTAAGGTATCACCCACACTGGTGATGAAACAGCAAGAAAGGTTATTGCTGACCTAGTAACTCCCACCACTAGGGCAAACGTCATCAAGTTACTTTTACGCTAGAGGCCCTTGAGAGCAGAGGGCAAGGCAAATATGATGTATCCTTAACTTCCTAATTTACAAGTGGCCAGTGAAAATCTGTGATGGAATAGACAAGAGAGGAGATGCTCACGATAACCTTCAAGAAAATGGGGAAGGAGCAGCTAATTTATGTTTCGCAACACTGAACGGCACCATCTCTTATCTTAAGAAATATGAGTTTTTTTCTGAAGCTAAGGTTGCTTTGCACCTGTCTGGGGGAAGCGGTGGGAGTGGAGCAAGCGAACTGCTTTTACTGGTTTCACACCCTAAAGTAAGTCAACTGGGAGGAAAAACCAGCCTGCTCTGGGATGTCACCTGAATTTATTTCTCTTCATTCCCCTCCGCAAGTGCAACAATATTCAGGTTTTCCAGCCTTCAGAAAGGATTAGCAAGATAATCCAATTACGAGCTCTGCATTCTGCAAAGTTCAAAGTGTTCTTTGGAGACAGAGTGAGACCTTTCTGGTTCACCTTTCTGGTTTTAAATCACCCCTTGCCAGGTGCATTTAAATGTCTCTGCCCATCCACTCTTACTGCCCCTTATAACTGAAATAGCCTTCTCATAACTCCATTGTCATCTGTCCTCAATGTTGACATTTTGGACTACAAGTTCCATGAGCCTCAGCGGCTACGGTCAAAAGACAAGAATGATGGGAGCTAGAGTCCCAAGGTTGGGGGAGGTCATCCGATTTTATGCTACCTCACTCATTTCCATCAAATCCCTCCTCAAAATCCTCACCTTTTTGTGAATCTATTGAGCTCAGCAAAGTCAAAGAAAGCATATCTACCTAAATCACAGATGCAACTGGCAGCCCAGCTGCTTCTTTTTGTGAAGTGTTATTCCGAGACAAACATCAGAATGGCACCCTTTCTTCCTCTCATCTGCTGGACAGCTTGCAAACCAGATTTAAACGAATAAGCAAATGTGTATTTGGCTGGATTTCCATCTTTGAGGAGGACCAAAGATTTCTGAGTCCTTCGTGTGCAATGTTTGTATGGGGATTGTCATCACTGCAAACTTCCCAACAGAAACGTGTGCGTCCTGTTTCTTCTGCCACACTCAACCCTGCCCAAGTACCTGATTTATTTGTTTTTTTGTTTTTAAAAACTCCCTTTCCTAGTCCTACTGCTGATAGGCAGCTCTCTCTACTTTCCCTTTAATCCACTTCCTTCCCTGACTACCCTTGAGAAACCAGCCTCCTCCTTTCCACTGCCTTAGATACACTCTGGGAGTTCTTGTTCACTCTGATAACATTCGACAATGGCGCAGGCTTGCTGCCGCTGCCGCACATTCATATTTATGGGTTGTGAGGTTGCTAATGTATTAGAAAAGGAAAAGGCCATCTTGGCTGGATTTAGAATATGCCTCTCTTGTTCTCTTCCAGCAGGAACTGTGAAAATGCAGATTCTCTACAGATCCCTAAACATCTAAGCAGGCTGTTGTTGTTAAGCAAACAATTATCTCTACAGAGTTTGGGGCAAAAGAGGGTATTTGCAAGGGGGAAGTGGTAGCAAGTGCCTATTTCTTGTAACATTTATAATCAGCCTTTCCTCTAAGGAACTCAAAAGCAGCAGATACGGGCCTTCCCCAACCTCTTCCTCCCAGGAAGTAGATTAGGATGAGAAAGCATGACTGGCCCAAGGCACCCCAGTTAACTTCACGGCCAAGTGGGAGGGGGGGGGTAATTAATATCCAGATCTACCCAGTCTGTCCAACACTCTAACCACTATACAACACTACCGTCCCCTTCTCACCCTCACCCACTGTTTCCCTTCCCTTCAGCCAGCAGAAACCTGGACTCAAAATGAACCTGTAATATGAGGGAGGTCGGTGGAGTAGTTGCAGAGTAAAATTAATGGACAGAGATAAATACTCTTAACTCTTGAATAACAGACAGGTGCCGACTCCATAGTGTGTTTTTTGTGCCTTCTTGAATTGCTAATATCAGCGAACCACGGTGCCATTTTACAAAATTCTGTAGCATTTCAAGAGCTGCCTTATGTTTATGTTTTTTAAAAGTTATAACTTTTGCATGCTGCTTCGAGAGTTTCACATATAAAGCAAACTTTATAAAATATATTAATCCATCCCACCCGCTTGCAGATCTCACCCCTGCTCCCCCTGCACTGTGTGTCAAAAGCAAACACGGGAAAGCAATTCTACTTTGCAAAGCAAAACTTGCAGGGGAGTAGAGAAGAACCTTCTCGGAAGGCTGCCCTGCACTGTGGAATACCCCCCCCAAAGATGCCCAAACAGAACCCCTCCTTGCACAGCTTCCAAGACTTCAGAGTCATCCTGTTCAGACACAGCTGCACAGCTGTTTTGCTGCCCTGTGATTTTAGAGTCTGACGTATCTCACAACTCTGCCTATCTGAATAGAAAAACAGGACGCAAGAGACAAAGGTACAGTGGTACCTCAGGTTACATACGCTTCAGGTTACAGACTCCGCTAACCCAGAAATAGTACCTCGGATTAAGAACTTTGCTTCAGGATGAGAACAGAAATCGTGTTCTGGCAGTGCGACAGCAGCGGGAGGCCCCATTAGCTAAAGTGGTGCTTCAGGTTAAGAACAGTTTCAGGTTAAGAATGGACCTCCAGAACGAATTAAATACTTAACCCGAGGTACCACTGTATTGCTTTTGTGTTTTTCTCTGCCTGCCTATTCAGCGGCCTTTCCCAAACCCCAAAGGATCCCCAAACAGCATTAAGCAAAAGGAGCTTGTTTCTCTGCCTCCCTGCTTCTTGCCTCAAGTTCCTGCACTGCTTCACCTCACAGATACGAAGTAAGGGACAATGGGAGTAAACACCTGCTGCCGATTATATGCCTCTGAGAGCTCACAATGAAGTCAATTTCACAGTGCACTTCTTGCACACTGCCACATTAACTCCATTGTGACACACGTGCGCAGGGACATTTGGGAGCTCGGCATGTGCAAGGGCGATACAATCAGCATGGTTCTAAGCAGCCATTGTGCAGGATGGATGGAGCGGAACGGGCAATTGGTCTGGAAAGAATGCCTGGTCCCTAAAAGCTAGGGATTTCCACTGTCTGCAATCTGGGAGAGAGAATGTTCTCTTTCCAACCCTCAGCTGTTGAGAAGCTGTTATTACTTTTAGTTCTGAAAAAGGGCTCCTCAGCTGTTGCATTTCCCCTACCCAACTTACCAAGGCTGGTCAGATGTTAAAAGGCACAGGAGCCCTGCCAGGACAGTAATAATAATAATAAAGGAAGGAGCTTGCAACCCACAAGCGCCATTGAAATACAGTGGTACCTCGGGTTACGAACTTAATCCGTTCCGGAGGTCCGTTCTTAAACCAAAGGTGTGCACATTCCCTAATGAGGCCTCCCACCGCCGGTGTTTGGCTTCTGTTCATCTTCCAAGGCAAAGTTCGCTAACCGGAGCACTTACTTCTGGTTTTGCGGAGTTTGTTGTCCGAAGCGTTCGTTAACAGGGCTGTTCGTAGACTGAGGTACCACTGCATTTTATATACAGTGGTACCTCGGGTTACATATGCTTCAGGTTACAGACTCTGCTAACCCAGAAATATTACCTCGGGTTAAGAACTTTGCTTCAGGATGGGAACAGTAATCGTGCTCCGGTGGCGTGGCGGCAGCAGGAGGCCCCATTAGCTAAAGTGGTGCTTCAGGTTAAGAACAGTTTCAAGTTAAGAACGAATTACGTTCTTAACCCAAGGTACCACTGTATCACTAAGCCTGCTTGCAAGCCACTGGTTGTATCTAACGTTGACCATAAAGGTAAACGGTAAAGGTAAAGAACCCCTAGATGATTAAGTCCAGTCAAACTTGACTATGGGGTACGGCACTCATCTCTCTTCAGGTTGAGGAAGCCAGCGTTTGTCCACAGACAGCTTTCCAGATCATGTGGCCAGCATGACTAAACCTCTTCTGGCATGATGGGATACCAGGATGAGTGCCAGAGTGCAGGGAAACACCATTTACCTTCCCGCCACAGCAGTACCATTTTATCTACTCGCACTAGCATGCTTTCGAACTGCTAGGTTGGCAGGAGCTGGGACAGAGCAACGGAAGCTCACCCCATTGCGTGGATTAGAACTGCCGACCTTGCAATCAGCAAACCCAAGAGGCTCAGTGGTTTAGACCACAGCCCCACCCACATCCCCGCCACCCACTTGTACAGAAAGGGGCTATCTATGACAAGAAGCTGCAGGAGATAGAATAAGGAAAATGCTTCTTTGAAACATATGTTTCTGCAGTGTCTGATGCTTACAAATTTTCGGAGTATTAAGATGTATGAATCCTACGCGGGGGGAGGATTAAAATTGTCAGATGATAATATTATCAAAAATCACATACCAACTATATGTGGTTTAACAGTGGGTCAACATAAAAAAACTCTTCATGCCCTTACTTCTGCTAAAAGACTGATATTGAGTCACTGAAAAGACAAAACCATGCCCCACTTGGAATGATGGCTTTTAGATGTAGTTTGTGTATGGAAAATTCTAATGTTATTTGGATGCATTTATAAAAAGCGCACTGACTTAATAATTTTATACTTGCTAGAATAATGTTTGACATTATTTTTATATGTGCTGGAAGCCGCCCAGAGTGTCTGGGGAAACCCAGCCAGACGGGCAGCGTATAAATATTATTATTATTAAAGAATAACCGTACTACTTATATACCTGTATATTGTACTGTATCACAGTTTTAGGCGTTCGTTCTGTGTGCATTTCAATGCAAAGCTCCCTAATATGCACTACCTGAAAAGAAATATGCAAACGGAAAACACAGCTTGCCTACCAAAAATGTGTATAAGAACGCCATATATGACAGGAAAGTGTGCCTAAGAAGTGAATATGGTAGTGAAAATAACATAGGAAAATCCAATATATTTGGGGGGGGGGTCTTGCAAAAATGGTATATCCAGAGAAATTCGCTGGTGAATTTTTGTGACAATTTAAAAGAAGAAAGACCTGAACTGGTGCGGAATTGTGGAGAACTGAACCAAAGTCTAGGAAAAATTATAGATGCAGATCATGATGGATTATGCACCCAATCTGCCCATTTTAAATGTGATAGCTTGAACACTTTCTCTATTCTCTCTACGTTGAGAATTACATCACAAACTTGGGTCTGTTTAGGAAGCACACTCTTTTCCTAAATGGACCCTCATTTACCCAGTTTAAAACATGAGTGGCAGGCTGATCTCATAATTTGCCGCTTATAGAGTTCTTAGGCAGCTCATCCCAAAATTACAGAACCAAACAAAAACAAGTCCGCCTTGTAACATGGAACTGGTTTGGATCAAAGCAAAGAAAGAAGCACACCAAGGGGAAGTTTTCCCCTCCCCTGCAGATCCCAAAATAGCACTAAACCCAAGCAAGCTGTTTGGGGTTTAAACAGCAGGTGTGCAGCCCTGTTTATCTGAAAAGCTTCATGTCCAAGGAAGCCAATCAGTGGCTGCAAAGCTTAACTGAAGAGTGGGGGGGGGGGAGGGAAGCAGAGGAGAGAGAGCAAGATTGCAAAGGCAGCTTTAAATACCACGGAGATGAGTGCAGAGGGGAAAACCTAGTGCCAAGCGTGACAGCAGCAAGAGCCCCAGGGTGCCTCCTCAGTGAGGAAGTGAAAGCAAAGAGATTTTGGAACAGAGCAGTAGGGCAAGACTCACAGCGGAGTCCAGAGGGACATCCTTGGATAGATTCAACAGCCCAAAAGGTCAACAACAAAAACCAAAGCATGCCAGTGTATTTTCAATACCATTTGTTGTGTTTATTAATGCGAGTGGGTGGCACTGTGGTCTAAGCCACTGAGTCTCTTGGTCTAGCCGATCAGAAGGTCGGCGGTTCGAATCCCTGTGACAGGGTGAGCTCCTGTTGCTCTGTCCCAGCTCCTGCCAACCTAGCAGTTCGAAAGCACACCAGTGCAAGTAGATAAACAGGTGGGAAGGTATACGGCGTTTCCGTGAGCTCTAGTTTCCATCACGGTGTTCCGTTGTGCCAGAAGCGGTTTAGTCATGCTGGCCACACGACCCGGAAAGCTGTCTGTGGACAAACACCGGCTTCCTCGGCCTGAAAACGAGATGAGCGCTGCAACCCCATAGTCGCCTTTGACTGGACTTAACCGTCCAGGGGTCCTTTACCTGTTGTGCTTATTATCGGCCTTGCGAAACAGATTCACGGAAAGGATGTTAGTGTTCTTCCTTTTCACAAGCATAACACTTATGTTTTCATCCACTCATATTCCTCCAAAGAGCTCAGAGTGACAGGTGTTGAGCACCCAACCTTACACACCTACACACACACACACACACACACACACCCCTTTTTTGCCTCCTCAGCACCCTGTGAAATAGGTTAGGCTGAGAAATGGTAATCCGCTCACAGCCAAACAGTAAGCTTTGTGCATGATTCGTAACTCGAACCCTGGCCTCCAAGGCCCAAATCCAGCACCAGTGATCTGGGTTTTCTGGAAAACAATTCCTAAGAAAATTAGAATAACTTGTGCAGGGAAATTTCCTGGGCAAGTGATCCAATTTGGCATGTTTCACTTACATTTCATAACCAAAGCTAAAAACTTTGAAAACTGCCAAGTGTGCCAGTTGTTGTCTTCACCACTGGCATCCATTCATTGTTACTAATGGATTATGAAACAGAAATTTTACATCGGGAAAAATAAAGCTCCGCCCAGCACTCCAACAGCTACATTGGCTTTCCTCCAAAAGACAAAAGCTTCTCTTCCCTGGCAGCCCAGATGTGATTCTATCTAACACTTCACAGGCAAACAAGCAGTGGCTGTGTCCAACCAGGGACAGCAAAGCTATTATGAGATATGGAAAATAGTCTTACCAACCCACAACAAGCCCTTATGAACACAGGAGGAACTGTCACCTCTGAATGTAATAAATGCCCATTTAACTGCATGTATCAATAGTCAATGTGCACAAGGAGAGCACTAACCAAAGATCTTGGGCAGCCTTTCCCAACTCAATGTCCTCCAGATGTTTCAGCTGATCATGAGAGCTTCCATGCACAGCGCGGTCTTCAGGGTTGCAGAGAGCAGTGCAAGGCATCAATGATCAGCTGATGGTTGGGGCTTCTATGCAAGCCCTGACAACCCATCCATCAAACCTTGCCTGGCAAGGCGGTGGGGGAAATAAGGATCCAGCCTGGCAAACAAATCAAGTTCCTCACCCCTGTTTTAGAGTGGAAATTTCAAAATTTCCAGCTAGGACTTCTGAATAGTATCTTGCCTACTTTTTCACAGATTTGAACAAATAGCTCAGTTGGTTAGACTGTGGTGCTGAAAATGCCAATGTTGCAGGTTTGATCCCCACAGCGGCATAGTCCTGCACTGCAGGGGGTTGGACTAGATGATCCTCAGGGTCCCTGCCAGCTCTATGATTTGAATTACCTCTTCCCACCAAAGATCTGTCTTGCACTGCTATGTTTCTGCTAAATTATTAGCAGAGACAATTGCTAGATTTGTCTTTTGGACTGCAAAAGCACAAAAGGAAATCTCCCCCCAACTAAACATATCCTGTTCTCATACATTAATTACAATTTCTAATCTGGTTGTGTCCGTCCGTTCATCCCCCAACTCACTCTTAACTTTCATATTTTATGGTATCCTATTGTTTATCTAATTTTAGGCATGCTTTTTATATTCCTGATATTTTATATCATTTATATATTACAACCCACTTTCAGGTATTTTGCATGTTGTGATATTTCACTTGTACAGTTGCTGGTTTTAGGGGTGTGGGTTTTTTAAAGATTTTTGACTGTGTAAAAAGAATCTGTATCTGACTGGAACTCCCATCAGTTCCTGTTCAGTGTGGCCAAGTTGGCTGGAGTTGAAAGGAGTTGCAGTCCAAAAACAACTGCAGGGTGTTCTCGAGTAACATTTGCTTCCTAACCTTGCACCAGCCACAATCAGCGATGATGACACTGGAGGAGAGAAACTAGGGTGTATCTAATGCCAGAGTAGACCTACTAAAAGTAATAGATGGGTGCATTAATTTCAATGGGTCTGTTCTGAGTAGAAGTTAGTTGGATAAGGCCCTTTATTTGCCGTTCATGGGATTCCCTTTCTACGCCTGGACAAATCACTGTCTATTTACATACTGTTTTCCACAGCAAGGAGAGAAGGGTGCCTGATGAAGCCACAGAAAGGGCTGCTTTGTCTTGTCACTTCTGGCCAGCCCACAGCCAGGCCATGAGAGACAGTTCTGAGTTGCATCTGTTTATTTATATCCCTTTAATATCCTCCCTTGGGCTCTGCTAATGCACAGCTCTTCTTGGGCAGTCAAAGTCAACATTCGAGGTGCAAGTTCCGTTTAAGTCAAGTCAGCCCACTGGCCCATCAAGCTCAACGTTGTCTACACTGACTGGCAGGAGGCTTTCCAAGCCCTATCTGGATCTTCTCCAAGTCTTCTCCACCTAAACAGATACGGTACATACAAGCAGAAGAATGCTGCTGGTTCAGGTCAGGGGCATCCACTCTAGCATCTTCTTCTCCCAGTGGCCAGCCAGATGTTCCTGGGCAGTCCACAAGCAGGACATGAGTACAACAGCAATCTCCCCATTTGAATTCCCAGAAACTGGTATTCCAGGGTTTCCCAAATTTGGGTCTTCAGCTGTTTTTGGACTACAATTCCCATCATCCCTGACCACTGGTCCTGATAGCTAGGGATGATGGGAGTTGTAATCCAAAAACAGCAGGAGACCCATGTTTGGGAAACCTTGTGGTATTCAGAGGCGTACAACAGGAAGTAATCACAGTCAGTAGCTACTGATAGCTCTTACATTCCATCAATTTGTCATACGGGTACTACAGAGAGGGCCTTTTCAGTATAGGCAACTTGATTATGGGGTGCACTGAGGCTCAAATGGCACTTACATTAAGAGCCTTTCAACGCCAGGTAGAGAGACCTTTTCATTTCCCCAGGCATTTAGAATGACATTTTGCCTTTGCAAAAAGATTACTGGGTTTAAAATGCTGTCTGTGCTGGTTTTTTAGGCACAAAATTGAATTGATTGGCTTATTTAATGTTCTAATTGTATACTGCTTGAGTTCCGTCTCACCCACCCAGAGGCCCTTGCTGACCGAGAGATTAACTAGTTTTCTAAATAGATACATGAATGTCTATTACTGAACCTGGGGTGGTTTGAATGCATGTGGCCTTCAGCTGAGCTATGGTCCCACCCCAGTGCTAAACAAACATATCCACACCCATCATTTTTTGTGTGCACATGTGTATATCCACAAGGAAGAAACATTATGCGTTTGACTAGGCCAGGGAGGGTCCCAATGACCTCTCCACATGCATTTATTTCAGAAGTGAATTAATTCTTTAGGTTTTATTTATTCATTTGACATATGTTTGCCTTTCTTCTCAGGAGCACGAGGTGTGATGTACCTGGTCCTCCCCCTCTCACGACCGAGTGTCCCAGTCCTAACTGCCCTTTTCCACACCTCACACCCATGGTGTTTCCGTTGACACCTGGAAGTCTCACTCTCTCCACCTGGCCCTAGTGGGCTCCACCAAAGAGCCCCAAACCTTCCGGCTCTCTTAAAAAGAATCTTCAGCCACTGTGAGGGTTGGCTTTCAGGTGTGTGGTGCGTAAACCACACAAAAAGGTCATAACGCTGAAACAATTTAAAGTGTTTACTGGAAAAGTATTATCACGGCAGAGAGGGGGGCAGAGTTTTAACATCTGAATAAGTTACACCCAAAACGAAAGAGCAAAAGGATAAGAAAATAAGAAGGTTGACGGCATACAGCTATTCCTACCTATACTGCAACTTATTCAAGTTCTTCCCAGCGACATCTTAGTGTCAAGAGTTTTCAGGGTTCCCAGACATTCAAGCTTCTCTCCAGCATTCCTTCTGCCGAGCTCTTTCTGCAAAACTGAAAAAAGCATCAAAGCTAAAACGTTTTTTCCCTTCCTCAGACTCTGCAGTGCCAATGAACTGACCTTTAGATTTTCACACATACAAAAAAGCAATTAACCCCATCCTATCAAAACCCAAAATTATCAAACTCTCTTCCTTCACACCCCTTGTCCATGCACCGGAGTCATCTCCTTGTGGTGCAAAATGAACTGAAGATTTATTCCACGGCAGCTCAGACTACTGTCACCTGCCTTGTGGAACTCACTGCTCAGGGAACTCTTGGAATCGTAGCTCTATGAGAGGAATAGGGGTCTCCTAATAACTCTCAGCGCCCTTAACAAATTATAATTCCAAGGATTCTTTGGGGAAAGCAAAGCCTCTTTAAAGCCGTATCAAACTGTTTTAACTTTATGCTGTAGATGGGGCCTTAGGCAGTCCCCAGCATTGTACACATTTTATTGAAAGCTTTTTTAAAAATAAAAATCTGAGGTTTCCCCAGAAAGATGAGTTTACTCATGGGCAGTATCTGATTTTAATTTTTTTAAAAAAGAATGTGTGTGTGTGTGTGTGTGTGTGTGTGCGCGTGTGCGCGCGCACCCGCTCTGCACCTCTATTTATATTTTAATGTTTAGTGGTCTATAAATATTCCTAATAAAACAACAAAGCAGGCCTGTGAGGTAAAAGTGACACTTAAGTCAAGATCACCAGGTAATGTTCATGGATGAATGGAGATTTAAGCAGCTTTTCCTCAGGCTTTGTTCTTTCTGATTGATTGATTGATTGCATTTATATCACACCTTTTTTTCTAAGGCTCTCAAGGTAGCATATATATCGTTCTCCCCCTCATCCATTCTCCCAACAACAACCCCTATGAGGTAGGTTATGCTGAGAGGCAGCGGCTGGCCAAAGTTCATCCACTGAGCTTAAAGACCAAGTGGAGATTTGAACCCTGGTCTCTCAAGCCCTAGTCAAGCTCTCTTACCACTACACCGCACTGTCATATCTCTCACTCAATCCACTCAGCAAGGGGTGAGGAACCATTCTTGGTTCAAGGACCACATCTCTTCACAGTCCATCTTCTGAGGACCACATGCTAGTGGTGAAAGTGTCCGTAGGCCAGAAGCAAAAGTAGGAAGAGAAACAGATGCAACTCTTGACCTTTTGTAAACTGGGCTATATTCCAGTCACACAAAAGCCAAAGGCTTCTGTATCCATCTCTCCATCCTGCCAAGCAAGAGGCAATATCAGAGTTCAAGGACGCATCTAGGTGTGGCAGAAGCACTCAAGGAGGCCATGGAGGAAGGGCTGGGGAGAAGAGTGGTCTGGAGAGAGTCCTGAGGGCCAGGCAGAAGGCTTTGAGGGCCTGAGGTTCTCCATCCCTTCACTAAACTTATGTCTGTGTGACACTAGCTCTGCTGCCTTTTAAAGTCTTTGCCCCTCATCCTCCCTCCACACAAAAAAAACCTCCACTATGTCCATGGGGTACCTGCCTCACCTGCCTCACGGCTACCTCCAACAAGAGTTATCAGGGCTAGGTGTCTCTGGTAAGCAAGCTATGCCCACTAGGCAACAAAGCTCAAAATAATAATAATAATAATAATAATAATAATAATAATTATTATTATTATTATTATTATTTTAAAAGTTTCAAGAGTTGAACCTGAGAAAGCTCAAACCACACAAACACCCAGCCAGTTTTTCCGATGTGCATACTGAATCTAACACCACCAGCTCTGTTCGGAAATATCCCAAGTGATAACCACAGAACACTAGTTTTTTGCCTGCTGTGGTGACACACACCTGTGGCTTCAGCACTAGCAGGAAAGCTATGATGCCATTCAGGAAGAAGCATCTATTTATGGGGCAACCTTGGTTTCTGACTATTTGCTCGAATAAAGGGAAACCGCCTTGGGCCTTGCCGCAGCATCCGTCACCGCAGTTTCTGAACCCTGCCAGCCCCTCGCTTGCTGCTACAGCGATTACTGTGCTGCCACCCCGGTAAAAGATGCCACAGCTATTCTCCTCCCGCGGTCTCCAGTCCATTTGGCAAAGTGGCCGTTGAACTTCCTTAGGTAGCTTTGCATGCAGGTCGGCATTTTTCTCTCTCTCCTCGCCTCCCTTCCTCCACTCCATTCTGCCTGCCCTGTAAGATTAGAAAGCGCAATCTGCAGAAAATGCACTCGTGTGCTCATGCGGCTGGTGCAAAGTCTTTGACATGATTCTGTGGCCTATATTTAATGCTATCTGCTGCTACCCAGCTAAGGCGTGGGATTAGCTGGCGGGCCAATAAGCACTACTATAATGACGTTATAAGCCTTGGGGTTGAGAGTCTATGGAAAACTATAGCCTTGATGTCATTGTTTTTACAGTTTCCCCTGATGCCTTACACACACACTCACACACCACAGAGAGGGTTATTCTCCTCCTTGCTGATCCTGTTGCAACCGGGGTTAGATTAGGACACCATGAGCGCTGACGAAGGAGAAAGACAGTCAGTCAAGAGAGAGACTGTGGGAGGCCACTTCAGATCTCTACATGCTGGTAAAAAGGACGATAGAGTACACCTAATAAATTCCCAAGTACACGGAAGATTCTGTCAACTTTCTCTTACACTTTATTATATTGGCACTTACAGTCCACCCTTCCACCAAACGTTCCCAGGGCAGGTTACAAGAATGTCAGGATTAGAAACAATTTGCATTAAAATAATAAAATAAAACCGCAGAACCACCAAGGACAACAGAGTAGAACAGCAGCAAACAACAAGGAGAAACAAGCAGAGCTATACAGTGGTCCCTCCAGATACGAATTTAATTCATTCTGGGGGTCCGTCCACAACCCAAAAAGTCTGAAGGCAGAAGCGCCACTTCTGTGCACGCACGCAGCGTGATTGAGCACTTCTGCGCATGCGATGAAACCTGGAAGTATACAACATTTCTCCAATGAAAATAGGGACGTGCTATTCCATCCATTCTGGAGGAGACTCTTGAGAGTCCCATGGACTGCAAGAAGATCAAACGTATCCATTTTTAAGGAAATCAGCCCTGAGTGCTCACTGGAAGGACAGATCCTGAAGCTGAGGCTCCAATACTTTGGCCACCTCATGAGAAGAGAAGACTCCCTGGAAAAGACCCTGATGCTGGGAAAGATGGAGGGCACAAGGAGAAGGGGACGACAGAGGACGAGATGGTTGGACAGTGTTCTCGAAGCTACCAACATGAGTCTGACCAAACTGCGGGAGGCAGTGGAAGACAGGAGTGCCTGGCGTGCTCTGGTCCATGGGGTCACGAAGAGTCGGACACGACTAAACAACTAAACAACAACAACAACATTCCATCCATTCATCCATCAATTTATGCATGTGTGTATGCAGCTTCCAACATATTGAAAAACATAATAAAATATTAAACATTAAAAACTTCCCTATACAGATGCCTTCTAAAAGGTTGCATAGTTACTTATCTCCTTGGCTCAGGGACTGCATAACTCCATCCCTTCCAACATTTCTCCAATGAAAACAGGGATGTCCCAAGGAAAAAGGGGATGTTCCGGGATCAAATCAGAAACTGGGACGGCTTCTGTAAATCCAGGACTGACCCTGGAAAATAGGGTCACTTGAAGGGTCTGTATACATGACTGGACAAATTGTTTTATGGTGTATTAGGCAGCCGCTGAGAGCCAATGTTGTCTCGGATGTGTCTGGATAAGTGCTGAGAAAAAAAGGAATACTCACACAAGCACACGCCTCAAGACAAGCACGACGAGCACGCTGGTTTATCTGAACCACCCGCCCAGCCCAAAGAGATCTGATCAATTCGCACAACAAAACCAGTGGACCTTAATATTTTGAGTGTAAGGAGGATGCCTTCAAAGAGAACGGCTGTGCAAGAACAACGTCCAAATGAAAGCTACAGATGTTAATAATTATGGTGCAATAGCCTCACCCATAGAGAGAGCAGAATACCAATATGATGAGCTCAAGTTAAAATGACAGCTTTAGAGAGGAAAGGGAAGAAATGCTTTTTTAAAAATAACAACAACAAAAAAAAATGTAAAAAAGAAAACCTCTTCCTGCATAAAAACAACCATTTCAGAGTACAATTCACAATAATTTTTCATGGCTTTGTAAGACTCCAGCAAAAGGAAAACTTCTTGCAAAACATTGCAAGCGGGGCCAAAGGAGATACAGTTTCTTTTTGCTTTAGAGCCAAATATTTTTTTTAAAAATGTCCTTTTATTTTTGTTTCCCTATTTACATATCCTTAGGAATCAGCATGCAGAGAATCCTGCACTAGACAATGGACTTCCTCAGTCAGTACGCATGAAACTCTTAATCTCAGGGACACGGGTTCAAGTCCCACACTGGGCAAAAGACTGCTGAACTGCAGCGGTTGGACTAGATGACCCCTGTGGTCCCTTCCAACTCTACAATTATACATGAATGACATTCCCAGTAAGTCCTTGAATTTTTCCAGGACTGGGTCGATTTTAATCAGGAATCAGGAAAGAAGAAGGGAAAAATAAAAGCATTTGAGCTTCTCTAGCCAAATAATATCCAAATGGATTTAGCAGGATCTCTCTCACCATTACGGGAAGCAGCAGCCTGTGAACACCTGAGTTTGCATATTCTCCCTCCCCATGCAGGATGGGCAGGGCATTTATTTTTTATATTCATTTAATTTAAACTGTATTTATTTAGTGCATTTGGTACGCTAGTGCGTTTAGTGCATTTAGTAAGTTAAGCAGCTCAGAATGATGTGTCAAGCTCTCCTTCCGCATCTCAGCCATGCCTAAGTCACAAAGGAATTCTTTTCGCCTCACAATAACCCTGAAAGTTAGGTTAGGCCCCAACTGCACTATGCATTTAAAGCAGTTATCATACCACTTTAAACAAACATGGCTTCCCTCAAGGAATCTTGGGAACTATAGTTTCTGAATGGTGTTGGGAGTTCTTAGGAGATCTCGATTCCCCTCACAGAGCAACAATTCCCAGAGTTCCCTGAGAAGAGGGATTGACTGTTAAGCCACTCTGGGATGGGAACAGGGGGGTCTCCTAGCAACTCTTAGCATCCTTTACAAACTGAAGCTTGCTGGAAGGGATCTGTAGGTCCCTTCACACACATGTGGTGGGACTATCTCAGAGTTGCCCAGTTCTGGGATGAGATGTTTTGGGGAACAAAAACATTGGGGAAACCTGTAAAGAAAGAAAAAACCCCAAACGGCATTGTTGAGTACATTCAGTGGAGACAGCCAAGAGTTGTTTTATACAAACATTTAATTGGCTACTTAAAAATTGGAAAGAAGCAAAGAGTTCAAATGTACGAAAGTGATATCAGGCTATTTGAGACGTAGCACTTTCTGATAAGCTGACAAAAACGTTTTGCAACTAAAGGGCAATAATAATAATAATAAATACGTTCATGGCAGGTGGCCATTCATCCAGCAGAGAACAACGATTCCACAGGACAAATTGTACCTGGCACATTCCATACCATATGGTTCTGCTAACATTTTCCTTCATGTTCATATTAGCAACTTTCAGCCTCTTTCCACTTCAGGGCTTGTATGAACTTTACTGTTTGCATCTGAACTATGCCTCTATGTTGAGGAAAGGGGGAGGGGGGTGTTCAGTTCATTGTCATCATCCGTCCCCCAATATATATATATATAGAGAGAGAGAGGTTCATAGTTGAAGGAATGATCTGAACCTGGGTTTCCCAGGACTTACTTTGACACTCTAACCACTACACCACACAGTACACCACCAAGCACTCACCCTAGCCTCTCATGCAATGCTTTCTTTTTGGAGGAGAAACTGCAGCTGCAGAGCACTCTATGCTTAACAGCTCTGCAGAGGTGAAGGTGCTAGGTTTACTTCCCTCCCTCATCACCCCAAGCCCTGGTGTACAAAACTGAAAAGCGTAAGATAAAAACCAGCTGCCGCAAGGAAGAAGAAGATAAAGAGAGCATTGTCCCATGTGTCCTGGAAATTTCAGGGCATTTATCAGTCCCCTGTTGGCTCAGAACCACCCTGAACGCATCTTTATTTTCATGCAAAATCAATTTGGACCCATACGTGCATGAATTGGCTGGAAAGAGGAACTTGCTCATTTTCCACAAGGACTCAATTTACAAAATAAATAAATAAAATGTGTTAGAGGGCTGTTGTGCTGAGACTTGGCTACACTGCACCTGACATTTACCACATTCAAGAATAGTGGCAGGTGAGTCATTAAGGTGATCATCCAAGACAATTGCATCAATTGATTCTCTCCCCACCCCCCCAAAAAAGTCCCAACTACTAACAAAGCCAAATGTTTCAGAAAAGTCACACTAAACAATGAGGTATTAAAGCTGTCTTCTGGCTGGCCCAAAATAAATCCTGGTTAGTAGAAGAAGAAGGAATAGATGTGGGGCCTGAAGATTGCCCCGCCCCCCGAAATGGAGGGGAGAAGAAGCAGATCTACCAGCCCTCTCCCGACCCTCCATTGTTGGGAAAACTCTAGTTTAGGATCCCTCCCAAGCACCATTTTCAGATTCTCATCTCCTCTGGGATTAGTTAGACATGCAGAGGGTTGAGAGATCTCCCTTAGAGGGTTTGAATGGCGTTGAAACAGTGCCTAGCCCTCCTCAGCTAAACCACAAAATTATTTGCATGCTTGAAGAAAGCTGAACTGCCAAAGTACATGCAACTGCCTCCTCCCTACCTACCATGCCCCAAATAAGGAATGAAACAAAAACATCTCAAGGTGAAATCTAGCCACAACCACACCACTGACTATCTAGAAAGAGCTTCATTAACAGCAACCAAACTTTTCAGCCTCACTGGTTGCAAATATTGTTGATGCCGATTGGAGAATCTACTGCTACAACACTCCCACTGATTGTTTTTACCTATTGATCCTCTCCAATCTAGTCTTTAAACACACACACACACACACACACACACACACCGCATTTAGCCTCTTGCGCCAGTTATACACCTCAGGTTTCATGCCAGAAGGTGGCACTAACTGTAACCACTGTGTGAGAAACTTGTTGGCAGTCACTGGAATTTAAGAACATTGTAATGTTAAAAAAAGAAACCAAAGGAAGTGGTTCTTGGAAGAGCAGGATGTCAGTTTATACCTTCATTAGAGCCAGTATTTCTGAGAAAGGGGCGTGTGTTTGTGTTTGTGTGTTGGGAGGGTGGGCAAATCCAGGAATGCAATCAACCATCACACAATTTCTTAAACTAAGCAGATTTTCTGGCTATACCTCCCAGAGGAAACCTGCACAAACCAAGCTCCTTGGAATCTCTGCTCATAGCTTCAGGTTTTTGCATAAACACATGCCTAAGTTTTTGCTGAGCCTCCTCCTGCAAAACTTGCTTGCTGGGCGGTTAAATGCAGCAAAAACTTCACACTCCCGGTGATGACACTGCCATGGCCAATGGCCATCCCTCCCTAGCTGGGTATCTAACATTCTCTGCCTGCATATAAGGATGCAAGTGTTTGAAAGTGCTAGGGAGTACTCCTCTCTCCTGCCTGGAGCTGGACACAGATCAAGGGATCTGGCAGGTCTCACCAGATACGGAAAAGAGCAAAACAGCTTTGAGTTTCACTCCCAAGAGGAGAGAGACCGCTTCCTTCCAAGCATTATGTCAGACTCAGTGCTAGAGCTGGAGAGATCACAGTCTAGCACTCCTTAGGGTAGCTGGACAGAACTAAAAAGCCTTTGTCAGGATGAGAACCTGGGTTTCCTTCTCTGAAACAGAAAGCTGTCATGATGACCAAGGGGATCTCCCACAATAGCTACATTGCATTACTTCACAGCTATATCAGGGGAAGGCAGAAACAAGACTGGCTTTCAGATCTCTGGGGAATTTGTAGCAGATGGAGTTTTTCTTGACTTAAAGGTAAAGGTAAAGGATGCCTGACAGTTAAGTCCAGTCGGGAACGCCTCTGGGGTTGCGGCGCTCATCTCGCTTTATTGGCCGAGGGAGCCGGCGTACAGCTTCCGGGTCATGTGGTCAGCATGACTAAGCTGCTTCTGGCGAACCAGAGCAGCACACAGAAATGCCGTTTACCTTCCCGCCGGAGCACTTTGACGTGCTTTCGAACTGCTAGGTTGGCAGGAGCAGGGACCCAGCAATGGGAGCTCACCCCATCGTGGGAATTCGAGCCGCCAACCTTCCAATCGGCAAGCCCAAGGCTCAGTGGTTTTCACCACAGCGCCACCCGCGCCCGCTTTTCTTGACTTACACTTGCTTAAAAGCAGCAACAGCCACATTAAATTAGTCTTCTAGAAACAAGAGAGCCAGGAGTGGCTTTTCTGCAAGAGAGAACTGTGAAATTCAGTTCTGCTACTGAGAACAAAAAGGTACCCTGTTCCTAGGCTATGATCACCCCTTCTCTCCCCCAAAGCACACCGTTTTATACTGAGTCCCTTTGGTGATCTTAAGACTCCAAGTATGCCATGTCAACAAAAATAGATCCTTTGCACACTTGAGATCTGCCCACTCCTGAGAGCTGCAGCAGTGGGTCTCAGAATGAAAGCCCAGTTAAGACACTGGGATCTCCTCCTTCCTGGCCTGACTGAAAGGCTCAAGCCTCTATCCAGGACTCTCTCTGACCCCAGACAGCCTGCAGCTAGGAGTTGCTCCTTTTCATAGCCCTTATGCAGCCTAGCCTTCTGACCACTTAGCCAAATAAGCTCACTCACTTGCTTACTTCAGTATCAGTATCAAACTTTATTTCGGTCGCAGACTGAAATATTATTGCATTTATATCCCACTTTTTCTCCAGGGAGCTCAAAGTGGTATGCATGGTTTTTTCCTTCCTCATTTAATTGCCACAACAACCCTGTGAGGTAGGTTAGGCTGAGAGGCAATGACTGGCCCAAGGTCACCCAGTGAGCTTCATGGCTGTGTGGGGACTTGAACTCTGGTCTCCCAGGTCATAGTCCAACACACTAACCGCTGCACCACACTGCCTCTCACCTCCATATGACTCACTCCTAACTAGGGATGGGATTCAGTTCACGTTGAGGGCAAACATACATAACATTCATTTTCCAAAATAAGACACAAACCAAACACAGCCTTCCTTCAAAATTCACAAATTTTGCAAGGTACAAAAATGGGTATAAAGTATGCCTAAAAATGCATATATATTAGTGAAAATTACATACAAAAATGCATTATGTTAGAGAATATTATTGCAAAAAATGTGTTCATTAGGCAAAATTGCATACAAACAGCTGAATATTGGAGAAATTTGCACTAAAATGCTGGTGAATTGTCGAAGGTTGTCTTTTTTGGTTGTTGTTGTTTAATGCAAACTGATGTACAAATGTGGGGAACTGAAATTAACATGGGAGAAAGGGAACGAGACAAACAGAAACTGACAGTTTAGCCCATCCCTACCCGACAAAAACCCAAAAGCTGTAACATAAGGTTTGTTCTCTGCAGGAAACAAACCACAGGCCTGTGGTGGCTTATAACTCTGATAAGGCAAGTTATAGCTGCAGAAGCACAGAAGCAGCAGAACAAGAGGAGGAGCGAAGCAGATATGATTTTCCATCTGGGTTCACCGAACACTTGTTCATTCTTGCTAAGCCATGCATTGGCTTAGCGCTACATGTGAATATATCTCTGAAATAATTATCAAAATCTTCTCAGGGAAGAAGTAATTGCTAGTTTGTTAACCTTTAGTCCACCAGACTTTAGTCCACAGCAGCCACGAAATTAGAAGACGCCTGCTTCTTGGGAGAAAAGCAATGACAAACCTAGACAGTATCTTAAAAAGCAGAGACATCACATTGCCAACAAAAGTCCGTATAGTTAAAGTTATGGTTTTCCCAGTAGTGATGTATGGAAATGAGAGCTGCACCATAAAGAAGGCTGATCGCCGAAGAATTGATGCTTTTGAATTATGGTGCTGGAGGAGACTCTGGAGAGTCCCATGGACTGCAAGAAGATCAAACCTATCCATTCTGAAGGAAATTAGCCCTGAGTGCTCACTGGAAGGACAGATCATGAAGCTGAGGCTCCAATACTTTGGCTACCTCATGAGAAGAGAAGACTCCCTGGTAAAGACCCTGATGTTGGGAAAGATTGGGGGGGCACCAGGAGAAGGGGACGACAGAGGACGAGATGGTTGGACAGTGTTCTCGATGCTACCAGCATGAGTTTGACCAAACTGCGGGAGGCAGTGGAAGACAGGAGTGCCTGGCGTGCTCTGGTCCATGGGGTCACAAAGAGTCGGACACGACTAAATGACTAAACAACAACAACAGTCCACCAGATGTTGATGAACAACAATTTTCATTACCCCTAGCCATTGGCCATGCTTCCTAAGGCTGATGGGAGTTGTAGTTCGGCAACTTCCTGAGGGTCAAAGGCTCCCCATTCCTGCCAACAATTTGTACTTCAGACAGCCCCAAAGCAAGCACATCTGCTACCACAAGCACCAGCAAAGAAAGGAAAAGAAAGTCTATTTAAGTTTTCCAGGTCGTGTGTGAGGCTATGTAATTTTTCGAACTGTTCAATTACACCAACAAAAAGCCGCTGCTGCTCCTTATTATAATAGGACAGGTGTCAGGAGCAAGAAAAGTTCTCAGACGCCAAGACTGAAAGCAAGGAAGGTGGAAATCAATGTGTTCCCATTCTGAAACCATCTCCAGGATGGAAACAAGTTAAACTAGCAAGCAGCAAAAAGATTGCTATTGATGGCTGGGTCATTAAAAAGCTATCTTGGACAAGGCTTCTTTGAATGACGAGCGCCTAGCAGGAGGCAATATAAGCCAGGAAATTCGACTTCTATTTCTAAACTTTGCCTCTTGGGAATGTGGGCAATGCAATAATATGCTCTTCAATAGCACTTTCCATCTAAGTATCGCAAATGCATTACAAGCAATAATGTATTACCATTTCACAAGCCCCAGGTGGCAGATACATACATCATCTAAGATGGGAGAGACAGTCGAACAATCTAATTCTTTATCATTTACCTGGATCTGAGTGCAATGAGTGACTGTTTTGAAAAGGCTTCAGCTCCCGCTTGTTTTCTACATGCAAGACAAAACAACTGTGAGTGACGTGCTCCTAATTTCCCAGCTTTCCACTTTCACAAATCACTTTCCGCATCAGACTGGCTCAGTCATCATGAACTCTGTATAATAAACCACAGTTTACTGGACCAAAATCAAGCATTGTGTCCACACACTCCATCATCCCCCTCCCTTCTCTCACATACTTAACAGAAAAACAGACCATTTGTTAAGCCAGTTTCTCATTACGGCTGAATCAGAAAAATGGTTTAATACCCTGATTTATAGTAAGAAATCAAACCACAGTTTCCTGGTTCAAATGCAACAGGAAACTCAGTTAATGAACTGCAAAAGTTTTCCACTAATGAAAGGAGGTGTGTGCAGACACAGCATTTGATCTTGATATAATAAACCAGTTTATTGGACTGGTAAGTACATCTGAAATGAGCTACTGAGTTGTCTGTACGATTGGGATTCTGGGGCATGCTTTAATAGAGATGTTCAATTCACAATGAGCATCAGTGCACTAGAGAGGACTCAGCATTCACCTGCTCGTTCCAAGGAAAACTTAGAAGCAGGGAAGCTTTTGAGCCATCACTGGTTTTCTCAGTGAGTACCACTTGTGTACACTATGTTACCTGTGGATCTTCTTCCCTTATTTTTAGCTGCTTTTTATAAGAAGCTGGTAGAGTCACCAAATTCCAAAGTTGGCCTTGAAAAATAATCAGGGTCATTGATTTAAGGACACAGTTAAGTTCCTACGGAAAATAAGTCACGAATTAACATTACTTATGTACCGATACAAAAAAGTATTAATTGTTATGTGCTACTTTCCTAGTAACTTTTCTGTGTACTTCCAGAGGGCAAAAATTATAGTTTAGAAGCTGATATTATTCTCTTTGTTCTGCACAGCTTCTTTGAAGCACAGCATATTTTTCCACCCAGAGGGTAAGTTCCACAGAAGATGAAGGTCCTTTGTGTGAGAATCACAGAGATCCAACACGTTGAGGAATACCTCGGAGGACACAATTACTAGCGGAGCGCAGACCTTGCATGTAAATAGGCCCAGGTTCTATCTTTGGCATATTCAGGTAAGGCTGAGAAAAGCTCCTGTCTGAAACCCCGGAGAGTTGAGACCAATCAGTGTAGAGCTAAACCAGGCTTCCTCAACCTTGGCCCTCCAGATGTTTTGAGACTACAGTTCCCATCATCCCTGACCACTGGTCCTGCTAGCTAGGGATCATGGGAGTTGTAGGCCAAAAAACATCTGGAGGGCCGAGGTTGAGGAAGCCTGAGCTAAACAGACCAATGATCTGCTTCACACTCCCAACACCAAGTGTGAGGGAACCACCGGCCCTTCAGATGTTACTGGACTACAAGTCCCATCAGAACTGCCCATTGGCCATGCTTTCTGGGACTGATGGGAGTTGCAGTTCATCAATATCTGGGGGCCCAAGTTCCCCACACCTGCTCCACTTCATATTAGTTACTGTAGGGCAATGTAACCCAAAAGGACTCTGTATCTACCGTCGTTTCCGAATTTACCTCCAGGTCTGCTGATTTAACAACAGCTCTGTTTCGTTAGGGTCCTGCAAGAACTATTGGGCATGGAAAGACGTTTCAAAACTTATTTCCTTGATGAAATTTGTCCTACATGCAGTTAAGATGGCTTCCTCTCCCCTGCACTTAAAAAGTACAGTACTTCAGAACCCATTTGTCCTCTGAAAACCAAGGTTGCCTAAGACCCAAGTGTTGTACAGCATGTGGAGCAGGGGGCACATCCCAACTGACCTCATCCTTTTTCTTATTTCACTGGAATACTCCCTGTCTTATTTATTCATTAAATTTAAACCCTGCCTTCTTCCTCCCCAAGGAGTCCAGGGCGGCAACAGGAATTTCACGGAAGGAAAAGCAACCCTTCTTTGCAAAGACCATCCGTGTAATGTCGTATTTTCATTGTGCAAAGCTTAAGGAACACAGCAGGAAGCGTAATGTTCCATTTAAAGTCAGCTACTGAAGAAAATAATGTTTTTGGGGAAGTCAAACCTGCCAAGAGGAAAGGAAGACTGAAGGAATGGCAAAGTCATTCAATTGTATTCCTTATCAGAACACCATGGTTATGATCCCTTTGTAATAACAGCTTATCACAAAACCATTACGCTCAAAACAGCTTACATCAATGAGAATGTTACCACACTATCAACACTTGCAAGGATAGTTCCATAACAACACGCATGGAAGGAGTTCATATGTGAGTTTCAATTTTTAAGCATGACAACTAGTACAGTAATACTTTTTCCCTCCCTTCAGAGGATGGGAGTGGTGGTTTGGGGTTTTTTTTAAAGCCCTGAAAATTAATGAGCTGACAAACCAAATAGACTTCCAGAAGTGCTGCAGGTCAGGATGAGACTTTTGAAAACACCCTTACAAATAATCAGGACTCAGATGAGAAGTTGAAAGAACCACTCAGTGACCTCTTTCCCCAATGAATATATATACAGATTTTAAGTTTTAAAAGAATCTCTCTTTAAATCCAATTGCCAGTGTCAAGTCTGCCATTCTGAAGAATGTTATCCAGGGAATCCCCAAGGCTAACACAGTTCATTACAGCGAGGAAAAGCAAATAAAATGTTGTAAAGACGAAATAAGATACATTTCCAGTTACAAGGAAATAGGTTTACAAATATGGTTTTAAGGCTGCGATCCTCAACCCCACTTAACCCAGGAGGAAGCCCCACTGAAGTGAGCAGGGCTTACGTCTGAGTAGACATCATTTGGGTAGACATCAACTTCCTATCCCATTTTCCATGGAGATGTTGTTTCTTCCCTTTTGCTGCATCCTATCTTCTATCTATTCAATCATAACCAATTAGAATCTAATTAATTTTGTTGTTCATAGCTCAAATCCTGCTCACGAGTTCAACATACTATAGTATTTCTTTAAGTAATCCAGAAAAGGCATCCATTCTTTTCTGTCATACAGTCAATGAGCCAGGAGGACTTTCCACCGAGTGATGATTCTTTAGGTAAAGAGTGGGGGTGAAACTGTCCTGCCAATAAACTTAATTTTCCTACCATCACCACATGCTGGTTTTGTTGGGGTGGCCATTGTTAAGAGTTTACCGTTTACCATTTTCTTATCAGATGGGTTGCTTAATCGCAAAACAAGTCATTGCTTTCTGAAAACGAGCTATGTAGAACACACAGAAAGATACAATAAAAGCCCCTCTAAGTTGCCCACAGGGAGAAAGGGGCAAACTGAGAACCTTTGGAAATCTAGGGTTGAAACATGAAATTTATTACGGTCAGAGACCAGCTTGAAAAATCCAGGGTTAAAATTATCTGTATGATGCTCAGGGCCGGATTTAGGTTTGATGAGGCCCTATACTACTGAAGGTAATGTGGTGCTTTATATGTCCAGCTGTCCTTTGTCAACAACAAATTGTGGGTGTTTTTAATGTTAAATACAGTGGTACCTCAGGTTAAGTACTTAATTCGTTCCGGAGGTCTGTTCTTAACCTGAAACTGTTCTTAACCTGAAGCACCACTTTAGCTAATGGGGCCTCCTGCTGCTGCCGCGCCACCGGACCACGATTTCTGTTCTCATCCTGAAGCAAAGTTCTTAACCTGAAGCACTATTTCTGGGTTGGCAGAGTCTGTAACCTGAAGCGTATGTAACCTGAGGTACCACTGTATATGCTATATGGTAATTTATGAACCTAATAGGTATTTAAAGTCATTTTCACAAAACAAAATAGGTATTTTATCAAAGTAATTGTTGAACTGAATTATAACTAAGAAGAAGTATATTAATAGTGAAATAATTATTAAGCTCAAACTGTATGTAGGTTTTATTTTATTTGTTTTTTATCTTATATTTTGGAAATGTACATCCAGGTGTTTTTTTCCTTTAAATTTTTTGGAGGCCCCCAAGAGAGTGGGGCCCTAAGCTACAGCTTGTTTAGCTTATATGTAAATCCGGGACTGATGATTCTGTTGTTGAGCCTTGGCACAGAAGTACCTGGACCAGAGATGAGCATTCACTGGCTGAACACAGCCTTCAGACCTTGAGATCTTAACTCTTGAGACTCTTACCACCCCAGAATGCCATCTGTACTCACCAGCACTAGTGTAGTGGCAAATTTAGAAGTTCAGGGTCCCTTTCATGACAGTCACAGCTGCACACCCTCACAGCCATGCCCCCTTCTAAGATTATACAACAATCTTTTAATTATACAATACTAATAATTAGGAACGCATTGCCATGATCAATGAAGATCTCAAAGTGTGGCCATTCAGCTAGATCTGGTTATTTCTGTACATGCACAGGGACAAATTCCATGGAGAGCTCCAATATCTTATCGCAGAGTGACTTTTGTGTTTCCCTCTAAGTTCCATTGTGAATAACTAAACCTGCCCACCATTCCCTGGGCATGTTTAGCCTGGAGAAGAGGAGGTTAAGGGGTGATATGATAGCCATGTTCAAATATATAAAAGGATGTCACATAGAGGAGGGAGAAAGATTGTTTTCTGCTGCTCCAGAGAAGCGGACACGGAGCAATGGATCCAAACTACAAGAAAGAAGATTCCACCTAAACATTAGGAAGAACTTCCTGACAGTAAGAGCTGTTCGACAGTGGAATTTGCTGCCAAGGAGTGTGGTGGAGTCTCCTTCTTTGGAGGTCTTTAAGCAGAGGCTTGACAACCATATGTCAGGAGTGCTCTGATGGTGTTTCCTGCTTGGCAGGGGGTTGGACTCGATGGCCCTTGTGGTCTCTTCCAACTTCCACAGTTGCGAACTCGCCTCCGTTCACTCTGATTGGCTACAAATCAGCACAAAGGGCGAGAGGACTTCTTCTCAGTGGCTAAAGGGTTCCCTTGTATGCTGATTGAGTGGTTCTAGGATGCTGTGGACACTGCAGCAGACGTAGCAGCAGATCTTCAACCCCTCATCCCGCAACCTTGGATCTCTGCATCTCTGCCCACCAGCTCCAATCCCCATGCCCACCTTGGGTGCTTTGGCCTGGCTGCAGTGTGTCCTTGAACAATTATAACATTGCATAGATGGAAAAATGTGTATGCCTGGATTGTAGCCTACTGTACAAAAGCCATGTGAAACCCACTCATTCTCAAGAGCAGGCACAGGCAAACTCCAGTCCTCCAGATGTTTGGGACTACAATTCCCATCATCCCTAGCTAACAGGACCAGTGGTCAGGGATTATGGGAATTGTAGTCCCAAACATCTGGAGGGCTGGAGTTTGCCTATGCCTGTTCAAGAGGTTGTCCATGAAGGAATGATGCCCTGATTCTGAAAACAGCTCCCTACCTTTCACCTACACTATACAATTTTAAGAACAAAAAAAGGAGAGCTTTCCGAACTAATAATTTGTGCCACTATTTGCCATTTCATTTGCCATTCATTGTGTGGTGAAGAACTACATAATTCTAGAGGGTTTAGGATTTGATAGGTCAGCCAGTCATTTGAAATTGCATTGTATGTTTATGCTTTGCCCAGAATATTCCAAAGAAGGCCGAATTTGCAGTTCTACGTCTAGGAGCTTGAATATAACCCTCCCCTCCGTGTACATTTGGGTGTGACAGCTTCTTGTCAAGACTGATTTACAACTGTTTCCTGTACTTTAGCATGACTATTCTGCCAGCTTTTCCAGCAGCTTAGTTAATCTACTTATAATATCCTGTTGTTCACTTGCTGGATCAAATCTTCTTCTGCTAGCTCTGACCAATTTGGCAAATCCATAGCTAAATTCTTAGGGACTGACTTGCTTTCATCTGCAAATAACTGAGTGACCAAATTACAATTTTTGTAGGTTATCAGTGTTCTTTTTGGGAAGTGCTATGATTGTTCATCCCCATGAATAAGATCTGTGACTAGATCTGTGACCTGCTAAGGTTGAATTTCAGGATGCTTTTCCACGCAGACCTCCTTTTCTGACCGACAGCAGAGATCCAACTGGTATGTCTTCAAAATGCCCAATAGGAAATACCCCCTTCACAATCAATTCAGTTTTCATTCCTATGATGGTCAAAATGCTTTTAGTTTCAAAAGTGAGAAGAATTCTCTGGGATTGTCCATTATCTCAGATCCTTTTAACTAAATTTAGATCCATATTGTCCAGTAATAACCTTAGATGTTTAGCCCAGAACATGAACCCTCAGTAGGGAAGTGGTCTCCATAGCTATAATATGACATGGTTTCAATATTACATTATTCATTTGAGTTGGAATTCTCATTTCTCTGATTTTAGTTAAATTATTTCTGGGCACTGAGGGAATGCAGTCCTGAGTTGAAATAGGACTCTGTGCTCTTGACCTACACTGTACCAATCTCAGTCTCTTAAATAGAACTGACTTTAGAGAAATCTGCATTTAGCTACAAAATCCATTGTGTGACTTTGGACCAATTACCATATCTCAGCCTAAATGACCTTACAAGGCTGTGTGTGGCTAAAATAGAGGGAATCATGTATGCCAGGGAATCATGGTGCCCTTCAGTAGCTGTTCCACCACAACTCCCATCATCCCTGAGCATCAGCCATGTTGGCTGGGGCTGATGGGAATTGAAGTCCAATACAGCGGAAGGGCCACAGGTTCTCCAACCCTACGTACATCGATTTGAGCCCCTTGAACAAAGGATGTTATAGAAAAGCCATATATAAATCAACTAAACATTATGGTTGGTTCATTTTTCAAACAGAACTCAATGAAAATGGGCAGACATTTGAGCAGTAGATAAAACATTGATCCAGCACTCAAAGAACCCCAGGGAGATACAAAGAGATATATCATTTCTAAAAAGGAGAGGGGTTAATATGGTTTGTCATATAGAGACAAAGGTCTGACCTCTCAAAATTCTCTACACCCAAAGTAGCCAATGTGATGCCCTCTGTATGTTGTGGACTACAACTCCCATCAGCTACAATTCCCAGAGTGGTTTAACAATTAATCCCTCTTCCTAGGAAACTCTTGGGAACTGTCGCTGTGTGAGGGGAATAGGTGGTCTCCTAACAACTCTCAGTGACCTTAATAAGCTAGTTTACAGTTCCCTTGATTTGGGGGGAGCAGCCATGACTGTTTAAAGTGGTATGATACTGCTCTAAATGTATAGTGCAAATGGGGCCTAGGAAGACGACTGCAAACAACAAAACAGTAGAATTACTCATTGTTTCCTCAGTAAAGAAATGGTGGGCAACCCACCTACAGAGCAGTTTCCAGTTAGTTAAAAAAAAGCCCCAACAGAAACACAAATAGATGAAGAATAGAAGAATAAGGTGAGGGAAATGAAAATAAAAAGTGTGGAGGCACATTCCTCTCTTAATTACCACAATGAATAGATAACACATAGTTCATGAAGAGGGGGAAAGAGGAAAGGGCATCTTCTCTGACGCCCTCTTCACCACTTCAAATTGATTAGGTAACAATTTGAAGATCTGGTTTGGTGCCACGGCAAGTGGAAGGAGGCTTTTTTCAGTGGTGGCACCCTCGTTGTGGAATTATTCATTCAAAATGGCCTACCCAGCAATCTCTCATTTTGCAGTCGGCACATTAAAACATTTCGGAAGACACCTGAAGGCCTACATGAACTCTGTGATGTGTTATCCCCATTGTTGAGTCTGGTTTTGTCTGCTTTAATGACAGATAGGCCCTTTATGATGGTGCAGTAATGTAGTGGTAGTGGGGAACCAAATCCCTAAGTAACTGATGATCCTGTTCTGTAAAGCCCCTGGCCTGTAGAACTGCATTCCTGTTGAGATATGGCACGCATCAGAAACACTTGGGAAATATTTTTGCTCCAACAATCTTTGCTGTCTCTGCCATGGGTGTTCATAAACTTATCTTCTTTTATTATATTTTGTACATTGCCTTGGGACATACATGGAAGGTGAATAATAATAATAATAATAATAATAAAGCAACATCTGTAGCAGCTGCTACTCAAGAGCTAGAGGTTACACCACTAGGCTGAAGGTCATATTGGATAATGGACAAAATCCTTCCCTTCAGAAAATGCAAACTAAACTAAACAAATTTATGTATCTTCAGATACCAGGGCAGGGGTTGTACTCAACTAAATTTTACTCAGAGTAGACCCACTGAAAGTAATGGGCCTAACAGTCAGGGTCATTGATTTTGATAGGCTTACTCTGAGTAAAACTTAGTTGAACACCTCATTGCAATTACAACCTTTCCCCCAAACACAGAAATTTATGAGTCTTAGCAAGTAAAAGCTTATTTACAGACCCAACAGGTTTTTCCTGTATTCCCCTTTTATAAGAGGCATTCATGCTTAGCTGGACTGAATGGTCCAACTAGCTCAACATCCGATGCATTAATGATAAATTCAGCCTCCCAAGTGCCCATCTGTATGTAGCCAAAACATCAACATGCATGCACAAAAAATGAGATATCTACAGGCTGGGGGAAACCCTAAGTAAGTTTTCTTTTCTTGCCAAAACTTTCATTTTATACCAAAAATACTTATAATCATTATACTGTATATTTCTGTGAATAAGATGATATCTTTTTCCTTAGAAATAATAGGCAAAAATTGTGGGTCGTCTTCTACATGGAAAGCAGAGCGGGGATAGGCGATTGGTGGCAGCAGCCAGCAGGAGATTGTCAGCGGTGATTGGGCGTTTGATTGTTTGCTGCGGCAAGGCCTGATGATGATTGGCTGCGACAATTGGGTGGGTGATTTACGTCAGCGGCGAGGCGTGCGTGCAATCGGCTGTGGTTGCGTCGAGTGGGCAAGTGGGCTTTTGGCTGCGAGTGTGCAGGCGATTGGTGGCCGTGGCAATGCGCGCGATTTTCAGTTGCGGGCTCAACAACTCTGGGCAATCTCCCCCCAAAAGAAGCTAAACAAGTTTGGGCAATTCCCGCCTCAAAAATACGGTACATTTATTTATACCCTGCCTTTTCCCCTGACAAGAGACTCAAGGCAGCTTACAGATATTATATCGGGGAACCAATAATTTAAAAACAATTAAGAGAGAGAGAAGGAAGGACATTATGATCTATCAGAAACATGCAGACAATTATGGGAGGGAGAGAAAACTCAAAATGGTCCAATGAGGACTAAGCATGCTCAAGTGACCACAGAACCCCAAGAAGTCTCTAGAGCAGCCTTTCTCAATCTGTGGGTCCCCAGATGTTGTTGAACTACAACTCCCATCACCCCTAGTTAGCAAGGCCAGAGCGCTCAGGGATGATGGGAGTTGTAGTCCAACAACATCTGGGAACTCACAGGTTGAGAACCGTTGCTAGAAGGAGGAAAAAAAGGAATGGAAAGAGAATGGAGGAACCCAGGAAAGGGTGTGTCTAGCTGGCACCTTCAACAGATGACTCTACCATGCAGCATGTGGTTTCACATCTCACTTTTTCTATCTGCTGTTGACTCAGAAGAAGAACAGGGCAACAACAATAAGGCTGGCTTTGCTTTTGTGTCTTCTGCAAGAGCCAACGGCAATAACAGAAATGACTTTTGGGAAAAGACGGTTGCTCAATAGCAAAACTCATGTTTTACCTGAGGAAGGCGTCCAGGTTCAATCAAGACCGGAGGTGCTCCCTATCTAAAACCCTGGTGAGCAGCTGTCAGTCAGTGTAGACCAATGATCTGCCCTTGCATCAAGCGGCTTGCTACATTTCTAGACATTAAATTGGTGTACCTGTCCTCCATTGTTTCATCTCTGTGCCAGGGACATCTCCTCCTCGCCGAAAACATCTTGTACACATCCCTCACTAGAACAATCTTTCGCAACATGGTGCCAGCCACATGTTTGACTCCAACTCTCATCAACCCCAACCGGCCTGGTCAATGGTCAAGGAAGATGGCAGCTTCATTTTATTTTAACAGAATGTACTATACACCGCTTGGTTGTAAACAGAACCTCTAAACAGTTTACAAGAAATAAAAGAAAGAAAGCATTCATATGGCCAATCAAATGCCAAGTTAAAAACAGATATTTTAAGAAAATCAAAATACAACTAAGACCAACAGTTAAGCTAAAAACAGATTAAAACATGGCAACTTCTACATAGTTTGGTAACATCTGGAGGGCATCAGGTCGGGAAAGATTATGCTAGAACAGGGGTAGGCAACCTAAAGCCTAGGGGCCGGATGCGGCCCAAACGCCTTCTCAATCCGGCCCGAGGATGGTCCGGGAATCAGTGTGTTCTTACATGAGTAGAATGTGTCTTTTTATTTAAAATGCATCTCTGGGTTATTTGTGGGGCATAGGAATTTGTTCATATTTTTTCCCCTTCAAAATATAGTCTGGCCCACCACATGGTCTGAGGGATGGTGGACCGGCCCACAGCTGAAAAAGGTTGGTGACTCCTGCGTTGGAATCTTGCTCTTTTGCTGCGGGGGCTTGGCCCGGGCCCCCAATGGGGAACTTACAGTCAGACCCACTTGCAAGCCAGGCTTCTCAGAAGATGATTACACAGCGCTGGTTTCCCAAAACATCCCAAAGGTTCCCTGGATCATAGATTCATCAAAGTGAGAAGGGATCCAAAGGCCAACCCCCTCTGTCCCCTCTGCTGTACTACAGGGTTGTTTCCTGCATTAACCAGCATTGATATGTTCTGTCGCTACTTGTGATATTCTCAAAGAATAAGGAAGTAACATCAGAGGCACATATTATAGTAGGGGGAAGATATAGGCACCAAGTATTTATCAGAAGATTGCCAAAGTATGTGACATCAGGATGCAACATCATCAAAGCTAGATGTCAGATCATTCGTTATTCAGATCTAGAAAAACCCCACATTACTTTCTCATGCATGCACTCTTGGGGTGGGTTTTAAACGGTTCCAATTTTGGTTCCTCTGTTTTGTTTTTGTCGGGTTGATGTTAGTTAAATGTTTAGTTGGGGTTGGTGGTTATTTTAACTTGGTTATAACTGCAAACTGTTTATTATTATTGTTGTTGTTATTGGTTACTATTGATTTATTGATTTGTCTGTTGCTCGTATAGGATATTTTGTTCTTCAATGCTTGATGCTTTGTTGTGTTTTTATATATGTTGTAAGCTGCCCAGAGTGGCTGGGGAAACCCAGCAAGATTGGCAGAATATAAATTTAATAATAAATAATAATAATAATAATAAGTATGAGGAAGTACAACTGATCCAAAGATTTCACTCTGCTTGCATAATCAGAAGCACAGGGACACCTGCAGAATTCACCTTTGCTAGCACTTGTGACATCTTTGGTGTTTGCACAGCAATGCTAGTGTCCACTTTTGTTTCCACTCACAGGTCTTTAGAACAAACTATACAGTATGGATCTGTTGAAAAGGGGTGGTATGGCCAGATTTATCTGGGGGTAATCCTGCAGAACTGAAAGGGAGCTCCCCACAAGGGAGAGAGTCAGTACATCCTGAAAGAAACTCTAGCCTGCCTGGGAAATGTACCCAGGGACCTGGGTGAATGTATTATACAGTGACCTGGTTCACCCAGAATGCTAAATCACAGTTTTACCACACCACAAATATTGAAATAATTGTTCCACAGATCAAACAAGCTATGTCCTGTTTCTACAAAGTTTGGCTTGTTTTCCAGCTGCTCTTGTCTCATAACTTTGTGGTAATGAGCTGTAATGGCAAGCCATTGTTAAAACAAGCCAAGGTTCATAGGCCAACAACAAATCACGGTTTCAGACTGCGGTTTGTTGGGAGGAAACAAACCACAGCCATGGTTAGGACAATCAAATCAACCCTGCTTTAATAAACCATGGCTTAGCATTATGTGAACACCAGACCAGTGACCGAAGAAATGCACTCTTCACATGTTCAAAGGCACTCTTTGCAGTTGTCTCACTCGATCCACAGCTGACCCCAGCAATACCTATGTGGCAGGTTCTTGTGTTAATTCACAAAGCCCTAAAGTACTTTCAGGATTGTTTGATCCCTACACCTCTGAGGTTCTGTTGGCCTCCACAAGAAACTGAACTTCTAATGTGGCAGGCCCTTCCCTGTGCAACTTCCTACTAATAGAAATTCAACGGGAACCATTTTCCCCTACTTTCAGACAATTTATGAAAACTCTAATTTTTTGGACAGGTCATTTGCAATATGAATTTTCTCTTTTTAACTGATCAGTATTTGTTGATTTTCAGTCATCTTTCTATTAATTTTTTTGCTGATTTTATCACTGTCTGATGTACACCGTGTTGATAATTTTGTATGAAATTGTGGGTGGTAAAGGTGCAAAGAAATGAAATAAAATAATAAACTTAAAAACTAATTCCAGGCCCAACCCTGGCTCCAAGATACAGCACAGCCACTGGAGAACTTAACTCAAAGCAGTTATTAAGAACACTCCTCCTGCATGGGAGATGAGCCCCGGACAAGACTGAAGATAAATTATTTCATATAATGAGCTGCCCACATCTCAGAGTAATAACGGACAATAAATTCTGCCTGTACCACTACTTTAACACCATCTCAAGGGAAACAGCTCCCTGGTCTGTCCACCTCCTGCATTCATTTTCTTGAATGAACATCAACCATGAAAGCCATGAGGTTAACCATTTCCCTTGTCAGTTTTTTATGAACCACCAGAGTGGAAATAAACGGACAGTTCTCACCATGGAGGGATGTAAGATGTGGATTTTGTACTGGGACTGTTGCTTTTCTTAGGCCTTTGATCCAATCCGGCAGGGCTCTTCCTACATTCCCCTATTTGCCTTCTGGAAATCTCTCCCTCCTTTCCTGTCCCAGGCACCCAAGAATATTGTTGTCAACACACACTTTTGAAGTTTCAGCCCAATTTCATGCAATGAGAGGTCCACAGAAGTGGCCTGTGTGACATAGTGGTTGAACTAGGACTTGGGAGACCAGGAAGGACTGTGAGGCATTCCCTGTACAGTGGACACTCGGGTTGCGAACGTGATCCGTGCGGGATGCACGTTCGCAACCCGCAGCGTTCGCAACCTGCGTCTGCGCACGCACAGGTTGCAATTCGTCGCTTCTGCACATGCGCAAAGCGCGATTTAACACTTCTGCGCATGCGCAACCACCGAAACCCGGAAGTAACCCGTTCCAGTACTTTTGGGTTTTGGTGGTCTGTAACCCAAAAAAACACAACCTGAAGCAGCTGTAACCTGAAGTATGACTGTATATTCCCCTATGAGGATATTTGTTCTTTTCCCACAGGAGCAGTTTGTAGCAGGAAATACAGGTACAAGAACCAAGTGATGCCTTGTGCCTCTAACAGCTGTGTGGCAGGCAGAAATTAAACAGGGTAAACCTTTTTTAGTCTGAAAATACAATTATGGGGAAAGCTGCACCTGCTGACATTCATCTGTCAGACATTTTCTTACTTATGTGTTGCCCCTGATTTATTTTTAGATCCTACATTTCAGCACAGCAGCTTGTAACATTCTGAATGCTGGGGGATATTGTCATGGATGAGCTTTTTATGAATTCATTTTGTACTACAAGTGTATGACTGGAACTTTTTGCACAGAATAAACTGGAAAAAAGCAGTTGCTTTTTAAAATGAACTTTCCAAACACTAGTCAATCTACCTCACAGGGTTGTTGTAAAAATAAAATGGGTCGGGGGGGGGGGAATGTAAAACTCCTTGTAGGAAAGGCAAGACAGAAATGTAGTAAATCTTACCATGTATTTTCAACATTCAACCCACTTCAGCTTCCAATTAATTCCTGAACATATCAACAATTCAGACGATGAAGCAAAATCAGTTGTCATCATCCTAGGATATCTGACCAGGTGAGTAGGCCCCAAGCCCTGCATCCTAGAATGCTTACTGTAAGTTAAACATACACTCACCTCCGAAGGTAACAGAACTTCCTGAAGCTCTAAAAAGCACAGTGGTTGTGATCTGGCTAAACTTCTATCTAGCGTTCCACCCTGTGGTGAAAGTAACCCATAACCGGATGCTGCAAAGGAAGTGAACACAGGAACAAGAGCTGCTCTCTTGTTCAGAGAGAGCGCTCATTCATCCTCCAACACACCACAAACTATAGTTTCTGGCTTCCCAATAAAATGTTAAACAAGTTCACAAGACTGTTGGCATAAACACGTCTTCAAGGGTCAAAAGTGACGATGCTGGAAGAGTGTTCCACAGCACTGGACCAGCAACACGAAATGTCTGGCTTCTGGTTGAGGGCAGTGAGGCCTCTGTAACACAGAGGTCAACTAACAATGCTCCTCTGGATGATTTCACTGACTGGACTGGGATGAAGGGCTCAAGATGTCCTTAAGGTGTTCCAGTCTCTGTATATCAACACAAAAACCTTGAACCTGTCCAGTGTAGATGTTTTAGCAGAAGTGTCGCATGCTGTCACTTCTCTGCCCCCATCAGACTTCTGGGCACTGCATTCTGCACCAGCTGGAGCTTCCTGACCAGACCCCAAGGGCAGACCCATGTAAAATGTATCTCAGTAATTCAACCTTGAGGTTATCAATGTGTGGACCACACATTATCCTGATTCAGATACGGAGTGCAACTGGCCCTTTTCCTGCACCCTGCCCTATGTGTTGGGGGCTGAATGATGTAGCTGGATCTATTCGAGTAGGTTCCCTGTGCAATTTAAAACCTTGATTTTCCAGGAATTCAGAAACTTGACCTCCCGGAAATCTTAGGGCCCCACTAGGCTACTGATGTTGGTTTTTCTGCAGGTATATTCTGCAACATGCCACTGACACCATGATAGCACATTAGTGCGGGGGGGGGGGTTTATACTGGACTGACCACACAATCAGTAATTCTATGATGCTTCCCCAGCGCGTCCAACTCCCAAGAGACTGTGATCTACTGATCTACTCCCACGAAAAAAAATCATCTACCCATTTTGTTGAACTTTTTTTAGGGGGGCAAGTCAAAGTTGTTGAGCTTTTTTTTTTGACGGGGAAAGCAAAGCTTGTTGAGCTTTGCAGATCTATTTTTAGGGAGGAGACACTGAAAACCGGTAACCAAAAAAAGCACCAGCAAAAGCTCTGTTTCCGTCTTAGCAAGCATGTGCAAATGAAGGACTCTGGTAGGGGGCAGGGGGCGGAAACAGCTATTCTTCCTCAGAAGAAGTAAAGGAGACCATGATCAACCACAATCAGCCGGGGATTGACCTGTCAATCGCAGTTGACCGGTTGGACAGCCCTGTTATAACATTACTGGCAGCTGGAAGGACACCAATGAAACAGTTCTGGGATGGAAAGTTACAGGGCTTCATCTGGAAGGTCTGGGACATGCCCCAGTTAGAAACAAGCAGTGCACCTGACCCAAAACCTTTGTAAGCACAAACAGTGTTCAAAACAGGACCACAGATTGTCATGAACACATAATAAAAAGGTTGTCTGGAGGGGGCCAGTGGCAGAGCTTCATGCTCCAGCGGGTGGGGGGTGTAGAGCAGGCGGGGGCATGGCTGGCACACATCCTAGGGGCATGACACACCGCCTGCAGCGGCGGGGCGTGCATCCTGGGGGCGCCGCGCGCTGCCCGCAGGGGTGTGGCACGCGTTCTGGGGCATGGCGCACCGCCTGCGGGGGCATAGCGCCCAGCGTGTGGGGCGGGGCAGCCGCGATGAGACCCCACCAGGATCGTGCCGCTGGGGGCAGTGCGCTCCCCCCACACCCCTGTTCCTCCACCAGTGGAGGGAGCCCTTAATCACTTCAGGACTTAAGTTGAGTAGGCTGCACACTACAGACATTCAGCACCCAAGATATGTTGTGCTATAGGAATGACAGCATATGGAAGGGGCCAGTGGTGTAATGGTTAAGAGCGGTAGTCTCATAATCTGGGGAACCAGGTTCGCGTCTCCGCTCCTCCACATGCAGCTGCTGGGTGACCTTGGGCTAGTCACACTTCTCTGAAGTCTCTCAGCCCCACTCACCTCACAGAGTGTTTGTTGTGGGGGAGGAAGGGAAAGGAGAATGTTAGCCGCTTTGAGACTCCTTCAGGTAGTGATAAAGCGGGATATCAAATCCAAACTCTTCTTCTTCCTGCTAGCACAACAATAACTGGAAGAGTTGAAAAGGGCTATGCAATATCCAATCCAGTATGACAAGCACCTTAGACAAATGGGTCTGATTCCAGAGATAATTCTTTTATTACAGCAAGCTATCAATGTGCATGGAAGATTAGAAAGTACAAGATGAAAGGTCCTTGCCCCAAGGAGTTTCCAATCTACAATTCAACCCAGGAGAGACAGCAGAGGAAGGGGAGGGAGATGGAGGCAGAGTGCAAATAAGGTGCTTATTTCACTTTCGCGTTGATTACAAAATAGTGCAGTCTTCCCCAGCCTGGCATTGTCTCAGCAGGCCCAGCCAGCATGGCCAATGGTCAGAGATGATGGGAGTTGTAGTCCAAAAGGAACCAGGATGGGGGAGACTGCAGTGGAGCACCGGGAAAGGGTTGTATCATGACTCCTGAATCAGCAGCAATCCAGAAAGAAAGAGAAAGGGTGAAACTGGGCTTTATTTCACCCAGGTCAAAGACTCAGTTTGGCAAACACCCAACATGCATTTGTGTACATACACACAGGCTGGGAGCCTCAATGGCACCCCTCTGGAGGCTTCACCTGGGTCAAAACAAAACAAAACTGGCTAGCCCCACCATAGCTATGGCACTGCACAGAAGAACCAGCTAAGGCATCAGATCATACTCAGGGCTTTGAGCCAGCTTCTGGAGATCAGGGGACCACTAAGACCAAGGACGGCAGACAGAAGCTCCCAGGGGAACCACCAGGGCCAGAACGTGGACCTTCACAGGCATCTGAGTCTGAGGAACCAGTTGCATCCAACCATACTTCACCAGTTTAAGTGCATCAGGAGGAAGGCTAGAGAGGAGAACCCGTCTCCAGGTCAGGGGTGTTGGGCCTCTAAGGCTCTATCCTTCTCCATGAAGGGGTGGCGCCTGGAGGAGGTAGGCTGGTGAGAGAGGCTTAAGCTTCATTGGTGCAAGCGCTTCACTCTGAGTTATCCAAGGTCCTTTAATTTCTTACTTGCCTAGCCTCAACCCCAGCCTTATCTTCCTTTGCTTCACCTCCAGCCTTAAGGCCTTCTCTGTGGTATCCAGCACTGGACAAGCACACGGCAGTTTGTGTGTTGTGACAGTGTCTACTGGTGCCGTCTATTAATACTGTGGTACCTCGGGTACGCTTCAGGTTACAGACGCTTCAGGTTACAGACTCCACTAACCCAGAAATAGTACCTTGGGTTAAGAACTTTGCTTCAGGATGAGAACAGAAATCGGGCGGCACAGAGGCAGAGGGAGGCCCCATTAGCTAAAGTGGTACCTCAGGTTAAGAACAGTTTCAGGTTAAGAACAGACCTCCAGAACGAATTAAGTTCTTAACCCGAGGTACCACTGTACTGGCAGCAGCTTTCCAGGGTTTCAAGCAAGATCACTTTATCAGGAGTTGAACCCTGGCCCATCTCTATGCAAAACATCTGCACTGCCACTAAACTGTGGTAATTCCCTCCCATTTCTTATTCATTCACACACTTCTCAGGCAACTTGGAATAAATGAAGAGCAAACTTCTCTCTCTCTCTCTCTCACACACACACACACACACAATCACCACAAGACAGAAGACAAATTAAAAGGTTTCTAAAGTCTTAACTTCCCAGTCAGTCTGAAATTTCAGGTGCAGCTAAGACTCTCAAAGCATTAGCAACAAGACTTTCTTCTCATCCTTGATCCTCAAGATACTCATTCATCTTAACAGCAGTTTACAGGGCAAATTAAAAGGTTTTAAGAGAGCTTTAACTATCTGTTGCTATCTCGGTGACTTTACGCCACTCAAGGTGCAAGGAAAACAAAACACTGCCCATCTGCTCCTTAGATTTTCCTAAACCAACAGTTTCAATGTGTGAGGCTACCTACCCCATATGATTAATCTAGCACATACAAAAAACGATTTTTGGGAGCGGGAGGGCGGGGGAGTTAAATAAAACCTCTAATAGCAAAACCCTGAAAAACAGAAACCAATAGCAGGTTCTTACCCATGGCAAGTATCACCTTCAATAAGTGTGGTGGGGAGATTTTCATTAGCACTTCCATGTAAGGTTACACCCTCTCTTCCAGCATGCCATGGTTCCAACTCCTTCCCTTTCCCTAGGTGCTACTAAAGCACAGATACATTTACTGCAATCATGCATTTAACACAGCATTTTACAGTGGTACCTCGGGTTAAGTACTTAATTAGTTCCGGAGGTCCATTCTTAACCTGAAACTTTTCTTAACCTGAAGCACCACTTTAGCTAATGGGGCCTCCTGCTGCCGCCGGAGCATGATTTCTGTTCTCATTCTGATGCAAAGTTCTTAACCCGAGGTACTATTTCTGGGTTAGCGGAGTCTGTAACCTGAAGCATATGTAACCTGAGGTACCACTGTACTTTGCTTGGCCTTCTGCATTCCAGATGTGGAGGCTGTGGTCTTTTTATGGGTGAGGGAAATGCACTCATAACATGCTCAGAGGCGCCCTTCACAGATCAGCACTGGCCCTGAAGGCAGGTTCAAATACTGAGCTACAGATCAGATTAAGGCCTGCATGTATCCCCAAAGCCTTTCAGTGATACCCAAATGCGCACCAACTACAGTTTCTTAGAGCTCCTCGTCCTCCTCTTTACTTCAAGTAACAAGATTTGCCATAGACCCTCTGGGGCAAATTAAGCTCCACTCTTTAGAAACATGGACAAAATGTTCTACATACGGGATGGAGTCAGCAGTAATTCCCTCAAGTGTGAACTAGTGCAGAACTAGGAGAAATCAGTACATTCAAGCCCAACAAAGCATCCCTTTTGGGTGTGATCTATCAGATTTCAACCCACAAACTTCAGAAATATATGAGCACTCATGTGAATGATTCCTAACTTTCCCTGAACTCCCCCTCCCTTTTCTGTTTTGTTTTGTTTTTTTTGTAGTGATTGCCTGCTTTTGCTGAAGAAAAAGAATTTAAAATCTGATTAGTGCTTAAAAAAAAAAAGCAACAGCTTTCCAAGATCAAACAAATATGCCCCAGAATTAAAGTGGAGGGATGTTCCCACAATTCACAAGGATTCAAAGAAAATCCCAATACAGTGGTACCTCAGGTTACATACGCTTCAGGTTACATACGCTTCAGGATACAGACTCCGCTAACCCAGAAATAGTACCTCGGGTTAAGAACTTTGCTTCAGGATGAGAATAGAAATCGTGCTCCGAAGGTGCGGCAGCAGCAGGAGGCCCCATTAGCTAAAGAACATTTTCAGGTTAAGAACGGACCTCTGGAACAAATTAAGTACTTAACCCGAGGTACCACTGTATAGCAAACATGAAAATGACAAAGTTGTAAGCGTGGTAGCTTGAAGTGACCCTGGAGAGTTTGAAGAATGTGTGGCGGAACCCTGATGGTTGGGAGCGCTGACTGGGGGAGAGAGGAGAGCAGAGAAACTCAAGAGGATGAAAGTGCTTTCCAGTCAAGATCAGATAACAAAAAGCACTTGAAACAGTAGGAACAGAAGAAGCTGCCAAGTCAGACCACCAGTCTCTCTACTTCAAACCCAAGGAAGCCATGACCCTCTACACCAGAGGTTCCCAAAAAGTGGTCCATGGATAACCAGCGGTCTGCAAGCTTCGTTCAGGAGATCCATGGCATGTCCACATTAAATATTCAAATTGCTTTTCAATTGCTTATTTTATCCCTAATATTGTGTTTTATTGCATCACAGTTTGATTTCTATGGGATTCAAACAGTAACACAATAAAATACAATATATAAGAAGCAATAAAAAGTACAATTAAAAATCATACAGCATACAGCATCTAGTATAGCGCATTACCATTTTTATAAGAATGGGGGGGGGGGGGATAATTAAGTAGTCCACCAAGACTCTCAGTAATTTTCAAGTACAGTGGTACCTCTGGTTACGTACTTATTCATTCCAGAGGTCCGTTCTTAACCTGAAACTGTTCTTAACCTGAAGCACCACTTTAGCTAATGGGGCCTCCCGCTACCGCCGTGCGATTTCTGTTCTCATCCTGAAGCAAAGTTCTTAACCCGAGGTACTATTTCTGGGTTAGCGGAGTCTGTAACCTGAAGCGTCTTTAACCCGAGGTACCACTGTAGTTCATTGGGGGCAATGGAATGGGGAACCATTGCTCTAGATCCCAACCTTTTTTGGGGGGGCCATGCCCCACCTAAGCATCTCTAAAATCCTGATGCCCTCCCCCTCTTGTGACATATAGTTCTTATTATTCAAAAAGTGAACTCCCATTCACATGGAGGAAGCCTAAAAGGCCATTAACTGTTAATAACTCATTCTCAAATTGCCCCCCTTAAAAATCAAATTGCCCCCCGTGGGACGTGTGCCCCATGCTGGGAACCACGGCTCTAGATGCTGTCTATAACTCCCATTATCCTAGACCTAGACCATACCGGCTGGGCTGATGGAAGTCCAACAACACCTAGAGGGCAGCAAATTCTAGCTCAGTACTTTTTACAGCCGCCTCCCCAAACCTGGTGCCTTCCAGATTTTTTTGGACCACACCTGCATCAGCCCCAGCCCGAATGACCAATGGGGAGATGCCCTCCGAAACCCCTAGAGGACACTAGGTTTGAAGAAAACAGCTCTATGGTGACTGCTGGCAGATCTCAAGGTTTGAAATACAAGTCTCAGAGCCCCACCTGGAGACACCAGGTACTGAGAACATGGGACCTTTTGCATGCACACATGTGCTCCTCCACTAAGCTACGGCTGTTTCCTGTTACAAGGTTCAAGGAAGCAGCAGGGAAAGCCCCCAACCATATTACCTCACGTTCTCCAGCACTTCAAATAAGTGTGTGATGCATCTTGTCTCCCAGCTAATTCTTGCAATGAGTCTGATGAGTGGTCTTCTTACACTACTAAAAGTTGATCCAACTTTGAAGGAGGGCTCTAAGAAGTCAAGCATTATAAATAATGTCCCGCTGTGCAAAAAATATGCATAAGCAAACATGCATAAAGTAATTGTGTTGCACAATCTGTTGCACATGGGTTTCCACTAGTGCAACAGCTGCATTGGATTGCTTTGTTGCACAAAATCAAAATTCACTTGCTAGTGCAAGAGCCAAACTCAAAAGCCAAAAAGCTGGCCTCTACCACTGAGCTGTGTCCCTTCCCCTGAAGGTAAAGACCTTAAACGAGTTATGAAGCAAGGCCTTGAACTATCTTGGATGATAAAGAGTGCATGCAAAAACTATGGCAAGGATGGGGAGCCAGCAGACCTCCAGAAATTGTTGATTGTAACTCCCATCATTCTCTGACCATTGACTATGCTGGTTGGATGAGAACTGTAGTTCCAACACCATCTGGAGGTCCACCACCTCCTGCCATCATAGGTGCATGGATTCTGTACAGGACAAGGCACTTCAGGCCCTTGCTTCACGACTAGTTTAAGGCCTTTGCTTTCAGGGAAAGGGCTGTAGCTCAGTGGAAGAGCAGACACTTTGCCTGCAGAAGGTCCTCTGCTGCAATCTCCACCATCTTCAGCTAGGGCTGGATATTTATTTAGTCATCCCATTTGTCCCCTAACGTTCCTCCAAGATGCTCAAGGTGGCGTACATGGTTCCCTTTCCTTCATTTTCTCCTCACAACAACCTGGTGAGGTGGGTTAGGCTGAGAAACCGTAAGTGGCCCAAGGTCACCCAGAAAATTCCATATTCCCTACCTGTAACCCTGGCGAACCACTGCCATTCAGGGTTGTTGAGATGGGACTAACTGAGTATATATATATATATATATGGCAGCTTCCCACGCTCCAGATCTTAACTGAAAAACCAGTTGTGCCACACACGCCAAGGGGTTAAGAAGATGCCACCACATTACACTTTCTCTCTAATTTGAAACTATGCCAAGCTCAAAGTTTTTTTCTGCTGAGCTGGTATGCCTCCAGAGAATTCGTCTTCTTCTTTTAACCCAACCAACTAACCAATTGCCCCCTTAAGGCACCATCAAAAGAACTCGGCAAGAGAGTTTGCCTCTCCAACTCTTCTTCTAATTAAGGTTTTTAAGATGTGGGGAGAGAGACAGAGAGACGGAGAGGGAGAAAAGCGAGAGAGGCGCAAAGGAAGCTGCAAGTTCAAACACATTTGGAGACCCAACAGGCTGCTCCGGGTGCAGATGCGCTCTGGGAGACACAGAAGGCAGAGTTAAGACAAAGGAGTAAAGCCAGGCTCGCCGCTGTCTTTTTACAGCCTCTAAATCCGCTTGCCCTTTTTTCGAAATTGTATTTTTAGCTCCGCTGCAAAGGTGGGCGGCGGCGGGGGGGGAGGGAGATAATTAAATAAGCAAACGAGAAATAAACCACCCCAACCACCTCTTGTGAAGGACAGACACACACACACACACACACACACACACAATTCTGCAGCTATTTGCAAAAAAATAGGGATGCGCGGGGGGGGGGAGAAAAAACTTAATGCCCCTCCTGATTCTCCCCCCCCCCGCCACACACACACAGCTTGCAGAAACCCGTGGTCACCCCTGGCTTCAGACAGGGGTTCTGTGGGAACCCTTCCAAGACACGCGTCACCCCGAGCTGCAGAGGGGAGGGAAGACCGAAGGACTCACCATCAGCCAGCCATCTGGGTGTCAGGAGCGACCCCCCATCCGCTGGGTTCGCCGAGACATTCACCGGCGCCTCCGGAGACAAGGAAAGGTGTTGGGTTTGGTTAGTTTATAATCCGAACTGGGCTGGTGCACAGGACGCAACTCTGAGGGGTGGGAGGAGGTGGGCAAGCAGGAGTCATATAGTGGTGGTACTGAGGATGATGAAGATGATGGTGGTGGTGGGGAGGAGGGGGAGCAGCAGCAGCAGAGCTCCCTTGGCACAGAGGGTCCCTGGCTCTCGCTCTCCCCTCCGGCAGAGATGGCTGCTGGAAAGGCAACGGCCGCTGGCCACGAAAGGAGAAGGGAGGCTTGCCCAATTGTGCCACACTGTCTTAAAGTTCGCTGGTGGGAGACGAGGAAGGCAGGAGAGTGCGAGCGAGCCAGAGGAGCGTGGAGATGGGGCCAAGATGGTCCGCCCCTGCCTCGCCACGCTTGCGCACAGAGGAGCGGGGAGGCTGGGTCAGCTGGCACGTCGGGAAGGCGCGCGGGGGGGGGGGCGCAGAGAGCGGGGAAATCGGGGAAGGGGCGTGAGCTAAGCGGGGTTGGGGAGAGGAAGTCCTGCCGGAGCGGGCCGGTGTCTTCCTGCCTGCCTGCTTGCTTGCTTGGGCTGTGCCACCATCGCTTTGCGCCCTGCTTTGCGCCCGGCGGCTCCTTCGCCGCAGACTGTTTGTGTGAACGCGCGTCGTGCGAGATGAATGAACAATGGCAGGGAGGACAAAGGGGAGAGGCGCCGCCGCGCGCGCCCATCTAGCCGCCGCCCCTGAAAAAAGTCTTCATCACTCGCTTGCGTCTTTGCCCAAGATCGCCACTTAGCTTTCTCACCAGGCGTTAGCTTTGCTCTCGTTTTCATCTCAATGCAGCCACCTAAATGTGATATAGAGGGGCCTAGAGGTAGGGCTAGGGCCGCCCTGCAATAGGGTGCGCCATTTACAGTGTGACCTTATGCATATTTACTCACAAGTAAGCCCAGCTGTGTTCAGTGGCGTTTACGACCAGGCAAGTGTATATAATGAGGTGGCAGCCTTGGATGAATTCTGGTTGCCCCGCCCTCTCTCATTCTAAGGGTCCCCTTTTCTTTTGTTTTCAAACAAGTTGCTAGACCTCATGGAGGCTGCCCTTCTCACTTAGCTGCGGAAGGGTCAGAAATGAGAGGGAAGCCATCCTGACCCCACAACTGAATATCGCAGGGCACTTCCTTGCCCCTCTTAAGAGGAGGGCACCTCTAAGAAGAGAAGAGAGACCTTGCGAGAGATTTGTTTTGAGGGCCAGAAACTGTGTTGTTCACAGATCTGTCTTTGTTTTTTGTTTTTTTAAATAATATTTATTACTTTTCCAACAATTTAAACACTACAAAAAATAAACAATACAATACAAAAACAGTACATAACACTAACACATTAAACTAACAAAACAAAACAAAAACAGTTTAAAACACATCAAACAGTTTCAATATCTTATCTTTCATTCACTTATTTCAATGACCTCCTCACACCTCCCTTTTTGTATTCCACTTCTGTTAATTGTTTCAGCAATTCCTTTCCATCTTCCTCTGCTTTCTATCCTTTAATTATCTTAACACAGTCTAACCTTATTTTTCCCTTTAATACTCTATTAATCTATTTATACTTAATTCCTTATAACATTTCTACTAAAGCCATATAACTTCATTCCAACATTTTTCTAACGTTCATTAATTTTACAGTATTTCTGTAAATAGTCTTTGAACTTTTTCCAGTCTTCTTCCACCGACTCTTCTCCCTGGTCTCGGATTCTGCCAGTCATTTCCGCCAATTCCATATAGTCCATCAACTTCATCTGCCATTCTTCCCGGGTGGGTAACTCTTGTGTCTTCCAATACTTCGCAATGAGAATTCTTGCTGCTGTTGTTGCATACATAAAAAAAGTTCTATCCTTCTTTGACACCAATTGGCCAACCATCCCCAGGAGAAAGGCCTCTGGTTTCTTCAGAAAGGTATATTTAAATACCTTTTTCATTTCGTTATAGATCATCTCCCAGAATGTCTTAATCTTTGGGCATGTCCACCAGAGGTGAAAGAATGTACCTTCAGTCTCATTACATTTCCAACATTTATTGTAGGGCAAATGATAAATTTTTGCAAGCTTGACTAGTGTCATGTACCACCTATAAATCATTTTCATTAAATTTTCTCTTAGGACATTACATGCCGTGAATTTCATACCTGTGGTCCATAACTGTTCCCAGTCAGCCATCATTATGTTATGTCCACAGATCTGTCTTTGGCACTGGAAGCCCAGTTAAGCTTGAGTGTAAGGATTGTCTGTTATTGTAGGCTGGTATAGAAAGTACTGTATGTGCTTTACTGGAAGGATATCATATTTACATTTTCATACTGCTTGATTGTAAAAAAATAAAAGCTCCCCCAAAGAGAGACAGTGTCTCCACTGCTGTTGCCCCAATACTGAAGGACGTTGTTCCTCCTGCCACACCCAAAACTAGGATTGGGCAATATCTGGTTTTCAACATTGTGACACATCACCAGCTAAACATCACAATATACTGATATATCACAACGTCTGAAATAAGGATGGAACTGTGTAGAGGCATTGGCTGGCATCATGGTTTTCCCCACATTCAGATTTTTGCATAGCACACACACATCATGATTCACAATAGATTGCCAGGCCAAAAAAACATGAAACAGATATCACAATATGGACTTCAGATTGGTTTATATATTGAGCCCTTCCTGAAACATCTTATTGCCAGTTGTTCCATGCATGACCTTTTTGGCCCAGGCTTTCCCTGATCTCCCAGAACAGCAGGAAACAAACAAGACAAGCTCCTTGTTGCTGCTAGGCTAATGCTGGCCAAAGGAAGATATTGGGATATGCATATTCAAGTACTTTCCTCATGCCCAACTCATTTCATTCATGCCCTGAGTGTGCTGCCTTTACAGAACAAAACACAATTCACTGGCTTGGCTATGTTTTATTCAGAAGTCGCTCCCCTGAAATAAGTGAGATTTGCTTCCTACTGAGGAAAAATAGTGATATTGCAATGCCAACCCCACAATTTTCCACATCCCCCACACATCCACTATTGGTCTGTTCAACATCAATGGCCTATTCTTTGTTAATATACAGTAATCATAAAACAGAAGTATAAAATACCAAGTGAATTAGCAAATACAGTAATTAAGCGCCTTGCAGTTACGGCAAGTTAAACACCTATAGAGGCTACATTTTAATACAAGGTTCTTTCGTTTTCCAAGTCTGCCAAAAAATTGTTTGCGTGTTTTGCTTATATGTACCTAATACATTTACCTAAAGGATCACAGAATTGTAGAACTGGAAGGGATCTTGAGGTTCATTCTAGGCCAATCCTCTGCAATGCAGGAATCGCAGCTAAACAAGCCCTGACAGATGGCCAGCCAACCTCTGTTTAAAAACCTCCAATGAAAGAGAGTCTACCCCAACTCATCTTTTGCACACCCAGCTGATCTCTTGTGTTCTGCAGGAGAGGACATCCTGCAGATATCCTATCCAGTGGTCCGTTCCACATGATGGAAGGATAAGGCCTTTAGTGTGGTGGCATCTACTCGTTAGAACTCCTTCCCATTACCTGCCAGGCACGCTTAGACATACTGCCTTTCTGGCGCCCAGTAAAGACATTCCTTTTTTCGAGACATCTTATAAAATATTTATCCCGGTTGGTTATCTGTCCTGGATCTGAGCTGACTTTAAGCCTGTGCAGTTGTTTTGAACTCTTTATATTTACATTTTTAAAAAAGTTTTTAAAAATACATGCAATTGTTTGGACTGTTTTATATATGTTTTCTATACTGCAGATCGATTCAGGAAGTCTCCTGGGAAGCACAACTGTTATGTACTGAGTTGAATAGGATTCAAAAGGCAGCAGTCTGATTGGTCCTAGAACAATAGGATTCAGAATGCAGCAGTCTGAGTGGTCCTAGAACAATGCAGCAGTATGATTGGTCTGCAGGAGCCACCCAATCCGGCTCCAGATGGAAGTGAATCCACAACCTGATTGGCCTACAGGAGAATTCTGGAATTAGCCAATCACGTGCAGCCCATTGTGTAAATAATGTACAGTGGTGCCTGCAAGACGAAAAGAATCCGTTCTGGGAGTCTCTTCGTCTAGCGGTTTTTTCTGTCTTGCGAAGCAAGCCCATTGATGGGATTAGCGGATTAGCGCTATTAGCGCTTTTAGCGGCTTTTAGCGGCTTTTAGCGGCTTTTAGCAGCTTATCAGCTTATCGGATAAGCAGATAAGCAGCTTAGCGACTTAGAAAAGAGGGGGAAAAGGAAAAAAAACCCAGGAACTCGCAAGACATTTTCGTCTTGCGAAGCAAGCCCATAGCAGATTCGTTTTATGAGGCACCTCCAAAACGGAAAACTCTTTCGTCTAGCGAGTTTTCCGTCTTGCGAGGCATTCGTCTTGCGGGGCACCACTGTATGTAAAGCAGATACTTTGGGGAAACTTTCATTCCTCCTCACCACTATGAGCTGAATAAAGAGCATGAAATCCACTCTCGAGTACATTTCAATAACATTTTAAAAATAGATATATATGTTGCAGTTCTTGTCAATGGATTGCAGGGTGGCCAGGCAGGCCACATACAGTGCACCAGGCCCATGAAATCCCGTTAGGATCTTTGGTAGGGAACGGGGGGCTAAAGAAGAGGTCTGGAACCCAAATAACCCTCAGCCAGATGTGGCCCTCCAAGTCTCACACTCCCCCCCCCCCAAATGTCATCCCTACTTGATTCTCTCTTTTGCTTGGCTAGAATGCATCCCTGAACTGTGGGGGTGGTTTTTCCTTGCCTGGCTGCAGGATGAAGGGGGGGGGGCACACAGAAAGGTCTTGCTTTTGTGTGGCTGTAAAAGGGCACGTCTTTGGCTCCAGCCCCACCCACGTTTGGCCCTGGGCCCCCACTTACCACTTGCAAGAAGCCCCCAGATGGCTGCCCATGAATGTGGCTCTCAGGCTAGATAAGGTCCCCTGGTCTAGAGCCTTGTATTGGCTTTCCAAGGGGGTGGAGTATTATTTTTAACTTGTAGGTTGTCATAAAACCTCCAAGCAGTTTCGAAAAATAATATGCAACAATAAAGTCCTTGGATTAAAAACCCAGTTGAAAACAAATATTTAAAAAATTTAAAAAGAAAACAAAATTGACAGTAAGCTAAAACCAGATTAAAACACACAACAGCTTCTACAGGAGGCACTGTATTTATTATTATTATTATTATTATTATTATTATCTCAATACAGTGGTACCTCGGGTTAAGAACTTAATTCGTTCTGGAGGTCCGTTTTTAACCTGAAACTGTTCTTAACCTGAGGTACCACTTTAGCTAATGGGACCTCCTGCTGCCGCCATGCGATTTCTGTTCTCATCTTGAAGCAAAGTTCTTAACCCGAAGGTACTATTTCTATGTTAGCGGAGTCTGTAACATGAAGCGTCTGTAACCCAAGGTACGACTATACATATACAAAATGTTTACATAATATTATATATACATTATACAGTGTACGCTCGGGTTGCGAACGTGATCCATGTGGGATGCACATTCGCAACCCACAGCGTTCACAACCTGCGTCTGCGCAGGTTGCAAT